TAAATTTAAAAAAAATTACCTAGCAATTCGAACAATTGAAGGAGAGAATTTAGAAATATTAATTACTTCACTAAGAGCCCCAATTAAATTAGCCAAAATATTAAAATCTTTTTCCTAAAAAATTTTTTTAAAAATAATTCTTTAAAATACAAACATCAAAACTATATTTTTGACATAAATCTAATAAAGAAAAAATAAATTGGGAAGCAACAGGTGCAAATTTAGATGTTTTGATTGTTTGTTGTTTTTGTTCTAAATTTGTTGATCTCCAAATAATTTTTCCAATTTGTTTATTTTCTTCTTTCTCTTTCAACTTAAAATTAAGAAAAGTTTTTTTTAAATTCTCTTTCCCCTTTCTTTTTTACCTCTTTTACATTTTCTTCTTTTTCAATATTTTCCTCATTTTCATCTCCATAACATAACAATTTTGCAGCATTTACAATTGAAGAAATTAATAAAAATTTATGTGATTGTGAACATTTTTTTGAACAAAATAAACGATTAAAATGACTAATTAATTGTGGATTATCAGCCAATAAAAATGAAATTATTTTGAATTTTATATTCTAAAAATTAATTTTTTTATTATTAAAAAAAATAAAATTACTCTAAAATTATCAAGTTTAAACCGTTCTTCAAGAAAAATTAAAGTTTCCAAAATTTCAATTCCCAAAATATTTAATCCAATCGATTTCTTCTTAATTAATGGCCCAATTGAAAGTAAAGCTTCTTCCCAATGCCTAAATTCTGTTTTTTCGTCTTTTAATGCAGACAAACAATCTTGAATATAAGGAAAAGATGAGGATAGTTTTTCTTCATTTATTTTAACATTTTTTATCAGAATAGGAACATTTTCTTCTTCATCATCATCACTATCAAGAATTGAAACTCTCGGATCAATTACATGCTTTTTTTGTTGAAATGAAGAAAATTGTGGTTTTTCTGAAAAAAAATAATAAATTTAATTATTTTTAATATAAAATATTTTTAAACAGTTAAGAGAGGTCAGAAAAATTTAAAAAAATCTCAATCATGTCAGAAAAATTAAATCTCAATTTTAAACCTTCTGATTTTTTATCTCCCTCTTCCATTTTTTCAATTTCATTTCCTTTCAACGCATTAATAAAATCACAAAGAACTGGATCTGTTTGAATATAATCAAATTTTAAAGGCGAAGGATGCTCGAAAAGATTAAAAATTGTTTCTGCAGTAAACATTCCTATTTGACGACGAGAAATTTCTTTAAAAAATTTTATTTGAAAAAAATATAAATTTAACCAGGTTGTTCTAAAAGACGTGGAAATACGTTAATTAAAGAATTTGTCAAATCATCTCTAATTGAAAGACGCATTTCTTTACTAAAAATAAAAAAAATATTTTAAAAAATATTTAAACAAAACTTTATTTGTCTTGCAAAGTCAATAACAGCTAATGAAAGATTAAATTGATTTTGAAGAGAGATGATTGAAAGAATTTGACTTTGTGCACAAAATTGGTTAATTAATTGATTAAATACTTCAATTAAACAATTTTGTCCAAGTAAAGAAAAAAATTCTGCAGATTTTATTGAATTTCTAATTGAAGAATTTGAATTTATAAAAATAGATTTTTCAAGAAGACATTTACGAAGAAATTGGTCAGACAGAGGAGAATTTCCAAAGAGTTTCTAAAAAAATTGAAATAAAATCCATATGTTTTAAGGCATTTTATTTTTTTGCGAACTAATTTCTGCGGATAAAATAGTTCTGTACATTCAGGTTAAAAAAGTAGTATCCACAAATATGGCTTAATATTCTTTTTAAGATTTAATTCAAAATAATTAAATAAAAAAATATTTCTTACCTCCAAAATTTTTCCATCTGGAATAAATTGAATTAATCTAATAAGGATTGCTTCACGTTTTCTTTTCTCGATTTTATCAAAGGTAAAAATACGTTGTAATGAATGATAGGAATCCTCTTCAAAAATGATTTTAGATAAAAACCGGTCAAAGATCTTAAAAAAATATTTTTAATTTAAAAAATCTAAAAAAAACCTCAATAGAATAATTGAAAATAATTTTAGCAAAAAGCTCCACATTAAAATTTCCATTTAATAATACTTTAATAAGAGCTTCTAATAAATTATTCTCAAATGTACAAATTGTTAAAGCGGCAAATTCACCACCAGTTCGACCAACAAAATTATGGATTCTGTCTGGATAACTACTCAAAATAAATGTAAATTGGTCAATTGAAAGAATATCCTCATTTAAATCTGTTCTGTTAAAAATTTAATTAAAATTTAAAAAATATTTAATCAAAACCTTCATTTTCCAAAAGCAATAATCGTTGAAATAATTCAGATTGAATTGACTCAAAAATACAGATAACTTTAGAAAAACAAAAATTATCATTTTTATATCCAATAAATTGAATAATTGTTGAAATAGAATTTAAATAAAATTTTGTATTTAAAAATATTCCACTAAAAATCCTTTTAAATTCATTTTCAGTAATTTGACAAAATAAGAGAGGATTAATTTTGTTAAGAAATACAAGTTGAATAGATCGAATTTGTCGAAAAGTTAGTGATTTGGAAAGCTAAAAAAGGGTTAATAATTTAGACAAAAAAATTATAATTTAAACCTTATAAAATTCTTCTTCTAAATTTAAAAGCAAAGATCTCTCCCAATTTTCTTCTTTAATTCGAGAAAAATATTTTGAAAATTCTTTATCGTTAAGTTCAGTTTGTTCCATTAAAACATTCATTCAAAAAATTAACTAAAAATTATTTCGATTATTTAAAAATAAATTTGAAAAATTATAATTAATTTTATTTAAACAAAAGGTATACAAATCTATCTACCTAATACATATTTATTTATATACAATACAAAATACATACAACATAAATAATTTGAGTAAAATGTTTTGAACAAATACATATAGGAAATATTCCTCAACAAAAACAAGTATATATATATTATATTTATGGTGCAATTAACACCAACATATTAGAATCATTAAAACAAACGATATGGGCAAAAAACACAAGCAAATGCTTGAAAGGAATTATGTAAGTTTTATGTTTGTTGATTAGGTATTTTTGTTCTCATTATTTTGTTTTTGACCTCGCGTAGTTGGAATGTGCGTACGGAAGAGAAGTGGAGGAGGTGGAGGCGGCTGTCTTACTGGATGCTTCTCTGGAATACTACTTTTCTGTTGAGGTGGCCAACACTTTTGATTCTAAAAAGAACTTTTTTAATTTAAAAATTAAAAAACTCCTTACATTGTTATTCTTCATTTCCTTCTCATTTGGTTGTTTACAGTTGTTCGTTTCCATTTTGCTTTTCTTGTTGTTCAAGTCAAAAGATGCTGCTGTAGGTTCTAAAGTATCCTTTACAGGGCCTATTGCAGCCAAATTGTTGCCATTAATTGTGTCACTACTGTTCTTATCAAGATATGCGGTGATCCTTTGCTCGAACAATTTGCGTACATTTACCAAATGATGGTTATGGTCACTCTTTTCCCGTCCATGTTCACGTATTGCCACCTCACTTCCGAGTGGGCCAAAATGTTTTAATTTTGTAGAATTGTCGCCCCCATCGTAGACGCAACCACTACCAATAATGTCGTCATTAAAACCATATCGGCGAACAATATAACCAAGAGAAGAGCTGCTGAATTAAATAAATGTTATAATTTTGAAGAAAAATGTCAATCACTTACGCTTGTCGAATTGGAGCAACTTGATATGGGCGAGGAATGTCGTTGAATTCACGTCGTGGTGACAGCCATCGAACCTGTTTGGGCGTCTTGTTTACGCCACCCTCATTTGGAGAAATTGTCGTAACTTTTTTAGCTTTTTGCAATGGAAATGGACGTTGTAGAGTATCATCCAAATGAGAACAAGATTGCGGCGGTGCATCCTTCACTTCTTGTGCTGTCGGTACAGATTTATTTCTACTTTGATGTTCAATGAGGGCATCCGGACGCCATTGCTTGGACGCTTCTTTTGGAGTTTCAGCAACAAATGATGGCTTGCTGCAGTGATATGTAGTTTTAGAAACATGTTGGATATCTAAAAATTTCTCATTTTAATTAATAAAAAGAATATTTTATCACTTGATGGCTCGCCAATAAATTGTCTGGATGCTAATTGTTTGGTCTTCTTTTCTATTTCTTCTTTAACAATCATGATTTCCTCTTCACTCAAATGTTTTGGCACCCACGTGAACTGATAACCACAATCTGCTTCAGGGGATGTACGTTGTTCTGATGTAGAAATGCAAGAAGTTATAGAATATGAGCCTTCCTCTTTATTTTCATTCATTGGAATATAAGAGGAATTGTTGCTGGTATAATTGCAGAAGCGATTTTTTTGCTGCTTTAGAAGGCATTGTTGGGCTTTTGTTGCTGGTTGTTGACGCTGGATCGCCATTGAAGGTTCATCATTATTGTTGTGACTGGTTATTCGGGAGAAAATATATTCTTCATGTTGATGAGAATTAAGGTTGTCATTGTTGGTTGAATTTACATCAGCTAAAATTAAAAATTCACAAAAGTTCTCAAAAAATTTATTACCGAGAGAGGAAGTTGCAAGTGGAGGACCAATTTCTGTCAATGAGGTGTCAGATAGCTTTTTAGGACTCTCCGTTGGCATAGGCCCAGAGGCAGCTTCTTTGTCATCGACTGAGAGTTTAGAAGTATCTTCACTATTATTAGAGAACCAACGTTCCATTCGGTCTCCTTTTTGTTGTTTTTGTTCGTTATTCTTGCTGATGCTGTTAGCGAAACTGTCTTCTTTGGCGGCTGCAACATCGTTTACGACAGCAGTTTCGGAGTTTTCCTTCTTTTTTGGTTCATCGTCTTTCTTTTTCTTATTTTTCGCCTTCTTCTTGGCCCGCTTCTTCTTCTGCTTTTGTGAAATATTTGAGCACGCAGATTTTCGGGTAACATCCTGACTGACATCTTCATGATGCTCTTCAATAGGCGGAGGTGGTAATGAGCTTAAAATTTTTAGTTTATAAGTAACACTAATTTTAAGAAAATTTTAACACACCTCTCAACGATCTCGGCACTAAGAGGCGCTGGTTTTTCCGTTTGCTTGTTATTTGCATCCAATGCAGCCTTCGGAGTATTTTGTTTTGTCGTAATATTAGTGCCAGAAATCAAGACATCACAAGAAGCAGGAGTAGGAGGAATTAAAAGCGGATCAAAAGCGCACAAAATCACCGGGCACCACTCAGCTAAATTTAATTTTGAAATTCTTTATGAATGAAAATTTTGGAAAACTTACAAATAATCTTCTCTCCATCCATTCCGATAAAGCACATACCGAATTTGAAGCTGATTTCCAGAATACAATGATGTTCATCCTTCAATGAGAAATACTTAAGATAGAAAGTGTAAGAAAATTACCTGATTTGTATATTTAGACACTTTAGAGATGAGTGCATTTTTCTTTATCTCCATACTTATAGCAGAGCTTAACTGAAAGCTATAACCTTCTCTTTTTGTCGAAGCACCGCTCTTCTTCTTCTTTCCTTTATTCTTTTCCTTATCGTAGATTAACAGCAACTTGTCATTTACAGTAGAAACGAAGATTGTTCGCATGAACTGCGGTTTCTGCTTTCGATTAAAGCAACAACAACATGAAGGTTTCTGGAAGCCAACCATGAATGTTTCCTCTTTAGAGTTTGGATAGTGTTGAAGCACTTTGGACGGTAGTGGCAACTTTATCGGCTGAAATTTAAAAAAGAATAGATTATCAATTGCCTAAAGAAAGAATATTTACCTTAATCTTCTTGCAAAGTGGTATTGCCATCGGTGCCTCAAACTTCCCAAGTGGTGTTCCTGTACGAATCACGTACATTCCGCCTTATCTCAACGAAGCGATGAGTCCTCGACCAGATGGAAGTAGTATTGAAAGCTAGTATGTTGGAGAGAAGGTCTACTTTTATTTTACTTTTATACCACAATATCCACCCTATTCAGTAAAAAATTCAAATGTTGCACCATAACAACTTATATTAAATTGTGTCCTTGAACTGGCTTATCACTAATTTTGCCTACACTTTGCCTCGGGGCATTCGTGTCATTTTTATCGGCTGGCAGTAAATGTTTGGACTGGTGTAGTGTTTTGTTTTCCATCGAATTCATTTAGGCTGATATTGTTATTTTATTATCCGTTATGTAAATAAATTTATGTAATTAATATTTGTCTAACGTTTTATACACAAATCAGATAGAATTTGGATGATGATTCATTAAAACAAACAATAAAATAAAACTTCAAAATTCCAAATCCAGCATTTTCCAGTCAATTCTTTACATTTGGAACTTCAGTCAAGTGTCATTTTAACACTTTTTTCGGAAGTGTACAACAGGTTTGTTAATTTTCTGGCTAATTTCTATACTAGAATATAATTAGTGGCTTGGAAGTAAAGCAGACGTCTGTTCGGCAGATTGCCAAGAAATAACCACCACAAGTGCCAATCTCTTATTGTCCTGTGCCCATCCTACTGAGGAAAGCGTATACAGAAAAATGGATTCACAAAAGTTTGTTTTAATGTTCCACATTTGTAACATTTTCAAAATTTAGTATTCGAGAGAACAGTGGTCGTCCATTTTTAGTCAATGATACTGATGGTTATCATGACGTTATTTTGAATGAAAAAACTATAATTCGAGTTTTAAAACGCTACACGGACTTTTATGTGAGATTTTGTTAAATTTTTATTTTTAAATTCTCTTTATGTTAGCTAATTGGCTCAGGAGCACAAGGAGTTGTCATGTATGTTATTTAATTTTTCTTTGGTATTTCGATTTCTTTAGGTCAGCCCTCGATTTGGTTACCAATGAACGTGTGGTGCGTTGTTTATTCACAGTAAATTTAGTAAACTCGAAATTTAAAGGCGATAAAAAAGCTGACCCGGCCTTTTTCTAATCCAACGCATGCAAAACGAGGTTATTTAGGATTTATTACTATAGTTAAACCAATTTATTAAATATTAATAAATTAAGCTTACCGCGAATTCGAAATAATGAATCTGATGGATCATCCTAATGTCTATTTTTTAAAGTTTATTTTATCTTTTGTAAAATTAAGATTATTCGCTTGCTTAATGCTTTTACTCCACAAAATTCGTTGGAAGAGTTTGACGATTTATATTTGGTTATGGAACTTATGAATGCTAGTCTTTGTCAAGTAACTGCTATGGACCTCGATCACGAACGTCTCTCGTTTCTTCTTTATCAGGTATTTTTTGTTTGATTATTAATTTTTTTCCCTTTAAAGATGCTCTGTGGAGTAAATTATATGCATAAAGCGTCAATTGTTCATAGAGTAAGTTTTTTTTATTTTTTTTTCGAATAAATTATTTTATAATTTGTTAAAGGATTTAAAACCTAGTAATATTGTGGTCAATTATCAATGCCGATTAAAGATTCTTGATTTTGGTATAAAAAACTTTAAAAACGTCTAATAAAATATTTTTATAGGACTTGCGCGTAATGTCGAGGATGAAAATATTGTAAGTTTAATTTTTATTTAAAAAATCGAAACATAATTATATTTTTATATATTTTTCAGCTCAAAACTCCATATGTTTGTTTTATGTTACTTTATTTAAAATTTTGAATATTTAGGTTGTTACGCGTTATTATAGAGCACCAGAAGTTATTTTAGGTTAAATTATATTAAAAATAATTTAATTATTTTATTGTTTAGGAGTACCTTATAAGGAAAACGGTCAGAGGGATTTTTTTGTATAAATTCGTATAACTTTTTATTTTTTTTCAAGTTGATGTATGGGCTATTGGATGTATTTTTGCTGAATTGTTAACTAGAAAAGTGAGATTTATTTAAAAATAATTTCCATTTTAAAAAGGTATTTTTCCCTGGCACTGACTACATCGACCAGTGGACAAAAATTGTTGATGGTCTAGGAACACCTGACAGTGATTTTACTAAGCTGTTAACGGTTGTCATTTTTATTTTACTATCAGTTAGTAATTTGTAATTTTATATTCAGCCAGAAGTTCGAAATTATATTGGGAAACTTCCGTATGTTGGTAAATATTTACATATTTTTAAATTTGTCCTGGACCAAGGCCGTGGCTATCTTTTATTCCTAAAAGTTTTCAAGTTATCCTCAGCTACCTTTAAATAATTTTAAAACTTAGATCTCGCTTAATATAATTTTTTAGCAACTCGTGATTGGAAAGAAATATTTCCTGATAGTCTATTCCCAAAAAATATTAACGACCGATTAAATGGTAAATTTTTCAATATATTCCTGTTATCTGTGTGCACATTTTTAACTAAGCATTACAATCACAAAAATTTGTACAAATTGTAGTTTTGTACAAATTTGTTCAATTATAAATTATAATCTGTAGCAACAAAAACAGTTACGCTGATTTATTATTTGTACGAGTTTTTGCAATAATTATAATACTATCTAGTTAGTAATGTGTGTACAGAAACATGAAAGTAAAACATTTTTCCTTAAAATTAATTTTTATATTTTTAGCTGAAAATGCTCGGGATTTAATATCTAGGATGCTTGTATTAAATCCTTTTCAGAGGTTTAATATATTTTTTATAAGATATAATTTTTATATAAAAATATTAAGAATCACTGTATCCGATGCTTTGAAGTTTCCTTACGTCAGTCTGGTTTGTATTTTTTTAAACTTTAATTTGTTTTTGTTTTTAGTGGTATGATGAAAACGAAGGTTTATTAATTTGATCACAATAAATTTAATTATTTTAAGTTGATGGTCCGCCACCACCTCCATATATCGATCCTGACCAGTATATCTTTTTAATTTTACCTTTTTCTTATATAAATATTAAGTTCACCGGATCTTTCTTTGGAACAATGGAGAGAGTTGCTTTTCAAGCAGGTTACATGTATTTTTAATATTTAAAACTTGAGACTTTTTATAGATCAAAGATTATGAGAATACTCATGACATTTTTGGCATTCAAAGCAATCCAGTGCCCAATGAAATGAGTGAAGATGAAAATTCATGATAAACAATGAGATGAAAATATAAAAGAATTTAGGGGGTCGAGAGAAATTATGCAATCCATTCCATTTATTACCTGGTGTCTGCTCTGATTCAAACCCATTTAGCCACATTTAATTATCTATCCATCAAATTTTTAGTTTTCTGGAAATTTTGTTAAAGGTTTTTTTGAAATTTTTATTTCCATTATGTAGCTTTTCAAAAAGAGTTAACCACACGAGCTCCTATTCTTTAAACAATTCGGTATTTGTAACAAACTGACCTGCTCTGACCTAACCTTTTTTGCTTTTGTGGTTAGTTAAAAATCTGAATATTCCTCTTTTTTCGCATACCTACTCCGAGATTTTTCTAATTCCCTGCTTTATTTAAGTAATTCGCAAAAATTAAAATAAATGTAAACTAATCTAATATAGACGTCCAAGATCGAAGATTTTATGATTCGTGACTCAAGATTACACACCTGATTTTACGGGAGAAAATCCCTTCTTTTCGTGGCTTTAGAAAAGTCTCACTTATGATACAAAAGAATCTTGGACGTTTCTATCGTTTAACATTTTATTATAAATTTTGAAATCTCTTTGCTTTTAATAACTTTTATAAAGTTTTAGACTTTTCATTAATATTTTTTATAAAAGATTTTAATTTTTTAAGTGTTTATTTTTACAAAAAAGTATGAAAATAAAGGTTATTTCAAGGAATCCAGACGATTATCAACGTGAAACGAAGAAGGATATTTTTAAGGGTTAGTTCTAAAGTGTTTTAAATTAAAAGTCTCCTGTATCTAAAAACTGAAGCTTTCTCTTTATTCACCTCTTTGGGGAAGTATTTTAAGGGAATTCTTATAAATTACCGGGCTACGTAACAAAATCTAAAATTGTTAAAATTATTTCAGCATCACGCAGTTATATAGTAAATCAAGACCCATTTCGTCATCAAGTGGAATATACACGTGCATTGAATGCGTTTGTTTAGAACTTATTTTCAAATTTTAAAATATTTAAAGAGCTAAATTGGAGAGAGTATTTGCCAAACCATTTTTGGCCTCCTTCGATGGACATAATGAAACAGTTAATTTATTGGAAAAACATCCTCTTCGTCTTTCAACTGTTCTTTCGGGCGCTCGGGATGGTCAAGTAAAAGTTTGGCATTTGGTGACCAAAAAATGTGTTCAAACAGTCCAGGCCCATAGTGGCCCTGTAAATGGTTAGTTTTTTATAAGATAATTTTTGGTTTATTTGTAGGTATTTCAATTGATGGACAAATTGGAGATAATTTTATAACTGTTGGTCAAGATTCTCAACTAAAAATTTGGGCACTTCCATTAGAGGGTAGTGGAGTGCCCTTTTCAGAAGAGCCTTGTCATTCAATTCCTCTTAATTATGTTCCTCATTCTGTTTCTCATATTGGAAATTCGTCAAATTTTGCAACATGCGGAGATGGAATAAGTATTTGGAAATTATTTAGGTAATTATTTGACACTTGTAAAGGCCCCGCAATTTTTATGGCTTTTGTGTGGGGTTTCTTCACCTTTTCCTCTTAATTTATATTTTTATTACTAGTTTATTTTGAATAAAATATTTTAAAGAGAATCTCCAATTCGTCATTATGATTTGGGTCCAAATACCGTTAATTTTCTGCGTTGCAATCCAATTGAAGATTCTATTATTGCTGGGTGTTCAAGTGATCGATCAATTTTTTTGTTAGATTCTCGGCAAAGAACTCCTCTTACAAAAGTTGTGCTCAAATTAAGAAGTAATTCACTTGCTTGGCACCCATTAGAGTCTTTTACTTTTACTGTGGCAAATGAAGATTATAAGTATTTTTTATTTAAATTATTTTAATTTATTGTTTTTAGTTTATATACTTTTGATATGCGTCATCTAGAAAAGGCTAGAATTGTACATGAAGGGCATACTTCTGCGGTAATGGATGTTGATTATTCTCCTTCTGGACAGGAATTTGTTAGTGCCTCATATGATAGATCTATACGAATTTTCCCAGCAGAGCAGTGGAGAAGCAGGTAAAGAATTTTTAAAAAATTAAATTCTTCAAAATAATTAAAAAAATAATTTTTAGAGAAGTTTATCACACCCCTCGAATGCAATATGTTTTGTCTGTGCTCTGGTCTTTAGACAATAAATATGTTCTTTCTGGAAGTGATGATATGAATATTAGACTTTGGAAAGCAAATGCTGCAGAAAAACTTGGACCGGTTTATTTAAAACAAAAAAATAAAAAAAAATTAATTTTAGTTGGTTCCACGTGAAAAAGCGGCATTAGAATATAACCAAAGATTACGTGAAACATACCAAAACCACCCAGAAGTTCGTCGAATTGTTAAACATAGACATGTTCCAAAGGCTATTTATAGGTTTTGTTTTTGTTATAAATATTTTTTCAATTTATTTTTAAAGTGCTGCAAGAGAACATCGTATAATTCATGAATCGAAGAGACGAAAGGATAAGAATAGGCGTATGAATTCAAAAATGGCAGCGAGTGAGCCTCAGTTGCCGGAAACTGTTAAGACAGTTGTTAAAACTGGACTAGATTAAATTTTTTGATTTTTCTTAATTTTGTTTTGTTTGGATATTTTTGTTTTTAATAAAATTTATGAATTAATTTAAATTTTAAATTAAAAATTTAATCAAAAATTCCCTTTAACGAATCGATTGTTATTTGCTTGTTGGAATGTGTTCAGTATTTTTTATCCTTTCGCTGTTATCCTCGTTGATAATGTAAACAACTAAAATTATTTTTGCAAACAAAGTTGAATAATAAACCAGTTATTGGGCTTTTGAAAAATTAAAATAGTTCTTTCAACATTTTAGAGGTGAATAATTTGAGGAATTAAAAAATATATTTTTCATATTTGTAGGGATACCAAGATGTTGATTTAGTAAATTAAATATTCCTTTATTTTTTTAGTGATGAGGATTATTTTATGTTTGGCATTTAAAATTTATTGCGCATAGCTACACTACACATTTTCTAATATTTTTTTCAATTTATTCCCTCTTTCGCTTAATTAGAAAAAAAATAAAGGAGAAGATAACAAGTAATGTAAATAACTTGCTATTAAAGCTTTTGCATGCTTTTCCCTTCAATGTGATTGATCACAAATGGAATTTATTATATCGCCGAATCCTTGATCGATTCTCCGTTATTTATAAAATGATTCTCTCATTGAATGAATTTTTAAAAAATTCTTTAAATATTTTTTTTATTTTTAAAAATTTTTCTTCAATATAAATATTATCTAGTTAAATATAGTAGCGTTAATTTTGAAGCCGGCCAGAAATGTAAAACCGTCAAAAATGTGAACCGACAGGATCAAGAATCGTGGAACCCTTCAAGATTTTTGTAATTAAGAGAGACATTACTGTTTCCCTCCCTCCTCTCTTATAAGTGAGTGAAAGAAATCTTTAGTGTTCTGGTTGAGGGAGATAAAGGAGAGTTCTCCTTTTTAGTTTTTAATTTCAATTTAAAAAAGTATTTCTTATTACTCCAGTCACAATTTGTTAATTATTTTGAGAGATTTTGGGATTGGATAAATTAATAGATTGTAGATAAATTAAATACTAATTAGTAAATATTTTTAAAAAATTCTACATATTTTTAAAAGGGTTCCAATGTTATTACAATTAAATATTTTTTTAATATTTATTTCAACAATTTTTGCTCAAGCAGATGTTAGTGACTTTGAGCAGCCTGGAGTGAATATTTTAAAATTAAATAAAAATTAGAATTAAAATCTTTAAAGGACTGTGGAACTGCTAAAACAGACTGGAAACCGTGTATTGATAGAAGAATTGCTGATATGGTTTTTGGTTCGTGCTGTGATCGTTTTGTCCCTCCAGAATGTCGGGGGATTTGTACTTATGAAAGTCATCCTATTGAAGCGAGAGTTTTGGTTATTTTTTAAAATTGTTTAAAAATAAATAAATATTTAAAAAGTTAATGCATACAATCCAACCAAGTAGATGTAGATTATATAAATATTTACCTGCTATTGTCCATTGTGCAGCACAAACACATGACAATACAGTTATTATTTTATAATAATTTTTTTTAAATAATTATTTTTAAAAAAAAGGTTTGTTGTAAAGAAATGGGGTTACAAGAAACTGGACAAAGTTGTTTAGAACTTTGCCGCTCTCAGGTGTTTTAATTAAATTAAAAAAATATTTTCTTTTTTAAAGTCAAATCCAAGAGAATTATGGGGAACAAAATCACTTCGAAAAGATTTAGTTCAATGTTTATCTAAATGGGATCAAGTAATGTTTTGTCATCAATCAGGACTTAGAGCAAGAAAAATTAAAAATGCTGCTGCCGTTTTGGCGACATATTCAACAACATTACCAACAACAATAACTTCTAATAATATTCTTTCAATTAAAAGAGCTGTAAATAATGAAACTACTAATATTAAATAAAAGGGATAAAAAATAAATATATTTGAATAAGTTTCAACAATTTTTTTTGAATTTGTAATTTTTAGATAAAACAAAAATTTATTAAAAAATTTCTTTTGATTTTTAAATTAAAAAAAGAATTTAGAGCGTCAATATTAGAAAAATAATTATCATCTGTTACGAATATTTCAGTTTTAAAATAATTTTATTCAACAAATTGGGAATACAGTAAATATTGTGATAGAAAGGACTGCCCGTTTCCTCTACATTTTGGATAATTTGTAATCAAATATTTTCTTAAAAATAATATCCACTCCCCTTCTTTATATTTCAACAATTACAATTTATTAACACAAAATATACAAACAATATTATTAACAACAACAACAATACATATTTATTTATGAAGAGATTAACTATATATTTATTTATATATCCTATCACAACATTTATTTATTTCCTTTTATTTTTTTATTATTTTCTCTTCTCTTTATTTATACAGGAGCATATAGAGGATCATCTTCTGGCTTTGTTAAGTCGGCCTGATCTTGAATAGTTTCTGGGACTTCAACTCCATTTATGATTTTATTCTTTCCTTCTTCTTTTTCTTCCTCTTCTTCATCTTTATTATCGTCCTCCTTTTCCCCCTTTTTGTCCTCTCCCTTCTTTTCTTTTTTCGATTCCTTTTCTTTTGTACTCCTAAAAAAATTCAAAAGTTTGTTTAGAAAAAGACCAAAACAAACAATTCAGAATCATCAGCAATATTCGTCAGACCAGTTTCCCCCAAATCCTCTTTATTTTCATCAGCCTCCATTGCAACAGTTTTCAAAGCCATAAAGTTACTGGCTTTCTTTTCCACTTCCTTTCCTCCTCCTCCTACACCCGTTCCTTGACCATCTTCTACAACAACAGTTTTTTCGTCAACAACTTTAGCATCCTTTTCAGGTTCTTTAGGTTTAGTAAAGAAGCGGAAGAGTAGATAACCAAGAGCTGCCAATGAACTTAAAAATTAAAAAAATATTAAAATATTTAATTATCTACTACCCAACAAATATCAAAATCAACACAATCAAGAACGGATTTGTTAGACAATCCTTTATTGAAAGGGATTTTTTGATTGGTTTGGTAGTTCCAACAACTTTTGTTGTATTGCTAGGCGATGTTAGAAGAGCAGAAGTTGTTGAAGCTAGAGATTGACCTTCACTGCTAGAGAATGATGGAACCTTTAAATAAATAAAAATTATTTTTAAAAAATTCTTATTTTTTCTTTCTACCGAAATATTTGTTGTTGCATTCAAAGAAGGAATACTTGGCAGAATTTCTTCTTTCACACAATTATCAAGAGGTGCACTTTTCTTCTTTTTGTTGGGTGGTATAGTAATATTTTTGTTGACAAGCAAATGAAGTTCTGTTGCCTTAAAAAAACAAAAGAATTTTTTCTAAAAAAATATTCTTTTCTTCTTACATTTGTAGAGAATGTATCACTACATTTACCCCATTTCTTTATTCGAAGTTTTAACTCAAGCAAATCGTAAGAAGGAAGTCCCTTAATTGGTTTCCCGTCAATATTACATTCTGCTTTGAATTGAGTGGAGCAAAACGTCGGTTTTCCTATTGCAACAAAAGTACAGTTAACTTTCTAAAAAATTTATTTTAATTTTAATTTATTTTCTACTTAAAATCACCTCTTTTCCAAAACTGCATTTATGCCCAAACATTTCTCCAGTAATTGGAATACAAGAGTTAGCGTACCATTTATAAGCCTGTCCATCGACTTCCGATTTGATATCTGCATCAACAATTTTGGGTACTTTACCATCTCTATTAAATCCCTCAAGTCCCACAGCTTCGGAATCATATTTAGAGATGGTCACATTAAATTTGAGCGTCTTGTTCATGCTGTTTGGAGCAATTGCAAAGAAACTCCTAATAATTACAATTTTATTTATACAAAAAATTAAATTTCTCTTACCCATCTCCCAAATTCTTATGTGCAAATTGAACGTAGTTCTTATCCAATGTCTCATTTTGAAGACAGAGAAACTTGTTATCCAAATCTGCAAAGTCCAATTCAACAGGCTCAGGCGAGGATGGTTCAGGAGTTGAAGAAGGTAGTGACGATTTCGCACAAAGAAGAAGCAGAAGAATGTTGAATCCCAGAAGAAACTTCATTTTGTTGTTGTTGGGGTGATGGAAGGAAAGAAAATGAATCTAACAAACATTGGTTTTTATATTGTTTTGTAAGGTAACTACGTTGTTCTTTCTTGTTTTTCGTTCAAAAGTCGGTAAATTTTATTCGGAATTCGCATAATTATTCCTTAACCTGTTTTAAAATTAAGGGTTGTAGGTTTCACCAAATTTTTCGGTTAACCGAAACAGAACTGAGAAATCGACTAACTACAATCAATTAAAATGAACTAAAGAAGACAAGAACTACATATAGGCAATTTGACACTTTAAAAATTTTTGGGTTAAGTACAGAATACTCATTTAGAGTTTATGGCCAATTGTTCCTGATTCGTGCGTTAATTTTCTTTTCTAATATTTAAGAAAAATTTTTTTTATTAATATCCTTACATTTAAAATTTTGGTACTCTTGTATTATAGACTTGTAACTTTTTAATAGGCGATCAGATTTGATCCATGCAGTTGGAAAAAATTGAGCTTATCACGAGCTTTCGAATGATAAAAGAATTATCTGGATTGGATCAAGTATAAAGTTATAGTCGATCAAACTAGGAAAAAGGAAAGCGCGGGCAGTTAACACGAGAGAACCAAAATTTTATAAAATTTAATAAATTTGTACAAAATTTAATTAAATATAAATTATAATATAAATTATAATTTTGTTGTTTTAATTACTCTCCTTTTTCTCATTCTCCGTAATATATTTTCATTCTTCGAGTTTTGAGGTATTTCTTTGTCTTCTTCTTTATATTCCTCAAAATTTACTTGTTTTCCATTAAAAATAATTTGGACAAAAATAAAAAGTTTTTCTTTTAAAAAATATTTTTTAATTATTTTCCCTCAAAAATATTTAAATACCTACCATTTATTTTATTAGATATTCTCAAATATTTTTTAGATTTTAATAAAGGAGATCTTTCCCATAAAAATAAAAAATATAAAATTAAAGCAAATCCAAGTATACAAAGTCCAATAGCCGAAGTACTAAAATCTTTAAAAATAGTATTTCCAACCAAAAATAAAGCAATAATTAAAAAAATAAAAGGAAATAACTTTAAAAAAAGAATCTTTAAAATTTTAATTTTTTAATTAACCAAAGAATTTTTAATTGCTTCAGAATTAATTGGAGGTAACTTTTTTGGATTAAATAATTTAATTTTAATTAAAGCACATATTGTAAAAAGACGTTGAGCCCACACAACAAAAGAAACATAAGAAATTAATTTGTCTAGACTATTTAAAAAAGAAAAACAAATAGCCAAAATAACCTTTTAAATGATGTATATTTATTTTTAATTTAATTTTAAATTTACTTGAAAAAGTAAAGCAACTCTGGGGGAATCATGTAAATAATTAGTACAAAATAAAAATGTAGGTAATTGTCTTTTACTTGCAGCTGCCAACATATAACGACTTGCAACAAAAAGTGTTGAATTTAAAGAGCCAATAAGCATTACACAAACCAAAATTGGAATTAAAGGTTCGATAATACCCATTGAATGTTTGGCAAATATCTTTTATTTTTTAAAAATTAATTTTTAAAATTTCTTATAGAGGAATCCATCTTGGAAGTAAAGGAAAAAACAAAGAATTGGACTGATTGGTGGTTTTATTTTTGTTTGCCGATTTTACATAACAATTCTCATAATGTGCAAATTATTAAGACAATAATTTAACAAATAAATTTACAAATTAAATATTAAAACTCCCTAACAGTAGCAATAGCAGCAGAATCTTTAATTTCCTCAATTGGAATAACAACAAAAAAAGCCAAATTAACAGCCATATACAAAAATGCCACTAAAATAATCCCCACAGGCATTGCAAAAGACATTGTTTGTTTTAAATTGGAAACTTCTTCAGCCCCAAAATTTAAAATATCCCAACCATCATAACTAAATAATGATGCAAATAGGGCATTTACAATAAAAGAAGATTCCCAATTTGAATTAGCAAAAGGTTGTGAAAAATTTGTTTTAATATTTTCTTTAAAAAAATAAAAATGTAAGTAAAAATTAGAGAAAAATTTCTTTAAGAGTTGGGGATAATTTGGAGATTTTAAGAATTGAAGAGATAAAATTTGGAATAATTTTGAGAAATGATTGGAAGGAGTTTTTCGTACATTATAAATAACAATTACCCAGGGGTATTTATTAGAGTATACACGTTAGTTTGGATTAAATTTTTTTAAATCAAAATTTATTTTGAATATATAATACCTTTAAATATAAAAACATAGAATCCAATTCCAATAATTAAACAAACAGCTAAAAGTTTGGCTGAAGAACAAATAATTTGAAATCTGGCAGCATTAGTTCGTAAAGAGAAAAAATTAATAAAAAGTAAAAGCCAGCAAAGTCCATAACCAATAAATTTTTTTAAAAATAATTTTAAAAATTCTGAAGAACAAATTTTTATATTTAAACTTTGAAGAAAATATTCAGAAAAAGTTTCTGCTTGTATTGCTATTGTTAATGGTAATGTTAATATACAAGCACCCATCATAAACATAAAAGCTATTGCATTCCTTTTTTTGTTAAAAATATTGGAGGGGTTAATTTTAAAATTTTAAATTTATCGGCAAATTAATAAGACTTGGTTTAATTTTTATGTATACGTTTTTCTGTATTCTTTGTTTGATCTAAGATTTAGTTGAAATTTACCGCAGCAGCTTTTTTTAATTTTAAATAAAATTAAGAAAGAATCCATAATAATAGAAATCCATATATTTATATAATGAAAAAGATTATTTATTTATTTACCATCTAACATGTGTAAGATAAGCAAAATCTCCACCAGATTTCCGAATACTCGTTCCCAATTCAATATAACAATAAGCCCCAACAATAGCAAAAAAAGCAGAAAATAACCAAATAATTAAAGAAAGTCCAACAGAACCAGAATTCTTCAAAACAATTCCAGGAACAATAAAAATACCAGAACCAACAATATTCCCAACAATATACGAAACTGCCCCCCAACGGCCCATTTGGTTTTCTAATTTTGTCATTTTTTTAAAGTAAAAATAATTAAATTTTATTAATTATTAAAGAAATGTGGACTGATAAAAGGAAGATAATTTTACAAATTAAATTCCTTAATTTTAAGAACCAGTAATTTAATAGTTGTAATTTTTACATTAATTTATTTATAAGAAACAATAAAATAAAAAATAGATTTTCAATAAAAAAAATAGAATAATTTAGTACATATATTCATTTTTTTAAATTAAAATTCTGATTGAACAAATTAGGTATGTAAAGAAAATTACTCTAAAAATTAATTTTGAAATCAAAAATTTATTGAAATTAAAATTTTAAAGTTAAAGTAAAATATCACAGAAAATTAATCTTTTTAATTAATTTTAGTCAATTCATTTTTATTTAAACTTTTTCTTCTTCTTCTTTGTTTGTAATTTCCGTTGATTTTTTCTTCATCTTTTAAAGGATATATTTTAATATTTCCGGTTATTTTTATTTTATTCTCTTCTTCTTCAATAATTTTTGGATCATTATTTAATTCTTCATTAAATAATTCGATTTTTCCATTTAAAATAATTTGTACAAAAGAAGCTATTTTATCTAAAAGAAAAGAGAAAATATTTATTTAAAAGAAATACCATTAATTAAATAACAAAATTCTCTTTAAAAATAGGAAAACGATTCAATAAAGTATTTTCCCAAATAAAAACAAAATAAATTAAAAAAGCAATTGCCAAAACTAAAAGACCAAATTTTGCAACAGAAAATTCTTGAATTATTGTAATTCCAACCAAAGATAAACAAACACAGAGGAAAATTATTGGCATAAACTTTAATTAAAAAATAGAATAAAGATTTAAATAAAAATATAGGTAAATGAGGGATGGAGAGGGGGGAGCAGGCCACCGCCGAGCTATAACTTCGTTCAGAATTGTCGAATCCGGGACGCCCTGGTATGGTTCGATTCAGCTCGTCGAGGCGCATCGAACCATGCCAGGGTGTCCCGGGGTCGACAATTCTGAACGAAGTTATAGCTCGGCGGTAGGTTGGCCTCGCGGTAGGTTGGGGTGTACCCGAGGGGGGGGGGGGCTTTCCTTTACTTTTTTATTTATTGCTTTTTAAATAAAAAGGTTTTAAGGGAAAAAGTAAGAGAAAAATAAAAATCTCATTTTAAATCCCCTTTGCCGGGGAGAATTAAAGTTTTTTAAAATTTCTAATATTTAAATAAATTACAATAGGTGTTTTAATAGCATCTGGATGTAAAATAAAATTATTAAAATTAAATCTAATCCACAATAATGCACACATTGTAAACCCTCTTTGTAGCCATTGGGCAAACCCCAAATAATTAATTAATTGATTTGTGTCTCCAACAAAAGAAAATAAAATTGCCATTAAAACCTTTTTAATTAATTAATTTAAAAATAAATAAATATATATACAAACATGAGTAAAAATAGAAGCTCTGGGAGAATCATTTTCTGGATTGAGTAAAGCCAAAAATGATGGAATTTGTCTACTACGGGCTGCGGCAAATAAATATCTTTGAAAAATAATTTTTTAAATCTAACTTTAAAAATAATTCAGAATTGTTAGTTTTCTAATTTCAAATTAAAAATAATTTAAATTAAATTTATTTTAATTAAATTATTTTCATTACCTGCTAGCTGTAAATATAGTCCCATTCATTGCACCCATCATAACCTTTTTAGAAAAAAAATTTGAAATTTAATTAATTAAACAAAAAACAAACCAAAATAATAATAAAAGGCATTAAATGTTGAAATTGTCCAAGGGATTGTTGGGCAAAAACCTTTAAAAAATAACATAAATATTTAATAATATAAATACACTCCTCCACAAAATTATAGCCCCACCTATATTTTTCTCGGTTTTCATACTGTATCCATTGTTTTTATTTTCAGACTTTTTTGTAATAATAAATAGTGGTCTAAGATTAGGTTTATAAAAAATTTTGTTTTCAAATCAATTTTTTCGAAAGTTATAGCAAATCTCAAATTTTAGGGTTCCACAAAATTATAGCCCCACTTTGAAATTTCAAGTTTCTAACAATAGGAAAAATCCACAAAAATTTGAGCAAGCATATCTATTGATACTAAGAAAAAATAAAAAAGAATTAGACCAATATCTCATTTCAGTGTCGAGATCCAGATACCTCGAAAATCAACGTAATTCGGGGGTAAGGCTGTTTAAAAAATATTTTCGACCCCTTATCGTTTGTTTTAAAATTTCAATTTGGGCTCATTCAAAAGCCCTTGAAATTTGCTACAAGATAGGATAAGTTTTATTTTCGAGAAAAATTATCTCAGTAAGCCCCTTAATAATTATTTCAGTAAGCCCCATAATGCCCCATAAAATTAGCTCTGGAAGATTATCGTCCTGCATATCTCTATTGAATTTTTTCTGGGATATATGGGTATTACTATCTTGTAGCAAATTTCAAGGGCTTTCAAATGAGCCCAAATTGAAATTTTAAAACAAGCGATAAGGGGTCGAAAATATTTTTTAAACAGCCTTACCCCCGAATTACGTTGATTTTCGAGGTATCTGGATCTCGACACTGAAATGAGATATTGGTCTAATTCTTTTTTATTTTTTCTTAGTATCAATAGATATGCTTGCTCAAATTTTTGTGGATTTTTCCTATTGTTAGAAACTTGAAATTTCAAAGTGGGGCTATAATTTTGTGGAACCCTAAAATTTGAGATTTGCTATAACTTTCGAAAAAATTGATTTGAAAACAAAATTTTTTTATAAACCTAATCTTAGACCACTATTTATTATTACAAAAAAGTCCGAAAATAAAAACAACGGATACAGTATGAAAACCGAGAAAAATATAGGTGGGGCTATAATTTTGTGGAGGAGTGTATGTACTTGCCATTGCTACAGCAGTACTGTCCCTAACTGTGTCTGCATCAAGAACAACCAAAAAAGAAAGATTAATTCTTAAAAAAGGGAAAATTAAATTTATTTGAATTAATTTTTTAAATTAAAAAATTATTTTCTTTTAATTATTCCCCCCCCCTCCCCTAATCCCCTCTTTTCCTATCCACATTTCAATTATTTCTTCACTTTAAAGACAGACACAATGTAAATGCTAGTAACACAAAACATCCCAGAAAGTATTGCAAAAGGCATTGTTCTCTTTGGATTTTCAATTTCTTCGGCTCCAAAATTCAAAACATCCCAACCATCATAACTAAATAAACCAGCAAAAAATGCATTTACTAAAGACATAGCTTCCCATTTAGAATTTTGAAAAGGCGAAGAAAAATTTTGTAATTGACCTTAAAATTATTTTTTTAAAGTTTAGCTTGGATATTTTTGAAAGCTGAATAGAGGAGAGGGGTGTTATTAAAATAGGTAGTTAATATATAAATTTAATTGAAATATTCCAATTAACACTACTATCTATATTAAAGATTCCTTCCTTAAATAAATTTTAATTTTTATTTGTGTCCACATGAGAATAAACAAGAAATATTTCTTAAAATTATTTAAAAAATAATTTATTTTTAATTAAAATACCTTTACTAATTAATATATAAATAGCTGTACAAACAATTAAAGTTGTTGCTAAAAGTTTAGCAATAGTTCCAGCAATTTGAAAACGAGCACCAACTCGTCGAAGTGAATAAAAATTAATAAACATCATAAATAAAGCAAAAAGAGAAAAAATTAATTTTTTGAAAATAAACAACAAAATTGGATTATTTAAACAATTTTCGTTTAAACGAAAAGCTTGGACGGTGTATTCTGCTGTTGTTTCTGCTTGGATTGCTAACATTAATGGATATATTAAAACACAACCAATGCTCATAAACATAAAAGCTATCGCATTCCTTGGAAAAAAACAAATAATTAATATCCTTCAATAACACCCTGGGTAATTATTGTTTAGACCTGCTGGAGAGGAGTAAGTAATCGGGGGGGGGGGGGGGGGGGGGGTAATTATACGAGGTTTGAAAGTTGAACGTGTTTTAGGGGCATTTGTTGGGGGGTAATTTTTCAATCCATCGCTGGATGGGTTAATTAATGGAGTGGGGTAATTATTTGAGGGAGGGCAATTAATTCAGGTTATACGGTAGTCACAAAAATTACTCTCAAAGGAAGCAGAAATTTTACTCAAATTTTAATTAAAATCCTCTAATCATTTATTTATTAATTTTTACCATCTAACATGTGTAAGATAAGCAAAATCTCCACCAGATCTTCTAATACTTGTCCCCAATTCACAATAACAATAAGCCCCCAAAGTAGCTACAGCTGCAGATATTAACCAAACAATTAAAAATAACCCAACAGATCCAGTATTTTGTAACATACTTCCAGGAACAATAAAAATACCAGAACCAACAATATTCCCAACAATATACGAAACTGCCCCCCAACGACCCATTTTGTTATCCGAATGGGGCATTCTCTTTTAGGAATTTAAATAAAAATGTTTTTTAAAAAATTAAAATCTGAAATTAAATTAACGAGAATAAATAAATAAAAAAACTTTTGATTTTAAATTATTTTTAATTTATATTTGCTTTCAACTTTTTTGTTTGTTTTCTTTTCTTGTTAATTGAAAGATTTAACAAAGAAATTAATAAAAGAAATAAGAGAGATTTGAAAGGGTTTTTAACAAAGGATTAATTAAATAAATTGATTTTTTGTTTAAATATTTTTAATTAATAAAATTAGAGTAATGTTTATTTAATTAATTAGTAATTTATTTAAAACAAAAAATAAATTTTAATAAAATATGGCATTATTTATTGATAGACTTAAATAAATTTTTAATTTTTATTTATTTATTGTTTGTCAAACAATTTGTAAATATTCTCATTCTCGATATTCTTTATCATTAAAAATATTTTTTGAGAGAAATGAACGGGAAAAGAATTGATTTTTTAAATAAAAAATAAATAAATATTTAAATAACTTCCCCGTTACTATTAACAACAAAAATTGATCTCATGAACCTAAATAAATACTTAAATAAAATATAAATAATATAACTCATGTGTTATTTATTTAATAATTCACATTTATTTTTAACATTTAATTCTAATTATTATTTTTGCAAAAGAAAAATTAAAAATAATATTAATTATGTAAGGGATTGACATAAAATAAAAAATAAAAAGAATAATTGTTTAGATATGTATATTTATATTTCTACAAAAATTATTTTATTAAAACTTTTCTGCAATAAAATAATAAAAAAATATATACAATAAAAAGTGAAAAATAAAAAAAATATTATTAACAGGGACGGATATTTAAAAATAATGTAAAAATTATTTTTTAGAATTTTTTAAATAAAAAAATAATTTAAGGCAATATAAATCTTCTAGTATATTATTTTAATCACAATAATAATTGTTAATTTAATTCAATAATATCCTCCATTTGATAATTGCTTAAATAAATTAAAATTAATTTATTTTAAACCCGGATATATTTATAAAAATGTCTGATGATTATTTTTTAAAGAAATTTTAAGTATTTCCGTTATTTAGCGAATAAAATATTTTTTAATCTTTCTTATCAGTTGGCAAATAAGTAAGTACATAGTTAAATATTTAAATTTAAAGTTTAAATTAAAATGTTTTTGTCTAAAAAAAAGGAGGGGACACTCTTATTTAATTGCTTAATTAATTAAAGAGTTGTGAGGAAAAATTAATTTAAAAATAATCAGACATTGAAATACATAATATTTTTTTAATTTTAAATATTTATTACCCCTTCCTTTTGTTTTCTTAAAATATTATTTTCATTATTAGAACACCCAACAATTCTAGTTGATTGTCTTCTACATATACCTCCACCACCACTGCTATTACTAGCTAAAGCTTTTTCTGTTTGTTGTTGTTCTCCAATTATTTTAACATAAACAGGCCTATACAAAACAATTTCTTCTATATTTAAATTATTGTTATTTTCATTTTCTTGTATTCGACCATCCCAAACTTGACCGAGACGAAATTCTGGAGAAATATATTTTCCCGTTTCTACATGTCCACCACAAAAATCTTAATTTTAAATTTAAATTAAAGTGCTAAATTGACAATTTTTGATTCCCCAACCCTCCTACATTGTTCTCCAAATATTTTTCGGAAATTAAAAAATAAATATAATAAAAACCCCCAAAAAATAATTTGAAGAAAGAAGAATTTTTTAAATTTATTTTTAGAAAAAATTAAAAAAATTTTCTCTCAACTTTACCATAAACAACACTATAAAATTGTGAATGAATTTCTCTAAAAGGTACAGTTGCAATTGTTAAAGGAAAATCCATTTCTAGACAAGACTCTGAAGAAGAAATTGAGGGAGGAGTAGAAGAAGAAGGGGGAAGAGGAATATTATTATTATTAGATGTTGAAGTTTCTTTATTTTTTTGATTTTTAATATAAGGACATTGATTAACATTTATTTTTAAAATATAATAAAGTTGAATTAAACGACAAAATCCAATCTTTTTAAAATTAAAATTTATTTTTAAAGATTATTTTAAAGAACCATTGTTGGGGGAAGTGTTGGTAATTGAAGTAAAGGATCAAAATTATTTGGGTCAATATTTAATTGGGAATGTTTTAATACAAATTGTGATCTAAAAATAATTTTTTAAAAATAATTATTTACAAATTTACCTCCATTCTAAAGCTGTTGATTGAACTTTAAAAAACAAAAAAATAAATTTATTTTTTAATTAAAAACAAACAACAAACTAGTTTTTATTTCAATAGGCAACCCTCCACCTTTATCTATTCTATATTCCAAATTCTTAAATTTAAAAAAAAGATTCTTTTTAAAAAAATATTTAAATTACTTGAATTAATTTAACACAAATTTGTGTTGGGCATTCTTGTCTATTTTCTAAATGTAAATTTAATTTAATTTGTTCTCCACAACAATAAGCACTTCTTTCAAGAATTACTCTTAAAGCAACAACCCCTCGACGACAACAAGGTTGGCAACGAATTTTGTGATCTTGCCCAGTCAATGGAGACTTTAAAAAACAAAATTATTTTTGTGTATTTAAACAAAAACTAACCTACCAAATATTTTTCCTCCAAACAGTCAATATGAGGTCCAATTAATGTAAAATATCTTTTTTTAACAAAAATTATTTTTTAAAAACTAAATTAATTATTTACTTAATTCCTTGTGGTGAACTTGCATAAGGCATATCAACAAGTACTTTAACATAATAACGAATTGTTCCTGCCTTTAGGAAATTAAAATATTTTTTAAAAATATTAATATATGTTAGTTATTTAAAGAGAACTTTAAAGTGTTTTAAATTTGACTCCAGAGATTTTTACAAAATTAAAGTTAAACATAACATTTTTATAATTAATTAATTTTTTTACTTTAGTTTCTAAAGAACAAGGTAATTGTGTTGGAGGAAGATTGAAATTAAAAGCTAATTCATGAAGTCCTTTAGGTAATATCTGTGTTTGTTGTTGTTGAATTAAATCACTTTCTATACTTGTAGTTTCATCTAATTCATCAAATGTTTGTTGCTGTTGTTGCCTTTCTCTTCCCCAAAGTAAAGCTTTATCATCAAGTAAATATTGGTCATCTTTTAATGTTTTTGATTCACCAGATTTTAAAACTTTCCATTGAACTCTGGCCCTGCCTCGAAGAAAAACACGAATTCCTATTAAATTAAATGTAACATTAGCCTCTTTTAGCTACTAAATAACAAATAAATATTGTTATTTGAAGTTATGCAGCTCAGATCTTTCGGTCTTGCGCACATTCAGAACGCCGGTTGGGGTATCGAGTCTCGAGTCAAGGGCTTACATTGATATTAAAAAAATATACTATTTCCCGTATTAAATCCATTTTTATAACTCCCAAGAACATAAAAATTTGGATTACAACAATTATGTATCTCTCTCCTTCAATGATAGATTTAAATATTAAATACCCCATTAATTATTAAAGAAAATATCATTAAAAATTCCAGATTTTAAAACTTTCCATTGAACTCTTCTAGAATTTGAAAAATATTAGAGTTTCCCCAAATCAACTACTATTCAAATTTCAATTTCAAATTACTACTTGAAGAAACACAATTTTTTAGGGCAAATTGTTTGTTGAGACAAAATATTTGTATTATTTACTTTAAATTAAAAACCTCTTAATTTAATTGGCTCCATTAAGTAATAATAACAACACCATTTAAAGGCTCTCCTGGATAATAAACATCCTTTTCTAGACGAATATCAAAAGAATTAATAGAATCCATTTAATTAAAAAAATGTATTTTTTCTGAAATATGAGCCCAATTTAATTTTTAAAATTAAATTTAAATATTTTCTTTTTATTATTTTAGCTAAATAATTTTAAATGATCCAAAAGAAAACACAAATTTTAATAGTAGAAGGTTATACTTATATGTAAATTAATATATAATTTAAAAATAATTATGGAATTCAAAATTAATGTTTAAATAACTTTATTAAAAAATATTTGGAAATAAAATATTTAACTAAAAAAAATAATTTTTTTAAAAAATCCTTTTAAATAAAAAATAGAATGTTTAATATTCTTTTTACATTTCCTTTTTATTTTTTAAAAGCTGGCATAAAAAAGAATAAATGTGGGGGTCACAAAAATTGAGTGGAAGAAACAGAAAGGCACAATAACAACAAAAAAAGCATTTTAAATGAAAAATATCCAGAAAAATGAAAGGAAAAAGAAAATAAAATAAAGAGAAAAAAACTTTTTTCTCCTTTTTTTTTCAAGGTAAAAAAACATTTTATGTAGTTGCTTTGTTGGGCTTTTTTATTTAATGATAGCACAAAAGTGTTTTTTAAATTTAAAAAATAATTAAAATTTAATAAATATACTTTACCTATTTTAATTTTTTATTAAAAAAATAAATTTTATTTCCCATTCCTAAATTATTTTAAATTTTGGATCACTAAAAATGTAAACAAAATTATTTAAATTTATTATTTAAATAAATTCCCTTAATTCTGCCCTAAAGTCAATTATATATTTTCAAAAAAAAGTTTAGAAAATATATTTTAAATTGCCTATAACTAAAAGTTTTTTTAAAAAAAGAATTTATTCTTGCGTGATTAAAATAATTTTTGTTTTATTTTTTAGTCTCATTTTGTCGGGAAATTTCCCCGAATGTTTTTAAAGAAAATCTCAGTCAGTCAAAATTTTCTTTGGCATTTTTTCTTTTAAAAACTGTTGGAGTTTTACTTTTATATTTTTAATTTTCATTCATTTTCCAGTCCAAAACAGCTTTTTATTATTTTAGAAATAACCGGCTGGAAGGAAATGAAATGAAAGGGAAAGGGGAGGGGAGGGGAGGGGAAAAGTAAGTGAGTGAGGGTGGGGGAAATTTAAAAAATTAATGTTTTTTGTGTGTGAGGGTGGAGGTAGAAGGGGAGAGGGGAGAAAGGCCATCAACCTTTTTATTTTCTTCCAACATTTATACAATTCTAAATACTCGTTAGTCCTCTCACTATATTCCTCTCTTGGGAGGAAAAAAAAGAAAAAAAAGGTGTAGAAACTTTTTTTTAAAAAAAAGTCACAAAAAATTGTTAGAATAAAAGCAATATGGAAATTGAACGTAACATTTTATGAAATAAAGGGAAAATATGTGGAAATGAAATCATAAAATATATTTTAAAAAATACATTTTTAAGGGAGTTTTTTATGAATTTTTAAAATAAATTAATTAATTAGACTTTTATTTAACTCAATAAAACTAATCTTGGGTTATCTCTCCCTTCATTTATTTTTCTTCTCCTTTCTTTTTCAGTTCTTCAAAAAAAGTACACAAGGGGTTAAGGGAATCCTTTTAAATTAGACCCCTTTTGGTAATTTTACTAATTAATTTTAATTAAATTTATTTTTTTTTATTTTTAATAATTTATTTCCAAAAAATAAATTTTTGTCTTTCTTAATGATTTTATATATACCTAAAAAAGGCTAAAAAGTTTATCTTGAAATTAAAGAGAAAAAAGGTTTATCTCTACTAAATACTTTTCACTTTTGTGCAAAGAAAAAAGAAAGAAAAGAAAAAACCGGCTACAAATTTGAAATGAATTAAATTTTTGTTTTTATTCGGATAAAATTACTTTGTGTGTGAAAATGTATTAATAAAAATAGTTTTAAAATTAAAAATGAAATGACGGCGTGGGTAGAAAGAAGCAGTAAAAGTTGCGAAAGAAAAAAGAAAAAAAATTTTTGGAAGAAAATTTGAAGGGCAAAAATTAAAAATATTTAAATTGATTGTAATCTTTCCGAAATTTTTTTATAAAATCAGGTTTTGTATTGTGGTTGTTAAAATAATCCAAATATAAAGGAAATTGGATTTTTAGTTAAATAATTCATTTAAATATTTCTTTAAAAATATTTTTTTTATTAAAAAAATGGAAAATATTTTAATATTTTTGGGCTGCTCCTCCTTAGAAAATCAAGAAGAGAATATTATTGATGAAGATATAAAAATGAAACGAGAAATCAAGTAAAAAATATTTTTCTTAAATTTATTTCGAATTATTTTTAAAAGAAATGCCAGGCAATTGGCAATGTTTTCAATTTGTTGTTGTTGTTGTTCTATTGTATTAGCTCTTGTTACTTTGCCTGCACTTCTTTCATCAGTTAGAACGTTGCATTCTGACATTCAAATTGAATCAGATTTTTGTAGAATACGTTTAAGAAATTTTTGGACAGAAATGGAAAATGAGGAAAATAATGAAGAAATTCAAATTCGGCAAAAAAGAGTAAAATTAAACGATCTTGTTTATTTTTAAAATAATTTTAAAGGCTTGGCTTTTTGGCCGTTGGGTGCCGGATAGTTCTGTTGTACATGCAGCAAAAACTTTTACAGGTTCTGAACAAAAAGGTCCCTCATCTGCATCTTATGGTGGATATGGGGCATCTTCACCTGTTTCACAGCCAGATGAAATTAATGACAAAAAAGTAAATCATTATTTTAAAATCAAAAATATATTTTGGGAATTTCTTTTAGCAATCTCCAGAATTTGATTCTTCTGCCTCGGCTTATGGAGGAGCTGAAACTTTGGTATTAGGTTCAGATCCCTCTCCACCTTCAATTAAACCTCAATCTTCTCCTATAATGAGACATGAAGCAACAACAATAGAAATATGTTGTTGTTGTCAAGGTGCACCAGGCGAACAGGGAGATGCTGGAGAAGATGGTTAGAATATTGATATTTAATTATTTTCAACTAAAAAATTCTAAAGGTGAAAATGGACAAGATGGGGCTCCAGGTGCTACTGGAGAAGCAGGAAGAGATGGAACTGTAATTTTCTAAAAATTATTAATATTAATAGCCACATGCAATTTAGATTCTTTCCTCTGATGGCGCACTTAAAGAACCATGTATTATTTGCCCTGTAGGACCTGGAGGACCAATGGGACTGCAAGGACCTAGGGGACCTCCTGGACCTAGAGGAGCGAATGGGAACAGTGGAATTGACGGTATTATATATTTTTAGATGACGAAAATTATTCAAATTTGCAGGAAAACGTGGAGAACCGGGAATGGAAGGATCACCTGGGCCTGTCGGCAATATTGGTGCTGTAGGACCACAAGGTAATTATCAATTTTTGAAAATTGATTATTAAAAATTATTTTTACTTGCAGGTCCTTCGGGCATTCCGGGTCGTCAATTCCACGCCGATGGACCTCGAGGCCCGCCAGGAAAAACTGGTCCCAAGGGACCAAAAGGTATTACTGGATGCCAAGGTCCGCCAGGAAATACTGTGCAAGGACCGAAAGGTCCACCTGGCGATCCAGGTCGACCTGGAAAGGATGGTCGAAAGGGAATACAAGGCCCTAATGGTGCGATTGGCGATAAAGGTATTTCTGGAGACTGCACACATTGTCCTATGCCGAGAACACCGCCTGGTTATTGAATGAAATAAAGAAATATTTGATATGCACATATATTGTTTAAATTCACAGTAAATACATATTAATTTGGATGTTCAATGTAATTTAAAAATGAATAAAAAATAAATTTAAATAATCCTTGGCCGTTCTTGGCCATAATCCGCCCAAGGATTGCAATTGCGTTGCTCTTGGAAAGTTTACAGAAATTAAATCCGCACTCTTTCTGTCAGTAAATTTCTGACAGCTGCAAAATCTTATGTCAGAAAAAATTAATAAATCATCACTATATTATGAACAGATTCCTAATATAAAAGCTTATACATATTATTTCCGCATAACAAGCTACTGTACACAATCTACAAGCCCTAATTGTTCAAACTCTACAAGCATTAACATCAATGGTGACGTCGGAAGCGCCAACGGATTTCCCTCCTCCTCCTCCCTACAATGTTGTCACGACAACTACTGCGGCTGCAAGGATCTCGAGAGGATGCCAGAATCCGCCCAAGGATTGTAATTGCGTTGCTTCTTCTGAGCTTCAAATGGCGCTGGAACGCTTCCGAGTCTACAAACGTGCATTAGTAAGTTTATTATGAAAGTCCGCATTGATACAATAGAAATTTCTTTTATCTCATTCCAAATTCAGGGTACGACGATCTTTGTTGGCTTCTACTACATAATCTATCTGGCTCTGATCGGGTACTTCTTCAAATGCCATCGAGACCATATCATAGCCTTGATCGTTGTTGGGAGCATGTGTTTGCTAGCCATTTGGGGTTGTCTGAAGCAGAATAGCGCGATGCTGTTTCCGATGTTCTTGATGCATGTAAGAAATAAATTGGCTTTGGTAATTAAGCAAATTTCTTTTTTCAAGATTGTCTCATTCATCACCTTCTTGACTGCCTTTGTGTTCACCGTGTTCTGCCTGTTCGATACCAATCATACCTATTGGGACAAAATAGTAGATCAGGCACCCCAGCTCCAGCAACTAGCAAATGCTTTGTACTCGTTAGGTCTCGGTAAGCGGCAGGCGATTTTTGTCCTCATGACATTCTGGCTGTTTTGCGCAATGGCCGCTAGTATGGTTGTCTCTACAATCTGGACACTGCTTGATGTAAATTTTAATTAGTAATTTATAGAGATTCATAATAAAAATTCCTTTCATTGTAGAAGATGCCTATGTACTGCTCCGAACTTCATAAGATCGCCCTCTCCATGTTCGGCAACAAAACGGACCTGAAGAACCCGACACTTGTGAAACACCTTCGGATGCATGTTCGAGCTCGGGCGTTGGGTAAGGCGCAAGCGACTACTGTCTAGATGAAAGAAGAAAATAGCTAATCCAAGTATAGTAGAGGTTCGAGTAGTAAAAATAGAAAATCCATTAAATGCACTCATTATGTAAGTTCAACAGAGACATTCCTCTCATAATGTAATTGCATGTAGGTATAAAATATAGTATTTTGTTCCGTTCCAAATGATTATAGTATTCGCTGTATAATGTAATATGTAGTCTATGTAATAATATGCATATGGAATAAATTGTACTAATAATGGTGTAATGTTCTTTTCTGTAGATAAATTTTGTCGAGTTAACAAGTTTTTAAATTTTTATGAATTGCCTAAAACTTGTCTAATTAGCTGAATTTTGTTAAAATTATACTGATAAGGAAATAGACATTTGAATTTCTGCGATTTGAATTTTTGACAACTTGGCATTTTGTTTATTTAATTTTTTAAAATTTTTTTAAATAAATTTTTAGATCTTCCCTTTTAAATTTTGTTTTGTTTTTTTTTGTTTTTAACTTTCCTACTATTTATTTCAACGTTTTTTGGTTTAGGGCTGTACTTGCAACAATTTCAATGACAACTCAAAAAACTGGCAATTTTTTCTCACAAATATTTTCGGAAATTCCTGACTTAGAAAAAGAAGAAAAATCTCGACAGGAAAGTAATTCTATAAAACGAGCAATTCGTCAGTTATTTATTCCTGACAGCAAAACAGCCGATCAACTTTTTGATGCCAGCCTACAAATTGCTGCTGGCCCTCATCTTCAATCAGTTAAAAATGAAGATGTACATATTTATCGTGGAGAAGAAAAATTGACTATTAAATTTCCACAGTAATTTGAAATATTTTGTATTTTCTTTTCTCTATTTAATAGGTCATTTGAAGAATGTAATTTTGATTTATCGATAATGGACAATATTAAAAAGAAGAATTACAAAACTCCAACACAAATTCAAGCAGCTATGATTCCTTTGATTCGTGATACAGATTGTGGGTTAACGAAATTTTTTTAACATTCTCCTCGTGACAGCTTTATTTTATTTCTTGTAAGAAAAATACTTTCATGTTAGAAAATTTAAATTTTTCTAAATATCGAAAAAATTTTCCTTGATCGATTAAAGCAATTACTATCTTTGATCGAAATCCTTAAGTATTTATCATTCTTCACTGCCGTTTGATAATAACATTAATTTTAATCAATTAAAGATGATATCCTCGGACATTCACAAACCGGTACTGGGAAAACTGCTGCATTTTTATTGCCTATAATTGATGAAATACATAAAGGGCATCAAAGTGGAGAAATAACTTTTAACTGTGATTCTCCCTATGTGTATGTATTTTTTATTAGAGTATATTTTCTTTAATTTTGTATTAAAATGTTAGAATTGTTCTTGCAACTACTCGTGAATTGGTTATGCAATTATTTGAGGATGCACTTGCTTTTGCATCTGGTTAGTTTTTCTCTCAACTAAATCATTTAACATTTTAAATTTTTAATAAAATTTTTATTTTTTCAAATATCAAATTAAAATCTTTTAAGGAACATCAGTTTCAGTTGCTTATGCAATTGGCGATATGCCGTCTGGATATTCAATAAGAACTCTCAAAAAAGGATGTGATGTATTTATTGCTACAATGGGCAAACTTTGTGATTATTTGGCCTATTCTGTTGTATGTTTTTAGTAAAAACAATTTCTAATAAATAATTTATTTAAGGTAACAACATATAAAATGAAATATTTTGTGCTTGATGAGGCCGATAGATTTCTTTCAAAGCAATGTGCTTTGGATGATCTTCGCAGATTGAATGATTTTGGTTATTTGGTATTCTTTTAAATTTTGTTTTATTAAATGATCCATTAGAATTCTCAATTTTAAATATTCAGAAATTTCTTATTATAATAAATATCGATTTTTAAGAAACAAAAACACCGAACAATCATGTTAAGTGCCACTTTTGATGTTGAAACTCTTAATGATGTTAAAGATGAATTTATGGCAGAAAATCATTGTTGGGTCCGTGCTGGTGCAGTTAATCAAGTTGTCAATACAATTACGCAAAAAATATTAAAAGTTTGTATTTAAATAATTTATGAAATTTGATTGTTTTAGGTTGCTCATTTTCATAAAAGACCGACACTTTTGAAGATTCTTTTGGAAAAGTCAACAAATTTAAATCAGCCATTTGAAGGTTTTAAATATTTTTTCCTCTATATTTTGCCCTTTTTTTAATTTAGAAACAATTTATAAAACTGAAAAAACAGTCATTTTCATTCATGGGCGTCGTGAATGTGACCGGTTAATTTATCTACAATTTATGTATTTAAAAAATTATTTTTAAGCCTGTCAATTGTTTTAGCATGTGAAGGATTTAGAGTAATTCCAGTAAATACGTAAGTGCTATAATTAAAAATGCTCATTTTAATAAAATGTCTTTTAAAGGCATAGAACATTGAAACAAAGAACTGAAGCAGTGGAAAAGTTTAAGAAAGGGGAATACGATATTCTTGTTTCAAATGACCTTCTAGCACGTGGAATGAATTTTCCGAACGTTTGTTTTAAAATTTTTTATGGTTTTTGTAGGATTTTTAAAACATCTTTTTTTATTATTCAGGTTGATCATGTTATAAATTATGATTTGCCTACACCAGAGAATCTTGTTCAATATATTCATGCTGTTGGAAGAACTGGCCGAGCGGGAAATGCTGGACTTGCTACTTCCTTTTTCGATCCGTTTGGGCCAGATAGTCTCTTAGCGAAAAGTCTTATTGTAGTAAGTAATTTTATAAACTGATATTTTTTATAAAATTAATTTTAGATTTTAGAACAGTCAATGCAAGTTGTTCCAGAATTTCTTCGAGATATTGTTAGACACCAACAGAGAATTGCTGAGCAGTGCGAGCAGTATCAACATTCTGATACTTACGAAGAAATTGGTTTGGAATGTGAGCCAACAACTAGTAAAGAAAGTTTACATTTAAATTATAATGATACTTGGTAGAATTTTAATTTATTTAAATCAACATTTGATGATTGTCTTTTGTATATTTATGACTAGCAAGATGATTGTTTTTCCCAGTAAGCATGTCACAAATTTTCAAAAAATGTTTATTTTTCATTGTTTCATTCAACATCTTCCTAAATTTATCAATTGTCCCCTCAATATAATTGACCTTTAAACTGCTCACATTACTTTTTGATTTCCGGTCTTTATATATTATGCATTTTAATTATAATAAACCATTTAATTTGAGTTAATTTTCTTTTTTTTTTGTTTTAAATCTTTTAATTATTTTATTCCTTTTTCTTTAATTTTAAAATATTTAAAATTAGTAGACAATATGGATTTTACTAAAGATACTTCGGAATGTTCTTCATCAGTTGGGAAATCTTTCAGCCAGGATTCTTTAAATGCTAGAATTCTTTTTAAGGCTTGCAGAGATGCTGAAAGTAAAAGTAAGTATTTCTTATTTTTATTATTTGGTCCTTTAATGATTGTCGTGCCTTAAGTAACGCAATTGGGAGGTACTTTATTAATATCCCGCCCCTCCGCTTCTATTTTAATTAAACTTAACTTCATTTTTAGGTTTGATTAGCATTACAGAAACTTCGTCTTCCAAGTCATTCGATAACCAAGTTGATGAACAAGAAATTCAAAAGCAACTTAAGTTTCTTAATGCTTATCTTGATTCATCCGATATTAACTTAATATGTCAACAGGATAAACGTCACTTTTCATTGCAAAATGGTTAGAAAAAATTTTTTGTTTTCCCGATTTAGTAATTATTTTCCTCACTTTACAATTTAGAAATTGTTTCCATTACTTCTGATAGAAAATTTGAAGCTCTCAAAACTCAAATCGTCGACACAGAATGTCAAATGAATACAAAGATGGAGAGAGGATATAATGAACTTCGTCGTTTGGTAATTTCAACCTTTCGAGAAACTTAATTTTTTATGAGGGATGTTGACTTTTTGTTCGGGAATGTATTTATTTTAAATATTCAAGGTGATGAAACGTATTGATGCCATTACGCTGAAGCAGTCAACTTTTATTTCTGAAATATCCAAAAGAATAGATATACTCGAGCAACAGACTAAAAAAATAGTCAAAGAAAACGAACAAGCGAGTCGTGAAAGTTCAACATGTTTTGAATGTAAATTTAAAAATATTTTTGAAAATTTAATTTCTATATAATAGTTAGAAATTTATTTTTTCCTTAATTTTCAGGCATTTTAGTTAAAATGAGCAGTTTTGAGAAAGAATTAAGTGATATTCGTTCAATTCTTGGTATTGAACATAAAATGAATTCTCTTTCTGTTGACATTGCTGACAAGAACAAATCTGATAATGAATCTGACAATGAGGATGATAAAGAGAATATTTAGTGATTTAATAAAATTATCAAAGATTAATTATTTTTAACATTTCCATATTTATTGTAATAAATGAAAATATAGAATTCTTTTCTGTTTGTTTTCAGTTTTTTTTTTTGAGTTTTTACTCTATACCAAATAATTAACAAAGTATTGTGGTGTGCATATAAAAACATTTAATTCTTTACATTTTTGTGTTTCAGAAAAGATGGGATTGAGTTCTACTACTGTTTTTTGTTTTCTTCAATTGTTCTTTATTTGTGTTACGACAGGTATTTGTTAATTGTTGTTATTTTTGTTAAATTTATTTAAAAATTAGATGGATATTCAATTGGGCATATCTTAAACGACACGATGGAGGAAGAGTCGAATATTACTTCAACCAAAAATGAGCAACCAATTATCATCACTTCTCAATCCTCCATTCCAGTTGAAGATTTGTCTACTTCTATTCCAATCAAAGTTTTTAAAGCTTTACTTTTGGATAACAATACTACAGCAACGAATAATTCTTCGACTAGTGAAAAAGAATCAGCAGAAGCGGAGAATTTTTTGAATGAAATTATTTCTGATGAAGAATCTACACAAACTATTTTATCTACAATGGCAAATATTTCTTCGGTCAATGAAACAAAGGAATCAACAAAAGTGGATGTTCTTTCAACATTACCAACAACAAAAACATTGTTAACCGAAACCCTTCCAATAATAAATACAACATTTTCCTCAATTGAATCGACAACTTCTCTACCTAAATCGTTATCTAATGAAAATTCTTTAACTTCTCCTCCTGTTCAAAATGAAATGACAAATTCGACTTCTTCAATGGATTTAATGGTATAATTTTTATATTTTAATTTGAATTAATTTTTATTTTTTTAAAGAATTTAACCAAAACTTTGTCTGTTAAAACTACAACAAAATTGAATTCATTAATTGAACCAACAGACATTACAGAAGAAAATACAATTACAACAACTATTTTTATTTCTCAAACATCACAAGAAAAATATTTTGAAAATGATACAATATCAACAACAGAGTTTTTGGTAGATAGTACTACTATAATTACTAGTACAATGGACACCGTTAATTCATTTGTTGATACGAAAAATGATTCTTCTTTAATTGTTTCTTCGACAGAAATGGTTTAAATTGTTAACTCTTTTAAAAAATTAAATTTTTAAAGGCACCACAATTCTCTTTAAATAACCAATCATTTTCTACGCCTTCGAATACTTCTGTTTCTTCTCTAACCTTCAATGATAGTACAACGGCATTAAATATCACTAGCAGTCCATTCAAAAAATCTTTGTCAATCACCGATTGCTTAACTGATGTTATTTTGATTATATTGGTTGTTTTGTTTGTTCTGTGAGTTTTTAATTTTCTAAGTTAATTTTAAAGTTTTTGTTTTAAGGTTTTTGATTATTTTGTTGGTTCTCTGCTGTCGTAAGCCTGCTGCCTCTGTTATTATTGTTGAAGAGGAAAAAACAATTATAATTAAAGAAAGTCGTTATACCAGCAACCCATCAGATATTGAAATGGGAGAGGAGAATCGTCCTAATAATTTTATGGCACAGAGGTCAACTTTTTTGACAACCAATGGAAGTGAAGATTATGATCCCACGGGGCTTACAAATATTTCTGAAGAATCTGAGACGTGAGAATATTTTTTAATTTTAAAAGAAATATTTTTTAGAAGTGATTCTGTTGGTAAGAAAAAAGAAGGAAAAAGTAAAAAAGAAGTTGATGAAGAGAATGATGATGATAATAATGAGGTTGAGCAACAAATTAAAAGTAAAGATGGTGTTGAAGTGCCAGAGACATTGCAGGAACAGCCAAGTCCAAGTTTGTATTCTTTTACCAAACCGGCAAATGTGGCAAAAGCAAATAAGCCTTCTTCCATATACGATTTGGAAAAATAAATAGAATATATTTTAATTGTGCTATTTAATATATTATTGTATTTGTTTATGTGTTGGTAATAAAAATGTTGTATTTACTTTAATAATTTTAGGCATTTGTAAAAATTCAATTAAAAGATTTCTTATTTTCATTAATATTTTTACTATAAAAAGCAAATTGTTTTGCTTCATTTATTTGTATAAACAAAACAAAAATGAAGATCCTTCAAAAAATTAATGCTGTTCATCTTCTGCTCCTCTGTGTCAATCTGTTGCTTCCACTTTTGTCTGATGGTTTAGAACCAAATATTGATAAATTGAAAGGCGAATTCGATTGTTTTTCTTCTGAAGTGTTGAACAATAAAGTAGTTAGCGATGAAGGAGTGTATTCAGATAAAGGGTAAATTTCTAAGAAAAATATCAACAAGAATTTTTTTACAGGGATGAGTTCTATGCAATCGGTCCAAACAACATGAATAAGAATATTGCATTCCAAATAAATATAAATAAATACCGTGAAGACTCAAACTCCCTTAAAAATGAAAAACAAGTTGATGCTAAATTCGAAAAAGAACGTGTTCTGCTAAAAGCTAGATCTTGTGAAAATAAAACTAAAAATATATTTTCTCATAATTGCTTTACAAGTAAAGAGGTAAATATTGCAAGATTTTTTATTATTTAATTTACTATTTAGGACATTACGTGCAACTTTCTTGATACAACGAAGCTAAAAACGGAATGTAACACTACATTTACAATGACTTGTGGAATTGATTACAAACAGATAGAAGGAAAACAATACGGTCTTCTTACGTTTAAAATTAAAAGAAAATACGACGGTACACCTCAATTGAGTCCGCACGATTGAGTCCCCACGATTGAGTCCGCACGATTGAGTCCCCACGATTGAGTCCCGGCACGATTGAGTCCCCACGATTGAGTCCGCACGATTGAGTCCCCGTTGTATATACCTCAATTGAGTCCCCGTGGATTTAACCTTAAAATTTCAAAAAAAATTCCAAATCCCACATGCGTGATTATTTCAAAAATGTTGCGGGATATTTTGTAAAATCCCACAATTAAAAATGTTATCAAGATTATCAAAAATCTTTATTCAATCTAATAAACACTAGTCACTAATTCTAAAACAAAATTTTCAAATAAATAAATATTCATGGATCCATATTATAGTTATGAGAAACACCTCTTAAAAAATCAATAATTGGGTGAATAGGATAAACAACTGGAAATTGATAATTGTGATCAAAATTTGGATTTGCGGCCTGATACGTTTGGACCGCATGAATTCTTCTATCGGCATCACGATACTTTCTTCGTTTAGGTGGAGGTTCCATTCCCTGTTGACACATGGCATAATCCGCGTCAATCAACTTCTGTTCTTTTCGTAATGTATCGATGAATCTCCATATATTTGGATGCGAACAACTGAATGCACGTTGGAGTCTATTAAAAAAATAAAAAAGACAATAAACCTATGTTGTCTTGGATCATTATTTTCAGTATAAACGCCAGAATCAGCTAGAAGAAACTGGTCGTAAAGTTCGTCTGTCCTTTGATAATTTTGGTACCGATCAGGAATTTCAAGTTTATTAATATTCTGCGGGACCGCAGGAAAAACAGCATTTTGTCTGCGTGCCCTTTGAACCAACTTAAACGATTTTTTTAAATACTGTTTATAAATTCAAATACCAAGTTTGTCGCTTTTTTTGTGGGAAGTTGTGCCAAAACCGGCGTTGGTATATTCTCCATTGCATTTGCTCTGATTGTGGCCGGAGGCTCCATTGTTTCAATTGCCCTTCTTTTAATCCCTGTCACAACAACTTGCTTTTGAACATTGGCAGGGTTGACGCTGCAAACGTGATAATTTAATTCACGCAAAACAGAGTTGTTGAGGTCGCTATGTAGGCGAGCCTTACATCTGACATCTTTTTTGTTGAAGGCCTCACATCTCCAAAACTTGATGTTTTCGTCTTTGTTCATTTTATGAAAAACAAATAAATATCCATCATGAACAAGTTTAGGCTTTCTACGTTTAGTTAAAATATCCGCCATCCTGTTTGAAATAATAGAAAATCAAATCAAATCCACGGGGACTCAATTGAGGTATATACAACGGGGACTCAATCGTGCGGACTCAATCGTGGGGACTCAATCGTGCCGGGACTCAATCGTGGGGACTCAATCGTGCGGACTCAATCGTGGGGACTCAATCGTGCGGACTCAATTGAACTGCTCCGAAAATACGAGGAACCATGCATTGTTCAATTTTCAACAAATGTGAGGAATTTAAATATTTTTTTAATTGTTTTTTGCTTTTTAAAGGCAAAAGGACTTTATTTTCTCATAAATAAGAATAATACAAAGAAGACCGAAACGCTTGATAAATGTATTGAAAAATTAGAATTAAAATTAACTACTACTTCAATTGCTTCTTCAACAAATATTTCTTTAACAACGGCAAGAGAATTAAAAATTTAAAAAAAAAATTTTTTTTAATTTAAGGAACAAAATGAAACAAATACAACAAATATCCAAACTTCTAAAAATATTTATACTTCATCGCCATCAATTCCATCATCAACAGTTATTGTCAGTAGTAAACCAACCAAAAAAGAACTTTCATTTTCTGACTGTTTAACAGATATTATTTTAATTATTTTGGTCGTTATATTAATTTTGTGAGTTTTATTTAAAAAATATTTTTTAAAAGGAAATTTTTTTGATTTTAGGTTATTGCCAATTATACTATTTCTAATCTTTTATAAGCCAAAACCTGTCAAAGTTGTTGGAAAAGAAGATGAAACAACAGTTGTGGTAGAAGATGGAATGACAGAAGGAAGTGTTGGAATGACAGGAAGTATTAAAACTAAACAAGAGAAAGAACATGGTAAATTTATGGCTGTAAAAACTATTGCAATGGAGTCTGATCAAGTTGATTCTGCTGAAGATTTAGGTCAAACAGGTCTTACAAATATTGCTGATAATTCGGATATGTTAGTTTTTGGATATGAAGTTAATTTTAATAATTTAATTTTTAGAAGTGAAAGGCAAGAAAGCGTTAAACATAATGAGGATGAAGACAAAAAAAGTGAAGCGAAAGGTGTGGGAACGGATACAGAGCAACATAATGAAGCACAAGGTAGAAGCAGAGATGGTGTTGAAGTGCCAGAAACTATTATCCACACACCAACGGAACATGGAGGGGTGGAACAAGGAGTGGAAGTTCCTCTATATGAAGAAATGTAATAAAAGGAATTTCCGTAGTTAAACTATAATAAATAAAATAGGTATAGAATTTAATAGGGTTAATTATTGTTCCTAATAGAATTTATATATTGTTGTAGATAATTTCTAGTTGTTTGTAAATAAATTGTAGGTTTATTATTTATCGTTCTAGAAATTATAAAATTTACATACAATCTAAACAAGATCACTCAAAATTAGTCACAGGTTAAGGTTAAAATCTTTAAATATTTTTGAATAAAGATAGAAAATTGGGGGTATTAAATAAAAACAAACAATTTTTTGTAAAAGCGAATTTTTGTGTAATATGTTAGCACTAAAATCTGGGAAGTTTTCATGAGCAATATAGTACAAAGATAAAAGTGAGAATAATTAAACAAAGAGTAATTAAATTAAAAACTGTCTTTAGTTGTCGTTGTTTTAAGGACCCCAAAAAATTTTAGAGCTTGGAACAATTTTGTGGAATGGATTTTTAGAAATTTTGTGATAAAAAAGATATTAAACAATAAAATTAAAAACATCTCGAGTTCCAAACTCTTTCCACAATTTGAGCAACAAAATTTACCATGAAAAAGTAATATACTTAGAACTGCCCATTTATTAAAAATCAGTGACTATACTATTTATAGACCTAATTGGAACATAGTATAAAGCTAATTGAAAATATCATTAAAAATTAAAGGGGCAGTTAATTAATATAATATTCAGTTAAAGAAAATAAAGAGATGTCCAGTCGCGGAATTTTTCAGTAAATTTTGACCGTTTAGAAATAAGTAGTATTGTAACTAATGTTTAGAGGTAAAGATTTGGTGGATCAGCATATTTACTAGAAGTTACGGTTAGTATAGGATGATGTAAATTCAGGGACATATCCAACCGCTGGACCTGCACGTGTTTCTCTTATAATTGGAATTGTTCTCTCTTGCGTTAAAGACTTTGTTGGCGATTTTAGATAGCTTTCTTTTAATGTTGGATCACTGTTGTCTTTATAAAATATCGAGTTTCCATTTGCATAAGAACGATCAACATTTTCGGCATACTCCTTTTTTTGGTATTTTTTTATAATATGCTCTGGAACATTTTGAGGAAACCAAGTTAACTTTCGTTGCAAATAAGGTTGTCGTTGGTAGAAAAGTAAATAAGAACGAGAAGAAATTTCAAGTTCATTTGATCCGGTAACAGATTCAGCAAGGGTCGAAACGCGAGAATCGTCAAATATTCGCCATTTCCCATCAACAGGATTTAGTGTAGCAGCAGTGTAATGCCCTAAATATTGAAATGAATTTTTGAATGATAAAAAATTGAACCAGAATTAGTCCTCTCTCCATAATGATAAATTACACCAGCCAAATCATAAATCATTGAATTCTTTTCAACATAATTAAATGTCTTATTTCCTCCTTTTTTATTCTAAAAATAATTTTAAAATTTATTTTAAATTTAAATTACCTTAGGTAAGGTACTTGACTTTGAATATTGACTATAAACATAAGGACTCATATCAAGTTTCTCAAGCGGTATTTTAACACGGCTATCAATCTTTTTTGTGACACTTTCAGATAACTTAAATTATAAAAAAATTTTAAAATATTTTTAACAATTAATGAGATTCTCATATTTTTTCTAAAAATGGTCTCGAAAAATAAATAGATTATAAAAACACAATAATTATAAAAACATTTATTTAATTACAAGCCCTATTTTTAATGTTAAAATTAAACAGATAAAATATTTTTAAAATTTAAGAATAACCAATTCAAAACGCTTGAGATGGAAAACAAGTACATCGGGCAATGAATGGAAACGAAGTTCCATGGATCCTGGCGATTTTGCACAATTTGGGCATGTCCAATCACGTATAGATTCTAAAAAATATTTTTAGTTAATTAAGGAAATAGATGGCAATTCTGTTAATTTTAAATAGGAAAATCTATAGTTGGATCAAATAAAAGTAAGCGTGATTGGGCGAATCTGATAAGGATAAATTTAAATACCACATCCGACGAATTGATCAAGCAAATTTGTTAGCGAAATTGTAGATTGTTTAGAATCATAATCAGAACTCTCCACCTTACGATAAAAAGAATAATCATTAAGGATGGGCTCAGGCACAACATAAGACAAAAATCGTTGTTTCAAAGACAAATCCCATTCAATAACTATTCGCAAAACTTTTTTAGGATTGTCAATGTCATTTAAAATTCTAAAAAAATAACTCAATTATTTATTTAATAAAAAAACAAAAACCTTTCCACAAAATCATTAAATAATGGTTTCTTCGTTTGAGGATGAAGAATTTGCAATGAATTATCACGACTCTGAACAAAAATATTATAGTCTTGCGGCAAAATAGAGAAATGACGAGGAAGAAGACGTTCACATTTTTGTAATAAAAAATTGCTAATAACAGCATAATTCCATTGTCGATTTAAAAGTGCCACGAAAGGATTTTCAAAACTAAAATTAAAATATTTAAACTTTTCCAGAATATTACCGTTCACAGTTTGGCAAGGTTCCCATAACAAAAACAACTATACAAACAATTGTATCATCATTTTTATGTGTTGGAAGAATTTTTGGAATTTCAAGAATATTGAGTTCCCCAAATTGACGGTTATCAAAACAAATTACAAAATCGTCATCAAGCAATTGAATTAAACCATTTGGCTCAACGCAACAGGATACCGTCTAAAATTGAACAAATTTATTATTAAAATAATTAAAATTACTTCATCTGATGAGCCATTCATACGTTCCATTATTTTATTTTTAAAATGCCTAACATTCAAAGACGCTTCCGGAACGGCGAAATAAAAACGAATGATCTCGCGAGTTGGGTGGAAGGAGAAAAGAAGTACAGAATAATGGTGAAGTCTTAAAAATTAGGACAAAAAATTTAAAGAAAGTATACTTAATGTTAAAAACAAACTTTTTTGCCAATGGAACACTTAACGAAATACAAAGATATGGCTCAAACGACAAATTGGTAAAACCACAACCCGGATTAGTACATTTCAGTGCAGTTCGGAATTGCCCCCTAAATAAAAAAATAAAATAAACAAGCTTATAAAATCATACCTAAACAAATCCATAACTGTAGATTCGTGAGAACCACTAATTTTCTCTAATGCATCACTGGCCAACTCTTCTTCAGATTTATATGTCTTCAAATTAAAGGTTTTTAATTAAGTAATTTAAAAACCCTAAGCTTTGAAGTTGATTTGTTAATATTTGTTTTCGTTCCGTGTCCTTTGGTTTCTTCATGAAGTTTATTCAACAACCAAATCAGACATTCATGTGAATCCTATAAAGATATGGTTTATTTAAAAAAAGAATATAACCTGCTGATGAGAAATAATAAACAGCGGATTCGCTTGTCCAATAAATCTAAGAGTTTTCAAGCAAAAAGAGTCAGCATTGGGATTGTTAAACCAAAGACAGCGAAGTGTGGAGACGAATGATTTATAGAGACCATCCTCATCCTTGTTGTAAAAAAAATAAATTTAAATTAAAAAAAACAACGAATTCTTAAGTGTATAAATAATTAAACAAATACCAACATCTCTAGTTGCAAGATCAGAAAATTCAGAATCATTACAAATAAGAAATTCAGCAAATCGCTCACAAGCTGCAAGGCTCTGGATGATGGCAGAGAAATAACAAGTATTCCCGTGATTTAAAAGACCTACATATGTAATTCAAAATAAATTAATAAAATCCGAAAAAAAACCTCTCAAGCACGGAATAATTGTTTTTGGGCTTCTATCACAAATTGTTGTTGGTGATCTTTCATCGGGAGTAATAGTAGGTCTTTTTTGAGCTAATTGTCTATCAAAAATAGCATTGGAAGTATCTGGTATAGGCACTGAAGTATGTTTATTAGGTGTAAATTTTGTAGTAGAAGGTAAAGGAGGACGTTTGGTAATATCAGTTTTTGATAAGGAAATGTCTCCCGTTCTTCTTTGCACGTCTTTTATTGATGAATCAATAGAATCAACAGTTGAGGGACGCGAATAATCAACATTATTAAAAGGTAAAACAGTAGAGGAACGTTTAACAATGGAATCTCTGGAAGAATTAAATGCTGAAGAGGATTGTTGTGGCCGATTCTCGTTGATAAATCCAATAGATGAGGATGATGAACGCCGATGGGTGGTTGGTGCAGCATAAGGAAGATGACCGTTGACCTAATAATTAAGAAAAATAAAAAAATATTTAAAGTGAAAATTACATTTTGTGTAGAAGAGAATCGAGTGTTTATAGGTGTAGCCGACAGATCCCTTCTGCCTCTGCTCCCTCCAATCAGGTGCCTCTTAAAGAAAGAACGTAATGATTTTAAGGCCGACTTGTGTTTTTTTGCCCCATCTCGCACCGTGGGAATTGAGCCTGTCCGCTGCGAACCATAGTCATTGTACCCTGTAAAAAAGAAAAATCAATGTTTTGTTTATCTACTTACACAAGTCACTTAAAGGTAAATTAATGTGTTTAAAAACTCGCCGTTTATTCGACAATAAAAAACGACAAATTAGTTAATATTAACCGCTTTTAGTTTTGAAATTTTACAAAAAAGTTTTGCTTACCGCCTTGAGCAAAACGACTGCTCCCATTAGCACCATAATTCTCGGCATTGTATGTTGAATTTTTCGCCAAATTATACAATGGAACCCCGGACGGGCGTCTCTTAATTAAAAGAATTTTATAAATTAAATAAAAAAACAAACCCTTTCAGCATCATAACGGTTTGAATAGTTGCCTGGAGCAGCAGAACTTGATGCTGTATTCCGTAATGATGGAGAGTATTGCCCAACATAAGTGGAGTATGAAGGATATGTTGAAGTTCCAGCGCCTTCCAAACCATCCGTAGGGAATTTTGAAGTGTATCTTTCATTATGATTAGTGGAGGAATTAATATTTTTTAAAAATTTGTCAACAGAATCTGTCCCATTTTGTCGAAGATATGGTCGATAGTTTCGACGTTCCATCGCATTTTGCGTGGCTGAAAAAAATTCTTTTTAATAGAGGGTACATACATATTTAAAGTTAAAATTTTTTGAATGAATCATCCAATAAAAAAAGAAAGTTTTGGCCAGTCAATAACTATTACACAAATTCCAATCGTTTTTAGCGCATGACAGACGGATTGTCTAACTTCAACTCAAAATTTGTTAATTTTAAAGTTAAGGACAATTTTAAGAGACACGCCCAAAAAGGCGCGCAGCGATAACGGCGCAAAGCCTTAACTTGCTTCAAGATCCCCGAATCCCATCAAATTTAGTATTAAACGATTCCTCTAATCGAGTTTAAGAGATATGAACCAAGATTGTCAAGGGCCAGAAATTTTTCAGCAAATTATGGCTTTGCGCCTTTAAGGCCGCGCGCCTTTTTGGGATGTACCCTTTTAAACAAAATGATAATGACTCATTTCGGTCAATTTTCAATTTGGACAGAATTGGAATTGTTATTTTAATAAATTTTCTTAAATTATTGATAAAAACAATGTTGCTCCCACAATTAATTTTACAAATATTGAATAGAGCAGAAAGTAGTAAACCTGTGAATAATATTTTGTTTTTACTTTACTGCAATTAAAAAATAAAACAGTTGTTTTATATTGATCAATTTTGATGGCTATTTTTACATCCATTTGCACACTAATATTTTTATAGGTATGGATTAAAAATCATTATATACGAAATTTCAACTATTTATTTATTTTTATAACCAACTGCCCTTAAATTAATTTAGAAAATTAATATTTTAATTAAATGGAATCTTCTTCCAATATTATTCAAGATTTTATAAATATTCCACAAAATAATAATTCAACAAATAATGAAGAGACAACAACAGATGTTCCAGATTCTGATACAATAAAAATGTTTGTTGGGCAAATACCTAAGGTTTTTTAATTATTTTAATTAAAAATAATTAAATTTTAGAGTTGGGATGAAAATAAATTAATTGAATTTTTTACTCAATATGGGCCGGTTTTTCAATTAAATATTTTGCGAGATAAGGGAAGTGAAGAAAGTAAAGGTAATGAACGATTTTTGGATTTTTTGTTTAATTTTAAGGTTGTTGTTTTGTTACTTTTTATCATCGGAAAGATGCCATAAATGCACAAAATGCGCTTCATAATGTTCATACAATGCCTGGACTTAGCCATCCTGTCCAAATGAAACCTGCTGATACTGAAAATAGAAATGGTTTTAAATTTATTTTAATTTTTTAAAAATAAATTTTTAAAAATATTTTTAGATCGAAAACTTTTTATTGGAATGTTAAGGTTTTCTTTTAAATATAAAATATTTACTAGGTATTTTTTTAGTAAATCAATGGATGAAAGTGATGTCCGTAAAATTTTTAATGAATTTGGACAAATAGAGGAATGCAATATTTTACGTGATCAAGGCAAAAGCAAAGGTTTTTTTAAAATTAATATCTGCTAGGAATACATTTGTCAATGCTTTATTTTTAAATAATTAAAGTATTTGGTTATTTAAATGGTTAAATTAGGTATTTTCGTTGGTGATGGGAATTTTTTATGTTTAACAAATTCTAAAAAAATATTACTTTTTCGTTACTAGAAAAACTAAAAATTCTAGTCAATCAAATACTCTATACATTTTTTTGTTTTTTTTAACTTTTTTTGTTCTGTTATGTGTTCATTATTTATTGTTGTTTTTGTCTTTGTTGTTACAGGTTGTGCTTTTTTGACTTTTGTCAGTCGTTCATGTGCACTTCAGGCTGTTCGTAAAATGAATCAATCACAGATTTTTGAGGTAAAATTTTGTCCATTTTTGTTTCTATATATTTTTGTTTTTTTGTCAATAAAAGGAAAGTTTTTTTAAACAAGTTAAAAAATATTTTTTATTTTTAGGGTTGCAATAAACCAGTTGTTGTTAAATTTGTTGATGGAGGAAAGGAAAAGAATGCAGGAACAAAGCGATTAGATGTAAATAGAGGAGAACCTAACAACAATTCTGGTGCTATGACACAATTGGTTTGTTTTTTTTAAATTTGGATTGAAGCCAAAACTGCAACCCTTTCAATCGGGATTGGAATTAATTCCAAATTTTCTGGTGATAATATTTGTGATGTTTGATTAAATCCTTTCAATTTCTTAATATTTCACAACAGCAAAACACTGTTGGACAGAAGTCCGGAATTGAAATATTAACAAATTTGGCATCAATACTCCAACAGCCAGGAGTTGCCTCTCTTTTAAATTCGGGTAATAAAAATATTAACATAAAAGTTAATTCCATATCTAGCAATCTCGCCTCAATTACCACAAAGAGAATTAAATGATGCAATTCATTATGGTGGATTTGGTTTTTATTTATTTTTAAAATTCTCTTTCAATATTTTTTTAAAGAAAAACCAGCAATTACTCCTGGAATCTTTCCAAATGTAAATCAAAAATCTGACACTCAATTAGCAACACTCCATCAAAATCAACGACTTTTAACACCTTTTCAACAACAATCTGCTACAAAATTTTGTATTCCTCCAGCTTTTCTCGCACAAAGTATTTTACAAAATTTTTATTTTTAATTCCTTGAAATCAAATTTTAGATCATCAAAATCTTTTAGCCCAAATCTGTAGTTTACAAATGACTGGGTTTTTTACAAATCCGATAACTGCACCAAATTTTCAACAAACACAAATACGTGAAATACAGCCAAATGCAGCAATGTCTCCGTCAGAAAAAAATTCGAGAGGTCCAGAAGGCTGTAATCTCTTTATATATCATTTACCACAGGAATTCTCAGATTCTGATTTGTTTGTTTTTTAATTATATAAAATTCATCATTTTCAATTTAGGTTTTCACTTTTTTGTAATTACGGTCCAATTTTATCAGCAAAAGTCTTCGTTGACAAACAAACTAATTTAAGCAAATGTTTTGGTTTTGTTAGTTTTAACAACGCAAACTCAGCACAAAATGCAATTATAGGTTTCCATAACTAAATGGATAAATTTAAACTAAATCGATTATTTAGGAATGAATGGCTTTCAAATTGGTAATAAGCGCCTCAAAGTCCAATTGAAAAGATCGGATATGAAACCTTACGAGAAGCCATCTAATTGAGGAATATTTCTTTTAAATAAATTCTTGCCCCACCTAATTTCGATTCTTGCCATTCTTAACTTTCCCCTAGAAATCTCTTGCCATAAACAATTAATCTATGTTGCCATAACGAAAACAAAATGCAATTCTATTATTTTTATGCCAGCTTGCCATTAAATAATTTTTTAATCAACAAAATAAAACTTTTTTAATTATAAATTAGCTATTGTTTATAAAAATAAGTTAGTTAGTGATTGCCTTATATATCTATTAGTCTTACAAAGTGATTAATGTGTCTTAAAATTGATTTCCGCTGTTGTTTGAATTGAATCTCAAAGTCCTTTATTATAATAAACAAAACCAGATGGCACTCCTCCCTTTTCCAAAATCTTCTTCTGCAAGTCTGGTTCCAATTTGTTAAACTATAAGGTTAAAAAAATTATTCCGCGCTAGTACTTTAAAACTTTTTACTTTCATTGGACTTTGTTGTGGGAAAATAGCACAACACAATGGTGTAGAAAATGTCAAAATAAATCCACAAATAAGTGTTTGAATAATTGGAGAAATCCAAGGCCGACTATTGAACCAACGTTTCTTCACTAATTGATTGACAATAAGTGGAGTGAGAACTTAACTTTTAGGAATTGGATTATAGTTTAATTTAAAAATACCCATATATGGAGTAGCCATAAGAACTCGACTAACAACTACTTGGGGGACTGCTCGATAAGCGGCATTCTTGCTGTAACCAAGAGAGTTGTTGTTCTCGTCAAATATTTCTAAACCTTCAACAAATTCCCTAAAAAGAATTTTTTTTTTATTTTTTAAAATTATTTTACTTTTGTCTCATCATTGGGCAATTAATCATATTTGCAATTGCTACAGCAACAAATGGAACAAGGCGACCATAAATTGGTGGCATTTTCTAAAGGATTGTAGAATTTTTTGTAAAAATTTCTAGACCTTTTAAAATTAAAAAAACCTTAGAAATTGCACTTAAACCCAACGCAGCAGTAAGTGCACCCCCAGTAGCACAGCAATATGCTTGCATCAATTGTTTAGTTCCAACTGAATCGCCTGATCGATTTGTATAATTAGCTACTGCATTAAATGTTTGGTTAATCCATTGCCAAAAAACAATTGCTGGCGTTGACCTACAAAAAGAAAAAATTTAAAGAAAAAATAAAATTTATACTAACCTATAAAAACTTAATAATCCTCCAGTAATAATCATATTGCACGGCATTTGGGCACTCATTCGTCCAAGGATAAACATTTTATCTCCAGTTGCTGGGTGATATGCAGAATCGTAAATATTTTTAGCTGACCAAAGTTCCTCAACAGTTAAATCAGAAGGAAAATCCCCCTTTCTATTAAAATAAATTAAAAATTATTTAAAAAAATCTTCACTAAACCTATAATTTAACACAATTTTTCGGCATTGTTCCAATTTTTGAGAGCTGACAAGAAGATTGAGTGGATTTACTATTGCAAAGAAATGTCGTGCTCTTCCTTCAAAAGTCGACTGGTCCCATCTTGGCTTTGTTATATTTGGTTTAAAGGGGAGATCTTTAACTAAAGTGTTGTCTTTCTGGTTATTCATACCCGTAATTAATATTTTTAAATAAATAATAGAATTTTAGAAGAAATTTGTATAAATAAAAAATATCACAAATATGTACACAGCGGCCCAAAACCGTTCCCGCCAAGAATTGCATTTTTTACGTACTATTTCTTTCTCTGCATCTCTATATTTTCTCTCGGGTTTACATGCACTTTTTTTCTTTTTCATTTACTGCGTTTTAGTACATATCTCGTTTTTTACTCTTTTTCATTTTCCGGTCTATTTTTCTCGCGTGCTATTTCGCTTGAATTTTTTTGTTTATGAGTGCCACCTTTAAAAGTCCATATCTCAGCTTAAAATTGTTAGTTTCAAAATCGCTCCCGCTATTCCGTGCAAAACTAATTAAAGAACATTTAAGCAAAAAATTAAAAAATTTTACCCATTTTTAAAAAAGTTGAAAGGGTTTTACTGAATATTTGGAAGTATTTTTCTGAATATTAAATTGTAATGATATCGCAACAAGTCAATATTGATATCACTCGACGCATCTCGACGAGATAAGTCGGATCATGCCAAATTTGACTTCATGGAACAAATTTAAGACTGAATTATGGCCAAAAATGTATAGATTTTAACGTTTTTCAAAGAGAAATTTTGACCTGGGGTTCCTTAATGTGGAAGATCTACATAATTTTTTTCTTGTTTCATCACTGAGTCGTATAAAACAAAAATTAGGAAAAAAGGACTAATTTGGATCAAGTTATGGCCTAAAATGGGAACAATTTTACCGATTTTTAAAAATTCATAAGTTGGCTAAAAATTCATATTGGCTTCTCAAAATTTTATAGAATTGTTTATCTACCTTATATCTACAAAATTACAAAATTTGAAAAAATTCGGGTGGGAGAGCCAAAAGATATAGGATATAGCCAATTCCCCTCATAAATGAGAGAAGTGACCAATATTACATTGACCATTTTATAACTTTTCTCATTGCTGATCTTTTTCCCTGTTCTCATTTTTGTATGGCGTTTGTCCATTTTTCTTCTATTTACCATTTTGAATTTTTTAAATAATTTTTACCGACACGAAACTTTGGAAAAAGAAAGGGGAGTAAAATTCTTGGCGGGAACGGTTTTGGGCCGCTGTGTGTAAGAGCACCCTTAAGGAAAAATAACCTAAAATTAGTTTTGTGTATTTGGTTAAAATTTCTATATATTCTTTCTTAACTTGAAAAAATTTTATTCACAAAATTCAACTTTTATAGAAAATCTAATAACAAAAGACAATCTAAATACAATCTCGGGTAATCCTGCAGAATCTGGGAGACACCTGAAAAACACCTTAAAAGTTGTCATTTTTTCTGAAAATTATTTTATTTAGGTAATCGACCATGCTGATTACGAATCTGAGTTTAGAATTTGCTTATTTCGAACCCGGACCCGAATTCGACCAAGTCGAATTCGGGGTAAAAATTCGAAATGACGATATTATGGTCATTTTGACTCGTCTCTTTATTCTGAGTCGAATGGTATCAAAATTATTCAGTTTCGACAATTTTAGACGAAGTTATGGTATCTGATTTGTATACGGAAGTCAAACCCAGCGTTATTTAACTGGTTATAACTTCGTCCAAAGTTGTCGAAACTGAATAATTTTGCTACTATTCGACTCAGCTCGAATAGGCGTGTCAGATTAGCCCTAAATTTTTAATTTCGAATTTTTTACCCCGAATTCGACCTTGTCGAATCCAGGTCCGGGATTCGAAATAAACATTTTCTAAGCTCAGATTCGTGATCAGCATGGTCTATTACCTATATAAAATTATTTTTGTGAAAAAAATAATAATTTCGAAGGTGTTTTTAAAGTGTCTCCCAGATTCTGCAGGATTACCCAATCTCGGATATGTTCACAAAGTTCTGAACAATCCAAGAACAAAAACAACAAATTTATTATATCAAATGAATTGTTAACTTTATGAACATTTATTTTTAGACAAAATTTCATTTTGAAGAAAGAAAAATAAAAATGCCAAAAAAGCGGGAAATTAAATGTTTAAAAAAGTAAAATGCCACATAAAATAACTGTAAAGAATAATTGATAATCAGGGTTGCCAATAGCTTGGATCTGTTCCACTTCCCCAATTATTACTTAAACTCTGCAAATTGGCAGGTGGTTGATGTCCGACAGAAATATTTAGACTTAATCCTTTAAAAAATATTTTTTAGTTAAAATTTATAAATTAAAGATTCACCAGGTATCGCTGTCGTTACAGCAGATGCAGGAAATGTTGCAGTCATTGAAGCTGTTTGATCGGGGTGGCGAGGATATCGCTTAAAATTTATTTTCTATTGCAAAAATTTTTTATTCTTACATTAAAATCATATCTGGGTGTAGACAACATATTATAATCATTTAAATTTGTTTGGGTCATTCCAAAGCTGCTAGAATTTAAAAAAAATAAGAATTTTTATTAAAGAATTGAAAATTTATTTTAATTTACTAAGGATCCATATAATTAGTATTTGTCATTGTTTGTAGTGAATTATTAGGTAGTAATCCTCCCGATGATGTTAATAATCCAGAAACTCCATTTCTTGTTGTTAATGACTGATCACCAAATGCTGCAAATGAAGAATAAATATTTGAAGGAATTGGACGAATTGTTGTTGTTGTTGGTAATGCTGAATTGTCTGCATTATTTCTATTATTTGTTCTATTGTTTGTTGTTGTTGTTGAGCTTTCCTGAACTCCTAATTGATGGAGCGTTGAGGTAGTTGATTCTGAATTATTTGCTGATTGCCCTAAAATATTGGGATGATAATAAAGAAATTATTATTCTAAAAATTTAATCAAAAAAGCTAAATAGTTATTAAAATGGGGGAAATATATAAATACCTGTTGCTGTGGCAGAAGAAGAAAGTGATGGAGAGTTTCGTATATTTTTAATATCAATTCTTTGTTCGAATGAATGTCCATTAATATTATCATTATTATTGTTATTATTAGCTGTGGGGCCACTTGATGAAGTAGAAATCATTGAATTTGGAGTTCCAGAAACGGCCATTAATTGATCGTTAATTAAATTATTATTTCTAATTTGTTGGGGTTGAATGCCTTGTTTGTGCATTTTTTCTTCCCGGCGATGTTTGGCACGTCTATTGCTGAACCAAACCTGAATTAAAATATTTTTTAGATAAAAAGATTAGACAAACTTGAACTCTTGCTTCAGGCAAATGAATTTTGTGAGCCAAAGTTTCTCGCAAATAAACATCTGGATAATGACAGTTTTCAAATTCTATTTTAAAATTTTAATTATATAATCTTTAATTTATTCACCTTTTTCCAAACTTTCAATTTGTTCTTGCGTAAAAGAAGTCCGATTTCTTTGTAATTTTCTTTTTAAAAGCATTCTATCAACAGAACATTTAGTAGAATCATTATTATTTCCATTATTATTTGAATATTTTCCGTAATTTGTTTGAATAGTAGATGGATCACTTGGAGGTTTTTGATCTTCTTCAGTTATTGTTGTTGTTGTTGAAGGATCTTTTTTTAAAAAATATTTAATAATATTTTTAATTAAAAAAAGTTTCTTTTTTTTTAATTTTTTAAAAATATTTTTAATATTCTTTTCGTACTTTTTGACAGGAATAATTAATTTTAAATTAAATATTAATTATCTCTTGATAATTAATTAATAATTAAATAAGTAAATTAATTTATGTACTTATATTAATTAATGAATTGAGTAGATGAAGGATGGGTGGATATATTTTTAGAAATTAAAAGAAAGATTTTCTTTCCAATATGTCAATCAAATATAAATATTTATTTCTACAATTCTAATCTATCATTGTAACACAATATCTCCCCCCCCCTTCCCGCTCTTTACATTCGTCCTTGCTTTTCCTTTTCGCGCTTTTTTTGCCTTATCTTCTTTAATGATCAATCTTTCTATATTTTATCCCCCTCTTTTTTCACTAATATTTAAAATTAACTAATAATTTATTAATATTTAAAAACCCAAAAATGTTTTGTAAAAAAAGTTTGGGTTCTTTTTAATTATTAGATTTTTAATTATTATTCTTTTTAATTATTTTGTGTTTTTATTTAAAGAATGGTTATTATTAATTTAAAAAAAGAAGAAATTTAATTTTTGAAAAAGAAATTAATTAAATAATTTATTTAAAACCAATTTTAATTTCCTCCCCTCCACGATGTTTTTGTTTTGATGTTTTTTGTAGATTATTTAAATTTAAATTATCTCCAATTAAAGAAAGACAAAAATTATTTTCTCCAATTTTTTCTTCCTCCTCCTCTTCTTCTCCATTAATTAGTAATTGTTGAGGTGAAAGAAATTTATTAGAAGAATCAACTTTTATTGGAGAAGAAGAAGAAATAAATGATGAAGAAGGAAGTGGAGGTGGAGATTGAGGAATTAAATTATTATTATCATTAATTAATTGTTGTTGGTGTTCTCCATTAATTAATAAATTAATTGGAGGGGAAAACCCAATAAAAGGATCAACAAAATTATTTTGTTGATTGTTATTGTTATTAAAATAATTATTATTTTGTATTTCAAATTGTTGTAAATTTAATTGTTGGGAATCCAAAAGTGAGGGAGGTCTAGATGATGGAGGGGGTGTTTGTTGATGTTGATGATGTTGGTGGTGAGACATTTTTTAGAATTAAGATAAAAAAAGGCTGTAGATATATTTTTGAAGAATTAATAAATTATTAAATTAAATTATTATTAAAAAAAATATTTTATTCCTTTCTAACAAAATTTTTTTGAGAAAATTTTTAAAAGTACATATTTTTTTTAAATAATTTAATTATTTAAAAATCGCCGAAAAAATCTCTGATTAAATTAAATCAACAAAAATCGAAGCCCTTTTTCTTTTCTTTATTTTTTAATATATTCTGGAGGTTTGCCCAAATTTAATTTAATTTAAGTGTTAAAAGTAACAAATAAAAATAATTATAGAAAAAAGGATTGATTAAATTATATATTTAATTATTTTTAGAGGAAATAAAAAGAAAAAATTAAAAAGAAATTTTAGTCATTTTATTCCTATATTTTTGTAATTCTAAAAATATGCCTAAAAATTTATAATTTTCTACTTAATTATTAAAAACATTTTTATTTAGAGAATAAAAAGTTAATTTTAAATATCTGAACAGAGAATCCCGTTATAGTTATATCAAGATATATTCCTCCTTCCACGATTATATTCCCTCTTCTCCTAAAGTGCTGCAAAAAGTATATATAGCGACACCTAAAAAATCATGTAACTCAAGATTGAGTGGGCCAAATATTATAAAATTTGGCTGAAAAATATTAGATCAAAAGTTATATTTGGTCCATAAAAGAGTTACATGATTTTTTCAGATGCGGCTATACTTCTGTGCAGTACTGTATAAAAAACACTGTTATAATCTACTAGTTATTATAGTTTATACATAGTTCTACTTTAATCCCAATCTAAAGTGAAAGAATAATCGGATACAATCCCACTCTACTTAAAAATATGGAGAAAGTTAAGTTAACATATTTTTCAAATATTGACTCGTTAATTTTTGAATTAGTCATTTCATATTAATTACTAAATATTTCCTTTCTTTATTAATTTCAAAATTTAATTTAATTATTAAATATATGTAATTAATTAATTAAATTATTAAATGAAAAGAGGATTTAATTTTATATTTAATTTAATTTAATTTAAAAAAGTATATTGTAGAAAAGAAGAGAGAAAAAGAAAAGTGGCCGATTTGTTCAATTAATTCTCCTCTTAAAATCTATCTCTTTGACAGCAAAAAACAAACATAAAAACTCCCCAACTACTTAAAAAGACTTCTTAATTTAAAAATATTTTTGTGATTTCCTCTTTCTCTTTTTTTTATTTACAGTAACCAAAAAATTAATTTTTTTCCTGCCAACCGCCCATTCCTCCATATCGAAAGACAGCCCTTTTTCTTTTTGATTGTGGTTTTGCTGATAAATTAATTAATCATTTACGCATGAACAATTTTAATTAACTAAAAAATAAACACAAAAATTCTTTGACGCGATCGCCTTGATCAGTCATCCAAAGGAAACGAAAAAAACTTTAAACAAGAAGAAAAATCAGAACAGTAGCGGAAACTAAAAAACCTCCTTCTCCTCCCTCTCCCCCTTCTCTTTACTCTTTTTCACGCAGTATTTTTGTGGTTGGCGTATTTTTGGCAGTTGGCATGTTAATTAAAATAAAACAAAAAATACTTATAAATGTTTTCTATAAATAAATAAAAGCACGCGACTATTTGCGATTTTTCTTTTCTGATTAAAAAAATATTTTCTCCCCAAAAAAATATTTTTACGCTTGATTAGACTGATAATGAAATTAAAATCAAAAATAAAGAAAAAGAAAAAAATAGAAAATTAGTAGAAATATTTTGGTTAAGGGAAGAAAAAAATATTTTTTGGTTAAGAATAAAATAAATTTTTTTAAATTTTATAATTGTTTGAATTAAATAAAGATAGTAAATAAAATTAAATATTAAATAATTTATTTAAAATGTTTTTGAATTTTTGGAGGAATTATTGTATTTTCTACAAAATATATTCGAAAGATACTTAATAAAATAATAATAAGTGTTCAATGACACCTGCTGTTGAATGACCCTGATAGATGGGTATTTTGAGAATGATTTTTAATAATAAAAAAAGAAGAAGAAAATATATTTTAAAGAAAAAATATTAAATACAAAAATATTAAATTTTGAAGACGCCCTGCAGTGAGGAAAAAATAAATAAAATTAAATAAATATAATTTAAAATTTTAAAAGAAAAAACTAAAAATATATTTAAAGTTCTTGGCGAAAATAAAGAAAATTTAAAAAAAAAGAAAAATAATTTGGACAGAAATTAATTAAATAAATATTTTATTAATTATTTTACCAGAAAATAAATTTCTTTAAGGCAAAATTGAAATTATCGGTAATTTTTAATTTTGCCTAAAATGGGTATATGTATTTATTTGCTATGATATTTTAGAAAAAGTGATGTTTAAATAAATAAAAGTTTTTTGTCTAAAAATTAAATAAAAAATTAATTAATTTTAATTAGCAATAAGTACGAAAAGAATATATAAAAATAACTTTAAGTAGTTTAATTTTGTTAAATATAAATAAATAAATATGTATATTTACCTCCAAACAATGTTGGTTGTTCTTCTTCTTTTGCAATATTGTTATTTGTTTGGGCAGCAAGAAAAGCATTAGCAACTGCCAATTCTTCTACTGTTCCGGCCGCAGCTGCAGCAGCAGAAATACTTGCTGGGAAATTTAATTGAGCAGCAGCCATTTGTGGGTATGTTGGCCAAGGATATGGCCAACATCTTTAAATAAATAAATTTAATTATCTAATAATTATAAATTTGGCTTTAAGACCAGGTTCTCAATGCACATATGCCGGTATTTCCGTGCATATCGGTACATATTTTGCCAAATTTTTATCAAAATATGTGGGCATTTCTATACATAAAGCAATTTATATATTAATTTAAAAAATTTTTCTTCCATCCCTTAAAGTTAATAAAATAAACTTTAAATTTTGCATAGCAAAAGCAGTCATTGCTCCATTTGTTGTTCCATCCAAAAAATTTCCAATTCCATTATTACCAAAATTAGCAGAATAATTTAATTGTTGTTGTTGATTATTAGATGAAGTAGAAGAAGAATTTTCTTTTTTTGATTGAATACTTCTCAAAACTCTATTTATTGATGAAACCTTTAAATTAATTTAATTTAAATTAAAATTGCATAAATTATAATTGCTACAGCTAATTAAATTTGCTACAGGAAACCCTTAATTTTATTATAACCAAAAATTTGAAAGATGATTAAATTTATTGGATTTTTATAAATCATTTAATTTACACCATAAAAAGCCTTTATTATCAACTCAAAAACTCAAAACATTTATAACACAATCAAAAAAATTTTTGAAAAATTAAAATTGGTGATATTATAGCAAATTTAACGAGCTTTCAGAAAAATATAAGATGAAAATTTAACAAAGCCTATGAATGGTCGAAAGTATTTTTTAAGGACATTTACACCAGCTTTACGTTGATTTTCGGATTTTCTAAATTCGATGAAGGAATTATATTAGAACTTAGTTTTTCCTTGTATTTTCTATTGATATCAATAAATAGGTATGTTTATGGGGTTTTTGAACACTCCTAATGTCAAAACTAATGTTTCTTCTTTTTTTTCTTATAGTTTTTTAACGTGGTAAAAATTTAGAAGCATTTATGAATTTCCAAGAAGGCTTTATTTATTTGTTTTTAAATTTATTTTATATTTAGTTAATTAATTAGTGTTTATTAATTAAATTAATATTTTTAAAAATAAATTACAAACACTTGGTAATGTTTCTTCACTACAAACTCTATCTTGTCTTAAACGATCTCTGATTTCCCATGCAAAGATTGAAGGTTGATGTTCTTTATATATCTTTAAATTAATTAATTAATTTAAATATTTAATTAATTATTTACTTTTATTTTATCACAAACTTCTTTTGTGGCCACTCTCGGTTTTGAACTTTAAAAAACATTATTTTTTTATTTAAATTTTTTAATTTTAAAAATAAATATTGGACTTAAAAATTTATTATTTTTTATAAAAAAGTTTAAATTTTGCTTATTTAACAAATAATCTAAATAGAAAAAAATTTAATGTCTGTTCGGTTTTCAATTTTGAAAGAAAAAATGTTAAATTTCAGATAACTAACATTAATTAATTAATTAATATCTATTTATTAATTTATTATAAATTTCTGGCAATTTTTAAAAATATTTAAGATTTTCTCTATATTTAGATAATTTTTTTTTGTTAAAATATTAATTGTAATAGAAAATCTTTTATTTTCCAATTAATTATCCGAATATTGTCAAGCAATGCTTTTATTTAAAATACCAAATTAACAAAATTTTATAAAATAAAGGTAAATAAATATTTTAATAAAATTATAGTTACACTCAACTTTTTTACTTTTCCTTTTTAAAATATTTACGTGATTATCCCCTAAAATATTGTGAATTTGATAGAAATAGAGACAAAATTATTTATTTATTAAATTAAAAATTTCTAAAAACAAACCCGCCAATAGCCCTTGGTTTAATTGTACCGGATTCCATAAAACGGGATAATATTTTAGAAACACATCTAAATTAATTAATTTAAATATTTAAAAAATTTTAATTAATTAATTTACCCATTAGAAACTTGTAATTGCCTAGAAATATCACAAGGGCGCATTCCTTCTTTATGAAAATCAACAATTTTTTGCCGAATATTGTCAGGCAATGGACGGCCATTTACAAAAACACCTCCAAGTTGGTTAACACCCGTATGTCCAGAATCGACTAAAAAATAAATATTTTCTTTTAAAATATTAATAAAAAATTAAAGAATTATTTTATTTATTTTTTTCTTTCCAATTATAAAATTCCACAAATTCCTCTAAAGCCAATTAAATATTCTACATACATATTTATTATAGTATATTTAATTAAAATATATTTTAAATAAAAAACAACAAATTTATTTTAATAGTTATTTCTAAACTATATTTATTTATTTTAATTTTTCCAAACAATTTTCAATCATTTTAAAATAATTACAGTACTGTCAACAACCAAAAACATCCCTCTCTCCCTCCCTTCACATTCCCCCCTTCTCTTTTACCATTTACAAAAAAATTTTTTTTACAAAAATCAGATTATATATCGGTTAGCACTTTCCTTTACTTTAAAATCACCTTGTCGGCGAAAAGTTTTTTTTGAGGAAACTTTTCCGAATTTTCTAAAAAAAGAGGGAGAGAGAAGTATGTAATGTATATTCTCCCCCCCCCCTCCCAATTTTATGTGATTCTAATACATTTTATTAAAGAAAAAAAATATTAATGGTTTTAAAGTGTGAAAAATATAGATAGAAAAAAACATTTCAACAAGCACCGCTAAGTGACAATAATAGGCGGCGAAAAAATAAAAAAAAATTAATGGGAGGTTAAAAATATTTAATAGAATTTTAAAGGAAAAAAAGTAAAATTTTTTAAATAAAATTTATTTAAAAAATAATTTTTTTAATAATTTTAAATTTGACTAAATAGTTTTCCTTAGAGGAAAACTAAAAGGAAAAAGTTTATTTATCTTTCTCTCTTTTAATTTTTTTTAAATCCAGAATTAACTTAGAAAATAATTGGAAAATAAATTTAAATAAAATCAAAAATAATTTTAAAAAAATCTAGAATAGGTATATCCAAATAAACACAATTAAAAAATATTTTTTCACCAACCCCTAGAGTCAGGAGAATGTTGTTGTTGATTGTTAAGAAGACCCCCATTTTCTCTCTTAATTAAATTCCCAATTTCTGTATGTTGCTGATGGTTATGGTAACGATGTTGTAATAATTGGAGTGATGAAGCATTCAAATGGTGATGATTATTAGTATGTTCGTTTTGTAATAATGAATGTTGGTGCATTTGTTGTTGTCGTTGTTGGTTGTTATTGTTTGTATTTATTCCTAAAAAGTAATTTTTTATTCAGGATTAATATCTGAACGGTTTAAAAATAAAAATATTAATTAATGAGAAACTAAGCATTTAATAACGGGAGATAGGATATTCAAGCAATTATGTATAATAAGGAAAAAATTATTTACCAATATCAAAGAAAGGTCCAGTATTTGAACTATCAAAGCCCAAACGATTGGCAGGCTGTTGATGGTGTATATCAATATTTAGACTGAAATGGCTTAAAGAATGGTTTGGAGTTGTTCCAGTTGCAGCTGCTTCCAGCACAGCAGCTGCCGCTAATGGATAAACGTAAGGATAGGAAGAAGTTTGGGGATAATATTTTGATAAAGAAGATGAGGAAGAAAATTGTTGTTGTTGGCCAAAAGAAGAAGAAATAAATGTTTGTTGTAATGAAGTAGATTGGGGGGTGTTATTAGATGTTGTTATTAAGGGAGTGTTTACTAATAAAGAAGAGAATTGAGGTGGTTGTTGTTGAGCACGAGTAGAGACTGGGTCTGAAGAGCGATAAGAAGAAACTAAAGAATTTTTTAAAAATTAGTTATGACATTAATAAAAATAATTTCGAAAGAATCTTGAAAAAAATTTAGATAAGGCAATTGAAGAACGATTATCGATGAATAAAAGTGGTGCTTATCCGTTATACACCCATAAACTGAGTGGTAGCCGGATTTGATCGGCTATAACTTTTTGATTCGTAATCCAATCTTAATGAATTTTATATCATTCGAAAGCCACAGATAAGCGGTATCTTTTTTCTAACTTGATGGATCAGGTCTGATCACTTATTAAAAAGTGTGAAAAACACCCAATAAATGGACTTATCGGGTTATAACTTTTTAATGAGTATCAGATTTGATCTATCCTATTAGAAAATTTATCTATCCTTTCGAATGATTTAAGATTCATTTGAATTGGATCAACCCAAAAAAAAGTTATAGCCGATCAAATTCAGGTAACACTCAGTTTATGGATGTCTAACGGATAAGTACCATAAAAGTTTGGAAGATAGATACATAGTGATTTCGAAGAAAGTTGATTTTTCTCAAGATATTCAGTCATATTTTAAATTTATAGTGTATAGATATTTTTAAAGAAAATATATTCAGAAAATCAGAAAAGAATTTAAGGTAAAAAATAGTATAAATGTTATATTTTAATAAATATTAAAAAAGATATGTAAAATAATTTACATATTTTAAATTAATTTACATATTTTAAATAATTCACAAAACAAAAAAACCTTCAATCTATTTTTTAACTAAAAAACAATTTTATAAATTAAAATATTTTCCCCCTCTCCTTAATTAATTTCAAAATTTAATTTTTAATATTATTTCTCTCTCATTTAATAATTCCAATTTTAATTTAGCTTTTCCTCACTTCTTATTGACAGCTAATTATAATAAAAAATAATATATATTAAGTAAAAGCCCCTTAAAACAAAACTTTCTTTTTGGCATTCTTTATTAACTATTCTTCTTCTCCTCAACATTTCTTTTTTTTTTCATTTCTCATTTGCCTCCAATTTTTATTAATCAACTAGTCAATGTGCCAACATTTTTACTTCTTTTTTTATTATTATTTTCTTTTTACTTATTTTTCTGCCAGAAACAGCAATTCAATAAAAATATATTTCCAAAAAAAATATTTTCAATCAATTTATTTAAAAAACAATTATTTTTTTATTTTATTCACTTGAATTGCTGTCTCAATCAAATCATTTCGGAAATACAATTTTTAAAGAGAATTAGAATCCGTCCAAGCGAATAGAGAAAGAGCAGCATTAAATGCCGATTGCACTGATAGCGCCGATGGGGCAGAAGAGTAAATAAATAAACTACATTAAATTTGAGGAAGACGAGAAGGGGTTAAAAGAGGGGAAGAAACGCTGCCGGATGGGGACGAATTGAAAAAAAATACAAATAGAAAAACGTAGCGGAAGCAAAACATTCACGCGGAAGGGAAAAATCATTCCGGCACATTGGGAGCGGAAAATAGGCTTAAAATAAATATTTTAAAAGAATGGGGATAGTTTTAAAAGAGAGAAGGGAAGGGAAGGGAAGGGAGGAGGCTAAAAAGACAAATTTTGCGCCTGATTAATCGCTTTTTAGTTTAGGACACGTTATTTTTTGTGTTTTTGCTAAGTTTTTCTTGGTTGAAAGCACCACAATCCACTCCGGTCGGGCATTTAAGGGTTATTATAGTATAAAGGATTTAAAGGAAGTAAAAATAAATAAATTCTTTATCTTTTTAGTGAAGATAAGGGAAAAAAGAAAAGAAGAATTTTAAGAAGAAGGCTTTATGGATGGTTGGCTGGTTGCTGTTTTGTTGAAGAAAAAAGGACGTCAACAACGATAGAATCAACAGCCGACCGTTCATTTAGGTGGAATGGCTCGTAAAAATTGTTAGGCGAAGCGGATGGCAAGGCGGACACAAGGAGGCGGGCATTGAGTCGAAAAAGGTATACTAAGCCTGTGATAATTGAAAATGGAAAAAGACAACGGTTGGTTTTAGTTGGTTGTTGTTTTGGAGGCGGACGTATATGGAAAGGAAAGAATGTTTGGATAAAATAAGAAAAGAGTTTGTGTTGAAATGAGAGACAAAAGATGGAGGGAGAGAAAGAATTGTCAATTACTACGGTCTTTTACTTCCCCTTTCCTCCCCTCCCTTATAGGTTTTCCCCTTCCACCTCTTCTTCCCCTCATCAACACTTTTGTTCCTCTAACAACTTCCTCTTTTTCTTTTGTGAAGAAAATTAGATAACGATTTGCCGGTTGGTCCAAAACAATCCAAAACCGGCTAACAAAGCTTTGAATATCTTTCTTTTAAAATATTTTATTCTCCCTTTATTTTTGCCAAAAACAAAAATTACACTAAAATTTCATATAGAGAAACTTAAATCAAATTATTTTTAGGCTTTCTTTCCCTCATTCTCTATAACGCTGATTATTTTTTAAAAATTATTTTTTTATTTTTAAAAAGTAATACATACATATATACCGTAGAAGGTATTACACTAAAAAGAAGGTTAAAAACTATTAAATTATCTGTTCTATGTATTGCCAAAAACTCTCATTTTTTGAATTGTTCCTCTTGAAATATTTTTCATTAATACCGATTTAGAAATCAAAATGAGATTAAACCGAGTATCTTCTTCTTGGTTTATCAAAGGAGCCGGATAAAACCACAGGGATTCACAGTTTTCCCGATCCCTCTCAGTTTCCTTAAAAACCACTCCCATGGATTTCTACAATTTTAATTTCTAATTCGTTTATCTAATCACATATTTTTACTATATTCAACGATTATATTAATTTTTTACAATAATTTAATAATTAAGATTGAGTAAGATATTCTCACTCTTTTACAATAAATTAAATATTAATTCTTTTAATTTTTTTTTAAAAATATGCCTATTAAACATATGTATGTATGTATACTCTTTTTATATAGATTTTACACATTACATTATTTTCTTATTTCAATTCTTTTTTATTTCCTTAAAAATTTCTAGAAATGCAACAATTTTAAATTTACAATTCCCAAAAGAATATATTTAAATTGTTTACAGTAAATATTTAAATAATTTATTTATTTACTTATTTTACACCTCCAACAACCTTTTAATATTCCCCAGTTATTTTAAGAACCTCCTTCCTTTCTTCCTTTTCCAGAAAAACACTCAAGAAGTACCTATTTTCTTCATCAATTTAATATGTATTCCCTTCATTTCTTCTGTCAAATTTTCTTTTGAATATTAATTTTGTAAATGAATATTAAATAATTTAAAAAAGAAAAGAGAGAAGTAGACGAGTCTTGGGGTAAAGGAAGAACCTGGATAACCAATTTGATCGAGATGATGTGAGGAATTGAGAAGATATTTTAGAAAGAAGAAAAAACCTCCGACAATTTCCTCTTCCCCTTTCCACTTCTTCCCTTTCTTCATACAAAAATTTTCTTTATTTTCAAATGTGCCATTTTATTAAAAACAAATGCCAAATAAAGGGAACGAAAAAAAGGAAGTCATTGTAATGGAAGTAAATTAAAATAAAATAAAAGAAAAAGTGAGGATTGATTCAGTTTTTTTGAAGAGGAGGGTGAGAAAATAAAAAAAAGAAGAATGGACACCTGCATGAATATATATTTATTTTTTGGCACATACTACTACTTGATTCTGTCAATGTATTGCCGGCTTATATTTTTTGAATAAAAACAATAAAAAAATAAATATAACGAAACATTTTCTCGAATAAATAAGAATATCTTAAACTTTAAAATTTTGTTTTTACATACATACTTTTTTAATTACTCTGGGTAATTATTGCTTCGATCTCTCGCTGGAGGGGGAGGGGTGGGGTAGTTAATAGTTGAGGGAGGGGGTAATTAATACAGTTTTTACGGTATTTACTTTTCTAGGTATTTTTTTGTTAATTTTATTTCTGTACTACTTTACATACTTATTTCTTTCCCTTATTTTATCTACCCAAAAATTTGCTAGTAAATACTTTCTCAACAAAAAACTTCTTCCGATTCCCATTAAAATTTCACATACAAATAAAGTAAAAAATAAATTCAGGTTTTCTCTCTCTCTTTCCTTCCAAAAAATATTTTTGTTGGAAATTTTTAATTTGTTTTTAAAGGATTTTTTCGGTAATTTATTCAAACACTAGCCCACCTAGTTTTAACTTTTATTTATTTTTATTTTATATAAATTCCTTTGTTTGATTCCTCCCTTTTTTTGATTGACATTTTTAAATTTAAATTAATTTATATTTTTGGAATAAAAGGAAATAAAGCCCCCCAGACCTAAATTCGTCTTAACGCCCCCTTAAAATCTTAAGGGTGCGCCCCCCTCCTTCCTTTAAACATAATGATCGAATGAATCAACAAAGAAGTCGAATACTTAAATAAAAATTAAGATAAATTTTTTTGAAATAATTTAGTTATTAAAGTACAGTAATAAATAAGAAACATAATGATCGAGAGGAAATTAACCAATTAGTGAATAAAAGGAAATAAAGCCCGAAAGAAATAACAAAATAATAATTCTTTTTTTACTACTCCCTTCCTCTCTCTCTCTTCGCATTCACCCCTTTTTGAGAAAATATAAAATAATAATTAAATTAATTAATTAATTACTACTTTAAAAAATATAAAATTAAATTTAAATTATTTTAAATATACATTTAAAGATCTCTGACTGTTAAAATATTTTTTTGTTTGTTTATTTCATTTCTTAAATTAAAAACACTAATTATTAATTATTTTGAAATAAAGATTTAAATAAATTTTAATGACGAAAGAAATAACAAAATATTTTTATTTAAAAAAATAATAATATTTTTTGTCTTGGCAATTAAATAATACAAAAAATATTTACTTTTATTTTTATAGAAAAAAAGAAAGAATTTATTTTAAATTATTTAAAGAGATTTTTAATGTTAAAATAAACAAAATAAATTATTGTTAAAGAAGAACATTTATTTTAATCCAAACCCCCCTCCCCCCCTTCCTTCTCCTTTTAAACATAATGATCAAAAGGATCAGAGTAATTAATTTTGGGATATTTATACCAAGATGTTCTTTTTTATTCACTCATAAATCATTTAGATATTAATTATTTATTTTCTAAATTAAAATAAAAAAGTTTTGGAATAAAGATTATCCTTAAAAATATTTATATATTTAATTTTTATTAGAAAATATATATTTTAGAGGGAATGACATTTGGATTTAAAAAATAGTTATAATTATTGTTATTATATTTTGATGGCAATTGAAATTTAAAAATCAGAAAAATTAGAGATTAAAAATATTTTTACAAAAATAAAGTTTGATTGAGAAGGAGAGGAAAAACAATTTTTGAGTGCCAATGAGTAGTGAGTGGATTTAAGTAATTATTTTTGGCAAAAAAATTTAAGAAAACAAATAATTTAGAGATGATATTATCAATTTCTTCAATGACCGGAAGTGAGGACATTACTTGGAAAAAAAGTTGACAAAATAAATTGAAGGAAGTATAAATTTTAATTATATGGATATATGTAGATAGAGTTAAAAATTATAAATTATTTTTTAATTAAAAAAGGACTTCAATTTTTTCTTAATTAGGTAATTAACATAAAAAGTATAAAATAAAAATATTTAAAATTAAAAGATGTATAGAATTATTGGATTGAGTTCGAGAATTATTGTTAGATGTGAATTTGATGTGACTTCTAGATGTAAATTAGTTATTAAAGTAACTTTTTAATGATTTACGTGCCGAGAAAAACTTATCATTATTTCACCAATTTTACTTAAATTCCAATCAAAATTATAATTAACTTTTTAAAAATTTTTTCTCCAAATAATTCCAAATATTTAAATGTACATAAATTCCAATTTTGATCTTAAAACTGATAATAAAATGTTTGAAGGACGAAAAAATATATTGAAGAAAATCAAAGTTAATTTTTAGTTGGTGCGCAACAAGTTATTCCCTTCCCGCCCTTCTCTCCCACAAAAACCATCGTAATTCTTCAGAAAATAAAATCTAAGTAAAATAATTTTTTTCCTAACAAATTGACGAGTAAAAAACAAGTAAAAAATAAATAAATATGCTAAAAAATAATGGCAACATTAATAACTAATAAAATCAAAATACACAACACAAACACACCAATCAACCCATCACAATATGTCCATCAAATATGGACAAATCAGCGCATATTCGCGGGAATAATGATGGGAAGGAGGGAAAGGCAATTAAATTGAGGAAAGAGAAAAGAAATTAAAAAATAATTAAATAATTATTTATTTATTTAAAATACAGTATTTTGTAAATTATAGGAACCTCTGTAGATACAATATTATAGTACAAAAATTCGCATTCGACTTTTGTATGAAGTAACAAAAGTCAAAAATATGATGAGCAAATAAATGGTATTTGCCGTATCTGATAATTTTAGATTAAATAGTTTTTATGAATTTGTTTTGCTTTTAAAATATTCAAAGTTTTTATTTTCCATCGAATTTTTTTCATAAAAATTTCCAAAAAGGTTTTTTAAACAACTAAAGGGAATATCAGCGGATTTGGATGGAGATAGGATTAAGGCTTAAATCAAGGAATTTTTTAAACTGGTGTAAGAAAAATAAGGGGTAATTATTCGAGGGAGGGTAATTATTGTTCCGACCCGACGCTGGAGGGAGTAATTAATAGAGGTTGGGTAATTATTTGAGGGAGGGCAATTAATACAGTTTATACGGTAGATAAAATAAAAATCAATTTTAACATTTACAGTTAACTTTAAAAAAATCTCAATACCATCAATCATTTACAATATGTCATTTTTGCATTCAGTAATTAATTTTACTAACTAATTTGAATGCGCAACATAATAAAATATATTTTCGGAAATATTCCTCTTTTAAATACCGACAATCAACAACTGCCAAATAATCTTCTTGCCTCCCTCCCTTCTCTCATTCCCTCTCCTTTTTTGCCTTATGGTGGTTGCTGTTAGAAAAAGATTAGCTCTTGTTAATCGGACTTTTTTTTGTCTTTTTATTTGTCAGCATTGTTGCCGTCTTTCTGTAAATTTACTTTTGTTCTCATTTATTTAGAGCTTGATCCTTTCTTTTTATTCTCATATATTTTTAAATGACAGGCTAATTGGTTACCGGAAATTGTACAAAAAAAATGACGGCAAAAAAAAATAAAAAAAAGAGTATAACTAATCCCGAAGAGAATATGTTCTTTTTAATGCTTGTACAGTCTCTTCATACCATTTTTGTATGTAAAAATATAAGAATACTTTAAATTATAAATTGGAAAAAAATTGTAAGTTAAAAATAATTTTAAATTAAAAAAAATATTAAAGAATAAAGTAAAGATAAAATAAATATTGTTATAAATTTATAAATCTCAAAATTCTGTAAAATATTTTATAAAACTAATACATCTAAGAATTTTTAAAAAATCTTAATTAAAAAAACTTTTCAAAATATATTTTATTGAAAATATCAAAGAGAAATTTTTTCTTGTAGGCTGAAAGGAATTTGAAAAATTAACGAAATGATACAGTTTCAAATAAATATATTAAAAAAAAAATTAATTTTATAAAAAACTTTTATTTAAAAATTATTTATTCATCCATAAATTGAAAATAATTATTATTTTTTCCTTATTTAATCCAGAAGAGTTCGAGAATTATAAAAACATTCCATTTTTAATTATTAAAGGTTTTTGCCGACAGAGATCAGAATTTGAAAAATAACAAAAAAAGAAATATGAACCAAAAACTCGTCAACTAATTTTTGGTCATTTTTGTGCGCGTAGTTGTAAAATAAATAATTAAAGGAGGACAACAAAAAAAGAGAAAAAAATTCTTTGAAATAAAACTTGGAATAAATAAAAGGAAAAAAAGTGAGGACATTTTTGGGGATGAATAGAAATGATATTAATTATTAGGATAATTATTAAAAGAGTTAGAGGCACAAAAAGAGAGGATAATCTGCAACGAAAAAAGAAACATGAAAAATAATTATTTTAAAATTTTGGGAAAAAAGAAATAATTTTTTAAATTATAAAATTAATTATTAAAATAAGTGTTTAAAATATTTTGAAGAAAATTGTTGAAAACACACAATTACAAAGATAAGTAAGTATATAGGTATAAATTTAAAAATTAACTACCTTGTAACATTATCAGTCTAATTTTATTTATTTAGTTGTTTAATTTTAAAATTTATATTAGAAGAAAAATCTTTAATTGAGGTTATCGTTTAAATGTGTTATATTTAAAGAAAAAAATAACTTTTTAAATATCTTTTCGGATGTTTAAATGCAAATAAATATTGTCTAGCAGGCAAGAAAATAAAGGATTCCGAAAAATTTAAATTCTCTTTAAATTAATTTAATAATTATTAAATATATACATTTTAAGTGATTTAGGTATTTTTTGAAATTTAATTTTCAAATTGTAATTAGTGGGGACTCGAAAAAAGTCAAGACTTGGTTCACGTATTTTGAACCTTTGTTAGAAGCCAATACCATTCAACCCAATGGAATTAATTTTGTCAGAATCTAAAGTTAAAATCTCGAATAATCCCAAATTGTGAATCTCTTAATTTAATTCAGACCAAGTTTTTGAACAAAGAAAACATAATTAGAAATTACTATATTAAAATTGGGGAATAATTTTTTAATATATTTTTTTGTTATGGTTGTGTATCCATCATTATTTATTATTATCTTGCCATATCCTCAAAGCTATTGTTCCAGAGGCAATTTGTTGGGCGGAGGAAGAAGGAATAACTACAGTAATCTAAAAATAAAATCCATCAACAAAATACCTTTTCCCTCCTTCCCCCTCTCTCCCTCAACATCCATAAATAAAAAGTCCGACAAACAACGAGAAAAAGCAAAAGGCAAATACAAATTGTTGAGCTCTGGCCCCTTGTTACCTCTTGAGGTGTTATTCGAGTCATGGACAATACAAATTTCTACAAGCAAAAATAAACAAAAAAGAAGTTTAAATATCAAAAAATATTTAAATATTTTAAACTTCCTCAAATCGAAAATGTACAAAAACAGCAACAACAAAAATTCAAATTTGTGTGAAGACGAAATACTCTATTGGCATATTCTCCAACTACTTTCCATTAAACATGCTCCACCAATTTACCTGGATTGGACCCAGTGAGAGAGGTAGAGGGGAGACTAACTAAACAATATAAAGGTAGTCCTGAGTGGATTATGTGAATTTCACGCTTCAAAAGTTACTATATCCTTTATTCTAAAGCCACTCCCGGATGACAGCGACATCGGCGATGGGTATAACGAATGGAATAAAGCATGTGCTTCTATTAGTTTTTGAAATTGAAAGGGATAGAAAGAAATAATGTAAACATTTTGTTCATTCCTAGAATGACAAAATTATTCTTTCCGTATATAACGAATGAAATTCATTAAGTGGATTGACATCAAAGAATCAAATTTGTACTAAATATACCTAAGTTTAAATGATGAGTGAAAATGCTTGATATTTATATTATTTATATGTAGAGTAAAATAAACCGTAAAAGAATAATAAAATTATGTCAAATATCAAAAATAACAAATTTTGATAAGTTTAACAACCAAAACCCGGACAAGGAAAATTTAAGCAAATATAAATTTATTTTTCAATAAAGGGGCAAAATAAAATTACTCATTTTATTTTAAATGAATCGGACAAATAATCCTTTGAGAATTCGATTAAATGAGTAAAATTATATTTTAAAAATAGGATCATTCAAATGATTAATTGAAAATATTTAAATTCTCATAAATTCAAATCGAAAAACATCAAATAAATATTATTACTATCCTCTTATTTTCGTTTACATTCCTTTCAATATCAAAAGAAGCGTTGTACTGGCGGAGCCAATGGTGATAATGGACGAGATCTCTTTGCAGCTAATGTTGGTGTATTATATGGATCATAAAGTGATAGAAGTTCAGCAACTGTCCGAGCCGCAGATGAAGTAGAAGCATTAGAAAATATCTGTTCCCCTGCAAGATCATTTAACAAACTTGTAGAATTTGATTGATAACGAGAAGGTACATCAATTCGACGAGATCCTGGAGTGAAGAGACCACCCGAAACGTATTGAGGCGCAGATTTCTAAATAAAAATAAAGTTTTGAACTAGAAAACAGGCTTATTGTTAGAGGTTCTTGTAAATAAAATCTCATTGCATGTTAAATAAATTTGTAAGAATGCTTGGTATAACTCCGAGAGCCGACTTCGGCAGAGCTCAGGTTTGAAAAGCCCGGAGCCGGAGCCAAGGTTTTTCAATTCCACCACGGCTCCGGCTATACACATAAAGACCGGTGAAGCAACAGAGAAGAGGCAAGTAAGTCAGGCATGAGAAGAAAAGAAAGGGGAAGTTGAGAAGGCCAGATATCCCTCTTAATCTACCCAACTCCCATGATAATCCACTAAAATAACCGCTTAATCCCCTGATATCACTCGAGACCCCCTTGAACTACCTAAATCCTCCGAGATAATATCCATTAATTTTCTACCCGGAGCACCAACACTGTAAGGATGTGTTTAAAGATAAATCTCTACAAAAATAACAGACAACCAGCCAGACTCATTGATCGGAAATTTTTTAAATATTATAAATGTTTACCTGAATGGGAGATGAAGAGTAAAAATTTGGAGTAGAACGTAACTCAGTTTCATAAGAACGGTCGTTAAGAATAGTGCCGCCACGTACAAAAGGAACACGAAAATCAGAAGTAGGTTCATCATCGATCTAAAAAAATTTTTTTTAATTTTTAATAAATAACTAATAATAACTAACAAATAACTTAGTTGACTATATTTTTTGGTTTACAGCTAATATTCAAAAGAAACTAACCAAAGAAATTTGTTCACGTTGTCGTTGCTCTGTAGCTTTTAATTGTGTTTTCCACAAATCCAACATTCCTCGACGCGCATCTTCGGGAAAAGTTGAACGTTTTCCAAGTATAGAATTATTCACAGATGGAAAAAATTGATGATCGCTAGTGCTGCTTAAGAGAGATAAATTATCAGTTTGTTGCTGTTGTTGTCGCAGAGATTCAAGCATATCACTTCCACTGTTGTATAGATCAGTAGAATTGATAGAATTAATCATTCCTGATGAAGTCCACCCAGGTTTAACTCCGGGTGTTGTATGAACAACAGGTCGAGTTGAATACTAAAAATTTATAAGATTGAAAAACAAATGGTAAGAGAAAGAAAAGAATCGAGTCAAAATTGAAGGGAAAACGGTTTGCTTATGTCAGAAATAAAAGAACTTTTTTAAAGTATTTGTTAAAATTACCGCCTGATATGCCTTATATCCACTCCACTGTCTTCCACGCGTCGGACCAGCTGAGCGAGGTCGATTTACCGGTGTTCGTTCTGAAGTTGATTCATATTGAGCAGTCTTTCTATTATGGCGTGATTTATCAAAATTTGGACGACTAACACGATTAACAATTTCTGAGCGAGTAATTTGCCTTTCTCTATCTTCCTTATCTTCTTTATCAACGGCTAATTTCAATGCCCTTTCTATTTCTTGTTGTTTTCTGTCGAGAAATTCTTTTGTCGGAAGAATTTCATCAACCTTAAGTTTTCAAATTATTAATTTTATTTTTAATTTTTCAATTACGTGACGACGATGCATAATTCGAAGCCATTCACGAAATTCTTGCTCCTCAATTTTAAATTGACTTGCTACTTTAAATAAATTGCTCATTGTAATTGTGCCAATAGAATTTAAATGCAAAACTAATTCTTTCTTTTTACTTTCATTTGAGATTTCACTTGTTTCTTTGTCTTTTTCCTCCTTAACCTCAACCATTTCGACGCGCTTGACTTGATCAACCTTGAAAAAAATTAAAAATAGTACAACGGATTTTTAATTACTTTGTTTCATTTTATAACGATATTGTTTCAATTTTGTTAAAACGTTTTTTACGTAAAGAGTAAATAAATAACCCTTTACTAGGTAGACTGAAAATTAAAATTTCTATCAGAAATATTTAAAACGAAGATAATTTCTGAAAGACAAATAAAGAAACAAAGAAAAACCCAAATAAAAATTAAATCTAAAAAACCTTAAATTGTTTAGTAGGCCCAATTTTCAAACGAACAAAACAGCCAGTCATTGTCATATCCAATAATTCAACTTGATCACAAAGTATAGAAAGTTTCTTTAAACGTTGATGGGTTAACAAACAACCATCTAAATCACGTGCTGATTTCACAGGCATGTTCTTATATTTTTCATTTTCCGAATTTTGATCCTTTTCTTTAAGAGTTGGCAATGTTGCTGCTTCAGTTAACATTAATTGAAGTATAGCAGCTTTATTTCTAATCTGATCCAAATTTGGAATTTCTTCATTCTAAAAAAGAATTTTTTAAATAAATTGAAAAAAATTCTTTTACCCAAAAATTCATATCTTCAATCCAAAGTCTAAAACCATCCTCATTAACAATAGAAAAATCATCACGCAGCCAATTTAAATTGTATTTGCCATAATATGGAAGTACAAGCTGATAATCAACAACAGCAACATTTTTAATTTTATACTCTTTTCCGCTTCTAATACATTTTTTAATTGGGCAAATATGATATTGGCAATTTGGTGGCTAAAAAAAAGAACTTTTTAATTAATTGTAAGAAAACTAAATAATTTACTTTGTCTTTCCTAATTGCCTGGATACAAACAAAACATCCCTCAACAGTTTGTCGAAAACGATCAAAATCCAATTTTGCCAAATTGCGAAGTGAATCAATTCCCAGCGTTATTTGTTCTAAATTATTTATTAAAATTATAAAAAAATCTAATTAAACCTAAATTCTCCTGCTTAATTTTAACTTTGCTAGGAGAAATTGTAATTATTTTGTTTTGTTGTTTAGGATTTTCTTTAATTTGCTTCATTGCAGAAAATAACTCTGCCTCCTTCTGTTTGATAAATTCCATAGTTGGCAGTTTACCATCCTAAAAATATTTTTTTTAATTTTTTAAATAAAAATTTCTCCTTACTTTAGCTTCAACATAACATATCCATTTACGGATATCATTATCATTAACCTCCACGTCAAAAATATTTCCAATTTCAAAATCACCAAAGTTAACAAGTCTAAAACGCCGATTAAACCAAAAATGTTGAAAACTCATCGGTTCAAAAACATTTTCAATTTGATCAAACTAAAAAAAAGGAAATGTTCATATCATTTAAAATTTCTTACAAAAAGTAAATCTTTGAAATGTTCTGCAATCCCTGGTACATGCACTCGAACAAAACAACCAATTACAGCCTTGTGAAAAGATTCAGCCGATGCCTCAGCAAGAACATTTAAACGACTTTTGGTCAAAACAATTTTCTTTAATTCATTAGTTATGTTATGTCGCTCAGCACTTAAAGCATTTGCTTCTGTTGTCATTTCCAAAGGTTGAATATCATCATCAATAGGGGTTAATTCAAGATCATTGTGGCTCAGTGAAGCAATACTTTCTGCCTGGGTAACATCGCAGAACTAAAAATAAATAATACAAATATTTACAAGTTTTAGGTTTTTTCACTTGACTTTATAATTTAAAATTATTTTTTAAAATTATTTAAAACCTCATCAGACAAATTAATTGGCTGAACAACTGTCTTATTCTGCTCATCATCATCAGATATATCAACCACTTCAGTTTTAATGTCCTTACTCCGTGGCGTTTTTGTAATTTGACGAGCCGTAGTTCCATTCGTTTGATTTTTTGTCTTATCAATGTCTGATAACACAGAAATTGAAGGTCCAAACATTTCATCAAACCATTCACTTGGTGGTAAACTAAAACAAAATATATCTAAAATCCATTAATTAACAAGAACCTGACATCAAGTACTTTTTCTGTTACTGAATTCAACCCTGCTTCATTAGAAGAATTGTTGTTGTTCAATTGTTCAGAACTCATAATAAAATTGAAAATATGAAAAATTTACTAAAAAAAGGCACACTTCAGAGAAACAATTAACACTAGTAAAAAACATTGAATTTCGTTAAGAAACATGTAAATTTATAAAAAAAACAAGAAAATAGAAATTTATTGTACTAATTTTAAAGAATATAAAAAAAAAGTATAAAAAAAAAGTATTAAAAAAATATATAAAACAAAGTATAAAAAATTGGCATAATTATTTTTACAATAGCCCTGAAATCAAAATATAGAAATGAAAATATAAAGACCTAATATAACTTTAGTTAATACGATTTAATTCTTAATTCTTTGCTGACTATCCAAGATAAGTGCGACAGCTTCCAAAAGATTATCAACAATAAGTTCAGGTTTGATTGTAGGATGTTTTTCCCATTCCGGCCTAAAATTTAAAAAATCAAATAACTAGTAATATGCTATTAAATTTAATTGATTTCTGATTTTGTAAATTTATAAAAATAACCTCCATTTCCCAGTCCGAACTTGTATCCCCTTGATTCCAACTTTTTGTGCTCCATCAACATCTCCAGAAATGTCATCACCAATCATTACAACCTACAAAGAAAATTTCTAAAGGTTTCAGCTACATATCGTTTAAACAAATTAAAAATAATGATCGCATTGAATATATGTAACTTTTCAAAAAAGTTTTAGAATCGAGGTATTAGTAAACAAACTTAATTTAGTTTCTTCTCATATAACCTGTTCTTTTGTCAAGCCAAGATCATCAACTGCAGACATAAAGTAAGTTTCTTCTGGTTTTCCAATCACAAGATGCTCACAACACCTTCCAGCATCCTCAACGGCAAATTTTAATGCTGAAGCATAAGCACCCGTGTCCAAACATGGTCCTTGGTCTGCACGGTGGTAAAACTTCCCATTACCCAACGTAATCAAAAGTGGATTTGAAGAGGAATGTAAAACACGGAATGCTTTGTTCATATTTATGAAATCCAAATCTGACTCTGCATCAGCAAGTACAACACAAGGGCGGCCATTGGGAGAATTAATGCAATTAGAGAATTCGGACAAAACGTCTAAAAATTTTAAAATTATCCGAAGCATCGTAAACTGAAAATTTATTTAACTGTTGTGAACAAGAAGATGAGGTGACAACCCATGTTTGGTTACATACTTTGCAGCAACTGGTGCAGGAGTAAAAATATGATCAGGTTGAATAGATTCAAACCCAAGTTTACGAAGCATTGTACAAATTCCTTCCCTCGTTGATGAACTTTCATTACTTACAAAACGCACATTGGACTCACTATAAAGTCTAAAAAGATGAATTTTAAAATAAGTAACCGCTATAAAGAATAAACCTGTTAACAGCTAAAATAGATCCATCAATGGCAATTCCACCGCTATTGTATAAGACACCTGTGATGTCAACTAAAAAGCCCCGAATAGATTCATACCAATTTTCTTCAATCATTATAACAATAACACTAAAAATGAATGTAAACACACTAACTTCCTTCATGAACTTCCGCCAACAAGTCGTGAAATTCACCCCAATATCCGCATGAACCTGCATGATTAATTCAGAATTTTCACCTATTATAAAATTCGCCACTCTGCATTCCGTCATATTTTCCGTAAATTGTACATACTTTTATTTATGCACCTACATAAGTTCCGTGTCGGGCTAACTCAAGGAACGGACAAGTCAAGGAACGACAAGTCAAGGAACGACAGGTCAAGGAAAAGACAAGTCAAGGAACGACCAACTCAAGGAACATACCAACTCAAGGAACAGACAAGTCAAGGAAAAGACAGGCCAAGGAACGACCAACTCAAGGAATGACCAACTCAAGGAATATTTTAAAAATCGAAATTTTTTGAAAAATCTGAATATTTTTAGAAAATAAGAATTTAAAAACAAATTAGAACACTTTGAAAAACAGAATTTAGAAAAAAATTCTGAAAAATTCTGATTTCTCAGAATATTCTGATTTTTAAAATATTCCTTGAGTTGGTCATTCCTTGAGTTGGTCGTTCCTTGACCTGTCGTTTCCTTGACATGTCTGTTCCTTGAGTTGGTATGTTCCATGAATTGGTCGTTCCTTGACTTGTCTTTTCCTTGACTTGTCGTTCCTTGATTTGTCTGTTCCTTGAGTTGGTATTCCTTGAGTTAGCCCCCACCCCATAAGTTCGGTAAAAGTACTGTCAACAAAGATCCTTTCAGAACATTTGTACTTTAAAAAAGTCTCGTTTTTCCGTCTGTCACGATTGGTTAATTTTCCTTTTAGAAAAAATATTAAAAATTTCATTCCATTTACAAATTACTTGTTCATAATTTCTCTTTTAATCTAGTTATCAAATTGATAAAATTACCTAACATAAGCACGTGGATGTCATTTATTTTTTAAAATTAAGACTTCCTTTTCATGACAAATCCCCTCTTCTTTACCCGCCTCATAAAGGATTAATTCAGAGTTCTATCGATTAATCTTTTAATACTTAACGCCAGCTTTTCGTAAAAGGAGAGTTTTCATAATATTTTTCTTAAAATGCAAATCCCCGTACAAATTTATTTTATAAAATCTGATATCATTTAAAATTATTATTTTTCTTATTTCTTAAATTAATTTTTAGTTAATAATTGTGATGGCTTCTGCATTTCCCACACTTTCACCAACAGCATCTACAATACGAAAGACATTTTTTGATACAGCCGGTGTTGGTGTAATTTCAGGAAGTGCTATTTTCGCAGTTTATCCAGTTACTGAGGTTTCTTATTTTTCTTATTAAATATTCGATGTTTATTATTCTCTTTAGAGAGTTAAAAATTTATATTTTTTGTTTTTAAGAGAAAGGGAAGAGCTCGAAATTTTCATGTTTCTGTACATATGACTATATTTGAAGTGCACAAAACTCTAAAGGATGCTCGCAACAAGAAATCTCCTAAATATTTGGTAAATAATTTTATTTAAATTATTCTGATTCATATTTAATGTTCCGGGAAAGTAAAATTACTAGGCCATGGAAGAACGAGTAAGAGTTCATTCGATATTTTTGGGTTTCATCAGTAAATGGAGGCGCTGAGTTTAGTTTTATTTTTTTTAATTTAGAACACTAAATTCGACTAGGTCAAACTCGTTTAAAATATTTAAATCTTATTACCCTCCGGCGAAACTTGAAAAAATCTAAAGCTATTTTTGATCTTTTTAGGGGCATGTATTCTTTACTTTTTCCGTTTTATTTTATTTAAAATTTCTTAGGTGGATTTTGGTGATGTATTTAATGTTTCTGTTCAAAATGAGCCTATCCAAATTAAAGATGATTGTATTTGCTTAATGGATCCGAACACTTCTTTTTTCTTTCGACCAACTGATTCTGAATATGATTTGCAAGCATGGTTTGATTGGATTCTTGAGAGAACAAGAGAATGTCGAAGTACTAAATTACTCAGGCCTGTATTTCATGAAGAATTTTTTGAGGTTCTTTAAATTAAGAAATATAAATAATATTTTTTTCAAGGCTGCGTGGGATGTACAAATTATCTGTAAACCAAAACTTCGTCGTGATTATTCAAAAAAGTTACAACCAGAAATTAAAAATGATGATTTGGCTGAGAAAAGACCACAGCTTTTGGGGCTACGTCGTCTTTGTGTTTGTCAATCTTCTTTTTTACTCTTCACACTTGGATGTCGCCCAAGTCCAAATGTTGATGCTCCTTTTGATAAGAATACTTTTATTGATCTATCGGTTTTAAAATTTTAATGGGTTTTTCTTTATTTCTTTTCAAGTTGAATGTGATATCGAATTATGGAACTCAAGAACGGTTTTTCTTTGTACGTATTGGCAGGTGTTCAGAAATCGGTAGCGGTGAGTTGTGGATGGCTACAGAACATGGTTCTTCTGCACGATCTATTCATGAACGTATAAGCCAAATAAATCAGCGGGAAAGTGAACGGCGACGAGCACAAGGAATAAAAATTAATCTGTATGTAAATTTTATGTTGAAATGAAAATAGTAAAAATATTTTAAATTATAATTTTATTTTTTAATTTTAGACCAACAATTAGTTCCAGCGTTCTTAAAAGTCGAGCACATAGAGAACGCTCTCAAACGCAAAATACTAAAAAGTTATCAAAGTTATCTTCATCTAACAATAATCAACCAGGATTGAATAAAATTGACGAATCTCACAAAGTTTCTTCAAACTCTACTAAAGATGTTGGACTTACACCAAAACTGTCAAATACAAGCCAAACTGGGTATTTTATTTTCTTCTTTATAGTAATTTTATTTTTTACATAAATAGGCAAGTTGATGCTAGATCAGAACGAGTAGATTCATTTAGTTGTCTACAATCTATCCCCGAGAAAAGTTTACTTGGTGAGATGGCTGAACATCTATCGATTACTTCTGGCAAAAAGAACTCGATTGTAGGACTTTTTACATCGAGGCTTGGTGCAAAAATGTCGACTGGAAGTTCTGGAAAGCCAACAGAAAATAAAACTGATCATTTGACAACGCCTTGTTAGTTTATATTTTAATTGTTTGGATTTCCAAGGAACAATCCACTAATTTTTTTCAAAAATTTAGATATCTTGAAGGAAGAAACTATAAACAACGACAACACTTCTTTAACGAATGTGCCTGTCTCTTCAAATCAAAGCGGCTATAAGAATTCAGTGGTCAGTTCTGTTTTTGGAATTCGGACTAGAAGGAACAGTTTGTCTGGCAGTTCACGTAACCAACAATCTACTACAGTCCATCAAAAAGCTCCCATGACTTCCTCTTCGAGCGTTTTTAGTAATCAACCCAGTTATGATTGTGCAGAGGATTATATGACTTATGATCCAGATGAACAACATAGTCAATGTGGGGGTCATTCTCTAAAACTAGGAAGTGTGAGCAGTAGAGTCTCTACAAGTGCGTTAACTAGAGCTGAATCTCGAAAAAGTAACAGCTCTATTTCTGGTGCATCATCTTTTAGGCGTAAGAAATTTTTAAATTAAATTTTAAAAATTAATGAGGTTTTGAGTTTTTTGATATCTTTATATTTTACAGAACAAGCATTGTCGAACTGCAGTTTTGGTCTACATCATGATTTGTATAGTTCATCAAAAGGAAGCCAGTCTTATGTTGGCAGCGAATACCTCGAAATGAATATTAAACAAAAGCCTCAAAAATCAAATAATGGTTAAAACTACATTATTATATTTGTATACATATTCGAATTTTTATAGATTCTTCCTTTCCATTATGTGAAGTCCAGTCTTATATTTCTAATAGTTCAGATAGTTGTTGGACACAATCAAGTAATACACCACGTTCTGGCGAAATTAGTACTTGTCTTATTTTTATACTAAAATATTTATCTAAACTTTAGCACATCAAGCATCTCTTACTGTTAATCAGCCACGAGCACAATCGCCAGATTCTAGGCTTGTTGGTTGTCCTTCAGCTACTTTGTCAGTTAATTCAGATCCAGTTGGAGGAATCACTGGAAGCAACGTTAAACCATCACAACTACTTCATCCAACTTCGAATAGTTCACCACCAAACTACTTTAAGAAACCAATTCTTGGTCATAAGGTTAAACCAATTAAACCTCATGAAACTGAAACGACAGCGACAAATGAACATTTAAAAAACAGAGAGTCTGACTTTGTTGAGGATAAACAATTAAGCGTTGCTGATAATATATTGGCTGATGTGCGAAAAAGAGCGCATTCAGTTGGTAGCAAAACTTGGTGAGGATCGAAAATTATATTTTCAAAGACTATTTTTATTAATTTAAGGATCAAACCATCACTGAAAAAGTTTCCAATACCGTTTACATCAAAAAAATGCCAGGATGCATCTGATTTGCGTGTTACAGAACAAGTTGACTCACGTCGAAATACTTATGAAGCAAAGTCAACTTGTTCAGCTAGCACGAGTTGTTATCCGCACTCAACCGATGATCATGTGGAAATCGATTTTGGTATGACAGTTTTCTACTCTTTGACTAAAAATTCAATGAGTTTTTAGTTTTTTTATTTTTTTTTACATTCAGATCGTGATGAGTCGCAATCAATTGACTCGATTCCTTCAATTCATTCTCGCCACTCTTCTGTAAGTGTTCATTGCCCAATGGGAATTCGATATACACTTGATACTACTATTCCTTTATCGCATACTCGAGGCTTTGGACCTTGTATTGGAATAGAATTGAAAGATGGAAATGAGAAAAAATCCCTTGAGAAACTTTGTCTCCAAAAGAATTGTTGGCGTGATTGTGGACAAATGCGTCGGAAGAGAAGTGTTCCCGAAATGTTTCAGCAGCAGAATGAAACTAATAATAAATCGTCAGCTCAACAAAGCCTTGTACAACAACAAACGACAAATGAATCTGATCAGCAACATCAATGTGGTTGTTGCAATAATCGACATCATTCTATTGCGAGTGACCATTCGTTGGCCTTGCGATGCTTACGCTCTAGTGCTGAAAAGCGTGGATGTGTATCTATAAATCTGGCCAACTCTTCTCAAACCAAACGTTCTCCACCTCGAGCACTTTCTTCTCTTTCATCATCACAAATTCCAACAAGTCAGTCAATGGGGAGTAGCAGTGGAATTTCTTCTCGCTCAAATACCGAGTCTTCCTCAACTTCCGTAATAATTGAACGAGAAACTCGGAACAACAAAATGCCAGAACACCCGATTGCAGAAGACGAGAACGATGATTATGTGATGTTATGTACACCTAAAAGTCAACGTTCAGCAACAAATCCACAACAACTCACTGTGCGCTCAATATGTACAATTATGGAGTCTTCACCTTCTCCAAATTCGTCCCTTTCATCTGATGGCGAAAGCAAGAAACGAGCAGGGAAATTGGTTTGATTTAGTTATATTTTTTCTAATTTGAAACTATTTTTTAAGACAGCCAAAGATCGAGCCGTTTCCCATACACCCTCAGTTTCTCCCGATGATGCCGCGATACTAATGTTAGCAAGGCGCAATACCAGGGCAGCTGGTCAATCTCCTGTTCGTGGTGTAATTTCTAACGATTCGCCTGTTCGTGCAAGACTTTCAGTCTCTTCTAGAAGCAGAAGTCCCAGTCTATCACCTCACCAGCCACATCGCAAATTCTCTTCATCTTCGACAACTCCACAATCACACACACCAGTACGCTCCTACTTTCCAAACCAACAACAAGATTTACAACACCGAGGGAGTCCCTCACCAACGCGAAGGAAAATGTCTTCGGCTAGCTTTTCTCCACAAGAACCGCGTATGATTTTTGTGGATGCTTCAAATGATAAGATACAAAGAAAATTCACCTGTCCAAATCTTGCTACTGTTCCAAATTTTACTACAAGATCTCAACTTTCACATGCGTCTCGGCGATCTGTAAATAAGGAAAGTGAATGCAATGATTGCAATTATGCTCTTATTTCCGGGCAGGAAATTTAAAATAATTCTAATTTTTTATTATAGTCTGATTCTATACGAAAAATTTATTTATCTAATAGCCTCATTGTTAGAATTCCCCTTTTGTACTCCCCCTCTGTATACTAACAATTTTTAGCCCCAAAGGTGTATATTCAAGTAAAGTCCGACTTTAGCTAAACAATTATCTATTTATTAGCGTTGATTTTGTATATACTATACATAGCAGACAGAAACTTCAGATTTAAAATTTCTTTAACTCAATTTATAAAATCAAAAATCCCAAGTTTGTTGCATAAATTTTATTCAGAATACAAAAATGTTTAATTGTATTCTGAAGTTTCTGTCCGCAAATTTCTCAATGTTTATGTATAGGTTTATTTTTTATATTAATTGACCTCATTTCACAATTTTCCTATTTTTAATTGTACATTGGTAATTTAATTAGTTTTCCTTTTTTCTTTTATTGTCAAATGTGCAGCAACTTAGTTAACATCCAAAGTAATTATACTAATGTTAAAAAAGTAATTAATTGTTAGCTTAAACTTCTACATATGTATGTTTTTTTGATTTCCTGTATTCATTTAAGTAAACTTTGGTATTTTTGTTTATTTACTTGTGATCAAATCATGTTGTAGAATAAATTTAACACTTATAGCAAATACATACACATTATATCAACATTATTTAAAATTTCTAAAAAAAATTTTATTTTCATTCCTATTGTGTATCTCTTTGATTTAACGGTTCTTTATAATTCCAACTATATTCATCAGATCCTTTATCAAAATAACGTGTCTGCCAAGCAATTTTCTTCTTTTCGCGTTGAGTACGTTCATCGCGTTGTCGTTGTTCAACCAAATGTTTTGATTCTGTTGCAACTTCCAAATTATTATGAAAAAGTGCTGCAGTGACATGCCTCCACAAGCGTCGACTTTCCTTTTCCTCTTGCTGCATTACAGGCACACATTCCTTTATTAAAATATATTTAACTATCTTTAAAATATATTTTTTCTTAAATTTACTTTTACAACATCTGGTTTAGCACGTGTATCCACAAAAAGTTTATCTTTTCCACGATTTCCTTCACGAATAAATATTTGCCCATTCCATTCTCCTTTCAAATACATAATTGGTTTTTTTGAATTATTTCCATGGTAAATACTTCCACTTATTTGATGTGGCTTTCCAAATAATAAAGGTTTTCCATGAAATTCAATCTCAGCTCTATATTGAGTTTCTTCACAATGAATTTTTACCTTTAAATAGAAAAATAATAATAATTTTTTAACTTAAATTCTAACTTTTCCTTCAAGTTCAAACCAAGGAGCAGAAGACATAACTAAAATTAGAGAACAACCTATATTCCATTCAAATTTTTATTAATTTACCTGCACGGCCATAAGCACTTGGAAATGTTACAGAATAATTTTCCTCATATCGATGCAAAGTTAAAACTCCTTGACCAATATTATGAAGTGCTTAAATTTATTCTTTAAAAGGGCAATCCCGGAGAATAGGGGTTTCTTCGAAAAAAAAGTTTAAAAATAAGAAAAAGGGTTTTTCTAGGGTAAAAAAATATGCTGATTACGAATCCGAGCTCGGATTTTGAAAAAGTCGTACCCGGACCCGAATATAGGTCCTACAAAATCGAAAAACCATAGGGGGGACCAAGCTGATTCTGGGGTGAAAAATTCGAATATGCAAATAATAGCTCATTCGAAAGAGCTCGACGAGCTGAATCGAATGACACCAAAATCACCGTGATTGAAAAAGATCTGGCAAAGTTATGACACAAAAAACAAACAACGTAAACCTATGTTTTTTGTGTTGTAACTTTGTCTGTTCTTGTTCAAACACGATGATTTTCGTGTCATTCGACTCAGCTCGTCGAGCTCTTTCGAATGAGCTATTACTTGACCAATTTGCGCTCTGTGAAATTTTTCCCAAAATGTCAAATGTCCGAATTCGGGTTCGGGATTCGACTTTTTCAAAATCCGAGCTCGGATTCGTAATCAGCATATTTTTTTACCCTATAAAAATCCTTTTTCTTATTTTTAAACTTTTTATTCGAAGAAACCCCTATTCTCCGGGATTGCCTTTAAAAGTAATAAAATTAAAATTTTCACCAATTGAGAGTCCAAGATAAACCGATTTTGTATAGATATAGGCATTGAAGGAAATATCAGACTTTGGATGTTCAGCATAAAAAGCAGTGATTGGTGGATGATGACTTACTTGTTCAGCTATAAATGTAACCTTAATTGACAAAAATATATATTTCAATCTTTTTCTAAATTAATTTACTTGATTTGTTGCTGATCCGGGGAATGGGCCTCTTTTTGTTTTTTGTTTGCAAGGTTGCGTGCCAGGAATTGTCCATCTACATCGAAATATTTCTCCAAGAACGGGGTTATAAGGTTTTTTGGCTTTACCACTTTTACGAGCGGGATAGAAAGAAGTAAGGTAATTTAATAGGATAGAAAGGAAGCGAGATTCTGGTGTACTTGGTTCTTTTGTTGCTTCAATAAAACAATCAGGATGAGCTAAAATTAAATATTTTAAATCTTTATTTTCTTTTAATTTTTACCAAAAAAGTCAGCATACATTTCCAAAAGTGAACGACGTTCAAGAATAAAAGTTGGAAGAGTTACTTTTCCAAGATCCATACCAATGCGGACCTTTAATTTTATTTAAATATTAGTAGGTAGATGTGTATAATTCTCGATTTACTTGAGAAAGTATATGCATCAAAACACTTCCGTGATGTTCATCTTGTATTGGAGTTGAACCATGAGCATCATGCCCCAAATCATAAATTGCATCAAAATCTTCATCAGAATCCCCCCAATCTTGTTCGTCGTTGTTATTTATATTTTCTTTATTTTCTTTTTCATTATTATTCTCTTCCTTCTCAGTTTCAGAAGATTCAGATGGTTTGTCTTCTCCATTAATCTTTTGAATTTGAAGAGGACGATTACTACTATCAATTAAAACTTTATTTTCAGACGATTTAAGCTTGTCTTTATTTTCAACTTTTGATGACTTGCTTTCCTAAAAATTTAAGAATTTAAAGAATCCAGAATTAATTTTTACATTTTTATTTTCTTCTTTCTCTTCATTATTCTCGTCTTCCTTGTCCTCAACAATATTATACATTGTATGAGTCTGTTTTACAGAACGAGAAGTTTGTTCAGATGGAATTGGATGTTTATGTTGACTTTTTGTTTCATCAATTCTTTTCTCAGAAGGATTTGAGGAAGTCTCGATTACTGGAAGTTCAGTAGATTGTTGTTGAGGAAAGTCCTGAAAATATTCCAAATAATTTAATTAAACATAGGGGCTAAAGTTTACTTGTATTTCAATATTGGAAGTATCAACATTAATTTGACTTTCAATCTTTATCTCGATTGGAGTTGTAGCCACTTTTGTTCCTTTTTTGGTTTTTGTTTTATTTATTTTACGGTTTTTACGCCTTTTTGAACAACAAAGAACAAATACAAAGAGAGGTACAATAGAAAACAAGCAAAGAGAAACAGAAATAATTGTCCATCCGATCATTGGAATTATCTTATTTGAAGAAAATATGTAATTTAATAATCTTTTTTATGTTTTTATAGTGAAGATATTGTAAAGCCGAACTTGAATAATTAGCTTTCTTTCAAAAAATCCCGATACCTGCAACTGAGTTGAATTGGATCTATTAAATATACCGTACTTATTCTAATAGAATGACTTCTCCAATTGATTACAAATTCGGAAATGTTAGATCGGATATTCGATTCATCTCATCTCAATTTCTAACCTATTAAATATAGGTTCCATACAAACACCTTTCCAATAGAATGGCCCTTTTTAGAGGTATTAAAAATAGGATGGCGGCCACTCTATTACTAGAATAAATATGGTATTTAACTTTTATTGGCAACATTTTCTTTCAAATAAAATTATATTTATTTACATACAAACACAATTAAAATAAAAAAATCTAACATTATCTTATTCTATTTTTTCTCATTATTTAATTTATTTTTTATAGATTTTACGAATTATTTTCACTTTGATTGATTAATGCTAAATAGCTTATTTTAAAGTTAATTTCTTTAAATCAAGATATAAAAATATAAATTAATATTCAAATCTAGCTTCTATTTGTAGATAGAAATCTTTTTAATTAAAAAATAAAGGAACTCCTTAATGTGATTTTATTTATTTCTCTCTTTTCTCCTTTCATTTATTTAACAAATATTTCTAACAAAATATTTTTAATTATGAAATTTTATTTATTTTTGACAATTTCATTATTTTTATTATTATCTCAATTCTTTCCTTTTGTTTATTCTGTAATTGACAATGGGATTTTAGGAGAGCCTTATGTTGATTGTGGGGGAAATTATATTGAAGTGGTTTGTAAAAATAATAAAAAAATTAGTTTTTTCTAAATTAAATTTTAAAAAAAGCGTTTTGATACAAGAAATACATTTCGAGGAATTGTTTTTGTCGAAGACCATTTAAATGACCCTCAATGTCGATCTAGTCCAACAATTGATGATGAAACTAATGGAAGAGAAATTGGCCAAAGAAATGCTCAAATTAAATTAAATTTTTTTTCTTGTGGAATTAATTTTACAAAATATGTAATTTTTAAAGGGAAGAGGAAAAAAATATTTACCTAAATTTAAAAAAAGGATAATCCAAAAGGAGTATTTTTAAGTGCTAAAATTGTTCTTGCTTTTCATCCACAATATTTAAGCAAAATAGATCGTTTATATGAACTTAAATGTTTTTATATGGAAATGGAACATCAATTAGAAAATGAATTAAATATACAGTTTTTTATTTTAAATTAAAATATTTTTTAAAAATTATAAAAAAGGATGGGTCCACCAATAATGCATACTAAACAAGTCCCTATGCCTGTATGTCGTTATGAGGTGTTTATTTTATTTTAAATATTTACTAAATAAATTTATTTTTAGGTTCTTGCTGGGGGTCCACAAGGCCCTCCTGTTCTTTTTGCAACAATTGGACAAATGGTTAAAAATTTTGAAAAAATATTTTAAAAAAATTTTTTTGAAAGGTTTATCATAAATGGACATGTGAATCGAGTGAAGAAAACCAATTTTGTATGATTGTTGTAAGAGAGAGAGAGAGAGAAAATTTGTTCTTTAAAAATTTTCTCTTTAAGCATTCTTGTATTGTTGATGATGGACATGGAGATCGTGTTGAATTAATTGATGAACAAGGATGTGCTAAAGACAAACATTTACTACAAAATTTAGATTATATTTCTGATTTAATGGTTGGGAAAGAAGCACACGTTTATAAATATGCTGACCGTGAAAGGTGAAAAAGAAAGGGAAAATTATTTCTAAAAAAATATTATTTTAGATTGTTTTTTGATTGTAAAATTGTTTTGAGTATTAAAGAACCTGGAACTGAATTTTGCCCAGTTCCTGAATGTCCAGATCCTCCAAGAAAACGTCGACATTTGAAGGAAAAAGAAAATAAAAATAATTTTATTTTAAAAGAACACAAAAAAGAAGAAAAAATTGAAGAAATTTGTGAAAATTCGAATATATTTATTTATTCTACTTTAATTCCGTTAGATTTGGCTTTGATTATTGTTGCTATTTTGTTAATACGTGATGGATTTAAACAATTTAATTTGTAAAAATATTTAGAGACCCCTAATATAATTTATTTGGAATAAAAATAATTTTTATGTAAAAACAATTGTAATAATTATAAACAAAAGAAAAAAATATTTATTTTTGATTATGTCTAGAAAATACTTTTAAAAGAAAAAAGATTTCTTTTTTTATTTTTTGCTTCTGACAGCCGTAGGCAAATAAATAATGAACTTACCTTCTTCTCTCTATAAAAGACCGCCCAAAAAAATTGAAAAAAAGTGTGGCAAATGTTATAAATATAAAGAGAAGAGGAATAAAAGGAGGATGACACTTCAAAAAAGCTTTGAAATAAGTGTGTGTTTCTCTTAAATAATTCATTAGGGAGTTGTTGTTAGCAGTCTTTCTTTCTCTATTTTAATAATGAAGACAAAAATGTAAAAAAAAGAAAATAATGGCTAAAAAATAAAAAAGTAAGTTCTCCTCTCGGTTGGATTTTCCAAAAGCATTCTTCCCCTCCTTCCCCCCTCTTCTTCCTCCTTTCTTTTCTTTTGTTCATTTTTTATATAAAAACTGCAAAGGAAGTGCAAGAAAAAAAAAGATAAAAGTTAGTGACAAGTAGTTATTTAGTTTTGCACTATATATAAAATTACTAAATAAATTTTTTTACAAAAAAATAAATGCAAATTTAATAACCCTTTAAAATATTTTTTTCTTTGAAATCTTGTTCTTCCTTTTCTCTCTTAATTAATTAGTTTTATAAAAAAATATTTTTTTAAATTTATTTTAAAATTAATTATTTACATAAAATTAAACAAAAACGGAATAAAACAAATTGGCCGCCAATCAGAAAATAAAAGAAAAAAAATAAATTGGACATAGAAATCTAAGAAATAAACAAAAAAAAACATATAAAAATCCATTAACGTTGAGCAACTCCATTTTAGAAAAAAATGCCAAAATGGAAAGGAAAGAATTACTACCTACTACATGTTTTTACTTGTAAAAAAGGTTTTTTTTGGCTTTCAACTTTTTTCTTTAGTTTCTTTTTTATGAATATAAAATTTTTTTTAAAAGTTTACGAGTATTTAAAATTAAGAATTTTTAGGGAATTTATTTATTTTTAATTTTTAATTCATTTAAAAATTAAAATTTTTAAAATAAAATTCAAAAAAAAATATTTTCTTTTAAAAAAACTTTTCTCCAACTAAATACTTTTATTTAATCCCTTTTTACTTGTTATTTTCTTTTTCAATTTGCCAATTCCCGTCCCTCATTGCCTTAAGGCTTCTTTTAAAGATAAAAAATTTGTGGGGACTTTAACGCATTTTTTATTAAATTTTATTGCTTTTTTTGACAAATTTTCTAATACACACATTTTTATTTTATTTTTTATTTAAATTTATATATTTTCTATTAAAAAAACGGTGGTCTCTGGACTATTTTATATTTGTTGCATTTTTTGGAATTATTTTTTAAAAATTTATTTTTGAATAATTTAATTTATTTTAATATCTAAAAATAAACTATTTTCTTCCTTATTTACCCTAAAAATCCTCAAATTTCGCTCCATTAAGTAAAATTTCAGAAACAAAATTTTTTCTCATGTCTTAAATTTTAAAATAAAATAAATATAAATTAAACAAATAATTAGGTATATATTTTAAATAAAAAATTAATTAATTATTTCAATTAAATTTAATTAAATTTCTCTTTCTTTTCCTTTCCCTTAATCTACTTTTTTGTCCGGAAATGTTAAAAAATTATATCCGAATTTCTGGAAATCGACTGCTCCGTAAGTAAACTTCTAAGATGTTAGAAAGTATTATGAATAATAAATATATTTTTGTTTAATATTTTAATTAATTAATTTCTTTCATTTCATTTATTTAAATATTTTTCAAATATTATCTTTTATTTACAGCAAAAAATGTTTTCCTTTACTTAAAAAAAGTTTAAGCAAATATGTAGTAACTTTTCCCGCTGTCATTCACTACATATTAGAAAAATATAATATTTTTCTAAACTTTTAAACTTTTTTTTGAAATAATCAAAATTAATAGATTTATTTTTTATATTTTATTTTCATTAATTTTATTTAAATTTATTTTATCTTTTTTTAACTTTTTACTTAAATAAATTCTTTTCTTTTCTCAATTTCTTTTACTTATTCCAATACTTTTTTTTCTAATTTTTCTTTTTTAATATACTATGCATTTCTAAACAAGCCCCGAATGAGTTTCAGATTTCGTTAAAGATTTGCACTTTTTTTAAACAAAAATATATTTTTGTAACAATTAAAAATAAAAATACTCTCTTTCTTTTTTATATTTAAATTAATTATATTTACATATTTTAGTTAATTAATTAATTTATATGTTATACTTTCAAAATCAACATTTCCAAAAAATTCCAATTTTTAAAAATACAATTTTCTTTTATTTTAATTATTTTTATTTAATTTTATTTTTATTTTATCTTTCAATAATTACAAGTATATCTGCTGGGCAAATTAATGAAGAGGATGATCCTTTTATTTATAATACAAAGAAAAAATTGAAAGAACAAGTAAATAAATAAATAAATAAATATTTTGTTTTCTTAACTAATTAAAATTAATAACCTCTAATTAATTAATTAAACAATTTTTATAGGAAATAATCCAAAAAGTTCTGCGAGATTATGGTTTTTTTAATTAATAATAAAACAGTTGAATCTCGATATAACGAATTCGAAGGGATTGAAGAAAAAGTTTTGTCATTTTGAGTGACATTTTATTGAGATTCAACTTTCTGTATACCTTATATGCTGTATTTATTACCCTCCCTCAAATAATTACCCCTTCCAGCGAAAACCGAAATAATAATTATTCAGGGTAATTAATACAGTATATATTAATTGTTTATCATTATTATAAATTAAAATTTTTTACAGATTGGCGAGTTAGGCCGCGGGGTAAAAACGAATCTTGGACAGGTAAGTAGTCAGAAAATTAAATATTTTTTGTAAAAATATTTTTAGACACTGGAGGGCCTGTTAATGTTACTGTTAATGTATGTAATTAATTATTTAAATTAAATTAAAATATATTTATTTAAAGATATATCTTCGTTCAATTTCAAAAATAGATGATGTTAATATGGAATGTTTGTTTGTATTTAGTTAATTTAAATTTAAAAAAATTAATTTTTAGATAGTGCACAATTTACATTTAGAGAAGAATGGTGGGATCCGAGATTGGCTTATAGTAGATTTGCTGATGATGAGACAGAAGTTCCTTCATTTGTTGTGTAAATAATTAAATATTTTTATTTAAAAGAATTTATTTATTTATTTAAAGATTAGCAACAAGTGAACAAGCTGATTTAAGTCAACAAATTTGGGTATTTAAATATTTAAATTATTTTTAAATTTAAATAAATTAATTTAGATGCCTGATACTTTCTTTCAAAATGAAAAGTTTTTTTCAATTTAATTTTCAAAAAAAAATTTTTTTAAGAGAAGCTAGAAGGCATTTAATTGACAAACCAAATGTTTTAATTCGTATACATCCAAACGGCCAAATTCTTTATTCTGTTAGGTAAGTAGTTGATGGATTATTTTAAATAATTTTTAAATTTTTTAAAAGGCTTTCACTCGTTCTTTCATGTCCAATGTCATTAGAATATTACCCTTTAGATAGACAAACATGTTTAATTGATTTAGCTAGCTGTATGTTTTTTTTAAATTTATTTTTTAATTTAAATTAAAAAAAAGATGCCTATACAACAGACGATATAATTTATGTTTGGAAAAGGGATAATCCTGTCCAACAAAAATTAGGTTTTTAAATAATTACCTAATTAAAGTTTTGATTAAAATAAAAAAGGTTTACGTCAAAGTTTGCCTTCATTTGAACTTCAAACAGTTTTGACTGATTCTTGTACAAGTAACACAAATACTGGTAATTTAAATTTAAAATTAAAATATTCCTCTTTTGTTTTTGCTTAATTAAAAAATAATTTTAAATTTTATTTTTTGCTTTTTTTCCTTTTTTTTTGCTAACTTTTTTTGTTTAATTTTACCCCTTTTTTAAATTTATATAAAATTAGGTACTTATTCATGTCTTCGTACAAAAGTAATTTTTAATAAAAAATTAATTTAAAAAAAATTAATTTTTTTAAAGTTAATACTTCGAAGAGAATTTAGTTATTATTTATTACAGGTAAATTTAAAAATAAAATAATTAATTTAAAAATTAGTTATATATTCCTTCATGTATGTTAGTAATTGTCTCTTGGGTATCTTTTTGGTTAGATAAAGTTTGTTTTCCTTTGAATTTTATAAAAAAATATTCTTTATTTAAAAGGACAGTGTCCCTGCAAGAGTAACTTTGGGGGTTACAACGTAAATATATTTAATTTAAATTTATTGTTAAATTGATTTCCCCTTTAACAGATTACTTACAATGACTACACAATCTAGCGGTATTAATTCTGTAAGAATTTAATTTTTAATTTTTAATTTAATTAAAATTTTTTTAAAGAAATTACCTCCAGTCTCCTATACAAAAGTAAATATAGTTATTTTTAAATAAATTTTTTTAATTAAAAATAATTTTTAGGCTGTGGATGTTTGGATTGGGGTTAGTAATTTTAATTCAAAAATAATTTTTGATTATTTTAAATTATAAAATTAGGGAAATTTTTTTATTTTTTTAATTTATTTAAAATTCAAAAAAGCTATCCGATATTAAAGTATTTTTAAAAATTTTAATAAAAAAATCCATTTAAAGGTTTGTATGGCATTTATTTTTGGCGCTTTACTTGAATTTGCATTAGTAAATTATGCAGCAAGAAAAGATATAAGTTCAACACAACAAGTAAATATTTAAATTTAATTTAAATATATTCTAATTTAAATTTAAAAGAGAATGATTAAATTACATCAACAACAATATTCTTCTACTTCCCCTTCAATTAATACAAATAATTTACAGCAACCCCCACAACAACAATTTCAATCACTTTTACATCCAATCCCAACATTAAATATAAGGAATATACAAAATAACAACAATACTAGACAATCTATACAGCAACAAAGATTGGGAATTTGTTTTCGGTTTTGTTGTAGATTATTTGTTAGAAGATATAAAGAAAGGTCGAAAAGAATTGATGTTGTTTCTAGATTGGTTAGAAATTTAATTAATTAATTATTTTGTTTTTTAAAGGTTTTTCCAATTGGATATGCTTGCTTTAATGGTTGGTGCTTGTTTATTTTTAAAAATTATTTTTTAAATTAATTTTCAGTTCTTTATTGGGCTGTTTATTTAATGTAAAAACAAACAAAAATTGAACTTTGGATACAGTCAAACCTCAACTACAAATATATAATTTTTTTATTCCAATCCCGATCTCTAATCAAATATTCTTAACCTCTTTTTTATGCTCATTATTGCCCAATTTATTTTCTTTATTTTTGCTTTTTATAAAAAATACTTTTAGTTTTGTGTTAGCTTTTTAATTATTTTTTTGTATAAAATTTTGCTTAAATTTAGTTTTTGCCTTTTAAAATAATTTTTTAATAAAAAAATAAATTTAAAAAAAAATTATTTCATAGGAGAATATTCATGTGTTCGATTAAAGCTTCTTTTACGTAGAGAATATAGGTAGGTAAATATATTTTGGGGGTAATTTTATTTTTAATTTATTTATTTTTAGTTATTATCTCATTCAATTATACATTCCCTGTAAGAAAATTAAAATTTTCAAATTTAATTTTAAATTTTATTTTTAAAGGTGTTATGTTGGTTGTTGTTTCTTGGGTTAATTTAAATTAATTTTTTTAATTTAAAAATAAAATTTTAGGTATCATTTTGGCTTGACAAAGATGCTGGTAAATTTTTTTTTAATTTTAAAAATATTTTTATTATTTTGAAGTGCCTGCAAGAGTTAGTTTAGGGGTTACAACGTAAATATATTTTTTAATTAATTATCAATTATTTAATTTAAAAGATTATTAACAATGACAACACAAGCATCGGGAATTAATTCTGTAATTTTATTTTTAAAACAAAAATATTTTTTTAATTTTAACAGAAATTACCTCCAGTCAGTTATATAAAGGTAGTAAATAATTATTTAAATTTAATTAAATTAAAAATAAAAAAGGCTGTAGATGTTTGGATTGGGGCTTGTTTAGCATTTATTTTTGCGGCATTATTAGAATATGCTTTAGTTAATTATTATGGTAGAAGGGAATTTTTAAATATAGAAAAGAAAGGGAGAAGAATGGGAAGATTAAGTATGGCATATCAACAAGTAAATTAAATATTTTTAGAAGGAAAAAAATAAATATTTAAAAAGGAATGTTTATGTCCACCACCACCACCACAATTATTATTATCTCCACAAAATATTTATCATCCTGACTTTTTTGCACCAAAAACTTTAAATAATAATATTGTAAAATTTAATTTAATTAAAATAATTTTTAATTTTTTATCAGTTAACAAAAAATAATTCCTCCGATTTAAGCAAAACTCCATTAAATTTAGAAAATAATAATTTTTACCCAAAAAGACCTAAAAGAATTACAAGATTTGGATTAATAATTAAAAGAATTAAATATTTATTTGGTTCGAATATTGAATTATCTAAACGTGTTGATATTGTTAGTAGAGTAGCTTTTCCAACACTTTATGCTGGATTTTTAAGTAAAAAAGGGGTTTTTTTGGTTAAATTAAAATTTATATTTTTTAGTTTTTTATTATCTTCGTTTTGTTATGTTTCAGTCAACTGAAGGATTTAAATAAAGAAAAGAAAGAGAATTTAATTATAATTTATTTTTTGTTTTTAATTTAAAAATTGTTGTTAATTTTTGTAAATTGTTTAAAAAATCTCCTAATGTGAAGAGTTAATTATATAAAGAGGTATTTTCTCTACTAAAATTAAAGAGAGAAAACAAATTTTATTTCATTCAAATAATGAAATAGTTAAACTCTAAAAGGTTAAAAATTATTTTGTTTAATAATTTATAAATAAGATTAAATTTAAAGCATAATTGGGGAAAAAGAAAAGGACTAACAAAATAAATTAAAATTATCACATTATTTATCTTTTAAATTATTTTTTTCTTCAATCTTCTTTTTATTTTCCTTTTTCTCTTCAATTTTCTTTGCCTCATTTAATTTATCCATATTAATCCGAGCAAGTAATAATTTATTATATAAATGAATTATTCGAGCTTTTGATCTATAAGGAAATATAACTCCCATTACTACAAGAAATACAAAACGTTGAACAACAAAATTAAAAAATACCTAAAAAAATAATTAAAATAATTTTAAATAAATATCCCCCAACCATTAACAAAAGAATAAGAAAAACAGGCAAAAATAGAGAATAAGAATTATAAAGCCAATCAGGTTTTGAAGAAGCATTTTTAAGACATTTTTCATTTGTAAGTTCTTCTTTTAAATACCCCGTATAGTTAAAATTAAGAATCTAAAAATTATTTTTTAAATTTAAATTTTTCTTTTTAACACACCTCTTTAAGTAAATTAGCAACAACCCCCTCTCCATCAACTTTAATATTTAAATGAGAATAACTTGTTTGTTCACTTAACATTTTTCCATGTTCAATTACCTTTAAATTTTAAAAAAACTAAAAAAAATTCTTTTTTAATTTTTTACAATTTCAAGCATTCTATTGTAATAATAATCGAGCATAACAATTGCAATAACAACAAATAATAGAACAATCCATCGAACAAAAGCTTTTGTCATTTTTCGAATTTCATCAGATCGAGGTAACCCAAAAGGACTAATTAAATTATTAAATTTAATTTCTTCTTTTCTTAAAGGCCACAAAAAAACTTTTCCTTCTCGTCGACGTTTTGAATCAATATGCCTAAAAATAAATAAATTTTAAAGTAAAAAAAGAATTTTTAAAACCAAAAATAGGGTGTAGTAAAATAATTTTTATATTCAATATCATTTAAATAATTCATTATAATTAAAACACAATTTTTAAAAACAAAATATGTAAACATAATAATTAAAAAAGTAAACATTTTGTCAAAAGTAGCCAAAATTATCTAAAAATAATTTTTTAATTTAAATTATCAAAAATTGTCTTTATTGAAATTGAGGATTGAAAATAAATATAATTCTTCTCGATAATACAAAGAGCATTTAATTAGTAAATAAAAAAATAAGTAACTATTTATCTTAAATCTTCTCTTAAAGGTTTCAAAAATTTGTTTTTCTCTTTTCTTTCCTGTTTATTTTATTATCCTCTTTTTACATAACCGTTATTTTAACTTTAATATAAAATTTTCTTTATTACCTTATAATATTCCAAATCATGTTTCATTTCAGTTTGTAATTGATTAACAGAATATCCTTGTTCTAATTCAGGTGCCTCCACAGCAACAAAATGTAACTATTTAAATAAAAATATATTTAAATCTAAATTTAGATTTACATTTAAATGTAGTTGATGTTTAACTGTTTTACTTATATTTTCTAATCCACTCATTTCACTATCTAATTCAGAAGAAAATAAACTCTCGTGAGTGCCACGTGCAGCATCCTGTACCTGGCCAAGTTCACAATATTTACGTGACATTTTTTTAAAACGATCAGGCTTTAAAGAAAATAAATTATTTAAAATAAATAAATTTTAAATACTTTACAAAGAGTTAAAGAATTCATTGCAGAACAAGTAAAATAATGAATTGGAAAAGGTATTGTATCATAACAAAGACTCTATAAAATATAATTATTTGCAAAAATATTTTAAAAAAACTTGTGATTCTTCAAATTTTTTATGGCAAGAAGTGACAGAACTTGCAAACATTAATTTACAACGTTTCATAAATCTTCCATAAATTGCTTTTGTCAAATGAGATTTAAGACGTTTTAATACAGGCTGTGAAACTCTATCAACTTTTGTTTCTCCATTTTCATCTTTATCCTCACCATAAGTTTTTAATTTTCTTGTGGCAAGTGCCTAAATTTTTAAATTTAAAAGAAAAAATAATTTAAATACTTCAGCAGTATCAATAATTGCAGATAAATGTTTGTCGTCTTCTGTGCTGTCTGAATCAATTTCTCCATCATATGGTTGTACTAATGAACGTAACATTTTAACAACTTTATTGCCTATAGAAGTAGCATTCCCTGGAAATTTTTAAATAAGTTTTGTTTTATACAAAAATATTTCGAACTAACAAAAATTGTTCAAGGGCGTAGCTAGTGGTCGATTTCAGTGGGGGCTAAAACCCAACCCTCCTCCATTTCGGTTGGGGCTTTAGATCAGAAGCCCCCTATCTACGCCCTTGGTATTGAGTGGGGTTTACTCAAGTGAGAAAGAAAATGAAATTATAAAACAACAAATATTGGAAACTAAATTTGTCAGAACCCTTTCCAAAATATATTACATATTTCCCATCTAATGAATTTCCAACAATACAATCTTCATATTCCGATTTCCAATAAAAATTATTCATTTAAATTTAAAAATATTTATTACCAAAATGTTTTTCAAAAAGCATTTCTAAAGGCCCTGCTTGAATTTGCATTCGACGTTTAGCAACGCGTGCTTGTAATTCCAAATGGCAAAGTGTAATTTTTGTTGAATGACCAAAATTAACCATAATATTTTGTATAGGCCCTAATCTTAAATTTTCCATAACATAAATTGAAATAACTCCTTGCCCTGAACTACTCAGTCCTGAGAGAATGGCAAAAATAATTGAACAACGAATTAACTTAAATAAAAAATATTTCTAAAAAAAATAAAAAAAGCCAAACAGAATTTAAAGAAAAAGAAAGTGCAGCAAAGCCAATCAAAAAATATTTTACTAAAAAAGCCCAAAATGAAGGAATAAATCTTGTATCAGCAGCAAAATTAATTTTATACCAAGCCAAATGATAAACAAGTAAGGAAAGAAGAAATCCAAAGGGAAAATTGTAGAGAAAACGAAGAAGACGGTAATCTTTTGTTTTACTATTTAAGAAAAAATAAAAGAAAATTATAGTAGAAGAAAAATTATTAAATATTTTTATTCAAAAAATTACCTGTAAAGCAAAATATCAATATATCTGGGACGACCTTTTTTAATTTTCTTTTCACGAGAGGGTTCTACAAATAAACAACTATATAATCCATCTTCATTTAAAGTTTTCCAAAGACTTTTTGCTTTTTCACAAACCATTTTTAAAATATAAAAATTATTTAAAATAAATATATTCTAAAATTAAGAACAAAAATATTTTTTTAAAAATAAAAAAATTAATTAAAATAAAAAAAAATAATTTTTATTACAATTTTATTTTAAAAAGGAAAAAATATTCTCATCAAATTTATTTTTTAAAGTAAATTGCAAGAATCTAAAAATGTCCCCCAACTATAAAATGATTCGAAATCTTCTTTATCTGTTGTTGTTGTAACACTTTCATGAATTAAATTAGCTCTACCAGAAGGATCTTCATTTTCTTGCCATTTAGGTATCCATTTTAATACCTTTGAAAAATTATTTTAAACTAAAATATAAAAATTAAATAATACAGTCTGAGCAGCCGCTTCACTTGGAAAATATTTATGGAATATCTTGCGAATATAAAAAGCCTAAAATTTAAAATAATAATAATTAGAAAAACATTTCCCATTTACTTCTTTAGTAGTTGGTGTATTATGTGGAAATAAATTAGGAGCATTATTCATCTTTAAAAAATTAATTATTTAATTTATAATAATTTTTTAAATAACCTCTTCATCGCTAATTTGACTTTCACAAAAATCTTTCAATTGATCAATCCATCCATACCCAACACCATCAGAAAATTGTTCTTTTTGTCTCCAAAGAATCTCATCAAGTAAAAATGGGTCTTCCTTTAAAAAATTTAAACATTCAAAATTCAAATATTTAAAAAACCTCTCTTTCAAAAGCTTTTCTCAAAATCCATTTTTCAATAGGCCTTTCACCTCTTCCAATCTCTTTCTTTGGTCGTTTATATTCTGGATTTATATTCATAGCTAATTGAAGAAAATTTTTGTCCAAAAAAGGAACACGGACTTCCAGTGAATGTGCCATACAAGATTTATCAGCTCTAAGACAATCAGCCGTAGAAAGTAAATTAACTCGTCGAATTGTTTCTTTTTGAAATTCTTCATTATTTGGAGCATTATGAAAACTAAAAAAAGGAAAAAATTGTTAATTTAAAAAAACAAATAAACTATAAATATCCTCCAAAAATTTCATCAGCTCCTTCTCCTGATAGAACAACTTTAATTCCTAACTCTGTTATTTTCTTTGAGAGGAAATACATTGGTGTAGATGCACGAATAGAGGTAACATCTTATTAAAAAATAAAGAAATTTTATTTTAAAAAATTTTAAAAACTAACCATAAGTTTCTAAATGCCAAATTAATTTGTCTAAAGCAGCTATTCCTTCCTAAATAAATTTTAAAAAATAAATATATTTAATTTGCCTCAACACTAAAATAACACTCGTGGTGTTCTGTTCCAAGAATTGCAGCCAATTTTCGAGCCTTAGAAATGGAAAAAATATTTTTATAAATATTTATAAAAAAACTAACAGCAACTAAATCGGGAGCATTAGCATCTAGACCTGTTTTAATTAATTAATAAAAGATAAATTTTAAAAGTCTGTATTAAACTTAATTAAGGTGCAAAAAAATTAGATTTATTTTCATAATTATTTAGAATTTTTAAATAAATATTGATAAAATAAATGAGACATTGTTGCCTAATTGTTTATTTATTAAATAATTTACCAATAGAGAATGAACGAAGTTTATGCCCAACATTATCTAATCCATGCATTTTTCTTACAGCGATTGCACTAACTAAAGAAGAATCTAATCCACCAGAAAGAAGAACGCCTATAAAAAATAAAAATAGTTATGTAGACTAAATTTAATCAAAACAATTCCCGAAAATTAAATTTCATTTTTAATTTAATTTTACCGATAGGTGCATCACTCATTAAACGTTTTTCTGTTGCTTGGATGAGACCATTTCGAAGTAATAATAAATCCATATGATTTGTAGCCAATTCCCAATTAAACCAATTTGGCTTTAAAAAAATAAAATTTGTTTTTTTGAAAAAGTAAATTTAGTAATACATTATAATATCGAACAATTCCTTCTTTATGAGTAAAATAATGCCCGGGAGGAAAAGCAAATACTTCAATACAACTATCCTCAATTACTTTAAGTTCACTACTATAAATGATTCAAATAAATATTTAAAAAATTTTACTTTTCCAAACCTAAAAAGTTTTCTCCCCTCAGAATCAGTTCCCCAATAAAATCTCTTGCAACCATAAATTCATCCCCATAAATTAAAGCAAATGCAAAAACTCCATCCAAAGTTAAACACAATTCTCGTTCAAATCCTTCATTTAAATGAAGTTTTTCATAAAGACTTTAAAAAAATTAAAATTAATTAATTAATCAGAAAAAAATTACGCAATAATTGACTCAGAATCGCAATGAGTACGAAATTCAAAATTAATAAGCTCGTTTTGTCGAAGAGATTCATGATTGTAAATTTCACCATTATGTACAACCTGAATTTTTTTAAATTTTTAGATTAAAAATATTTGGCATAATGTTTAATATTTTTTAAAACGAAAATAATCCCGTAAACAAAATAATTTTCAAAAAATTTCATAAAAAATAAAAAGAACTAGTTTTAAATCTCATTGTCAGTTTTAAATATTATTTACCTGATGATCAGGCTCGCTTCCCTGCAAAGGCTGTACACACCCCAAATCAACAATAGCTAAACGTTCATGTGCCAATATATTTCCGTTTTGAGGGTGCTGATAAAAACCATGAAAATCTGGACCTAAAAAAGAATTTAAAATATTTTTAAAATTAATAGTTCAACTAGATTTTATTAAAAATAAAACCTCTATGTTTTTGTCGGGATGAAAGTTTTTGTGCTTTTTCAGCTGAAAATTTACAACATTCTTTGGGATGAAATATTGCAAATATTCCACACATTTTTTTATTAAATTAAAAATTAAAAAATACTTAAAAATATTAATAAAAATTATGTAATATACATAGATATTTATATAAAAATATATGAGTGATTAAGTAAAAAGAGAATTGCATCATTCTATTTATTTTGGTGGGCGGGACAAGCTAAATGTGGGAAAGAGAAAATGAACGGATGGGTAGTAATGAAAAATAAAAAAAAATGGAAAATATGTATTTATTGAGAGAAGCTGGCAGAAAGGAGAAGGAGAAATAAGATCAGGAAATAATTAAAGGTTAAAAATAAATTTTTTTAAACTTTTAAAAAATATTTTTCTGGTAATTGATTGGGAATAAAAAATCTAATTTCCAATAAAATTAAATGTCCAAAAAAATTTTAAAAAGATTTAATCTTTATTTTAAAAAATGATAATAAAAATTTACTAAATAGAGTAAATATTTATTATAATCGATTAAACAAATTGAACGGATGGGTAGAAAAAAATTAATTGATTAAATTTAAAAATTAAATTAATTATAATTCATCAATTAATTCAATATAATCGTAATTCACTAAGCCATACAAAACCAAAAAGAATTAATAACAAAATTGTTGGTACCAAACCAATAACACAGAGACAAAATTGGATGCGAGGTGCTTTAATAAAAATAATTTTTGTTTGAACAGCTTTTAAACTAATTGAATAAAAATATTCAAAATAAAATATTTTTTAAGAAATTATTGGAAAATTAGTAAAAAAATTAAAATATTTGGTATTAAAAAATAAAATATATATTTTAAAGAATTTATGGAAAACTATTTAAAAATATTTTTTTTATTTTATAATATTTTAATTTTCCAAATAAAAGCCATAAAATATATACAAGTTGCAAATTTATTTTTTTTTCGTTTTTCAATGTACATATCTCTATTTAAAAATACGGAAGCTGAATTTAAAGTCTTTAATTCAAAATACCCCAAAATTAATTTAAATAAAACTTCTTACATTTAATAGGCCAACAATAATTTTTAATTTTATTTGAACATGTACGTGGAATTGTACTTGATTCTAAAATTTTGCGAATATTTTCTGAATTTGTATTTTGATTAAGAACTAATGGTAAAGGTATTGGATCAGCCATTTAATTTTTAAATAATTTTTAAAAAAATATTTAAAATATATAATTAAAATTAAAAAGAATTTTTTAGTTAAAAATAAAAATAATTATATGTATATGTATATCCAAATTTTAAGATATTACTTACTCATTTAAGGATATTTCTGTTGCGCATCTGATGATCCTTAACTCAAGTACTAACTAATAATTATATTTTTTTCGTTGCAGAACATAAAAAAATAAAAAGTCTGAAATTAATTACCTAGAAATTTAAATTTTTATTTTTAAGTTTTATCTCCGGGCAGCCATACATATATTCTGCAACCTAGTAATAAATTTAAAATCATTGAAAATTAAACTATAAAAACATGAAAGAATCACGCATTTATCATCTAAATAATTCTCTATATTTTTCTACATTCTCGGAATTATGCTTGGTTTGTTACAAAATAATTTATTTTAATTTTTTTTAATTTTTAGAGGTAACGACTACAATGTCTGAGGAGATGATGTTTGCTTCTACAGTTTTTCTATATGTTTTTCTGGTAATTGGAGCTGTCTTCACCTTCATTCTTTGCTGCTATTGCTGTTGCCAAAAAGATGATAAAAATGTGAAGAAGAAGCCGACTCCTGCTCCGATCGAGATTCTAGAGCAGAAATATAGCCGTACTGAGGCTATCATAATTTGTGAAAAACCAGAAGTGAATTCTCTAAAAGTATAAAATTTCTCTCAATTCTAATTAAAAATTTTTTCAATTTTCAGTCTCTGCCTCAAAGTCAACCATCGTCTCTTCCTGTCGTCTCGCTACCGCCTTCACTTCCATCTGAGAGAAGTCTTCCTGTATTCTCTACTCAACCTTCACGTTCAATTCTGTCTGAGCCGAAGCAGCGTTCTGTCACTACTGCTCGACTTCCCAATCCTTCTGATCATCAATCGAATTCGCCTCCTTCGACCTCTCGAGGATATCCTTGGTAAATAAAAATTTTAGTCAAAAAAATAATTTTCTAACTTTTCAGTACCCCTCCATCGTTCAATGCTTCATACACCATAATTTCTCCAGTGCTGCCCTTCCAAGGCCAACATCATCAGCAAGCGTCTACAATGAAGTCTAAAAAGTATAGCAACCGAAGCCGACGATCTTCCAGACGTTCTCGTCGCAAATATGGGCGAAAACATGATGAGAGTGATTACAGCCGTCGTAGTCACACGGTACGATCCCAATCGAGTTCGCGTAGTTATCCGTCGGACTGGGAGGAGAGGGGACCGTCTTGGCGTCAATATCGGTCTTGGCCTAAAAAGAGGAGCAATTCGAGGGACAGGTCAAGGAGCAGAAGCCGATCGAGAAGCCGGAGCAGGGGGAGAGGTGGAAGCAGGAGGATGAGCAGGACTATGAAAGACTGGAGAGACTAGAAGCAAAAAAGAAAGTTGAGGGTGATATATGTATTGAGGATTGTTGTAAAATACTTGTAGATAAATAAATAGGTATATTGTAAGTATATGTTAGTATGTATAATGGTTGTATAGATTCTTCAATTGTTCTATTAAAATCCCGAATATTGTATTGTAAATGTCGTCATGTGTATAAAACATTGATAATTTGTTGAGTTAGTTTTCTTTAATAAAATCCAAAAAATCCTTTCGTTTTTTAAAGATTTAATTTCGGTTTGTCTTTTAAAATTATCCTTAAAGGAAATTAAAAAAAATTTTAACAAAGAGCATTGTTTCGAAGATAATTTTTATTGGAAAGTTTTAATTTTGATCATAATCTCTTTGTTTCCAATCTACTCTTTACTATTCAGATTTTTAAAATATACAAAATTACTAGTTTACTTTATTTGGTTATTTTTTATAGTTGTTTTTTTTAATTTTTATGTACTTTATTTGTTATTTTCGCAATTTTAAAAGAGTAAACAAGTAAGCAGACCAATTTGAAAAAAAAATTGTTTAGAGTTTTTTTTAAAAAATACAGACAAATGTGTTTATGTTGTTTTTGTCTATTTAGTAGAGAGTTGTTGTTTTGGACTTTAAAATTTATTTTGTCTGGCGAGTTTACTTCATTCACCTCCCCCCCCCCCCTCCCTCCTTTTTTTCGCCAATTGACAACCTCTACCTACTAACTATTTGCTATTTTATTTCCTGCCCGTCGTCTGTCACTCATTCATTCAAAAATGTAGAAAACAGCCTTTCTCTCTCTATTATCCCTTCATAGTATTTTCGCCCTAGACAACACAAATATGTTTGTTTGTTTGTGTATCCATGGACGTTCGAATGTATGTATGTACATATTCTTTTAAATAAATATTTTTACTATTAAATTTGTTAATAATATATAAAGTTATTTTAAATAAATAATTTTTTAAATAAAATTTAAATTTTTTATTAAATTATAGTAAAATATTTACCGACCGAATCCCTCCCTAATAACCTCTTTTCCTTATTTAACTCCTTTGCTACTTCTTCAATATGTATAGCTTTAATATTCTTAACTTTTTTAAATTAACAAAAATTTTTTTGGATTTTTAAAAGCATTTTTTATTTCAAATATTTCCTTTAAAATTTTCATTTCCCTTCTCTTTCTCTATTTAATTTAATTTAATCATAAACTCTATTTATTAGATTCACAATTCTTTTTCTCATTTTTCATCAAATTAATTTGCCATGACAGCCATCTGGCAGATTATAATATAAAAAACGGACCGGAAATTACACGCACTCAGAGCCGCAATTCTATATGTAAATATATATATCTTCTTTTTAAAAATTAATTTCTCTTATACAAGCCCAACAAAGTATAGAAAAAGAGAGACAGGAGATATATCCAAATGTGCCATTTTATATATTTGGCTATAACTCTCTTTTTTTATCCTTCTTCTAAAATTATTTTATCAACTACACAAAAAACTTTTAGAGATAAAAAAATATTTCTTTCTATTTTTCTTCCTTTTTATTTTTCTTTCTCTAAAAATTAATAGAAAAAAGTGTTGGGAAAAATATTTTTGTTTTAAACAAATTTTTAAGTTAGCAACTGGGGGGTATATACCGGATATATTATTCTTTTTTATTTGTTTGCTTGCACTTCTCTAAATATTTAAATTAATATTTAAATTGAGTAATTAAGAATTATTTTAACTAATATTTATTTTTGGGAAATTATTTTTAAATTTTTAAAAAATAATAAAAATATTTAGGTAAAAACTTAAATTCTGATTTTATTTAAATAAATTATTAAATTTATATTTACATATGTACATTAATAGTTTTTATTTCCAGGTGCTTCCTTAACTCGTCTTAAATAATAATACTTCTTTAATTCGTCTTAAATAATAATAATATTTATATTAAATTAACGAAAAGTTTCAGAGATTATTATTCTTTTTAACAAAATTTCACAAAATATTATTTATTGACTTGAAACATGTACCCATAAAAATTCTTCCTTCTGCTTTTTAAATACTTTAGGACTTCACGCGTTACTAATCTTTTTATCCTCTTGACTTAATAAATTCATATATACAATGAAAGTCTCTCTAACTTCGTCGGGAAAATTTGGCCTGAGGGGTGACGTAAGAAAGAGATTCATTCCACTTTACATTCATCTTTACCCTTTTACATATTTTCTTTCAATAACTAAAAACACCACCCCTCGCAACCATTCTAGACTATGTGTTAATCTAAACGCCTACTTAAAAGTATAATAAACACCTTTTATAAGGAAACTTTGCTCCTAAAAAGCAATTAAATAATAACAACATTTATTAAGGCTGTCAATAAATAAATAAATTACTTCCTCTTTTTGAGGGGAAAAACAACCGTGTCTACATTAAATATATTTTGTCAGCATTTATCAATAAATAATAAAAATATGAATACTGGCAATGGGGATGGTGGAGGGTTCTTTGGTAGGTGTAATTAATAATCTTATTTGGCAAGTTTTTTAAAGATTAATTTGTTTTTATTTGTAGTCACAAAAACTCTTTAAATCCAAACCAATTACTTTAATAAAAAATCTACACTTTCTGTACATAGTAAATAAAAATCAATTAAAAATAGCGTCCAACTTCTTTTCTACCCTTTTTAGATTTGGCTGTAGTATAGTATACCGGTGGAAAGGTTTCAATATAAGACCCATACCATTCGATTCGTCTCGGCGAGCTGAGTCGAACGGTACCACTCTTTTTTTCCGGAGATGCCTGTGGGCCAAGATATAGGTCCCCGAAAATCGAAAAACCATAGGGGGGACCAAGCACTATTTTGGGGTGAAAAATTCGATTTTTCGTGTGATAGCTCATTCGAAAGAGCTCATCGAGCTGAGTCGAATGACACCAAAATCAACGAAATCTGATTTGATTAGACCGAGATACAGACCTCTGAAAATTGAAGAACTACAAGGGCGAATTTTGGATAAAAAAATTCGAATATACAAATGATAGCTCATTCGAAAGAGCTCCTCGAGCTGAGTCGAATGACACCAAAATCAGCAAAATCAGACTTGATTTGAGAAAGTTATGACTGTTTGTTTTAGCTCCTTACCTATGCCAGCCGTTGAGTGGTTGATGCTGCGGAGGAAACCGGGCAAGCCCACTTCATCGATAATATGAATAGGATTAAGTTACGAGCCCAGACCCAGCGCCCGTAGACTCCCCGCGAGGCGCGTGCCGCAAAACCCCGCGCGAAGCGCGGGGTTTTGCACAAGCGCCTCGCCGACGCTCCATAGGTTTATGTTGACCATTTTGAACCTCTTTATCTAGGCTCAAAATCAAGATCTCGAGCTCATTTTGGTGTCATTCGACTCAGCTCGGTGAGCTCTTTCGAATGAGCTATCACACGAAAAATCGAATTTTTCACCCCAAAATAGTGCTTGGTCCCCCCTATGGTTTTTCGATTTTCGGGGACCTATATCTTGGCCCACAGGCATTTCCGGAAAAAAAGAGTGGTACCGTTCGACTCAGCTCGCCGAGACGAATCGAATGGTATGGGTCTTATATTGAAACCTTTCCACCGGTATACTATACTATATCCTTAGATTTTTTTAAATTAGCCATCAGTCATACATATGTAGTATTTATAATATCTTGTTAAATTAGTATGAAGTTTAAACGTCACATTTTGTGTTTAAATTTGTCAAAATTAGATTTATTTTGTTTGAAAATTTTTGAGAAAATGGAAAATTATTTTAGGAATTTACTAGGATTAAAATATTCACCGTTATCAGTAAAGAAGTCACTTCCTTAGAATTTTTATGGATTCAAAGAGATTTTTAGCGCCTCTTTGGCGATTTGTCACTTTAACCAATTCTCCCTCTTCTTCAAAAGCAGCGCCGGCTCCGGCTATGGTTTCTGCATCCCCGACAGCTCCAATTCCACAGCAACAATCAAAACCGAGCATTACTGGTCAGCAGGAGGCACCGGCAGGACAAGGACAGAGGACACGTAAAGCAAGTAGTACAAGCAATTTTTTGGGTAAAATTTTTGTTTTTTCTAATAATGAAAATTAAAAACTTGTTAAATAAGGGTCCCGTTTTGAGGAAAAGTTAAAAATATTTAAAAAATTTTCCATTTACAGTTATTGATTTATTTGTTATTAATCAATAATTGTATTTTTCTTTGCTATATTTTTAAAATTTCATTATAAAACAAAAAAAAATTTTTTTATTTACTAGTTTATTTTTGGCTTAATTTTAAATAAAAATTGGCCTAACTACAGTTTCCGTACCAGGCTCAGAATTGGACGATTTATATGTCATTCGAAAGAGCTCGTCGAGCTGAGTCGAACGACACCAAAATTATTCAGCGGAAAAAATTCTGGGCCGAGTTACAGACCCCTGAAGTTCAAAAAAACAAAGGGGGGACCAAGCACTTTTTGGAGGTAAAAAATTCGAATAAGCAAATGATAGCTCATTCGAAAGAACTCGTCGAGCTGAATCGAATGACACCAAAATCATCTTGATTGCACAAGTTTTGACAAAGTTACGATAGAAAAACTACTAACATAAACCTATGGGTCTTCGGCGAGGCGCTTGTGCAAAACCCCGCGCTTCGCGCGGGGTTTTGCGGCACGCGCCTCGCGGGGAGTCTACGGGCGCTGGGTCTGGGCTCGTAACATAAACCTATTCCTATCTCCCTTGTTCTGGACGTATTTGGGGCCTCCGTAGCAGCAAAAATCTCCACAGATGCTATAGGTAAGGAGCTAAAACAAACGGTCATAACTTTGTCCAATTAAGTCAGATTTCGTTGATTTTGGTGTCGTTCGACTCAGCTCGACGAGCTCTTTCGAATGAGCTATCATTTGCATATTCGAATTTTTTACCCCCTAAAAAGTGCTTGGTCCCCCCTTTATTTTTTTCAACTTTAGGGGTCTGTAACTCGGCCCAGAATTTTTTCCGCTGAATAATTTTGGTGTCGTTCGACTCAGCTCGACGAGCTCTTTCGAATGACATATAAATTGTCCAATTCTGATCATGGTACGGAAACTGTAGTTTAGCCTAAAAATTTAATTTTAAAACAAAAAAAAATAAAATCATTATTTTTCTCTCTTTTATTTTACAATTTTTTATACATATTTTCATAGCCTCTCTTGCTTCATCCATTTACGGCTCTTCTACCCCATCTGGTGGTACAGGCTCAAGCCACACACAGTCATTTAGCATTCAAGGGGATATTGATGCTACTCAACAACGAAATTCTCCACTTCCATCATTAAGCTCAATTGGCAGTGATGCAACTTTAAATAGGTTTTTTTAGAAAATATTTTTTAAAATTTAATTTTAAATATTTTTTTTAGAAAAATGTCAACAGCTAGTCAAAAAGTACGAACAAGAGAAGACGTTATTTATGAAGGTTTATTTATTTTTATTTTAAAATTAAAGTTTTATCAAATTTTTAGGTTGGTTATTAAAACGTGGAGAGCACATCAAAAATTGGCGTCAACGTTATTTTGTTAGTTATTCAAAGATTTTTAAAATTATTTTTTAATTTATTTAAAGGTTCTTTTCAAAGACGGCTCACTTTTAGGCTACAAAGTAATTTTTAAGTTTAAATCAACATTTTTAAAAAATTTTTTTAGTCAAAACCAATCGATTCCTATAATGATCCTTTAAATGATTTTACTGTAAAAGATGTTCAGGTTTTTTTCTAAAAAAAAGTATTTTTTAAATTATTTAATTTTTTTAGCTAATGAAATTAGATCGTCCAAAGCCAAATACTATACTTGTTAGAGGCCTCCAATGGACTACAGTTATCGAAAGAATGTTTTGTGCTGAAACACCCGATCAGCGTGATTGTTGGATAAATGCAATAAAATCGGTGGCAGAAAATTTAAAACGCGAAGAATTACTTCATGGAGGAGTTCAGGACCAAGAAATGATGGTAATTATTTAAATTTTAGACGTAATTTAAATATTTTTAGGATGTCTCTCAATTACCCCAAGCAATGGATCCAACCCAATATCCGTGGACTTATCAACCAACTCCCCCTATCTTCGATCCTCAACAACATCAACAATTTGACAATGGGTATATGCCTGGATTACAAGGATTTGGAGGAATTCCAAACCAATTCCATACAACTGTGGCGGCTGCCGGTGCTGCTCAGCAAAAACAATTACTTCATGAGGCAATGGTCAAGGCACAAGCGGCGGCAAATGCTGCGGCGATGGCTACAAGTTCAGGAGGTAACGTGTGCGCTGAAGCTGTTGCTGCCGCAGAGAAGGCTGCTGCTGAATTGAAAAAACCAGAAGGACAGAAAACGCGAAGCAGAATTGTAATTTTTAATAAATTATTTTTGGAATTTTTTTGTTCATTTTTTACTCTTTTTACAGACATTGGATGACTTTGAGTTCTTAAAAGTCCTTGGAAAGGGAACTTTTGGTAAAGTAATCCTCTGCCGTGAAAAGAGAACAAGTCGTCTTTATGCAATCAAAATTTTGAAGAAAGAAGTTATAATACAAAAAGATGAGGTTTTTCTTTCTCTAGTTTTTTTAAAAAGTTAAAAAATAAAAGGTTGCCCATACTTTAACTGAGAATCGTGTACTTCAACGTTGTAAACATCCATTCCTTACTGAATTAACCTATTCCTTCCAAACAAGTGACAGACTTTGTTTTGTTATGGAATTTGCAATTGGTGGAGATTTATATTATCATTTAAATAGACAAGTTGGGAAATATAAAGAAGGATTTTCTGAAAGTAGAACACGTTTTTATGGAGCGGAAATTGTTTTGGCTTTGGGTTATCTTCATGATAATAATATTGTTTATAGAGATTTGAAGGTTTTTTAACGTTAAAAAATTTTTTTCAACTTTTTTTAGTTGGAAAATTTATTACTTGATAGAGACGGACATATTAAAATTGCTGATTTTGGTCTTTGCAAAGTTTTTAAATTTTAATTTAATTTGAAAAAAATATTTTTAGGAAGATATTTCATTTAGTGGACGAACTCGAACATTTTGTGGGACTCCAGAATATTTGGCACCTGAAGTTTTGGAAGAAAATGATTATGGACGTTCTGTTGATTGGTGGGGAGTTGGTGTTGTTATGTATGAAATGGTTAGTTTTTTAATAGAAAAGTGAAGAGAATAAATCTAGGTAATGAGTTAATTAAAGGATGATTTTAGAGTTAGTATTCTGGTGAGGGGGAAATTAATGGTTTTTGTTTATTAAACGACATCTTATCTACAATATTCTCACATTTTAATTTTTCAATTCATAATCTTTAATTCTAAACTTTTTTTTTACTTTTAAGATGTGTGGACGTTTACCTTTTTACTCGAAAGAGCACGAAAAATTATTTGAAATGTTTGTTTTTAAATTAAAAATATTTTTGAAAAGAATTTTATTTTTAAAGGATTTTGCAATGTTCATTACGTTTTCCATCACGTTTATCACCAGAAGCCAAAGTTCTCCTTTCTGGTTTATTAGTAAAAGACCCAAATAAAAGATTGGGTGGAGGTCCAGATGATTATCGAGAAATTCAAGCAACGGCTTTTTTTAAACCTATTGACTGGGAAAAACTTTATAGAAAAGAAATTGAGCCTCCATTCAAACCTCAACTTTCTTCTGAATCTGACACTTCTTATTTTGATTCGGTTAATTTTATAATAAATTATTATTTTTTTAAATTTATTTTTAAAGGAATTTACTCGGGAAGCTGTTCAATTAACCCCTCCAGCAGTTCGTAATGGTCCTTTAGATACTTTAGATGAAATGGATGAAATTCAAAATAATTTTGTTCAATTTTCATTCCATCATGGAGAATTAGGGTCGTCACTTCGTGAAAATAGTGAAATAATGGAAGAATAAAAATTCGTAATTTTTAAATAAATTAAAGCCCCCAATTGAATATATACGTAGTTATTCCATATTTGTAAATAACAAGAATTTCTTTCTAAATTTGTTAGAAATTGTTTGGAAATAAAAAATTTTCCAGACATATATTTTCTTTAAATATTTAAAAATTCTTTAAAAGAAAATTCTTTTTTAATTCTTTCTACATATTCCTAAAAATTTTCTTCTTTACCCAAAAACCTCACCTTTATTTTTAAAAATTGTAAAATATATGTATAACTAAATAAAACATTCTTTTGCTTATCCCGGTTAATTAATTTACTTTTTCTATTATATTCTTTTAATAATTTTTAATATTTCTCTTTTACGTTATAAAAATTTGTTTATTAATTTTTATTTCCTTTTCATTTTTTTATATTTTTATGTAGTAAAGAAAGAGATAAATGATTTTTTAAATATGTATGTAAAAATGAGTTTAATTTTTAATTAGAAATATTTTTTCTTATAAAAAATAAGACCAATTCGTGTGTTCCGAGCTCTAGCGTCTGTAAAAAATGAAAATAATATTAGGAATTAAACCTTTGGGTTATTTATTAGATCCCCCTACGGGCTTTCTCCTCTCTTAGCTCCCAAAATATACTATAAAAGCAACAGCTTCACCTCGTCAGTACCACTCCACTACTCAACCTAATTAACAGTCGTCTACAACTACAGCAGTCACTCGTCGGCAGATGTCAGGAGCTGATTCTACACTTGGAGGCCAGCCCAAAACTCGAACACAGCGCCTCCGTGGACGGGATTTCTATCATGGTCAGTTCCTTCTTTCATTTTGTTTAAAGCTTTCTTTGCTTAATCTCTCGTTTTTTAAGGAATGATTCAAAGGGCTGACGTCAACGAGCTCCTGGTAAAGAATGGCGACTACCTGCTCCGAAAGACCAACGCCGGGGAAAGCAGATTGGCGCTGAGCGTTAAATGGGCCGATCAAATCCGTCACTTCGTTGTGCTCGAGCAGGAAAAGGACGTCTTCTTCGAAGAACAAGGCCATCACGAACCGGAGGTGGATGCCCTGGTCAAATGGCATGAGCGTAAAAAGAAACCAATAACTCAACAATCTGGAGCCATCATAAAAAGAGCAATTGCGAGGGAGGAATGGGTTTTGACACACGAATCGGTGACGCTCGGTGAACAAATAGGCGCTGGACAGTTTGGAGAGGTATGTGCTTCCTTTTTTCTTTTATTTGAATTTTGACTTTTTTTTAAGGTTTTCAAAGCCAAATTCAAGACTACACAGGGCACTAAGGTTGACGTGGCCGTCAAGACACTTCGGGATGGCGAAGCTGTAAGCAATCAAAAAAGGTAGGCGCTGAGGGCATTTTGCCCTATTAATATTTTTTCCTTTTTTACAGTTTCTTGTCGGAGGCAAGGCTGATGCGCCAGCTGCGTCACGAGAACGTCGTTCGGATGTTTGGAGTTGCCGTCTATGAACACCCAATGATGATTGTCATGGAATTGTGCACAGGTGGGAGCCTTCTACACCAGCTTCGTGCTCGACAGACGTCACCCGAGGAGAAGTTTCGTTGGAGCTTTGAGGCGGCCAAAGGCCTGGACTACATCAACTCCATGGGGTACGTACATCGGGACATTGCTGCGCGTAACTGCTTGCTGACCGAATCAACGACACTCAAGATAGCTGATTTTGGACTCACGCTCAAGACGAAACAAGCTCAGATGGAAAGCCTTGGGAAAGTTCCGGTCAAGTGGTTGGCTAAAGAGGTATGTAGATGGGTTTGGGGGATTTAATAAATAACCCAAAGGTTTAATTCCTAATATTTTTTTCATTTTTTTTTACAGACGCTAGAGCTCGGCATCTACAACGCCCACACAGACGTATGGTCATATGGGGTCCTTTGTTGGGAAATATACAGCAATGGCAAGGAGCCGTATCCGGGCATGAGCAATATGCAGGCTAGAGCGCACATTCTACTTCATGGCTACCGAATGCCGATTCCTGAGGGTACACCAGAAAAGGTTGCGGAACTGATCACCAGCTGTTGGAACGGAAATCCATCGGAGCGGCCTCACTTCAAGGAAATTGTCGAGATGCTACAATAAGAATAATAAAGTCCTCTACTATTTTTCCCTCCCCAAAAACTCATTTTTGTGATACTATTTTTGATTGTATATACATTTATACTAATTTTTGTTCTTTCCTTGTGCCTAAACTTGTTTTTGTTTGTATTATTGTATGTATATAAATTGATTTTTTGTAGATAAAATTTGATTCTTTTTATTTTTTCTTGAGATAGGTTAGGGCTTTAGATTACGTCATCATATCTAGATAAGTCAGATACAAAATCCTTTGACTTTAAAAATTGTACATATACTTGGGTGTACTATTTTAAACAGTTTATTTTTCTTAGATGCTCATCCTTAGCCAATTAAATTACAAGAACGTCTCTTTGATAAAAGGTGTACCTAGTATTGGGAGTCTGTTTATTTTTATTTCCTTTTCATTTTTTAGTAAAAAAAAGAAAAATGATTTTTTAATAAAAATGATTTAATTTTTGATTAGAAATATTTTTTCTTAGAAAAAATAAGTAGAACAATTTAAATTTAATTTCCATTTATCATCTAGTATCAAAGGTTTCCAAATAAAAACTTTTATTTTGTTAAATATTAATTAAAAAATTAAAATTTAATTTCCGTTTAATTTTTTTTTTTGTATTTATTTAGATGACTACATAGACTAAAAATATATTAATTAATTTTATATGACTTTAAATTAATTTAGTCAAAAAATTGTTTAAATAAAATTTATTGGCCGCGCACTTTTCTTCTCAAAACATCCTTTTATAAAAAACTTTTAATTATTTAAATGATGACTGGATTATTTACAACAAATTGTTTTGATAATAAAAGTGATCCTTATTTTGTTTTACATGAACAAGTAAATAAATTTTTGTTTAAATAACCCCCCCCCTCCCTCCTAGTGTCTTTAACCGAATAAATCTTAAAAATATTTTTAAATTATTTTTTTAAAGGAAGAAAGAAATTGGATTTATATTCACTTTCAAGGATATCCATATTTAATTATTGGATTACCTGGTTTATTCCTTACTTCATTACTTTCAATAGCTTTAAGTCTTTCAATTTTCCAAAAACAAAATAAACTTAAAAAACGTCGACGTTTTGGAAATAAATTTTATATTTTGTTATTGAATAGAACAATTGGGGATTTAATTGCTTGTTTAACATCTTTAATGATTTCAATATATACTAGAGTTGATCAAGACGAGACCGATACCGAGACCGATACCGAGATTCTCGGCTTTTTTCCAATATCGGTCTCGGTTTTTTCATTCTCGGTCTCGAAACCGATACCGATATTCTCGGTCCATTTCTCGGCGAGAAACGATACTGACTCAAAGACCCAAAATTACCAATATTGTCCAAGTTTTCGTCCATAAATTTTTTTGGATATCCCTACATAACAGAGAAAGTGAATTTTTTTCGAATAAGGTCTTCTAAAATTCAAAAAATTTTCGCCTGCGGCGCTGAAATTAGGAAGAATTCTGGCTTTTTAGCCTTCCAAAACTACAAATTTTCGCCTGCGGCGCAGAAAATTGGAATAAATATGTTGACTTGCACTTCTAAAATTCTAAAAATTTTTGCCTGCGGCGCTTGAATAATAGTTTGGTTAACCGAAATTTTCACTGCGGCCATCCACGGATACCCGCGGATTGATATGCCTCGAAGTTTTAAGGATATAATCGGATACGGATGTCGACCTCACGGATATACCTATTCGGATACGGACACAAAAATTAGTATCCATTGACACGCAAGATCGGATCCAGATGATGAAAATAATGAAAAATTATTTTTTCACGTATTTTTTGACATAAAATAAAAATTTCTGTTAGTCTCGGTCAGTATCGTTTCTCGGTATCGGTCTCGGCTCAAAATGATGGTATCGATCTCGGTATCGGGTTCTTGAGTATCGGTCAATCTCGGTCTCGGGTTGGCCGATACCAGTATCGTTTTGATCAACTCTAATATATACAATAATGTTTACAGAAAATATTAAGTATTATTAAATAGAATAAATTAAAAAATAATTAAAATTAAAAAAAAAGTACAAAAATAATGCAATTATTAAATGTTTGTTTAATTGGCTGTTTTTGGTCAACAATGATTACTTATGTTTCTATTTCTCTTTTAAAACTTTTTGGAATTGCCTATCCACTTAAATATCGTCAAAAAGTTTCAAGAAAAACTTGTATTAGAATTGTCCAAATAAAGTTTAGTTTTTTTGTTTAAAAATTAAAATTAAATTTTTAGTTGGGTAATTATTTTGTTAATGATTTTATTGTCTTATTTAATTTATTTAATTGTTTATATTCCTTCTTTGAGTAAATGGACTGGTTGTAGAGCAGAGACTTGCCTTCAATTTTTTGTTTATCAACCAAGAAATTTTCTTATTTCGAATACTTATTTATTTACAATTAGTTGTACTTTAATTGCTGGTAAATTTAATAAATAAAGAAGGGGAGGGGGGGGGGGAATAATTTAAAAATAAATTTAATCATTATATTTAAATATAAGTTATATTTATTCATCATCAAAATATTAAAGTTGAATTAATTTCAACGACAACAAAAACAATTTCTTTTAAAAATTCAAAAATAAATCCTTCAACAAATGAAAATATTTCAAATAAATGGAATCAACTTACAAATTCTTTAAAAAATAAACAACAAAGGTTTTACTATAATTTAAAATACAAAAAAATATTTATTTTTTTTTTAAAGTGCTCATCGTTTACCTTTAGCTCCTTTAATTTCTGGACTTTTTACTTTTACAATTTTTCATGCTCCATATGCTTTATTTGCAATATATTTAACACCAATATTTACTGATTTATGTTTTTATTTAATTAATTATCGACTTGTTCAACGTTATTTAGGTATAGTTAGGTGTTGTGTTTTGTTAAGAATTTGTTTGGATGCAATTTTGGCTTTTGGAACTGATAAAGAATTAAGTAAAATAATTAAAAATTTTGTTGGAATTGTTAAAGAAGGAAAGGGAGAAGAGGAAGGAGGATTTGATAGTAGTAATAGAAGTAGAATAAATACAATTAATAGTTTTGTGGCAAATATTAATGAAAGAAAAAATATTAAAAATAAAGAAGAAAATAAAAATAAATTTTAAATATTTTTTGTTTGAAAATATTTAAAGCTTTAATAATTGGCTTTGAAAAATAAAATGTCTATTTAATTACATTAAAGGCGGACTAAAAAATGGTGTCCGGAAAATTGGGCTCTGGAAAATTGGGCTCCAAGATTTTTCGGAAATTTGGGCTCCAACTTTTCGGAAAATTGGGCTCCAGCGGTAATTTGGGCTCTGCGTGAAAAAATCGGAATATTGGGCTCTAAAATTTTGGGCTCCGGAGGAATTTTGGGCTCTGAGGAAAAAAGTCAAATTATGCAAAAATTAGAGATGAGTCTTCGAAATCGGGAGATTTTGCGTGTACGCCCAACTGTTCTTGGAAGGAATAGGATTTCTTTATCAAATTCCACTGAATCGGACCGACCAATTTGAACCAATTTGAGTATACTTTAAAGGAATAGGGCCAAGTACTCACCCAGACCAACTGGCCGTAGGTTCCGAACCCAGAACTCGACTTCGCTCCGTAGGTTTGCATAATTTGACTTTTTTCCTCAGAGCCCAAAATTCCTCCGGAGCCCAAAATTTTAGAGCCCAATATTCCGATTTTTTCACGCAGAGCCCAAATTACCGCTGGAGCCCAATTTTCCGAAAAGTTGGAGCCCAAATTTCCGAAAAATCTTGGAGCCCAATTTTCCAGAGCCCAATTTTCCGGCACCCCTAAAAAATTATTTAATCAAGTATCAATAATTTTTTGATGAAGAATTTAAAATTATTAAACGTAAGTGATGGGCACTTTTTTAAAATAATATTTACAAAGTCAGTTAGGTAAATTTTAGAGCAAAATGTTTATCGAAATGATGAAGATTAAATTTAATAACCACGTGGTATCGAAAATACACTAACAGTGTAGATAAACGAAATACGACTAAAATAATTAAAAATTGGGAACTGTGAGGCAACTTTTTTATGACTTAAAAATTCTTTCCCTATTTATAAAAAAATTATATTTACGTAATAAATTACAGGGTGGGGCAAAAGTTCGGCGACAAATTTTATTTTGTCCTTTCTTAAAATTTTATTTTAAATTTTGCTTTTTGTTTATTTTTCCCATATTCTATGATTCGTGCTCTACAAATTTTATCTTGAAAATTTTTTTCTATCTCATAAAGTAAAAATTTTACAGACTTTTAAAAAATCGTGCTTCTATTTTTTCTTTGTATTTTAAAAATGTTCGAAAATGTGACATCGCTAGACGGCTCGATATCTGTCATATGTTGGTTTCCTAAGCAATAAAACGATATCATGAGCTTGGAAATACTCAGGACCGCCCTAGTAGTGGCCCGCCGGTAACCGCAGTTACGCCTGAAAACATCAACGTGGTCAGATTCCGAATTTGCCGTTTTTCTGAACAATCGATGTGAAAAACGGCCTCAGATCTCGGAATGAGCTCGAGGAGCCTCCTAAGAATTGTCAGAGTGAAGCTTAGACATTGGAGATAAAAGATCAGCCGCGCATATTTCCTTATCTATCGAATGAAGCATCAAAAGCTTCAGAAATGTTGAAGCATTAAACGCCTGGTCGCCATAACAGAGTGATGAAATGTAAAAATTAATGCTAGTCTAAAAATGACATTCTGAGGGGGATTGAGCATCCATGGCCATTATAGCTTTACGGAGAAAACTATTTCTCGCTTCAGCAGGATTGGGCACCCGCGCATTGAGCCAAAACGACAATCCAGCTCTGTGGGGAGCTGTTTCCTGGTTTTTGGGAGTAAGATTTAAGGCCTTCAAACTCACCGGATTTAAATCAGAGAATTATTCTATTTGGGCATTTCTGGAGCAAAAAGTATGCCGAATCCGATACGCCACATCGGAGGAACTGAAAATTGTTTTGGAGCGGACTGGAACGAAATATCCGATGAACAATGCGCGACCATTGTGAGTAACATCCGTAAGCCTTTGGATGCGTGTATTTCAGTAAGGGGCGGTTATTTTTAGGAATTACTTTAATGAAATGTTTATTATATCCTATTGAGTATATTTTATCAATTTTTTTAACTTAAATAAATTTTTTTACAATAGATTTTATTAAAAACATTTGTCGCCGAACTTTTGCCCCACCCTGTACACATTATGTACATGAAACTGTCAAATTTAGCTTTTAAATATTTTTATTCAAAATATTAATTTATTTAACTCAAAACAATTACTTAAAAATTAAAATCTCTTTAAAATAAAGGAGCATTTCCAAACAGCCAAATAGCTGCACTCCTTCTTGCCCAGGGTGCTAAAATTAAACGATGTTTTAGGCGATTGTTGCTTCTCTTCAAAGGCGGAGGTTTTATAATCTCACGCATTTGTCTTCCCGATTCCAATTTGTTTGAACGGAAATCAAAATTATTATTAAAATCCCATACAGTTCCATCAATGGTAAATTCCAAAGAATAAATTAAATGTTGTAAAGAAATTAATAAAAATAATAATTTAAAAGTCATTTTATTTATTGAGAAGAGAAAAAATTATAAATTTTTAGTAAAAACTTTATGTATTCAAAACATTCCAAAAATAATTTTTTAAATTTAAAAATAACTAATAAAATATAAAAGTCCAACAAGTAAACGCCCAACTTAATATTTTTGAAATGTTATTTTAGTTATACCCTAATTTTAAATGTAATTTAGTAAAAATGTTTGTTGGTGGTCATTAACATAATTAATTCTTTAAAAAACAAAATATAAAAAATATATTACAATTTTTATTAGTATTTCGCCCAAATATTTTTGTTTGTTTGTGGGATTTATGAAGAATATCTGTTAAGTAATAAATGACAAAATAAAAGATTCGACAAAATATTTATTAAAAATAAAGTGAACAAAATTATTTAAATATTTACGTTATACAAATCAAAAGAATTTTTTGGTAAAGATTAACACAAAAAATTACTTTTTTGTCGAATCTTTTAAAGAATAAAACTATTTAGTGTGATTATGAAAGAGAAATCAAAGCACATTTTTAATTAATAAGAGGTTCTAAAACAAAAGAATATCGCATCTCTGCGATTTAAAACTTATCATTACTCGGTTTATTAATTAAAATAAAGGTATTGCAAATATTATATTAAATATAACAGAAGTAATGGAAACAGAATTAGCTAAAAAATTTAAAAAACTTCTGTTATATTAATTATTTAGAAGCACATAATATAATAATAATGGCTGTTTTTAGTTAAAAATACAACGTTAAATATTGTTGGGATCACAAAATGGGCATTTTTATTTGATGCGCAGGTATGTGAATGTATTATATATTAACGGCACAGGGATTTAATAAATGGTATAAACTTTTATGCCTTAAATATTAAATAACAATAAATCTAAATAAATAAAAATTTTTAATTAAAGAATTTTAGGCATAAAATCAAAAAAATAATATTTGAAATATAAAAAATTAACTCATAAGCGTAACTAGAAGACAAACTGATAGTAAAATTTAGTTCTAGTATTCACAAAGCAAAATTTTTTTATTACTTCTAACTCCCATGTTCGCAGAATAAATTTAAGTTACGAGTTATTAACCCTCTAGCAAAAATAATTTTTGTGGCTATTTAACAACGAATCTCTAAATACGCTTACAAATTAATTTGAATATTTTAAATTAAGCGAGTCAAAAAGAAAGAAAATCTCACTAGGCAAAGAATGGATTTAAAAACAGATTAAGAATGCACTATTTAAAATAACTTTGGCATTGAAAGGAAGTGTTGGTGATATAAGAGAAATATTGAAATTTAAAGAATCATTTTACCAAAATAAAAAAATAAAAATCTAAAAAAAATTGGCGCCTAAATTTTTGTGGTTATAACTTGTAGACCCAAACTCGTTATTAAAGTTAAAAACAGAAATTAAACCAAAAGTATTTTCTACGAGTTAAAACCGAAATTCAAAAAAAAACTCGGATATACTTTAGCCGGTGGCCGGTTCGAAACCGATTCGAAATATATACCATTCGATTCGTCTCAGCGAACTGAGTCGAATGGTACCACTCCCAGGGTGCAGAAACTCCTGTGGACCGAGATATAGGTCCTCGAATACCGAAAAACCATAGGGGGTAGCTCAATTTTGGGGTGAAAAAATCGATTTTTTGAATGATAGCTCATTCGGAAGAGCTCGTCGAGCTGAGTCGAATGACACCAAAATCAACGAAATCCGACTTGTTTGGACCGAGATATAGGCACCTGAAAACTGTTAATCCAAAGGGGTGGTTTTTGGAATTAAAAATTTTTTAACCATATTATAGCTCATTCGAAAGAGCTCGACGAGCTGAGTCGAATGACACCAAAATCACCGGGATTAAACAAATTTAGACAAAGTTGCAACAAAAAACTAGCAACATAAACCTATGGGGCGTAGTCGAGGCGCTTGTGCAAAACTCCGCGCTTAGCGCGGAGTTTTGCGGCACGCGCCTCGCGGGGAGTCTACGGGCGCTTGGTCTGGGCTCGTAACATAAACTTATGCCTATTTTAGCTGCAGTCGGCATGCCTGGCTTCCTCCCCATCAAGAAAAACCTGCACGTAGACCAAATGTAAGGAGCTAAAACAAATGCTCATAACTTTGTAAAATCAAGCCGGATTTCGTTGATTTTGGTGTCATTCGACTCAGCTCGACGAGACGAATCGAATGGTATATAGTTCGAGTCGGTTTCGAACCGGCCACCGGCTAAAGTACAGCCAAAAACTCTCAATAAAAACTTATTTACCTTTAGAAATTCATAAAATCAAATTGCTTTGCTGTTGCATCTTTTTTCGCTTTCTTGTCCTTCTAGTTGCTTAATTAGTGTTTGAATTGCATTGAATGCAGCATCAACATGGGCATATACTTCTGTTGGGCCACTACCGTGACAAACCTGAAAATATTTAATTGACTTTCTTAATTATTTAGAAGTTAAGAAATACAAACAATAGGTTTAGCCAATCCAACAGTTAAAAGAGTAAAGCATTGCTCTTCATCAGCAGCGTCCTTCGACTGAAGATGAAATAACTTACATTATAAAACAATATTCTAACAAACTAACCCTAGGAAAATCAGAGTAGGAGACAGTAAATTTAAAATGTTTAGATAAATGATTGAGAAAATTTTTTGCCCCAATCAATCCAAATTTATATTCTTTCTCGGTTTCAATTCGACCAGCGTCTTCACCACTCCAATGAGAAATAGAAAGCGATGTTGAAGTAGGCGATAATATTTGAGGTTGTGTCTCGATTGTTTTTATTGGTGAAATAAAAGGCGGAGGAACTAAAAAAATAAATTACATATTTTCAAGAAATAATACCATTAGGGAATCCAATATCAAAACCAGCATTCAATAAAGGAGGCGCATAATTTGAAGGAAGAACTGCTGGTAAAGAAGCAGACATAATTTCCGATTGATTCTGCAAATTTTAAGTAAATTAAAAAAACAAATTTAAGACTATTACTGTTTGAAACACATGTCGTTTTCCGTCGCCTAGAATCTCAGGAGATATTAAAGGCACACAAAACGAATCCATTGGCTTAGGAATTTCTCCAACAATTTCCTCTACACCTTCCAAACCAGCCCAAATAGAATCTTTACCCAATTTTACAAGACCACGTTTCTCATTGACAGAATTGGGCCATTGAAGGAATTGTGTCGCAGTTTTTAACAATTCCTGATTCTCGGATTGACTAAGTGCTCGCTGAGAATCGCGGTTTCGTCGTCGAAGGCGGCTACCAAGCTCAGACTTTAGTGGAGCAATTGATGCAGCTGGATATGTGGAATCTTCTGGCGGAGGGCATGCACTAACGTGCTCATTGAAAGTAACTCGTCGACGAGTAGATGGAAGTGGAGGTGAGTAATCCGCAACTCTAAAATAAAATGAATTTAGTTGACAAGAAAATATTACTTTTTAATTGGAGATAGATTATTCTTTTCTTCAATTACAGGAGATAAATTGCTACATAAGTTGACACCGTTTTCTACTTGTATTTGTTGAGGCAATTCAATATTATTCAATGCCTCCTCAACTGAAGCAAATGTTTCAAAAGAATTTATCTTTTCATCCCAATTATTCGTTAGAAATGAATTGTAGGTTTGATCCATAATAGATTTGTTTTTCAGATCAGTATTGACTTGCTTCTTAAGAAGACTTTTACCAGGCTGAGGCATCGACTTAATTTAAATTTGAGATAATTTCGGATAAAGGTTATCTCACTTTAACATAACCAATACGACCTAGCATTGCTTCGGCAGCAGCTCTTTTGGCTAACTTTTTGTTTGGTCCAGTACCCTGCTCGTGAAACCCCATGCATTGCACGGACACAGTAAATTCCTTGTGTCTATTTTGACCTTGTTCTGAGACAAAGTGAAAAATAGGCTCACGTTCTTGACGAATTTGCATGACTAACAATATTTTATAAATAATTAAATGCAATATAACCAACCTTGTATCAATCTAGATATTGGATTAATGTGATGGCCATATTCAGGATCCATTTTCTTAATAAAAAGAATTATAGCATAAAGATTATGAACCAAACCTTATCCTTAATAATTGTTTTTCGCTTTGTAAACTCCTTTGCATTTCCTCCTCCTAAAGTCGAATCACGTTTATGACTCTCCACAGTTGCTCCTACATGACGTATAATCTGACTGGCCAGAAAAATTGGGTCTTTGTCGAGAAGAGGTTGAACCTTCTCAAGTAGATGATAACAAGCTGCCTGTTTGGCTGCTTTCTTACTTGGGCCTTTACCTTCTGATGAATATTCTTTACATATAGTAGAATCTGCTGACGTATTAGTTATTGTAGTAGGTGAAATAAGTCGGCAACAAAGAGTATAAACACGATTATGCGGCTCACCCGTTTCAGCGAGTACTTCAAATTCAACATTCTATAAAAATAAAACAAAATTTTGATTTAAAATAAGTTTTATAAACAGTCGGAACAAACTAGGATAAAAAGTACTGAGTTTTTGGTTGTTTAAGCATATCAATATGAGATGTGTTTTAAATACTCTCAAATTTATCATTATTCAAAGTTAAAACTTGCCATTCAAAGACGAAGTGCACACTCATGAATTTGCGAAACTACTGATTTTATCTTCCGCCGCGAACGAAAAGGGCGTTGCTCGGAAATTTGTGCACTCTGAGGTAATTTATTTTCATCAGCCTTTAACTTATTTAATTGTTCATTATCTTGCATTTTATCATCTGTTTGTTGTTCTTCATCGTCTTTATAATTAAAAAAAGAATTAATTTGCGTAAAAAATAAAATCTCACTCACAATATCCATTTAATAAAACATTCAATGCTGGAGAGAAATTTGAATCAGTGCTTTCACTTTCGTCTTCTGCACGACCATTATCAATAGGACTTACTTTAGACAACTCGTCTTTAACATTAGAATTCTCTTCAGGTATTTGGAAATTTGTTTGTTGCGAATTGAATTTATTTGGGGTTCCATTATTTAGTAAAATTTCATCCAAACTGTCGTCAATTTCTTTACTTTTTTTGTAGCAATCCAATACCGGTCTGTAATTTCAATAATTACATTAATCTAACAATAAGTATTAATTGAAATAAAAACCTCAAATGAGATAAAGCTTGAACAGCTGCCTTCTGTTTTGCAATATCCAATTTAAATCCAACACCGAAATGTTGCGAGGAATCTAAACTTAATGTTACTGTTACTTTGTAAGTAAATCCTTGTTGCTGTTGTTGATAATGAATTGAATTGAGAGCTGTAGGACCAAACGGCAAAACTGTTGTTCGACCAAATCCGTTTAGTAAAACCTATAAGGCAATTAATTTGGGACTAAAAATATATTTAAATTAACCGAAGGAGGAAGTGAAAGAAAAGATGACGGAAGCAATGGAAAAGATTGGTAATCAAATGATGGTAAAGAATTAATAGAAGCAATTTGCATTTTTTTAAACAGAACATCAGCTCCAACTGGAGAACCATTGACTAAAGGCATAACTGAAAGAAGTTAATATATAAAATAAATATGATAAATAACTCGGCAAATCCAAAATAGAATTCACTGTTTTTGGTACAATTTGTTGTTGAAAAGTTGTGCCATTTGTTACGGGACTTGAAAAATTAGAACCATTAAACGAATTTGGTGCTGGAGCAAAACATAAATTACGAGCAAATTGAGAATTAGCTACATTAAGACTATTTGGTTGCATTGCTCTTAAGATAAAAAATTATGCTTTAAGATTTAATGAAGTTAAAAAATTTTTAGAAGATAAAAAATTCTGATATATTTCTTATTTAACATATTTCCAAGGATTAAAAATTACATTTTTCATGTTACAGACTTATAAAGGATTTATACAAAAAATGTAAAAAGTTAAAAACAAACGAAATTGGTGCTGATTTATTGCCATTAGTACTACAAAATGGAGGGATCCCTGAAAGGTTAGCAGGATTTGGCAAAGACGCTTTAAACGAAGACAACGGATGATGGATTAATTCTTCTTTATAATTTACAATAATTCCAAGTTGGGCAGCTACGGAATTGAGTAACAAAATTGCATTAAAATACTCGTCTAAAAAATTTATAAAAAATTAAAAATAACATTGAAAAAATTTGAACCTTTACGTGGTTGACGTCTTGGTACTCCCATTCCTCTCATTGGTGGAGGCCGTGGCAAAGTGGAAGAATCCAACGCACATTGAGCTGCGGCTTGCTGAGCTTTTTTAATAGAAGGTCCGCTACCTTCAAATTCTTGACCCGGACAAAGAATAAGCTTTACAATGAATTTTTTCTTGTGTGCTGGCCCACTTTCATCAAGAAGAACATACCCATGACGAAGCTTGAAAAAAAATTGAAAGTGCAAAATTACAAAAAATTACAAATATTATTATGAATGAAATATAACCTTGTTATATCTCGTTAACTCAGCCACACGACACATAGGAGTCTTCTCAGACGAACCTTTGCGTTGAGCATAATTGTAGACGTGTTTGCTAACTGTTGGCTCAGTTTGTCCTTTTCCACACCAAATTTGTGGATGATGCTTTCTATGGTTTTTATCTAAATCTAATTGTTCACGAGAGGGAGGAGGAGAACTACGACAAATAAATTTTTCGACTAAAGCTTGAGAAGAATTATGAGGCTGTTGATTTGGATTTCGATTAGATGTAGGCACAAACTAAAAAATAAACAGTAAAGTTAAATTTATGTTTCTCCTTTTTCCTTTTTTCTCATTTTTACATCTTCCTAGAAAAAATGAGGAAGAAGGACCTGTTCAACATTTTTGAGATTTGCAAGTAGTTAATTAAGTGTGCTGATTGTGAGTCCGAATATGAGTTGACTTTCATGTCCGGGATTCAAAATAAATAAAATTTGAACTAATATTCGGACTCATTGTCGCACAATTAATTAGAATACCTCTTACAAATCTCAAAAATGTTGAAAGTAAAGTAAATTAATTAAAATTCAAGTAAAGTTATATGTGACACTTTGGGAAGGAACTGACAACATGAGTCTTATTATTCAAAGTCTAATTTACAAAACAAAACAAACCAAATTTTTCTGAATACTATTATTATGTTGAAGACGAGGTGCTGCATTTTCTAATAAAGGCTGTTGTTGTTGTTGCTGCTTTCGTTGAAGGCTTATTTGTTGCTTTGGAATGACAAATTGTTGTTGTTGCAAAGTAGGAGGAACTACCGAGTTTAAACAAAAAGATTGCTGTGGTTTTTGATGTTTAAAATAGTATTGTTGTTGTTGTTGATTGGGCAAAGGAAGAGATCTGATAGAAGTATTAGATACTGGAGCTGTATGCATTCTTAAGGCGAGAATTGCTACTTTATTTGATGACAAGAAGTTATTAATAAAAAATTATGTAAATAATTAAAGACTTAGGTAAGTTGTTAAAAAATAATTAAATACTCAGATTTGGGACGTGTTTTTAACCCGCAAAAAATTAACACAGCTCCTCAGCCGCACTAATGCGACGGTAATAAAGTTGAAAACAATATCTAATCTAAAAGAAAATGGCAAAAGTTTAGTTTGTATTTCCCGTTTTATTTCTATCAAAATTCCATATTATTTTCCTTTGACAACTTTTTAATCAAAAAAGAATCATTTCTATCCTTAGAACTGACCATTATGAACTTTTTGAAAGAAGACAGGGAAACCACAAACTAAACTTTTACTGATAAAATTTTAGAAAAAATTGCAAATAGACAATAAAAATAAAATATTGCACAACAAACAATTGTATTTATGTATAATAGAAATTAACAAAAAATCAAGCAGTCAACCAATCCAGCACTAAATTGTCATAAAATTGAGCGTGAATACTCAAAATAATGGATACCAACACGGCGGGTTAAATGCGAAATCTGGTGGCGTTGTGTATTTTTATTTTTTAAATTACGCCAAATAGCGTTTACACTATTTCTCACTTCTCTCGCTCTCTTTCTCAAAAAACGCAAGCCGTTTCAGTGCCAACATTATTCTCTTTCTCACCAAACGCAAGCCACTTCATCGCAGAGTTTGAGTGTCAATGAGGAGAACTCTCTCTCATTAGTTAAATCCTTATATCTTTTCATCCTCCCACCCGATTTTTTTCAACTTTTGTATTTTTGTAGTCCTAAAATAGTTAAACAATCCTGCAAATTTTGAGCAGCTAATATGAATTTTTGGCGAAGTTATGGACTTTTAAAAATCGGTAAAATTCGTCCTATTTTAGGCCATAACTTAATCCAAAGTCGTTATTTTTTCCTAATTTTTGTTTTATTCAACTCAGTGATGAAAAACGAACAAAAACTATGTTGATATCTCATAGGTCATGCCTTATCTAAAAATTTTGAGAAAAATTTTTTCAGAAAAACATCAAAAAAATTTTCAAAAGTTCAAGAAAATAAAAAATTTTTTGCATGGATAAAAATTAAGACCTTTTCTACAATATCCGAGATTTTTTTTTAAAACTTAAGTTTTTAAGCCGAGATATTGGATTTCAAAGTCGGCAACCTAAAATAGAAGCGAGAGTAACGCTTAAAACGAGAGAGTAAATAAATGAAAGAGAGGAAAACCGAGAGAGTGTGACTAGACGGTTAGATTTCCAGTTTAACCCACCGTGTACCAACTGGGCCCGTACTATAAGAACGTGGTTTGAGGTCATTTAACCGGTTACCGGAGGTACCTTTGCTACTATAAGAAAAACCTCTGGTTTTTGGTCAAATGACCAGGTCATTTAACCAGGTCATTTGCCCTTTGGTTAACCCGTACTATATGAAAAGCACTTTTTGGTCATTTAACCCCTACCGAGTGGTAAATCTCAGACCCTGCTCTATAGCAGGGTTAGCAAAAATTCCGAAGTCTATAACTCGGTTCGAAAAAATAGTAAAATTACAAAATTTTAAATTTAAATTCTTTAGAGTGTGTTCAATAACCTTTAAAAATTTCAGAATTTTTGGATAATTATTTCTTGAGTTATAAGGGAAACCGCAAGGTACCCCTTTTTTAGCCAATTGTAGCGTTTAAAAGGGTGGTAGACTTTTTAAAAATGCTATAACTTTAAGGAAAATTGAGAAATTTTTAAATTTCTCAATTTATATATAGAGAATTATCTCCTCTATCTTATGGTGTAAAATTTAAGTTTTTATCTTTCTGAAATTTTTTTGACTCAACTCCCTTGAGTAGTTTCGTTAAGAATTTCATAATTCAATTAAAGAGAGACCATAAAAATTCATTCAGTTTTTACTTTTTTATTTAGTCAGATAATCATCCTTTATTTTGATCTTGTCTTTTTAAGTCAAAATACAGCCAAATAATTTCTCATTTTTAGTCGGTACTATAAGAACTTGGTTCGTGGTAGGCAAGAAGAAAAAATACCAAGCCTCTTATAGTACCAAATTGGCTCTCTGTATGGGTTAAATGACCTGTGCAAATGACCAGATTCTTATAGTACCAAATCTACGACTCGTTCTTATAGTACGGGCCCTGGGCGGTACACGACGAATGGGCGCGGACGAATGGGCGCGGCCGAATGGGCGCCGAGACGAATGGGCGCGAGACGAATGGGCGCGGGACGTTTGGGCGCCCGAAATTATTTTTTCCTGGAAATTTTTTCTGATTTTTCTGTTCTGATTTTTTCTTCTGATTTTTTTGTTCTGATTTTTTCTTCTGATTTTTTTCTTCTGATTTTTTTTGTTCTGATTTTTCTGTTCTGATTTCTTCTTCTGATTTTCTTTCAGTTTATTTCATTTTCCGTCATTTCTGAGCAGGGCTGAGCGCAAGAGGCAATTGTGAAACACGTAAAACGCAAGAAGCACACAAAGCTACTCCCCATTGTTTTTTCGATTTTCGGGGACCTATATCTCGGTCCACAGGCATCTCCGGAAAAAGAGTGGTACGGTTCGACTCAACTCGCCAAGACGAATCGAATGGTATTGGTTTTGTGTCGGAACCTTTCCACCGGTATACTATACTATATCCAAAAATCAGAAGAAAAAATCAGAACAAAAAAATCAGAAGAAAAAATCAGAAGAAAAAATCAGAACAGAAAATCAGAAGAAAAAATCAGAACAGAAAAATCAGAAAAAAATTTCTAGGAAAAAATAATTTCGGGCGCCCAAACGTCCCGCGCCCATTCGTCTCGCGCCCATTCGTCTCGGCGCCCATTCGGCCGCGCCCATTCGGCCGCGCCCATTAGTCCTGCTCCGCAACTGGGCGAATCTCTGGCAAAATACTAATTTTAATTATACGCCAAAAGCGTATATTCAAACAAATTTCGATCGGTTTATCGGTTCGGTTTCGGTTAATTGAAGAATTTTGTTAAACCGACAATCCTATCAATCCTATTCACTCAGCAAAAATACTCTCTAGAAATTTTTTGAAAAAATTTCCCTTCCGAAAATTTTAAAGTTGCTTCTAAAACGAGAGAACTTGAAATAGAGCAGATTTGACATATTTTACAAATGTATGCTAAAATTTCTTGTCAGCCTTATTACAATAATAATTTGCTTTTAGAACATGTCAAATTGGCCACAATCATCTTCAGAGTTTTCTTCTTTAAATTCTTCAATTTCAAGGCCATATCGAGATTATACTTCAAATTATACTACAAATCTGCAGCAAAATCATTACAATAATAATTTGCATTCAGCTTTTCCTAGCCACAGGGATTCTTCTTTGTCTTTTAATTATGAGGAAATCATGTAATTATTTAATTTTTAAATATATTTAGAATTATTAAGTGGTAACCAGGGACGTTCTTTTGGTCCTTCTCTTTTGGAGAGGAGAATTGAAGATCCATCTTCGTACTATGCCAGCCAGCCTAGATCGAATGAAAATTTTGCTTCAGGTTATTTGTATTATTTTTAAAAACTTATTTGCACACATTACTATTTAATAATTTTTAGTTCGGTCATTTACTACTCCTGGAGTTCCAGCTGCAATTGATACATATTATTCAAGAAATATAAACGTAATCTTATTTTTTTAATTATACTAATTAATTTTTTTAGTCGAATCAAAATGTTCGAACAGAAAGTTATGAAGAACCAGACCCTATTGCTTCATTATTACAACAAAGACATCACAAAGTTCAAGGAATTCCTTCATTGAAATCTTTGTTTGTGCCCGAATCATCAACGAATTCAACAATAAATAAAAATTCAAGCTATTCATCACGAGAGGGTTTAAATCTCACTCCACAAATGCATTTGATTAGCACTAGTTCTGAACGAGATCAGAGAAAGGGTTCCAGACTTAAACGAGTATTTTTTTTTGTTTTTTATAACTAAATTTTATTTTGTATATTTTTTAGTTGTTAGGTATTCCTATGGCAAAAGAATTGTGGTTAGAAACTGCAACTGGGCGTTTATCTTTTGATGGTGGACAAATTGTTAATAGACTTGAAGAAAATCGTACATATTATTACAATATTTCAACTCTTCGTGTTTCATTTGAAATGCCATCTCCATTATCTGCTATCATTCGACAACAAACTGAAATTCGCAAAATGTTAGATATGGCGAGTTTTTTTTATTTTTTAGCAAATAAATGTTTTTTTAGACAACTCCTTGTACAATTATTGTTACTCGCTGCTATAATCAATTGACTGAAGAAGTATTACGTAATTATTTTGAACAATATGGAGAGGTTGCTTTTGCAAGAGTTTTCTCAATTAAAGCAGTTAGTTTAATTTTTGTTTTTTCAAATATTTGTTATTTTGTGGGGTGGAACAATAAATCCAAAATCAAATATAAAACGGAAACGAAAATTAGCTTATTTACGAATGGAATCTATTCAGGTATTTTTAAGTAATTTTTGTTATTGAAATTTATTTTAAAAATATTTAGGTACAAAAAAAGCTTTTGGAACAAATGTATTTTTCGATTGATGGACATATTGTAATTAAATAAAAATAATGTTTAGAAATCTCCAAGCACGTTTTAGTGAATATTTTTTTTCAGAATTATTTTGAGAGCGACATATGCAACATTTTACAATTAGTCATTTTTATATAGAGGGGAAAGATTAATTACAAGAAAAATTATATATAAAAAATATTATGTTCGCTAAAATGTACTTGGGGGATATCTGAAAACTAACTAATTTTTTTAAGATTGAACTTCGAATTCCATGTAATCGTATTTTTATTTCCCGTGTTCCTGACGAGACACGACCAAGTGAATTAGTACAATTTGTTGAAAGCGAAATCAAGAAATTTGAATCGAGAGGATATTGTGTTGATGGTAAATAAATTAAAAAAATTTTTTTTAAATGCTTTAGCTTTTTAAAATGTCTTTCTTTTAATAATTTAATTTGCTTTTAATGTAAATTGTTAAATCTTTTCCAGCTTATTTTCCACATCCATTTTGTCAATTTGCATTTTGCACTGTTGGTGGTGCTAAAGTTTCTGCTAGGCTTGCTATGTAAATTTTCTGAAAAAAGTTGTTTAAATTTTTAATAATTTTTATTTTAGTAAAGCAGACTTCTTTTTCAAAGGTTCTTCAGTAGGTATCAGTACCTGTTGTGATGGTTCTGAATGTAATAACTTTTTAATTAAAAAATTATTTTAAATATTTTAGTGGATGCTGATCGTTTATTGGAGCAAAAAATTAAAGATTTGGTTGACCAAAATGATTATGCACGTATTCGTTCTCTTCAAAGTATTTCTACTGAAGTTAAGTCAATGATTCAAATTTTGGCAAAAATGAGAAAATGTAAGAAAATTTTTTTGGTATTTTTTTGCTATTTTTTAAGTTTCAAATGAAATGTCTTTGCTTATGGTAATTAATTCAGAATTTTTAAAATCTTCAGAGGAAAAATTGAGGAGTTATTTATATGTTCAGGTTTTTATTTAAAATTTTTTTAAATTCAATTTTTTAAGGACAATGTTTTTGAAATGTGCAAAAAAGTGGCATTAGAAACAAATAAAGAAAATGGTAATTAATTTATATATAATTAATTTTAGAATTTATTTTTAGATCAATCAACAAACAGAAAAAGAATTCGTCTTGAAAATGATCGGGAGAAAGAAAGGACAGAAGAATTAAGCGATTTAAGTATTGTAGAGGAGGATATAGGTAGGAAAAAATGTTTTCTTTTTTAATTAAAAAAATAAAGAAAAGATTAATTTGAAATTCAAATAGGGGGGGGGGGGGGGGGGGAGGCGGAATATTTAAATGTACTACAAGGATATTTAAAAAGATTTTGAATTTTTTCTTAAAATAAAATCAATTTGAAAATCAAAAAATTCAAAAATTTAATTGTTTTTTTAGAATTGGATAATGAAGACCGCGATGAGGATAGTTTAAATTTGCAAAACAAATTAATCTAAATTTTATCTTTTTCTAAACATTTTCGCAAATTTTTATTTTCGCTAATTTTAAATAAAAAAATAAATTTTAATAATTACAAAATTTTCTTTAAAATTAGACTAATCATTTGTTTTTAAATAACTAGTCCGATATTTAAAAGAAATTTTGGAATTTACTCCTACCTCAGCAAGAAAACTACCAATAAAAACATTCAGTAAAAAGACAAACAAGAGATTTATAACTGCAATATATGAACACAACAACAATATTATAACATTACTATATTTTTATATATATTTATCACTACTTTTGTGTTCATCACATCTTTCCTATTTATGATTCCTATCCTTCCATTAGAGTTGTGTTTCACTTCTATGCGCCCAAACTGCGAACCGAACGAGTTGATTTGATATTCACAGATTGGCTCCTCACTGATACATTTCCCGAGCCCAAACTAGTTCCGCTTTTAGTTGCAGTAACGTTTGGAATTGGAGCACGGCTAGGAGGAGGAGGTGGTGGATTCGATTTACTCATACAACAACAAATGCGAACAACATGCCAGAACAGAATTCTGAAAAAAGAAAATCTTTAATTAAAATATTTTTATATTTATCCTTACATTAGAAGAGCAACCACAGCTCCACCCAACGAACTATCGAAGAGACTACCATCATCAGCACAAGTTTCCTAAAAAAATATTTTGACATTAACTCATTGCAAAACTAAAAAGAAATTTTACCATTGGGTCTGTCGCCGTTGTTGGACCACCGTTGTTGATCTTCGGAGTTGCTGTCATTGAGAAATTCGACAGTTCCCCCGTTCCGTTGGAAAGAGCAGAATTCATGAGATATGCCAAACCCGGATGAAGCTTAGCCGCAGCAAGGAATGCCTGACTACCAACATTTGCCAAAACCAAGTCGGATGACAATGGGAGCAAAATGAAGAATGCAGACAGCTTTAGAGGCGTGATGGAGAAAAGCATTTTTGTTTGTTTGTTGTACGCAAGAAAAAGAAAATATACGTGTACGTGAATTACTTTTATAGTATCTTATATACATAAAAACAATTTTATTTTTTAAATACTTTAAAAAATTTAATTAACTAATTAATAAAGTGTTTATTAGAGACGTCCAAGACTCTTGGTATTGAAAATGAATTTAGTTAACAACACCTAGCTGCGGGAAAATCAAAAATTTGCTTATGAAACCAAAAGAGATTTGTCATGGGTCTTGGAAATTTTCGGTCTTGATATCTCTAATATATAAATATTTTACATATAAAAAAGTTTTATAATTGTATATCACTTGTTGAACTAAACAATTCTTCACCACTTTTAAGAAAATTTTCTTCATTTTTATTTTGTTGAGAAGGTAAAAGAAAAGAAGAAGCTCTTCTTGATTGTAAATTATTTTCTTTTTTATTATTAGAAGAGTAAATATAAATTGCTGAAGGTGTTGGAACTAAAAGTTTATTTAAACTTTTTTCTGCAGCAATTCCTAAATTTGCTGCTACCAATTTTTCTTTTGAAAGCCATTTTCGAATTTTTATTGGTATAAGATTGACAAAAGCATTTCTAAGTTGGATATTCAATAAAGCATATAATATTGGATTCCAAACCTTTTTTTAAAAAATTAGAAAAATAAGAAAAAATATTTATTAAATATCCCCTTAATTGTTGATACTTTTGACGGTATTTTATTTTTGTTTTATTTTTATTTTAGTGAAGTTTTTTCTTCATTTTTAACAAGAAAAAAGAATTAATTTGAAGATTACCGTAGAAGTCATTGCAATAGCATGTGTAATTACTCCATAAAGAAATTCTTGTTCAGCTATAAATTCTGGAAGAAGTCCAAAATCTCTTAGAATATTAAAAACAACAGTCCAAACCCAACTGTAAAAAAATTATTTTTATTTTTAATTTTAAAATTAAATAAAAATTACCTTAAAATAAAAGCAAAAAACATTAAAATAAACATTCTATTAGTTCTTTGCCTTCTTTGATTAGCTATTTTTTGATGATAAATACCCATCTTTTTACGACGTAATAAAACACTCTTTTAAAAAAAAATAATTTTTTTAATTTTAAATAAAATTTACTTTATTTAATCTAACAGAAATTCCTGTATAACAAAAAGTAATTATACTTAAAGGTATTACAAATTGAACAATTAATAAAACTGTCCCATAAACTTCTCGTAAACGTTCATATGGGGACCAATGTTCAAAACAAAATTCTCCACAATAACCTTCCATTTTAACAAGTTTTTGAGTAAAAAGCATTGGTAAACTTAGAATCATTGACAATAAACTTATTAACTTTTTAAAAAAATAAGATTTAATTTTTAATTTATTTTCTAACCAAAATTGTAAAAAAAGCATGTTTATGCCTCAATTGATTATTTAATGGAAATCGAATAAGTAAAAATCTGTCAAAAGAAATTGCAGCTAAAGTAAATGCAGAAAAACAAAGAGAAGTTCCCTTTAAAAATTAATTTAAATTTTTTAAATTTCAAAAAAACTAACAGCAATAAAAGGAACTAAAGAACACAAAATAGGCCCAAAAACCCAAACTTTATAAAAAGCAGTAAATGGAGTAAATGTTGCTGATATAAAACAAACAACAATATCCGAACAAGATAAAGCAAAAATAAATAAATTGGAGACTGTTTGAAGGGATTTTGTTCTGCTAATTGCTAATAAAACACAAACATTTCCTTCAAAAATTAAAAAAAATTTTTAAAGTAAATTAAAAATTGGAAAAGATCAAATAATTGAAATGGAATTAGAAAATAATAAATTATTTGAAATTAAATATCGTATTTTCTCAATTAATTCCCCCGGGGAATTAATATTTTAACCCATACGTGGGATGGGGAATTATTCGAGTTTTGGCATTTGAAAGTGCAGTAGGGTATTTGGGGGTGGGGATTTATTGTTTCAACTCTAGCATGGGGAATTAATCGAGAAAATACGGTAAATTATCTCTGTCCATCTCTAATAATTTTAAATATTTAAATTTTACCTAAAATTCCAATTAAAATAATTAAAATATAAAAACTAGCAAAAAGAGCAGCAACAGGTAAACGAGCTGTTGGATCTCTTCTTAAAGTCCATAAAATTAAATTCATATCAAAACAAGGAGAAATAAATTGTGTGGGGGAAGAAGAATAATTTAAATAATTATTTTGATTATTATTGTAAAAATTATTATTTTCTTGTTGCATTTATTGAATTAAGTAAATAAATTAATTAATTAAATTTTCTAAAAAAATTATTTAAATATGTATAAGAATAAAATATTACAAAAAAATAATTAATCTAGTGGATATTAAATTTTGTAGTATTTCTCTTTTTAAATTATTTAAATTATTTCCGTTTACAAAGAATTAAGTATATATTTATAACATAATATAATCTTTAAAAAGATATTAAAATAAATTTTAAAAAATTAAGAAAATAATTTTATTTTAACTTAAAAATTTAAAAAAATAAAGTTTTGGACAAAAAAAATAAATTTAAATAAAAATAACAAGAAAACAATCTTTTAAAAACCAAAAAACAAAGAAGTTATTTGACGTAAATAATTAAAATAAAAAAAGAAAAGATTTTTTTAAAGAAAGGTAATAAGTAATTTAAATATTTAAATAGAAATTAATTATCTAAAAGAAGAAAAGAAAAGAATTTTTTTGTTGTCTATAATGATTGAAAGAAAATAAAAAAATAAATATTAATTATTATTAAATGGCATTTAACAAGAAATTAAATTTAAATAATTTATTTAAATTAATTTTTTAAATAAAAAGATTAAATAAATAAAAAGATTAAATAAATAAATATATTCAAACAAAAAAACTTTTTATTTTTTTAAAATTAAATAGCTAAAATTAGCTATTTAATCGTCAAAAATTTATTAAGAATTTTTTAATTAAATTAAAAGGTTAACTGAAATTTTCATTTGGAAAAATCAATATTTTTTGAACATTTTTTAAAAATTAATTAAATTCTTTTTTAATAAATTGTTTTGACAGCTTCCAAAAAAAGGAGTAGAGCTTCCAAAACTAAAAGAAATTATATTTTTCCGTTTAGTGATTTTTACGTCAATTTTTTGAATATTAATTTAACACTTAAATGAATTTTTTAAAAATATTTTTTTAATTGTTTTATTTAAATTGTTTTGATTTGTTGATAAACGGTAACGAAAAATAATTTCAATAAAAAAATTTTAGAAGAAAATTATTTTTAAATTCTTTAATTTAAATAATTTATTTTTTGTCGATTTTTTTATTTCTAAGTAAATAAATATATTTAAAGTATTTAAAGTATGGGGAAATGTAAATTATAAATATTTATTTAGTAATAATTAAATATTTAATTAAAAAAAGGATTCTTTACAAGAAAAAAGATTTTTTTCTATTAAGGCTTTTTTGTTTTACAAATATAGAAATAAATAGAAGTTTTTTTGTTTAAAATAAAAATAAATTTTTGTATTTATTTATTGTGTATTTAATGATGTCAATTAATTATTTAGTTAGTATTTTTTGTTAAAAAAATTAATTAAAAATTAAATTAAAATAAAAATAAAATAAATAATAATTATTTTTTATTCAATATTTTTGAGGAATTTTCATTAAAATAAATGAGAAAACAAACATTAATTTTTGTTTTTCCAAAATTACTTTGAAAAGTAAACAAAAAAAGAATATATAGACAATGAATATATTTATATTTATATAAATTAAATTCTCAAGGGAAAAAGTCCAAAACAGAAAATATTTAAAAAAAGGAAACAATTTCCTTAATGAAGTGATGACGAGAGGGATAATTATATTTACTCTTAAATATGTGCTTTTTAATATAAAAATTAAATTAAATGAATAAATTAATTAAATAAAAATAAATAAATTTATTTTTAGGTTATTTCTTTTTCAATAATTTTTTAAAATAATTATTGCGTGTCAAAAAAATATTTTTAAAAACTTTATTGTGCTAAATTTTTACGGAAAGAATTTAAATTAATTTTATATTTCTCGCTAAATATTAGCGAGAAATATAAAAATACACTAATTGTACTGTGGGACGAATTCAAGGTGGAAATGTTTTTAAATAAATATTAGAGAAGTTTAAATGTCTTTATTATTTAATATTTTCATTATTTTTAGGTAAAATTTTATTTAAATATAAAGTTTTTTCATCTCTCCATTAACCGTTTTTACATTTAATATTTATATAGTAATTATTTTATATCAGAAAATAGTCTTTCTCTCAAGAGAATTTAATTAAATTAATTGAAAAATATTAAAAATAAAATAATTTTTACGGAAAGAATTTAAATTAATTTTGTTTAAAAAATTAAAAATAAATGGGATTTAGATTTAATATTAATAAAAACATTTTTATAAAAAAATTTGGATAGGTATTCCCTATTAGAGATAAATAATATACATATTTATTTAAGCAGTATCACATCAGAAATATTCTAAAAATTGTATAATTTGTTAATTAAAAATAAAATAATTTAGAAAAATTTAAATTAATTTTTTAATAAAAACAGGTGTTTATTTAAATAATTTTAAAAGTTTAGAAAATAAATCTAAGAGAAAAGAGAGGTGTCCTTCCTTGTTAAATGTTGGGGATTGAAACAGGTGAAACAACTTCTAAAATTGGTAGGTCTAATGAATAGATTTAAGGACAGAGTCACCAAAATTTAGGCCTCCAAGAGTGTAGTGAAATAACAAGATTTCATTATATACATTTAAAAATTAAATATTTTCTATTGGTTATACATAAAAACTACTTAAAGAGAACAAAACAAACAAAATCTAAATTCTTAAACCAACGGAAATTGTTGATAGAATATCAAAAGTAAAATTTAAAAATTCACTAAATAATTTAAATGCCCAGATTACGCGACCAATTAACCTTTATGTGCCCAATGAAAAGTTTATGCGATATACCAAATTTTTATGCTTCCAGTCATTTTTTTATTTTCAATCTATGCCATTCAATTTGTTTTAAAAATAAACAAATTTTTGATTGTATTTTATAATTAAAAATATTTAATTTCAAAAATATTTATGTGTATATAGATATTAAATTACAAAATTAAACACTTACATAAATGATAAGAGGTTAAAAATATCTTTAAATTAAATTTTAATTTAAAATTATTTGGCATTAAATTATGCTGTTTATAATTAAATTTTGTGGACGCATCTGATAATCTAGACAGTGATAAAATTCGACAGTGGCTAGACTCGACAGTGACTAATTACGACAGAGGCTAAATTCGACAGTAAAGCCAAATTTTTAAAAAGCACGAATACTTTGAGGAAAAAGTAAGAAATTTTCGGTAATTTAAAAAGCTCTAAATAAGCGGCAATTTTTTAAAATGGAAAGGTTATCCCGCCACTCTGATCACTTACATATTAAAAAATCTGATTTACTAATTTAAAACAAAATGTTCCAAAATTACTGTAAGTATACTAGAATTCTTACGCCAAAACGCACCGCGAAAAATTGCTGGCGCCGAAACGTTGTGTAACCAAATTTCGAAATTTTTTGCTACTTGGAAGTTTTTTTCTTTTTTTTTTTGTTTTTTTAATTTCTTGTGGTTTTAGTTTTTTGTGTTTTATTTTATTACAATTTTCTTACAAAATATTGTTTTAGATATTCTTTTCTATATGTTAAAATTTGTTTTTTAATTGCATCGACACTTTAATTTTAATTTTTACTTTAATGTGCACACAGGATCAGCAGGTTTTTACTGCATATTTTTCATTAAACTTTTTTAACAATTAAAAAATTTGGTAAAAGGCGAAATTTAATGCTAAACATAAAGAGGGTAAACCCATTAAATAGCATTTTAGTTTTTTGTGTTAATCATTTTAAAGCGTCTCCCGATGATGAGTTTATTTTGAATTTATAAAAGTGTTTTATTTATATTTTTAAAAAATTTTCCATATTGCCAGAAGAATAGCAGGAAATCAGCATTTATGCATCATTCGTTGGATGATATTACTAGGGCTTTATTTGCAAATCTCAGAGGGGGCGTAAATGAAGTAAGAATAATAATATGGCCCTATATGAAATTAGGTTGGGAATCGTTTTTTTTCATTACTTTTTTCCTCCCTTGACATGACATAATGGTCAGCATTTTCTTCCTTGTTCAATTCCATTAAATTTGCCTGTGGCATAATCAAATGAGTGATGATAGAGGAAAGGATTATTTTTAAATATTTTTTCCTCTTCGTCCGTGTTTTGTCCGTCCTTCGTCCGTGTCTGTCCTTCGTCCGTCTTTTTTGTCTGTCCATCTTCGTCCGTGATTTGTCTGTCGTCTTCGTCCGTCTTTTTTGTCTGTCCGTGTCCATCCGTTATCTGTCGGTCTTCGTCCGTGTTTTGTCTGTCCGTGTCCGTCCTTGTTTTGTCTGTCAGTGTGTGTGGTGTGTGTGTGTGTTTTTCTGTCCTCTCATTTGATTATGCCACAGGCAAATTTAATGGAGTTGAACAAGGAAGAAAATGATGACCATTATGCCATGTCAAGGGAGGAAAAAAGTAATGAAAAAAGTGATGAAAAAAAACGATTCCCAACCTAATTTCATATAGGGCCAATAATATTATTTTAAATCAGGTTGCGATAAAGTAAGAAAATTAAAATATTTTATTTTAAATTAGAGCGAGGCTATGGTTATTTTCTTTTTTTTTTTTTTTTTTATTTATTTATTCACGTAAAATCAAAGGGCACAAATTTAGTAAAAAATATATATGTGCCACTTACATGCAGTGAATGTAACCCATTTAATATATATGTATGTATGAGGAAATTAAGACTATTTTTTAGTAGTATATAAATGTATTATTTATTTCCTTGGCTTTTAATAAGTGATTTTTAAGTAATATCCAAAATTGTTTTGGAGTTTTCGAGTTAATTATGTTTTCTGGGAGAGAATTCCAAGTATTTGTACACCTATTTATAATCCAATTTTCAGTTTTAGATGTTTTCCTTAAAATTTGTATTTGTTGTTTGTGTTTATTTCTTTTAGTTCTGGAGGAAAATGTTATTAATGTTTTAGGATTGATTGAAGTAAAGTGATTGATAATTTTATAAATCAAGGTTAAATCGTAAAGAGTACGTCTTAGACTGAGACTTTCTAGGTCGAAAATTTTTAACCTATCTTGATAAGCGATTTTGGATCGTTTACATTTTCTAAGAGCATGAAGGGTGTAAAACTTTTGAACTTTTTCGATTTGATTAGTAAGTGTTTTCGTCATCGGATTCCAGATTTCAGGTCCATACTCAAGTATGGGTCTAACATAGGATTTAAATGAAATAGACCATATTTTAGGGTTGGTTGAGTGAATAGTCCTTAAAAGTTGAATGGAGCGGTAGAATGCATTTTTAACAATTTTGTTGATGTGGGAATTAAAGGAGAGAGATTTTGTGATTTCGATACCTAAATCCCTAATAGATGAGGTTTCTTGGAGGATAATATCATTAATTTTGTATTTTATACCAGTGTTATTTTTACCGATATGAAGAATAAAAGTTTTATCATGTGCTATTGGAAGGGCCCAGTCCTGACTCCATTTATTTATCGAATTCAGTCCTTTTTGTAATAATTTGGAGTTATTATTGTCAAAGTGCTCGTAAATTTTTGCATCGTCTGCATATAGTTTTATGTGTAGGTGTTGGGGAAGTACCCCAGGGAGATCATTTATATAGACAAGAAAAAGAAGTGGGCCGAGGACCGACCCCTGGGGTACACCCGATTTGATTTCGTATGAAGAAGAGAGACTTTCCCCAATTTTTACCCGAAAGGTCCTATTAGTGAGAAAGTCTTCAATCCAACTTAAGAGTTTTCCACTAATACCTAAATTTTCTAACTTATAAATTAAAAACTGAATAGGTACGGAGTCAAATGCTTTGCGGAAATCAATATATATACAATCTGTAGATTCACCCTTTAATATTGTTTCATACCATGTTTGTAATGTAGAAATAAGCTGGGTAATTGTAGACCTCCCCTTTAGGAAACCGAATTGATTGGGATTAATTAAATTATTTGTCATGAGGAAGCTAATGATTTGTTGGGATATGATTTTTTCAAATACTCTGCAGATGGTGCTGGTTAGGGAGATAGGACGATAATTTGATGGATTTGATTTTAGCCCTTTTTTGAATATTGGGATGATGATAGATTCTTTCCATTGTTTGGGAATTTTACCATTGTCTAGTGATGTTCTGAATAGTTCGGTTATTACTGGAGATAGTGGTAGGTAACAATGTTTTAATATTTTATAGCTTATACCTTCCGATGAGGTTGAATTTTTTGCTGGGGAATTTTTGAGTGCGTTAGCCACTGTTATAATATCAAAGTTTACATCATTTAGATTATGGTTAGAATATTTGGGAAGTGTAGGAGGATCTCTGGAGGGAACATTCTCAAAGTATTTTGAGAACATATTTCCAAAAATATAACATTTATCAGCTTCCTCAGTAATAATTCTGTTATCTATTTCAAGAGTTGGGATTGGATCATTATTTTTTGTACGGTGTTTTATAAATTTATGAAGTTTATTATAATCTGAAACTATACCCCTTATTTTTTGACTGTGGAATTGGTTAATAATGAATTTGGTGGTTTTACAGATATCTTGATATTGTTTTTTTAGTTTAATGTTATAGTTATTTGCTTTCATACGGCGGAAAATTAATAGTTTCTTGTTAATTAAACTACTAATATATCTTGGATATTTAATTCTTTTATTTTCAGGTGTGGTTGAAATTGTTTTATTAGGAATACTCAGATCGATCTGGTTTTTGAGGGTATTTAGGAATTCAGAATATTTTGAATCAATTGTATAGAAATTATTAAGATGACAGAAATTGGTATAGTTTAATGCGTTTCTTAGTTTATCAATATTTTTATTGGACATGTCTCGGATTTGGATTGGTTTATTATTTTGAGGAATAGAGTTTAGCTGAAAATGTATTGAAAAGTGATCAGATATGCCATCCTTGACCTCATAGTTGGCGAAAAGAGTGGTATTATTTGTTAGTAAGAGATCAAGGATGGAACCTGATTGGTGAGTTGGTTCTAAAATGAGTTGATTAAAAAGGAAATTATGACAGAAATCAATAATCGAACTGTCTGTGTTGGTAGGATTATTAGGGTTATTCCAATCTATTCCCGGTAAATTAAAATCACCACATATAATGAAATCTTCCTGATGGAATTTTGAGAGTTTGGTAAATATTTTTTCAGTGTGGAGTTTCTTTGTGTTTGGTGGTCGATATATAAGTCCAAATCGAATGGACTTTTTGTTTTTTGGAAAATAATCGATAATTAGCAGGTCTATTCCGTAAAATGATGTAGAGGAGACTAGATTACAATTAAATTTGGATTTAGCTAGGAATGCAATCCCACCGCCCCTTTTATTATTTCTATTTGTGAGGAAAACCTGGAAAAGATTACTGAATGATAGTTCAGAAATGATCTTGTGATTATTAGTTATCCAAGTCTCGGTGATGAATAAAAAGTCGGGATTTTCTGTGGAGATTATGTATTCTAAAGTTGGTAATTTGTTAAGTATAGATCTTGAGTTAAAATATATACATTTTAATTTGGGATTGATTTTTTGATTTATTAGGTTTAAACGGTAAAGGGGGTTATTTTTAATCTTTTTTGTATTAATTTCCTCATTAAAATTCTTTTTCCCGGGATTTGTGCATGTAAGTGGTTTGTTATAAGTATATGTAAAATTCTGTTTAAAAGAAAAATAATTAAACCTTAAATCACTGCATTGTGGCACTAAGAGTTTTTTTCATTCAAGATTTTACGTCGATCACTTATATTTCTGGTTTGCCAATTTTCTTTCTTCTCCGCTCTTTCTTCAGCTGTTTCTGACCAACGAATTGCAAATTTATCACTTCCAACCAGTTGACGAATTGTGTCACGTTTTTTAGTCCAATTTTTTAAAGCCTGAATTTGAAAACGCCGCGCCGGCAAGATCACCTTTAAAAGACGCAAACCTTTTTTTGTTGGGTCATGAACACCCATGCGATATACAACCGCAGAGCACTCGACGCCCAACTCGTCGAGTACGCACTTTACCATTTGGTGATCATCGGCTTGTCGAGCAGATGGTTTTGTCTTTTCACTTTCCGGCATACGAGTAAATACCAAGCTTCTTTTTCTCTCTTTTTCATCGGCACTTTGCTCATTATTAATTTTATTGAATTGATTTTGAATTTTTTCAAGGCTTTCGGAAATCGTATTAATTGCTGGTATTTTATTTTCAATGTTGTTAATTTTTGTTTGAAGATCAGTAAGAATTTTGCGAATTTCCGCAAGTTCTTTTGATGACATTTTTTAAAATCAATGAATCGATTTTTTTTTAAATCTTAAACTTGGGTAATTAAAAAAATTAAAAAATCAATTTTCAGTCAAATAATTTAAAAGACTAATAAAAACACAAATCTATTTAGAATTAAAATTTTCCCCTATTGTGTTATAAATAAAACTAATCTCATTTCTGGTTTCCGTTTGTTATTTCTTCTCTCCATTTTTTTTAATTTTTAGCAATGCTATTTCCCAATGAATATACTTCCTTTGGAGGTTTTCTGGATTCGACGTTCGCTTGAACAAATGGCTAAAGGAATTATTCCTTTACCGAATCTTCACCTATTGCCAAAGAAATATCACCACCTTTATCCAAAATTGCTTCCAATGGAGAGAAGAAATAACAAACGGAAACCAGAAATGAGATTAGTTTTATTTATAACACAATAGGGGAAAATTTTAATTCTAAATAGATTTGTGTTTTTATTAGTCTTTTAAATTATTTGTTAATCTTAAGTGAATCTATTTAATTATTTTATTTTACTAAGGATATGACACCACATTCGTCTTCTCAATTGCTAAGAATTTCGAGTGGAGACAACATTCCTCGCTCCTCTGCCTCTTCTTTCAACTTTACCAGTGAGACTTCTGTTGGAACATTGTCAGTTTTTATATTTTAATTTAAACATTTTTCTAATTTTTAATTTTTTATAGCCTCAAAGATATTCACAAGTCGCATCATAAGGCAAGTACTAGTAGCGATGCTTCTTCTTTGGCAGTCCAGGCTCCAATGGACAAGTGTCGAAAACTTGTGGATTTAAATCCGAATACTTCATCAGCTCTGGTTATTCATTTTTTACCCAAGCCAGTTTATCATCCTTTGTTGTTTGTTCAGAAATCACACAAACTATTGAGCGATGAGAACTTTGGACTTGACACCCAATATGTTCAGAATAATACTGCTATACAGCATCACAGGTATATTGTAAATGTTCCATTCACTTCAACACAAACCTCGCAATCTGAAGTCGTAAATCAACAATTAAGGTTTCTATTTATTTTTAAAAATATTTTATTTATCAATATCATTTATCTGTCCATTTTAATGGGCAGATAAATGAAAATTTGCTCTAAATTTAATTTATTTTTCATTTATTAGTTTTTAATATAATTTTTTGAACGAGTTTTGTTTTTAATAAATTAATAATTTATTAAAATTTTTTTAGTCATTCATTGGAGCTTAGGCGGTTTTGTCAAAGAATTAGCGGAGTAATTGAAGGCAGCAATACTTGCAATAACAACCAAAACAATGAAACTACTGAAAAAGAAGAGAAACAAAATCAGACAAGATACCTTTCTTTAATTAAAAATCCGTCACCAGTAAAATTGCCATCTTTAATACCAACACCTTCGAGTATATTGATTGAGAAGAAACGAAAACTAAAGAATCAGAGACGATTGGAACGCTTGAATTCTAGAGAGAACGAACGAGCACGGTCATTGTCGGCGAGATTTGGGATTACCCCGAAAGTAAATTTTAAATAAATTAATTTTTAATTTAAATTATTGTTTTTAGTTAAGTAAAACAAAAAGTGTCGAAAATAAACGTTTCGAACTTCATGAAGGAATTCTTCCACAATGCAGCACTTTGATTCAATCACATCACCCTGTTGATGAAGACTTTGCACTTTTTGATTCTCTCTGTCCAGGCACAACATATTCATCAATTAGCAGCAGTAGCATTGACTGTGCCGAATCTTTAGCTACTAAAAATTCAGCCGAAGCTCGAAGACGAAGAGAAGTTCGGAAATCTGCACGTGCTCACCTACCTAAATCTTTACTTGAAGAACAACGTCGAAAAGAGGAAGAACGATTAGTTTCTATTCAAACAGAAGATAATGTACGGCGAAAAATGGAACTTTTATTGGCGTCGGCGCTTTCACGAAATAAAACAAAATCGGAGACAAAAACAAAAATAACTACTTGTGAACCAAATGTGCCGAAGACTACCGCTATAGAAATGGTAAAATTTTTATTTTGTTTCCTTGTAGATTATAATATTTTCTTATTTTTTAGAGTAATTTTGACAATAATCACATGGAGCTCTCAGGAATTCCACACGATTTCCATCAAGATCAAATGACTTCAACAAGTACAGTTATATCTTCTTATCGACAGAAACCGTCATCTGAATTGACACCAATAAACTACGAAAATGAGGGACTGAATGTTGATAAATTTGACGTTTATGATAGGTGAGGGGGAGGGGATGATTTTAATTTTAATTGTTTAATTTTTAAAGGTGTGGAACAGTTATGGATATTAGTAACGATGATGAATTTGATTTTGGATTTGGATTGGAGAATGAATTCATTAGTGGAGGAAGCAATATTGAGGATGGAAATACTTTGATGCGTATGAATGATGATACTTCACTTTTAGAAGAATTAAGTAATAGATAGGAGAATATATGTATATGACATTTTTACATTTAATAGTGTGGTAAATTGGCCTGTTCCCTCTTTTTAAATGTTGTATTTAATTTATTTGTCGCACCTTTTATTGTATACACAGGTAATATTTAAACAGATCTCTCAAATAAAGTGTTTTTTAAACAATATTTTAAGATTATTTATTTTTTGTTATTTCTAGTTTTTTTTATTGTTTTTTTAAATGCAATGAATATTTGAAAAAATTATAATTAGTTCTTATAAATATTAATTGACAAATATTTTTAATCATCTGATCTCATTTCTTGTAATTCTTTAATCTCCATCCTTTTTCAATTCAACAATGACTAAAGATGTTGCAAGTCCTGGGCTAGCTTTCTCTAACGGAAAGGAGTATGCACCCTCATCTTCTTCGGAAAAGTTTTCGATTGTTAAATTGCCTGTTGCCCAATCAAGTTTAGCTTCTCCAATTTGATTTTTCTAAATTTTATTTTTAGCATAACTAACAGGCTATCTGATAAAATATACATATTATTTTCTAAAAAACCTACTCCGTCTGTTGTCCATCTTTGTTTTCCATCAGATCCACCGCATTTTCCTGCCCATAAATATTGTTCTCCATCGTGTTTCTTTGTCTCTCGTTTTACCAAGAGCTTCCCAGCAACAGGAAATTCAAATTTATCTCCTTTCTTTATGTAGGCCCGAGCAAGCGCTGCTTCGGAATTCTCAGGAATAAATTGCAAAAGTGAAATAAAAAAAATAGGAAAGAAGATAGAAAAAGATAAAAGATTAATCTTCTCCATTAGATTTACTGATCTTTATAGACAGGATGAAAATACTAGTAAAATCAAGTTAATATACCGGAAAACGTAATTTGGAGAAAAATATTGAATAATTGCTTAAATTTGAGTTACTTGATGAGTTATACGGGGTCAACCCTGAAGACCTACGCCCCCAAGACCTACACCCTGAGGACCTACACCCTGAAGACCTACAACTTTTTTATCAACTCAAATTATTTATAGTAGGGGATATCGAGGATACCAGAAAGATCCTCTTTATCCCTATAAATCCCTCTATCCACTTTAAAACCTCAAAATCCTCGATATCCCCCTTAATCCCTGTTTATCCCCATTAAAACCTTCAAATCCATCGATATCCCCCTTAATTCCTCCTAGTTCCTCTTTAACTCCTTTAAATCCCCCGAATAGACTTGTAAAAGTAAAAAGTAAAAAATTGTGTTGATCAAAAAGTTGTAGGTCTTCAGGGTAAATAGGTCTTCAAGGTGTAGGTCTTCAGAGTCAGTAGGTCTTCAGGGTGTAGGCTTCAGGGGTGGGCTCAGTTATACAATCGATGAGTACAACCTTCATAGTCAACTTAGACAAAATTAATTTACAGTTTTAAATTTCAGAAATAGATTTTATAGTTTTATAATTGAGAATAACTTCTCTTATCCCATCATTATGTTTTTGAAAGTCTTTACTATTAAAAAGGCAAGTGTTCTTCAAATATTTATAGTAAGGACATGAAAAAAACAGGTTTAGATTGTTTGTTTGATAAAGCAAATTGATGTTTTTTAATTTTTACACTTTTCCAAGTGTGAAATAAGGTGATAGACCACCAAACGAAGACGTTTCTTTATGAAAATTTGAAAAGTTGTTTTCTATTAAATTACAAGTGAACAGCTGCCTATTATTTTTAATGTGAAAAAAATCTCTAATTTTTAATTTACTACATAGTATTTTGAACAAAAAATATAAGAGAGATGATTCATAGAAATAAAATTAATCAGCAAATCCGATGAATAAGATCGACGAGTACAGAACATTCGTCGAGTTTTTTAAATACAATAGAGATGAAGGTAGGTTTGGTTGGAAGAAAGAATAGTCAACACTTAACCTGTTCCTACTTCAATCTTCTATTGTACCTACGTGATAAATTGTTTTACGTGTGCTCGTCGATCTTACCAAATCTTAGAGATAACACAATACAAAAATGCAAAAAAGTATGAGTAAATGAGACAGAAATTTCAAATTAAAACACAAAAAAAGAAAAATTATGCTCTAACAATGTTGAGAAAACTGCCAATCAGAAATGATAAGAAAAGGTCGGTAATTCCCTAAATCCTATTTTTTAAAAGTAATTTAGTACATAGTTATGTTAGATCAAGGTAGAGGGCGAAAGCAGCAAATTTATGAGAAGATATGTGTATTACTATAACAAAAATTACTAAAAAAACCGCATATGTACCAGGCATTTAATATATATTCAATGATAAAAGTTCATAGCATCTTTAGTTTTTTACTGTAAAAATGGTAAACTAAAAAGCAAAATCAAAGAATTTAAGTCAAAGGATGCTATGAATGACTTTAGAATATAACAGTTTCGCAATAATTGAATCTCTAAAATTTATAATCTTTCTATTTTCCGCCTTAATATAAAATAATTTAAAATTATTTTTAAAAAAGATTATCTAAATTTAGATCATCTTAAAAATAAACAATTTTAAAGAAATGAAATAACAAAAATAAATGAGCGAAGTTGTTTTTTTCAATAACCATTTTAAATATTCTTTAAAAAATAAAATCTAATAAAAAATTAAAAAAAAAAGAAAATATCCCAGACAGATCACAAAAAGATGCCTTTCAAGTATAGCACACGTAAAATACAAAGTTTTTTTATTGTTTAACGATTCTTCAATTCTTGATGAGTCCTTTTTGAGAGCCTACCACAACAACATCCAACCAATAAAAGAATTAAAAGGCCAACTCCAAACCTACAAAAAATAAACTACTATCATTTTTTCTCTCATTAGCATATTTTTTAGAATTTGTTTAAGAACAATTAAAAGGGGCACATTGAAGCTCCTTTTGGAACCGAAGACGCCAAAAACCCGGCGCCGTTTCTATTTGACGTGTAGTTTAATATTCTAGAGCCGGCCAACATTTAAAGTTTTTAGGAGATAATGCGATAGTAAAATTTTGTGTAAATATTTTAAATAATTAACTGACCATGTCAAAATAGAACTACGCTGTGGATGTTGTGCAATAGCACTAGCTAAATCAGACCAACTTTCAGGTAATTTCATTTGATATTCGCTATGTGCAATCTGCCAGAGCTTATCTCTTTCTGTAAGCTTTTCACGGCAAACAGACGAGAGGGCTGATTGAGGGTTTCTAAGAGCATCAACAAGACACATAATAACTAAAAAAATATTTCAATCGAAAGAAAACAAAAAATAATTTTCTTACTTCGACTTTCACCAGGCTGAACATTTGCACATATGCGTTGGGCATCAAGACTACACGCTTCATGTAATCCTGGATCCAAATGAATATCAACAAGAGATTCTTGAGTACGACGTGCAAGCTAAGAAAATAAAAAGAATTCTTTAAAAATTATTTAAAATTTACTTGCACAGCACAATTCTTGTCTGTAATCATATTATTATAAAAATCTGATTTTAAACACTCCAAGACAGAATCAAAGTTGCCACTACGGCCAATGATAGTGTTTGTACAGTGTTTACTAATTGTGTATTTGCAAGCCTTGTAAAGTTGTGGATCAAGTTGAATATCAAATTCACTTTCAAGAATTATGCGAGATAACTAAAAAAGTTTTAAAATTAAAGGATTTAAATTAAAAAATACTTCTTCTTTGCAAGGTGCGGACAATACGGTCATTTTGGTAAACTTAGCAAATTGAGTTCGCAGACAAGTTGCAATTAAAGGACCAAGTTGTTGCTGTGAATATTGAGGGTTATTAACTTTTTTGAAGTCTGCTGGACAACTGCAAAATAAAAGAAAATTAATAAAAAATAAAAAAATTAAATGACAAACTATTGCTTGGCTTCTTCATGACAAGAATCAAGTAACTCAGGATTAAGTCGATCATCCTTTGTTCTCTCCAACATTCTGGTTTGGACAACTCTTTGACAGTCTTTTTGAAGAAGTCGGATAATCTTCATATTTGTTAAACACTCAAGAACTTTTTCACCACGTTGATTTGGGCAATGTCGATTAATATCGAATTTACATGACCGCTAAAAAATAAGTCAGAAAAGTAAAAAACCTAGAAATATAAAATACCTGCAATTCATCATCAAAAGTATTGTCTAAAGCTTCAATTTTTTCTCTTGCAAAAATAAGTGCTTTGCAATCAGGAACTAAAAATTAAAAATAATTTTTGAAATTAATTATTTTCACCTAATTGATCGAAATTAATTCGAAGGCATTCAACAATTTGTTCAAATCGGGTATTCGGTTCTTTCATACATTGGAAGCGTTTAATGTCGGTTGAACATTTACCCATCAGAGAGGGATCAGCATCATTCATGTGCTCTTTGTCATCAAACTGAAGTCACAAATTGTAAAAAATAAATTAGTTAAGAATTTCAAAAAAAAATTTCAGAGATTCGATGATTGGTATATTGAACAAAATAGTATAATAAAATAACAAAGGAAATAGAAAGAAGAAACAAAAGAAAAATAAACAAAGGAGGAAAAGAATAGAATTGAACTCACATCGACCTGTTCTTGTTCCAGGTAAGCCACCCGCAATTGTTTTTTACAGTCCTTGCTTAGATCTTTGTCTATTCCAAGAATACGATGTTCAAAAACAATATTGCTTAAACATCGAATGATTGCACCCCTAAAGTATGTGAACGTATATTTAAACTTAAATTAAAAAGAATCCTTACTTGTCTTGTCCAAATTGTGCACAATTTGCCTTAATATCATCAGTACAAGCCTGAGTAAATCGAAAGTTGAAATGATAGTCACGAAGCGAGATTAATTCGAAATGGTTAACATATGTACGGCATTTTGGTCCCATTTCCTCAGCTTCACGATGTTCTGACAGACATGTTAAAACATCCCCATGATCAATTTCTTGATTGATATATTGTGAACAATAAGCATTGATTACTGGACGACAAGCACGAGACAAAAGACGGTTCAATTTTGTATCCTAAATAAGAAAATTTAAGGCAATCAATGACAGGAATTTTAACTTTTCTATTAAAAAAATTAACCTTAGATTCCATTTTTGTAAATTTCTCAACTTCAGTGTAGCATTTCGGATGCCGTCTCTTGAATTCCTCAGTTTCAAAATGTTCTTGGAGACAATCCATCTCCTACAAAATAAAATTAATAAATCCAAAATTTAAATAAAACCTCAGTCGGTTGAACATTTTGGGAGCAATATTCTGAAAGTGCCTGACGACAATTTTCTTCAACATCAGGAAGCATATTGACGCGTGATGCACGCTCATATAATACACGACGAACATTTTGTGCACATTCAGCCTTCAATGGTTTTTCTTCGTCATAACCAGCTCGATAAAGACAGGCAAGAACCTTAAGTTTTATTTTTATTTTAAACAATTTAAGAATAAAAAAAACCTGAGGTCCCGGATCAACAACTTGATTTGATTGCCCACCCAATTGATTCGAACCTTTATGCCATTCAGAAACCGCAGAACAACGATCAACAGCCTCTTGGTGGCAGGCTTCGTAAAGTTGTGGATCAAGAGACCAATCACGGGCCATAAAGTATTGAACCTTTAAAATTTTAATTAGTAAGGTTTAAAAGAGGAAACGGACAATTTTCTATCAAAAATTCATGTAATAATCACCTCAACCAAACGTTGTTCACAATCATCAGTCATATCAGCTTCATCCAAATTCTTCATTAAACATGTAAGTGTATTGGCCTCAGAAACTGCATCTTGTTTACATTTTCCTTCAATTAATTCCTTGCAAGAGGCATATAAAACTTTGTCAACTTGATAATTAGATCCAATATCTGCCACTTTAACAAGATCTTGAAGGGCATTTCTGCATTGTTGTGTTAAGGTTTTTTGTTCGTTTCTTTCCTGGGCATGAGCCATTAAACAATGAACGGTTTTCCCTAGAAAAATATGAAGTAGATAAATTTTTAGAATTAATAACCCAAAAGTAACCCAAACAGAAATAATTTATTTAATTATAAACAAAAAAATTTTTCAAAAACCTTCAGTCTCCAAATCTCCTTTTGGTGAACAATATTTATCAATTTCTGTAGCACAATTCATAACAACTTCTGGTCCCATTCTAAATTCTTGTACCATCATTTGACGATGAGAAAACATTTCATGTTTACATTCGTCGCTAAAAACTACTAAATTTGGCCATTGTTTTTTTGGTGCATTTTCATCTTTAGCTGCTTGTTGTCTTTCATGCTCTTGTTGATTATAAAAATGAATTCCATTCTCAAGACAAAGAACAACCCAACTCAGATGAAATTGAAGTGATTTTTCAAATCCAGGTTGTGGAATACACCTATAAGCTTGTAATTCTTTGTCACATTGTTTTAATAATGGATGGGCAAGGCGAAAATCACGTCCTAAAATAATAAAAATTAGATACAATTTAAAGTCGATACTTATTAAATGATTTAAGTAGAAAAATTAATTTAAATCAAAGTTCCTTCAATAAAAATATTTATTACCCATCATTCCAGCCCTCTCAGCAAGAATTCTTGCACACTTTAAATTAAATTAATGAAAACAAGGAAATGAGCAAAAACCTCAGGTTGCATTCGTTTATCTTCTTTGTGTTGCATCAAACACTGAAAAACTTTCCCTTCTCCAGCATTAATTTCACTACAAAATTCCTAAAAATAGAAAATTTTATATTTATTAAAAAAATAATTTGCCTCTCTATCATGCCGACATGCAAAAAATAATGGCCCTAAAAAGATTGATTTTTAAATTAAAATTTTAGTTAACAAACTATCCAAATGGAAATCATCAGATTGGAGTTCAGCAATTCGTCTCACTTCTTTACGACACTCTTCAGACATTCCGTTAATAATTTGTTCTTTGGTTGGATCTTTTTGAACATTAACAATATTTGAAATAAGGCATTCTAATGTTGAGCCTTAAAATTAAAAAACATATTTAAATTTTTGAAAAGGTGTTTTCTTTTATGCTATCTTAAATCACTTTTCTCTTCTCTTTTACTTTCTACCTAATAGCATAGGGAAAAATCAAATCAATAGCACAGGGAAAAATCAATAGCAAATAGGAAAAAATCATTTGGGTCTTAAATAATTTTATATTCACCCATTTATTTCGTATTCTTATAAACTAAATTTGATTTATTTTATCTGCTTGAATGCTCCTTAACAAATTCAATCTAATATTAATTGTAATGAGAAAGGAGAGGAAGAGAAAGGTGATGGGAGATATATAGAGAAATTAAAAAATTAGAAAAACCTTGAGAATGTGGCACACGAACATTTTGATGCAAACTAGGTTTTGTTAATTGTCCACAACCAAGTTGTTTTATGATAGCAGCGCAATGTTCAACAAATGGTGCAATTAAAGCAAAATCAGAAAAGGCAACTTTCTCTACGCGAAGTAAAAATTGAAAACAACGAGAGCCTTGATCAATTTCATGGACATGCTCCATCATACAAGAAAGTGCATAACCAGGCCTAAGATCTTGTGTACATGCTTTTAGGCGATGATTTTGGTTAATATCAACAGTGCAAAATTGTTGAAGAGCACCAATGAAACGCTTGTCCTTAAAATTTAACAAAATAAAAATTTTATTCTAAATTTATTCTGAAAAATATTTGACCCTATCCCGAAAGAAGGGTCGAATCGCTTTTTTCATTACTTTTAATTTCTTTATAAAAATGGTCAGTTTTCCTTAAAGTTGATGTAGGTTAATGTTTGCCTTAAGGAAAAATGGTGAAAGAGATTTAATTTTTTATATTTTTTTCTTGTTTTCGTTTGTATCATTTACACGGACGAACACGGACATAAAACACGGACGAGCACGGACAGACAGAAGACGGACGAGCACGGACAGACAAAAGACGGACGGACACAAAACACGGACGAGCACGGACACAAAACACGGACGAGCACGGACAGACAAAACACAGACGGACACGGACAGATAAAACAAGGACGGACACGAACGGTCGAACATGTGTCCGTCTGTGTTTAGTCTGTCCTTGTTTTGTCTGTTCGTGTTCTTCTGTCATTGTCCGTCCTTCTCCATTTTTCCTTAAGGCAAACGTCAACATACATCATTTTAAGGAAAACTGACCATTTTTATAAAGAAATAAAAAGTAATGAAAAAAAACGATTCGACCCTTCTTTCGGGATAGGGCCAAATATTACAAAAACTTATTTAAAATTTAAATACCTGTGTCAATTCAACTTTATATTCCCAAACTGCTTGAGCACACTGTGGTTGTAAAACTTCATTCTCACTATACCCAGCATCTTGTAAACACTCCAGGGCATCCATATCACTCAAAACTTCACCAGGTCCAAGTTGTGCAATATTCTTCTTGCAATATTTATCAATATCCAACCTACAATCAGGTTTTTGTGCAAGCCTTTGAGAGTCAGAATGAGGTTTATTAGCATCAATATTTGCGTTTACTTTAAAAAGTAAATTTAAAAAAAAATTAAAACAAAAAACCATTATCAGGTGGTAGCTGCTGTTGTACAGGGACTTGCTGTCCTTGATCAGCTAAAAAAATATTTTTAAATTAATAATTTACATAAATAAAAAATTAAAAGCAAAAAAGACTTACAGCTGATCCGGGAAAATAATATAGACAAAACAAGCAAAAATATAATTTTGGCTGATAAAAGGTCAAAATTCATTCCTGAAAATTTTCCTAAGGAGTTTAGAAAACATAAAATTATTTAAAAAATTAATTAAAATTGGCCAAAATTAATAAAGATGACGCGAAAAATGTAAAATAAGCGTAACACAACTCGGAATTAAAGTGGCCAACTCACCCAGAATTTCGTTTCAAAATTTTATTTTGATACAAATTGATACCGTAGTTATTAATGAAAATTTAATTTTGCTGTTGTGTTCGCGCGTTAAACTAAAAAATAAATATAGTAAATTAACGAGCGTTTGTTCGCCGCTTCGCGGCGAACAAACGCTCGTTTTAACTTTTAAAAAATTAAAAAGTTTTAAAATAAGCAATTTTTACCTAAAAAATTAGCATTTTGAAATATCTTAACCCCTTTAAACCCCAGACGTTTAATTACACTAAGATCACGATATAGTTTAAATATACTCTATATACTTTAATATCACTCTTACTCTTTGCCAAAATCCCCGTTTAATTTTAATCCAAGTAACACCTTATATCACTCTCAATCACCAGTAAATCTTAATGCTTTATATCCCTCTTTGTTTCCTATAATCGCAGATAACATATTAAGACCCGAAACATTGATGCCCTTAATCCCCACAATACATCAACTATTTACCTTCCATCACATTTAGGCTCCTTAATCCCTAAGATCACAGTTAGTCTTAGCTATCTGCGATATCACTCAATTTTACTCTTAAATCCTTTGCCCGTTTATATTCCCTTATCACGTATATATCAGCACTTTATTTCTCAAATCCTCCATATCTCCTCAGAACTAAATGTTTCTAATATAAATCCTTTGATATCACTCATATTCTTGTATTCTCTTAAACACCCTCACTCATAATTTTTCAAGATAATCTGTGTCTCTGTAACTCTTTTTTGTTTTATACTCTTTTTGTCAAATCCTCGATATCCCTATTAATCCACAAAATCCGCATTCATTTGCTCAAGTGACAATATTCCTTTTGTTCCCCACAAATCACCGATATCCCCTTAATCACTCTCTTAATTCCGCAAAATTCCCTATATCACTCTTAATACCCAAATTAACGATAATCCTTTCAATCCTCAAAATACATCAAACTGCGTTAAATCCTTTGATTTAGCTGTAATCCAGAACACCCTGCATCTTTTTTCCCCAAAAACTTTCATTTTTACCCCTTAAATTACACGGTTACTCTGCTAATACTCTCAAATACCTAACTACCTCTGTTGTCTTTAATATTACCTTTTTATCTGCTACACTTCAACCTTTTGCCCTTTAAACCCTATATTTCCCTCTTAATCCCCTTAAATGCCTTGATATTTTTTTTCTTTCGCATACTACTTCGATTTCTATGCGTATCCCCATGTTAATCCTTCGAATCCTTAGTTATATTCCCAAAATCCTTTCAAAACGACTGGTCTCCCCCTTTTTCTTTTGATACTTGATCAAGATGTTTATCTCCGGGATACCCTGTTATCTCTTGTCACTAAAACCCCTTCATGTCTCTCGTTCATTCCCTGAATCCTCTCATATTTCTTTGTCTTTTCAAGTTATTTTATCAATTTGCCTTTCTATAAAACTTTTAGCCTCTGGTAAATTTCATTTAAAAATCTTTGATCTCCCTTTTATAGCCGCCCAAATCCTCTCAAAACATTTGCTGCCTCAATTAAGGACATTACTCTTTTCTTTCAAATATATTGATCGCTTTATTAAACTACCACTGACCCTGGTATTGCTCTTTTTTCAGTTTGCAGGATCTCTCTGCCACTCTTAAAACTCAAAAACCATCTTTTGGTATTTCCATTGTTGTTTTTTAGATACCCAAATCGTCTTTTTTCTCCTCAGATCCTTCAAATAATTACATTTTTATCTTTTTATCCCTTTGTATCGTTGATATCCCTGTCTAGTTTACTGATCTTTCGTTGTTCAAGCGAACTTTCTCGATTCAGGAATTGCCCGAAACCCTTTAACTCATTAAATCCTTGATCTCTCTGCTAACTCATAAATTCCCCTCTGCTAATCCCTAACCTCTCTAATCCATTGTTTTCTCCTTTAATCCACGAATCTATTATGTTTTGCATTTGTCTACATGGTAATCCTCCAAATCTTCCTAAATCACCCATTCCCATCTAATTCTTTATTTCTAGTTTCCCCATGTCACTTCAAATCTCTTGATCTCCCTATTAATCCTCTTATTCGATTTTATCCGTCTCTTTTTTCTAATCCGTTGATTTCTTTGTTTATCATTCGAATCCCCAGAGTTACCTATAATCAACCCAAAACCTTGTCCTGTTATCCCCATAAACTCCTTATATTCTCTTTACCTTAAATCCATTTATCTTTAAATTAATCCTTCTAAACAATGAATTCCCTCTTTGCCCGTTCTTTTTCTTTAGATCGCATTTTCCCTTCAAACCTTTGTCTCTTTTCACAAAACCCCCAAATTTCAATAAACATCTTAATTTAACTGCTTATCTCCTTTTTATTTCCTCAAAGTTACGTATATCGCACTTTCCCCCGCAAACCCATTAATATCTGGTCTCCTCAAAACAATAGATATATCCGTTAATTCTGCATAAGATTATAACTCTTTTAAAAACCCAAATCCGTCAATATCTTAGTTGTATATTTTAATCATGCCTCGTTATTTCTCCTTCAAATAAACTTTTATAAAACCCTACTTCTTAAAACTATATCATATCACCTGGTCTCATCCATCCCTTGGTTTCATCCACTATGGTGCTTGTTATCTATGTTGATCTCCAAAAGCTTCGATTATATTTTATTTCTCAAATCCCCAGATATATTTTCAAAACCACTATATTCCTTGATATCTATGTTAATCTCTCAAATTTATTGTTTCAATGGAAACCCACCGATATTTCTTTTTATCCCAGAAATCATTCAATATTATAAATCCCTCTTTTTCTGTTTATTCTCCAGAAACCACTACAACCCTTTAAAACTCTTGAGATCGCGTTTTATCGCATCGGGACCCTTTATTTCCCTGTTAATGCTTTGAAATTATTGAAATGTTTAATTCCCCAAATTTTACGCTAGCACCCATATTCCACTCAAATCTCTTGTTATTTGTTAATCCCCAAAACCCATTAATTAAAACAAAACCCGGGATTTATCTGCCTATTTAATAAATTCTCGCAAATACCTTGATTATCTATTAATCTCATTAAATTTTTGATATTCTATAAATCACACACATTTATCCAATATTCTCAATTTTCCAACAATATTTTCACAGAAATCCGTTTTTCTATTTGTTGTACAATAATTTTCTAAAAAATCCCTTTTCATATTCCCCATTGCATCTTCCGCAAACTTCTTTTTTACTTTTAATCACTGTAAACTGTTAACCCTTTTAATCCGCGTATAGATTACTCACCATCAAACTTAATTCTTCAGTCTTAATTAAATTATTAATACTCAATATCCTTGTTATTCCTCTAAAGCGCCCATAAATCCTCTTATGTTAATATTAATCCTACAAAACCCCTGTTTTATTAATTAAGTTATATCCTTTATCCACTTAAGTATACTGTCTCCTAACTCCAAAAATTCCCTAAAACTTGATACAACTTTTTATTCGGTAAACACCTCGATATATCTCTTAATGCACTAAATCCCTCTTAATCCTAACAAATCCTTCGAAAAATAGCAACAATCCTCATTAATCATCAATATCTCTTTTAAACACCAAATTACTTAGTAACCCTTAATATTACCAAATCCACCTATATTCTCCCCTTACAACTGTTTAAGTCCTTTTCGGACTCTAATAGGTGCACCGTTTAAGTCTAATGTTTGCGATTATGTGGCTGCGATTAATTACAAAAATGATTGCGATTACCGTATTTTTTGTATTAGAGCCCCATGGGGCTCTATTTTTCAACTACCCTCCAAAGTGGGGCTTTATTACAGCGTGGGGCTCTAATAGAGCGTGGGGCTCTATTTTTCAACATATTTTTGAAAATAGGTAATAGGATTTCAATTAAAAGGTTAACTATATTTATCAAATTAGATAAGATTTAATCACAAAAACAAATTTCAGCATTAGGATAATTTAAAAGTGGATAGTTGCGCGTCCACATTAATTCGCGGTTAGGTCGATTTAAAGCCAATTTGAATTTAAATTTGTGGAAGGATCGAATCCTATCGAGCATTTGAAGGTTCGATTCTATATTGCTTCAGTATGGTTCACTCCTTCGTGTGTATATCTCGTTTAGTCACAATTGAAGGATATAGATGTGATTAAGAAGGTATTTGGGGATTAATATGGATATCGGGTGATTTGGGGAGTATCAATGTTTTGGGGATTAATCGGATATCGGAGGATTTTTGAGATGAATCAAGTGATAACTAGGCTAATCTCCTCAATATCTATTCTTACCAGTATATAGAAGAATCTCCTAATATCTCCTATAACGTCCAAATCCCTTCATTGGAGAGAATCAAATATATGGAAGGAATATACCTAGATATCAATGGATTAAGAGTGATTTTCGGAATATCAGTCTACGGATTGTATTTAATGTTATTGTTCATACAAAGGGATTTTCGAAGAGATATCATGAATTAGGCGGAATAGGTATCTGGTAATTTGTATGGATTAAGTCTGTTTCAATGGATATCGGCAGATTAAGGTGGTTAATCTACAAATATTAATCCCCAAATACCTCTTAATCGGATATACATAATCTCTAACATTGGCACAGAACATTAAATAAAAGAAAAAAAAACAGTATAGTATTAAAAAGTAACAATTTATTATACCATAGGTAAATTTTAAAAAGTGGGGCTCTATTTCAGCGTGGGGCTCTAATACAGCGTGGGGCTCTATTTTTCAACTATCCTTGAAAGTGGGGCTTTATTACAGCGTGGGGCTCTAATTCAACGTGGGGCTCTAATACAAAAAATACGGTAATTAGGTATTTTAAATGCCTGCGTCTAAATGGCGGACGCGCTGTTTACTGTTTACGATTATCTTTTTTTGTGCACAGTAAGAGAAAAACAACTTTTTTCTCTTTTATCTTTGTTAATGTAAAATTTTCGCTTCAAAACAAAATCATTTTCTTTGATTGAAAAGTTCTATTTTAGCCTTTTTTTAGTATAGTAAATTATTCACAAGCAGAGCTGCGTCGAAATTTCGATTTTCGAATTTCGACGTTTTTTTCTACCGATTTTCGATTTCCGAATTTCGAATTTTTTCATAAAATTTCGATTTCGATAATTTTAGTTTTTTCGATTTTCGTTCGATTTTCGATTTTTTTTTGCAAAATTGCATTATCTTTTCTCTTAAGATTTTATTCCTGCAGCGCCAAAAATGAAGAAATCTGGATACTTAGCCTTTCAAAATTCTCAAAATTTTCGCCTGCGGCGCTGAAAAATGAAGAAATCTGTCTTCTAGTCTTCCAAAATTTTCAAAATTTTCGCCTGAGGCACTGAAAATTGAAGATTTTTGGCTTAATGATCTTCAAAATTCTGAAAATTTTCGCCTGCGGCGCAAAAAAAGGTTAAGAAAGATGGAGGGATAAAAATAAGGGATACGAAGATCGCGAGTAGAATATCTTTAATCCACCCAAATCCCACGATAATCACCCAAATCCCGCGTAACCCTTGATATCCCTCATATTCGCCTGATATCATATAATATCCCCCTTAATCTACCCAAATCCACCTAAATAATATTATCATTGACTTTCCACCCGAGCCTCCAATTAATCCATTTGCCTTACAATAATAAGAGGAATATAGGAGGATGGGCTATCAAGGGTATCAAGGGGTAAGTAGAATATCGGAGGAATAAAGGATTTAAAGTGATCTAGGGTGCGGATTTAATTGGTCTCTAGTCAACCCCCTAATCCTGTATATCCCTACGATCACTGATATCTCTTAAGACTACCATTAATCCATTGAATACCCTTATATCTCAAGATTAACACTTATATCTCCATATTGCGGATTGTTTACTACTCTTTTAGTTATTTTAAAAAATTTCGATTTTCGATTACCGATTTTCGATTTTCGACGTTTTTTTCTGCCGATTTTCGATTTCCGATTTTCGAATTTTTTTATAAAATTTCGATTTCGATATTTTTGGATTTCTTTCGATTTTCGATTTCCGAATTTCGAAGATTTTTTTATTTCGACGCAGCTCTGTTCACAAGGAACTTAAAAGGATTAACATTTATGTGGTAATTGTAAATCGTTTGAAAAGTTAGATTTGATGATAGAAATCGTCGTTTATTTAATACTTACTCGTGAGTATCTTTAACGTCCGTTCTTCTTGCTTCCATTAGCCTTATTCTTCGTACATCTGTGGAGGAAAGTGAAAATTTTATTAAATTAAAAAAAGTTTTTTTTCTATAGTACTGAAGAAAAAGTTTGTAGAGGCACGATTATTTGATCAACTTGTTCGAGTCCTTTCCAACGCGCTGTTTCCATCACTACAAATATACTTATTGGACAAAACAGCATTTTAAGCCAGCCAAGGGAAATTTCTCCTTCTGATGCAGAAAACTCCGAAATTTTAGAATTGAATAACTTGCACTGTGGGCCAAAAAGTTTGCCTTGAAAAGTCTGTTTTCCATTAGATTTTTGTCTTTAGTTTTGAAAAATTTTCGGTCTTGCAAGGTTCAATTTTACAGTTTTAACTTTGCCCACTACATCTACCTCTTTATTAATTATTCTAAAATAAAAAAATTTATTTATTTATTATTTTAATAATCAATTAATAAAAAAATATTTGGATTATTTATTTACTCGATTAAACAATTTATTTTAATCTGACAATGAGTCCAATTATTAAATCTAAATTTCTGCCACATTTTTAATTATTTTAACAAAAAAAAGAATTTTCAGAAGAATTTTCCCTTTTTCCTTTTTTTATATTTTCATTATTTTACAAAGAAATAAAAATAATATTTTAATGTTTAACTATCAAATTTTGTTTTTATTTCAATTATTAATAAATTATGGCACAACGAATTGTTTTAGTTTGTTTGAATCTGTGAGCTTAATTAAATTGTTTAAAAGATTTTTATTATTTTTTAGTTAACATCAACTACTATAATTCCAAAAAATTTTTCTTTTTTTGAAAATATTACTTTAGGTGGACAAAATGTAACTAATAATATACAAGTATTATCTAATACAAATACTTCATTGACAGAAGGTAGGGGGGGGGGCAAAAATTATTTTTTTACTTTCAATTTAATTTAACTTGATTGAAATAGGAAAAAGTATTTTTAATATTAATCCAAAATAAAATTCTTTCCATAAAAATATATTCTGTTAATCTCAAAATAATTTAGAGGATGTGGAGGATGATGAATCGTCAGAGCCAGTAGAATTTCTTGAAACAATGAATGGCGATAATTTGGTTAAGGGGGATAAAGTAAATTAATTAGAAGAGATTTGTTTAAATTAATTAAATTAAAGGTTATTGAAGTTCGAACAGAATGGAATACACATGTAGGGAATGATGATGCTGAAGCTACTGAATAAAGAAAAAATTTTATTTAAAAATTAAATTTCTTTTTATTAAAATAATATTTGAATAAATTTAATTTAAAAAAATATATTTTTTTACTTAAAAAACATCCCTTCTATTTATTTATCGAACATTTAGATCTCTAGATATAAATTAACCTGCGCAATTCACTTTTGATAGATATTAAAGATAAAAAAATGGAAAGGTTTGTATGTAGGTAGTCTACAAAAACTTTTTATTTATTAAATTTATTATTAAAGTTCTTTCTCTGTATCAACCAAATAAAAGGTAAATTTTACATTGTCCTTTAAATCGTTTTTTTGTGAAAATAATAAAAGAACAAAAAAATAAAAAAATATGTTAACAGCTGGAATTAAATATATTATACGAGTTATGTATGTATATTCACACACAAAAAATTATAAAAACACTTTTTAATTAAAAAATCGATTAGATCACCAATAAATGATTAATTTATGAAATATGTAATGAATGGAGCTTTATGATTTGTTTGTCTGATAAAATTATTAGAGACAGTAAAGTTTTGTAAAAAAATAAAATATATTTGTAGTTTATTTTTATTATTGATCAAATTAATTTTTTAATAATTTAATTTTTAAAATCAAAAAATATCTTCACATTATTGTTTTTTTTTCTCTTATCAAAATTAAAAAAAAAATAATTTTTTAGACTGAAACGGTTTATTAAAAATATTTTAAACAATTTTAACGAGAATTTTATAATCGTCTTCTCCCTATCAATATCGTTTTTATTGAGAAACGTCATGAAAGTTAAAGAAAGTGAAAATATTTTAAAATAAAAAAAAGGAAAAAGAAAATAGGGAGAGATCATTGCGCTGTCAGGAACACCTACCTCTCCCTTCCAATGGGAGAAGAATAAAAATAAATATAAAATTGTATATGTACATCCACCACGTCTTTTATTTTTTTTTCCTAAAAATTATTATTATTATTTTCTTTTATTTATTTTATTTAAAATTTAAAAATCTTTTTATATTTATTTTTAATTCCTGAAAAAATAATGTAAATATATAAATTAAAAATTTATATTAACCTATTTAAATTTCAAACAAAAATATCGTTATAATTGCGAGGCTAAATATTTACAAAAATTATTTATTTATTTAATAATTTCTTCAAATAACTTTTTAATTTTTATTTTAAAAACATTTTATGCTTTTCCCAATCATTTATTAGTAATAAAATTGAAAAAATTCCTTTTGTACATTCTCTTATAATATTTTTCTATTTAATCTTTGCCTTTTGCCATTCACAATACTTTTAACTACAAATATGTATGACTTTTTTAAAATTATTTCATTTTATTTTTTTTATTTTACTTTTTTTCATATTTTTTTCTTTACATAAATTAAAAATATTTATTTTAAAATTAAATTATTTAAATAATTTATTTATTAAATTTATATGTACTAGAAACCGAATTTGTGATCGATCAATAATATCGGTATTGATAATCGAAAGTCTAATCGTTTTATAACTTCGATATTTAAAAAATTAATTTACCAATAGGGCCAATTAATTAAAGGAAATACCCGTCGCATGCTAGTCCTGTTTAAGAGACGAGAGATTCCTGAAAAATTATTTTTTAATTTCTAATTATAAAACAATAAAAAGCACAGATAATCTTTTAAGTTTAATACTAATCTGTTAGATATTCTTTGCATAAATTTAAAACTTTTAGGTAATTTCTAATTTCCGAAATTCAACTTTAAACAATTTCAATTTCCGACACTTCTCTCATTCTCGATCTATTTCTTTGAAATTTATACAACACTTTAACCTTTTTCTCTTTTTCTTTTTTTATTTATTTATTATTAAATTATTTTATTTTTAATTATTTTTAAAAGAAAATAAAAAATGGTTGATCGTCTTGTTCGTTTACGTTCTGTTTGTTCACCAACAAATTCCTTTGATTCCTTTCGGAGTACTCATTTACGTATTGGAGATGTTATATCGTTATATGCACCTGATTCGAGAGGAGAAAATAATAACATTTGTGGTCATGAAGGATTTTTGTCGACATTAGGGTAATTAAAATTTGAATGAGGGCCGGGCCCCGACCCGAGACCCTCTAACATTCTGATGAAAATCAGGGTTTGTCCCACTGCACAGGTCCGTGTAAAAATAAACATTCCTGATTGGGACCCGAAATTTTGATAAATTCTCTAATAATTCTTTCTCTCATTCTCGTTTTTATAGTTTGGTAGATGAACGTTGTGTTGTTGTAGAAGGACATGGAAATTTACAATCACCTCCAGAAACATTTAGAGGTTTATACAACTAATATTTTTTTAAATAAAATTATTTAAAAAAAAAGATTGTCTTTTCCGTATTTGTCCAATAAATAGATATTCAGCGCAAAAACAATTATGGATGGAACAAAAAAGATTACAATATTCAAATTCAAATAGTTCTTCAGATTCTTTTATAGATGAAGAAATGTTAATTAGAGTTGAAATTGCTGCAGAAAAGGAAAGAGAACAAAATAGAAATGATTATACAAAAATGTTAGGGAATATAGTTCAAGTAAATTAAATTAAAATTTAAATTAATTTCTAATTTAAAAAAGTATGGTTCTTCAATCCAACTTTTACATGTAAAATCAGACAAATATTTAACAATGCAAAAAAATTCTCCAGCACGTCAAGAAAGGAATGCAATGCGTGTTTATTTAGATAAATTAGGAAATGAAGGTTCTTGGTTTTTTGTTGAGCCTGCTTACAAACATGTTTCTTTGGGAGATAATGTAAATAAATTTTGTGATATAAAATAATTTAAAAAATAATTAAAAATAAAGGTAATGTCTGGTGAAAGAATTACTTTAGTTTCTTTTACTTCTAATAATTCAAATATTTCTTCTGTTGGCCCAAAACTTCAATTACACCTTTCTAATCACAGATTAAATGACCACAAAAATTGTTGGGAAGTTAATTGTTTAAATGAACAAACGGAGTGGCAAGTTCGTTTTGGAATTTGGAAATTGTTTTTCAAAAAAATTTGTTTTTTAAGGCACATGTTTTTCTTCAATATGACGAAAATATGACAGAAAATGTTAAATCAGTAAATTAATTTTACTATATTTTCTTTTGACATTTTTTCTCAAAGGGAGATGTTCTTCGTTTATTTCATGCTGATCAACAAACATTTTTAACATTAGATTCTGAACCTAAAAACATTCAAAACGATAGAGTATTTCTTAGATTAACTAATAGACCATCTGCAACTGATGCAACATCTTCTCGTGCCCTTTGGGAAATTCAAGTATTTAATAGAGAAATGCCTTTACGTGGGGGAGCTTTAACTTGGAGAAAGTATGTACTACTTAAATTACCTCCTCCAAATTTATCACAAAATCCTCTAATTTAATATTAGATTTGTCCGTTTCAAACATTTGGCAACAGACCAATATTTAACCGTTCTTCCAATTGATAAAGAAATAAAAAATAATGAAGAATTAATTAATAAAAAAGCAAATAATACTAAAAATATTTTATCCTATAATTCAACAACTTTTATTCAATTTCGTTCAATACCTTCACAACCAGAAACAGAAAATCCAACATATATTTTAATACCAAAAAGATCAGAAGATCCGTGTAGAGATGAGGATATTCTTTTTATGTTAGATCCTTGTACTAAAGTTCAAACTGTAAAAATTTATATATTTTTTTTTTAAATTTTTCTTTTTAATATTAAAATATTGGGAGAAAATTATTTTTTAACTAATAATTTATTTTTTAAAGAAAGAATCTCGAGTACCAATTAATTCATATGGTAAAAAAATATTTTTTAATTTAATTTACACATAATTTTTCAGTTCGTTTTCAACATGTAAAGGTGTTTATTGAATATTTTAATTTATAAAATAATTTATTTAATTTTTAAAAAAGACATGTACTTGGTTACATTCAACTAATCCTCAACTTAAATCTAATCTTTATTATTCGAGTAAAAATGAAAAGGGATGGGTTAAGGTAAATTTTCTTTTAAAATTTTTGTGGGGAAGAAGAGAGTGTAAATTGTGAATTTTTGATAAGAGAAGGATTTACAAAAAAATATTTTTATTAAGGTAATTTGTGAGCCATATAAAATAGATAAAGAAGCTTTTTCACTTTCGCCTGTTGTTCCAAACGAAGTTAGAGATTTAGATTTCGCCAATGATGCTTGTAAAGCTTTACATCAATTTGTTGATTTAATTAAAAGTGGAAAACAAATTTGTAAAGAAATAATTAAATCAACAACCCAATTATTAATTGACTGTATTTATTTTGTTACTGGAATACAACAAAATAACCAAATAATGATTGATCCTCTAAAAATTTTAAATTTCGAGCCTTTGAGGGATCGACAAAAATTATTGCGAGAACAAGGAGTTCTTGCACAAATATTTGATTTACAAAAAGCTCCCTTCCTTCCAAGACAGGGAATTGGAGAAGTCCATCCACTTTTAAGTGCCCCAGCTGAATTAAATGAACCAAGAAATGAATGCTTTTTAAAAATGTTTCAAGTAAATTAATTTAAATTAATTTTAAAAAATATTTTTTTTAAAAAGTTGTCATATTCTTTACTTTTATATTCTCAATGTGGTTATCGTAAAAATCAAGAATTTCTAGCTGAAAAATTTGATCATATTCAGGAACATATTGGATTTAATTTATTAGCCGAAGAAACTGTTTAGTTGTTTTTTTGTTTAAATTTAATTTTAAATTAATTTTAGATGACTGCTGTTTTACATAATAATCCAAAATTGTTAGAGAAATATGTTAAAATACCTCATGTTGAACGTTTTGTTGAACTTGTGGTAAAAAAGAAATTTTTCCTTTTAAAATTTTTAACAAGTTTAGTAAACACAAATTAAATGTCAAAAAAATTAATTTTTCTAAATTTCCTTAATAAAAATAAATAAAAAAAACTTATGCTTAAATTTTCTTTTAAAAGAGAAATAATCGTTGTGGTAAATTTCTTTTTTATTTGGCTGATCTTTGTGTATGTCGTGGGGAAGCTAATAAAAAAATTCAAGAATTAATATGTAATTGTGTGGTAATAAAATAAATTAATAAATAATTCTTTTTTCAAATTTTTTAAAGTTAAATGAAAAAAATAGAGAAATATTTATGTTAACAGAAAAACGTTTAATTTCTTCTCCTCAAAATAATTTTGAAGTTTATATTTGTTGGGGTTATTCTGGTTCAAAATGTTCTCCTTTAGTTAATTGTTCTAATTTAATAGCCGAAGAAGATGAAAAAGAAATGTTTGATTATTACAAACATCAATTAGAATTATTTGCACAATTATGTCAAGACCAACAATATTTAGCTATAGACCCTCCACCTGAAAGGAAATTATTAAATATAAGTCAACAACTTCCTGTTGATTTAGTTATTAAGTAAATTTTATTTAAAAAATTTAAAAATAATTTAAAAGATGTATTTCTGATTCTCGTCTCCCTTTTGATATTCGTGCCTCTTTTTGTCGTTTAATGCTTCACCTTCATGTTGTACGGGGTTCACCTGTTCCAGCTGTAAGACATGCACGTTTATGGAGGGATATACCAGAGAAAGTTTTTATAAAAAAGTAAAAACCTTTAAAAAATATTTTTTTTTATTTTTTTAATTTTCTAAAAAGATATCATAGTTCAGCTTTAGAATCTTATAAAAACGAGAATACTTCAATGGATTCTAATGGGGGGCATATGCCTGTAATTGAATTTCATCAAGAAATTCTTGAAACTGTCCAAAATTATTTGTTAGAATTATGTAATTTAAATAATGGACACCAACCAATACTTGTTGATTTGCCTGAATATGCTGACCAAAATAGATTAACATATGAGGTTTTTTTATTTGTTAAATATTCCAAACAAATATTTTCTTTTAAGGTAATTAATTTAGCTAAAGCATTAGCTCAATTTGGATTTTATGATTTTGAACAAATGCTTGAATTAACCCAATATTTATTAATTATTGTAGATAGCTGCCCTTCTCAAAAAGAGAATAATAATTTAATTAATAATAATTCAAAAATAAAAACACACACAAAATTAATTAGACAAATATCTAAATTTACTTCAATAACAACAAAAAATGATGAAGAAAATAATGAAATTGTTGTAAATATTTTTTTTTTATAAAAATAAATTTTATTTTTAAGAAATTAATAAAAAATAATCTTTCTTCTTCTTCTACACCAACAATTAACGATAACAATAATTATTCAAAACCTCCCCCAAATACTTTAGAAATTCCAACAAAAACAATAATACAAAAACAATTTAATAATAACACAAAAGATTTAACTGAAGATTCAACAAATTCAAAACGTTCAAGAGAAATGCTTTTAAAAACTAAATTAATTGTTGTTGAATTAATTGATTTTATTATGGATGTTAGAAGGTAATTAATTAATTGAAAAGAAGAAATAAAAGAAAATTTGTTTAATTAAAGAGATTTTCGAGTAACAAAAGCACTTTCATTTTACAAAAATTTGTTGTCTTCATGCAATGAAAATGGGGAAATAAAGGAAGCACCAGGTAAGTACAAGAAAGATTAATATAATTTTAATAATAAATACAAAATGAAGAATACATACATATATTCTTTTATTTAATTACAAAGATAATATTTAATACAAAATTATTTTTATTTTTTTCTCAAGTTATTTCAAAAGAATTAATTGAACAATTATCTCGTTCAGTATTTATTGACTCAGAAAAAGAATTAGATATGGATAAATTTAAGGGTCAACAATTATTAAGAATTTTACTTCAAATGACGATGATAGAAGATTTTCCTTTATTAACTAGCACAGCTTTAAAATTATTGTTTAGACATTTTAGTCAATTTCAAGAATTAATTGAAGATATGAAACAAGTTTAAATTAAATTAATTTTTAATTTAAATTTAAATTAAAATTAAAAGATTCAATTACTTGTATCAAATCAAGATATAAAGAATTACCATCAAGTAGACAGAGATTTATTTATTTTAAAACAATTAACTGAGAAAAGCGAACTTTGGGTACATTATGGGACACAGTTAGAAGGGTCTTCAACAACTAGCTGTTCTTCCCCCTCAAATCCAAGTCAAGATCGTTCAGACGATGATTTTATACACGAAACAACTTTGTCTGTTCCTTCAATTGAAACTTTACAAGAAAAAGTTTCGATTGGTTTAGCTTCAATTGTTAATGGAGAACAACAACAACAACAAAAATATTTAAAAGAAACTTCTACAGGAAATGAATCCCCAACAACTAAAAGACGTAAAACTTTAAAAAGTATTAGAAATAGTGCTGGAATATTACAACAACAACAACAACAACAACAACAACAATCACCACAATCTGTTTGAAAAAGCTTTTCTAAATAAATTTTAATTCATTTTTTTAGTCAATGGTTAAAAGTAGGGTTGGTCCCCGAGCCTTCGGGGTTGAAAAAGTCGGGGGTCGGGGTTTTCGGGGTTGACAAAGTCGGGGTCGGGGTCGGGGTTGCTCAAATTGTTCGGGGTCGGGGTCGGGGCTGAAAATGATGTCGGGGTTCGGGGTCGGGGTCGGGGTCGGGGGTCGGGGTTGAAGTAAAAATTTACAAAATCCAGCATTTTTATCCAACATTACTGTTCAAAATCAACATTTTTATTACAAAATCAACTTAATCTTCATTATCTTCACTTTCTGGATCTAATTCGTTATTAGTTGAAGGCGCAAGAAGTTTTACCAAGAAATTTTTCTTTCGAATCCAAAAAAACTCAAACCCACAAACCCACAAAATAACTCTTACTCCCCTTTGTATGTAAAGGGATTGAGGGGATATGAAGGCACATCAGAGGATTAAGATGGATATAATGGGATTTAGAAGGATTTGAAGGGATATCGGGGATTTGCAAGGATAACGGGAGAAATCCATCTATCCATCAATTTCTCCTAAAGCCTCTGTATCCCTTCATTGAGTCTAGCGCCGCAGGCAAAAATTTTTAGAATTTTGGAAGGTCAAGAGCCAGATTTCTTCAATTTTCTGCGCCGCAGGCAAAAATATTGGAAAATTCATGACTAGTTTAAAATTTCTAATATTGTTTGTTTAAAATATTAAAAAAATAAATTTGCAAATTTAAAATCAAGATCAAAGTTTAAAAATATTTATTTTTGAGAAGAAAAATTTTCTCAGCCTCATTCCCATCCATGGATTCGAATAACATCCCTATCAAAAGATAGATGGGTGAAGTCAGTTAACCTAACCTCTCAACCACCGACCAACAAAAGGAAATAGGAGAAAATATGAATATTCCTTTCCCTTTTCCTTCATATATTTAACATCAAAGTCCCGATCCCGTTCCGATCTCTTGTTATTAATGCAGTTTGAGTCGGGGTCATAAAAATTTTTCGGGGTTCGGGGTCGTCGGGGTCGAACTTTCGGGGGTCGGGGTTTTCGGGGTTGGGAATGTCGGGGTCGGGGTCGGGGTTTTAGGTCAAAAAATGTCGGGGTTCGGGGTCGGGGTCGGGGTTAGTCGGGGTCGGGGACCAACCCTAGTTAAAAGCGGTCCGGCAGCAGCAATTGCTATTTTACAACAATATTATCCAAAATTAGCACGTCAACAAAATCAGTTAGCTTCTATTGGGCTTTTGTTGGCAGGTAAAAATATTTTTTGAATAATTCCTTTACGAAGTTATTTTTTGAGTATAAACGATGAAGAGGAAACTATCATATTTCTTCAATTTATATTAATTTTTAAAAATTTATTTAAAAAAAGGTAATTAGGAAAATAAAATTATTCTTCATGCCACACCATCAATTTTAATTTTTGGGCAGTGTGACATAAAGGATCCAAAATTTATTTTAAAAGGTTCAATAACAGATAATGATGGTATTCAACGAAATAAAGCAGAAATTAGCAATACACTTCATTCAATAATGGAAAAAGCCCCTCTTATTTGTTATTTACTTGTTAAAGAAGTAAATTAGCATAATTAAATTAATTATATATTTAATTAAAAATATATTTTTAAAGATTATTGTTCGAATGAAAGATTTATGTTTTTCTTGTGCTGCAAGTAATTATCGTAATCAACAATTATTACGTAATATGCTTGTTTATGAAGTTATTTTGCAATTTCTTTGTATCCCTTTTGATCGGAAAAATGACAATGAAATGCCAAAACTTTTAACTTTAAGTCATGAATTTTTGAGATCTTTTTGTAAACATAATAAAGAAAATCAATCAAGACTTTATATCCATATTGCTCCAATTGAAGGTGGAGGAGGAGGAAGTAGTGGTGGAGGAGGGGGAGGGAATACAGAACAACAACAACAAAGACATGAAGGAGGGAAACTTTCCGTTGAAACGGTAATTTGAGTTAAGAAACAAAATAAATTATTATGGGGCTATCTTTCTTAGTCCCTACTTTATTTGCACCTTTAGAATCTCTTAATATTTTTTAAAGGTTCAAGACTGTGCTACAATAGTTTCGATATTCAGAGGAAATTCAGAATTATGTGAACATGTTTCTGAACATTTTATTGGGCATATTGTTAATTTAATAGAAAATAAACAAAGAAATTCTATATTTCTTGAATTATTACAAGTAATTGTTTCTTCTTGTGAAAAAGGATTAGATTTGTGTCAAAATAAAGTTGTTGATGAAGTAAATAGAAATAAATAAAAATATTAATTTTAAATAAATATTTAACAGATTGGTAAAGCAGCAGAAGATGTTCGACATTTTTATGTCGATAGTGTTTCTTTTGAACAATGTTTTTTTTAATTTAAATATTTAATTTCCTTTAATTTTTAAGTAATTGAAATGATGAAAAAATCGAATATATCAGATTTGGATTCTTCTCATCCTTTACGTTATCATATAGAATTGGTTAGATTAATGGCTATGTGTACAAAAGGAAAAAATGCGGTAAAATAATAAATTATTTTAAATAAATAGTGTGAAAATTTTTAAAAATTTCGGTTTAAATGTATATGCATTTATTTTTAAAGGTAACAGAATTAAAATGTGCTTCACTTCTTCCAATGGACCATATTGTCAGAGTTTTAACTTCAAATTGTTGTATTTTGGAAGTAAAAACTGTTTATTTACAATTTCTTCTTACGTGTTATATTGAAACGTAAATTTAATTAATTTTTATTTAATTAAAAGGGAGGGGGAGTTAAACAAATTATTGAGTGGATTCACTTAATATTTTTTTAATTATTTTTTTATTTTTTTTAGTGATTTAGAATTAAAAGATGCAAATAATTCAGAATATTTAGAATTAATTTTAAACGAAATAATATCAGATATAGACAAATTAATAATTAAATTACAATCAATTGGAGGAGAATATTTAAATAATAAATTACCTAAAGAGATTTTATTTTTGGAAAGATTTGTTTGTCAAATAATTACAGAAGTTTTAATTAAATTTTTTGAAAAAACAAATTATGCACAAAGAGCATTTATTGATATTAAAGTAATTTTTAATTTAAATTTAAAAATTAAAAAAAAATAATTTAAAGCATCATCGAAAATTATTTATTACAATTTTACAAAAACTAAATAAATTACAAAATTGTGTTTTTATTGCTGCTGGTAGACGTCCACATAATAATTGGTATAAAATTGCTGATTGTTCTGAAAGACTAGCTAAATTTGGTAAAAGAAATAATTAAAAATGTTTTTTTATTTATTCTTTTTTTAAAGCAAAAAGTCGTTTCATTATTTTACCTGAAAATTCTCTTTCCGTTCCTTACTCTAACGGTAATGAAAATAATAATATTACTTCAACATCAACATTACGAACAATTACTGCTAGACAACGTTGGCAAAGTGCTATATTCTCTGCTCGTTATTTTAGAGTAATTTTATTTCAAGTTTTTATTTATACTGGAGATTTTCTGATATAGAAAATATACCTATTCCCTTTTTCGAGAATTGGGATAGCAGGGTTTATTAAAAAAATAAATATAACTTTTATGTTAAAATTTTAGTTTGTTAAATTTTTCTATGTAATATTAGGAGGGATTTTGTAAATAAAAAGGGAGTAAAAATTTTTAAAAACGGAGAGGAAATAATAAAAAAATATTTTTAAAAATTCAATTAATTTATTTTTAATTAAAGAGAAATAAACATTCAAAATCTTTACATTCTCATTTAACTTCTTTAACTGCTGGAGATGAACCAACAACAGTTGTAGCTTTATATCCTCGTTTAATTAATGAATTAAATAATTATCTCTCTCCTTTACAAAATGCAGAAAATGCTGCTTTAGTTGAAATTTTAAGATTACCTGAAAAATTGTGTTCTTCTTTCTCGAATACTTCTTCCAATAAATTTGGTTAAAAAATAATTATTATTTTTTTAATTAATTAAAAAAAACCCTGCTATCCCATTATTTAAAAAAATAATTCTTTTTTAGAACCTTCTTGTCATGGAAAATTTGTAAAATCAATGTTAATTAGGCATTGTAAATTACTTTTAGAATCAAAAAGAAATGAATTATGTGGACGTGTACTTGTTACTTTATATAAATTAGTTTCGAATTTAAAACAAGAATTTAATGAAAATGTAAAAGAAATGCTTGGAGAATTACTTTGCCGTTATTTTGGTGAGGGGTCTGTACAAGGATTAACAACAACATTTAATAAATCTTCAAACTTTTCTATAAATAATTTAAAAGAGAATATAAATAAAGGTATAAATAAATAATGAAGAATAAGAATTAATTTTTAAAAAATACTTTAAAAAATATTTAGTTGATTGTATTTTCGATGCAGAACTTAATCCAAAACAAGAGAAAACCCTTTACAATATGCAATGTGATTTAATGGATGCTGGAGCTGTTGATTTAATTATAGATTTAATTGTTATGGAACCCCCATATGATATATTTAAAAAGAGTATTCAATTGGCTAAAGCTTTGTTATTTGGTGGAAATGATAAAGTAAATAAAAATAAATATTTAAGAATATCTGAATAGTATTTGGACTAAATAACTGGGTGGAAATTTAATTAATTGAATTTTAGAAGAGCTAACATTATGAAATCAAAACTATTTTTTATTAGGTTCAAATGGCATTTTATCAAAGATTACAAGACGATCAAAAATTAGCCTCTCGCTTCTTTAATGCTTTAAAATTAAAAATGCAAGCAGCACAAAATCGAATTAAAGCTGACATTTTAAGTGGAACATCTAATGCTGGAAGGGCAACAACTAGTAAGTACATAAATGTTTTTAAATAAATTTTTATTTATTTATTTTTTTGTTTTGAAATGCTGTGTTTTTCTTTTTTTTTTTGTTTTCTTTTTAAGTTTTTTCTACATCTGGCAGTCGTCGTTGTATGTGTTTAATAAATAAATATTTAAAAAATTTTTTCAATTTTTTCTTTAGCTTCAGCTGCTATTACTCCAAATCCACAAAATGGAGTTAATTGGTTAAGCAGTATTGGGGGAGAGACAAAAAAACATTCAGATCTTTCAGCAAAGAATAGTCTAAATTTAAATATTCCATTTAATGAACAACAATGTAAAAAAAAGAAAAGACTTGAAAAATAAATGTTTTAATTTTTAGATTTTGATAAAAGAAATAATGTTTGTGTTACTTCCTCTAATTCCTTCCAACATTCTTCTTGGCAATCTACTACTTCCTATCAACAACAACAACAAACATTTCTTCGCCACCAAAATCGTTCAGAAATTGAAGAAAAGTATATTTATTAGGTTGTAACATATTTAGTTGCCGTTTTTTTCAACAGGGCATAAGGACATAACATTCATATGGTAATTGCATGTTCTATATACCATTTTGAAGCCCTGGATCTGCTCTTTAATCTCATATATGGTTTTTTCACGTTCCATGTCTTATACTCGTTTCAGAACCTCTAGAATACCCCTAACTCGTAAAGCATTTTTTGAGCTTTTGCGGAAAATTCTATAATTTAAACAGAAATAAACCAATCCAAGTGAAATTTTTCATATACGTTCATCATGGGTTTGACCATCAAATTATTAAATTTGGGATTTTTTGTTTAGGTATTTCAAAAGCTATGGTCGAAAAAGTCGAATCTGGCATATTTTACAAATTTCAAATTTTCTTGAAAAATTTTTGGATTTGATATGACTTGTAATATACCATTCGAAAGACCTTTCTGAGTTACACAAGATAGTATTAACTAAATTTTATAAAATTTCTAAATAAGATTTAAAATCACAAAAAACCCTTTTGTCAAGTAAATGAAAAAACGAGTAGACATTCCCCCAAAAACTCAAAATTTCGAACTTTGCGTAAAATCATCCGATTTCGATAATTCGAACGGTATTCAGAAGCCCTCGCAGTTATATATGGGAAACTAAACCGAAAATAATTTTCTGGTACACAGGGGTCGAAAATACACAGGGGTCGAAATTTCGACTTTTTTCTCGTTCGAATTTTTAAAATTTTCTTTTTTTCGCTAGTTAGAGCATTTGAAGAGCTTTCGATTGATATATCGCATGCCAACCATTTACCAATAATTTTCGAGATATTTCGATATATTTGCTAAAAAGCAGTAATTTGACTACCCCTTATTTTTCGACCATAACTCTTACTATCCTTAACAAAAAAATTTTAAAATTTTAGAGGCTGTTAGAGGACAGTCTAATTAATATACGTACAAAAATTCATGATCATAGACTACAGATCCATAAAAATACAGACCCCGAAACTTTTAATAAAAACGGCAACTAAATATGTTACAACCTAATATTAAAAAAAAATTTTTTTAATTAAATATTTTTTTAGAATATTAATTCCAATTCTTCCTATTGAAATAAGTATTGTTGAACCAATTTTACGTTTTTTACAATTACTTTGTGAAAATCATAATTCTACTTTACAAGTAAATTATTTTTAATATTTTAGAAAAAAATATTTTTTAAAAGAATTTTTTACGTACTCAACGAGGAAGACCAGATTTTAATTTAGTATCAGAAACACTTACATTTTTAGATTGTATTTGTGGAAGCACAAAAGGAAGTCTTGGAGTATTTGCAGAAATTGGTGAACATAGTATGTTTATTGTTGTTGTTATAAGGGATTTTAATTGAATATTATTTTTAGATTTTTCTCTTGTTACACAAACATTAATTAGGTAAAATAAATTTAATTTTTAAAATAATTTTTAATCCTTTTTTTAGTCTAACAGAATTTTGTCAAGGTCCTTGTCATGAAAATCAAAATGCTTTAGCTAGACATGAAAGTAATGGAATGGATATTGTTATATCTCTAGTACTTAATGATATTAGACCTTTGGCAGATCAAAGAATGGAATTGGCTTTAGAAATTAAAAGTCAAGCCTCCAAAGTATTTGAAGAATGTCAAAAATAATTCTCTTCCCCTCCCCCCTTTTTTAGCTTTTATTAGCCATAATGGAATCTAGAGATGATTCTGAAAATGCTGATCGTGTTCTTCGTTTAATGGCCCATAGCGTCACAAGTACAAGTACTTCTTCCTCTTTATCTTCATCATCAACTAGCGGGGGCGCTAAACAATTAATTAAAGCAATTGGGCATGCTTATTCAATGTCTTCAACATATTCCCCCTCTCCTTCCTTTTCTTCTACTCCTGGACAAGCATTAGAAGTTGCTAATCATTTACATCAACAACAAATATTAACAGAAAATATTTCTGAAAATAAAAAAACTTTTGGAGGATTTAAATATTTAATTTCTTGGATTTGGCCTTTTTCTAAAAATAATTTAAATAAACCAGAAATTTGTTTATCTTCTAATGGAAATAATTTAAAGAATAATAATAAAGAAGAAAAAGACAAAATTAAAGACAAAGCTTTATTAACAACATCTATTCCGACTTTAGTTGACCCTAAAGAAGTATATATTATATTAATTTAAAATAATTTAATTATTTATTTTCTTTTTAGGTTGGCCACAATATTTTTATTTTAGCCCAACAATTAGGTCGGCATAGTAAAGAATTAAATTGGCATCTTTGCCCAGAAAATGCAACAAATGAAAATATTAAAAATGCTTTAACATTTTATCAGCAACATACAGGACAAATTGAAGTTTAATTTTAAAAAAATAAATATATTTTTAAATTAATTTAATAAAAAGATTGTTCGTTCTGATCGAAAAATGGAAAGAGTACTTTTTCCAATTAATGATATTTGTGGGTTTTTAACTGATGAAACAAAACATTCAGTTTTTGTTAATACCGAAAAGGATGCACAAGGATCGAAAATTTCTGATTTTTTTGATAAATGGCCTAATTTATATAATGAAATGAAATGGCAAAGAAAATTACAAAGTAAAGAGAATTTAAATAAAATAAATTTATTTAAATATTTAGATAGACAATTATTAAGTTATTTCACTAAACGTTTACATATTTGGTCAAGAACTTGTTTCTTTTTGTCTGTTCTTCTTAATTTAATTTTAGCAATTTCCTATCCATTTGAACATTCACAAAATTTTGGACAATCACGTTTTGATTAATTAATTTAAATTTAAAAATTAAATTTAATTTTAGTATTTTTGAGTGCTGACAATCCTTTTATTTATTTATCTTTTTTGGTTGCTCTTTTATATTTTTTCTTTTGTTGTTCTCCTGAATGGTATGTAAATAATTTAATTTATTTAATTATTTTTTTATTCAATTTTATTTCCAATTATTTTCTAGGCATTCTGTTGGATTATCCTTTTGTTCACAAATTAGTTTATTTCTGGCAATGTTTTCATCATCAATTTTATCAACAGCACTTTTTGGATTGTTACCAACACTTTGGATTTTGGGTACTTTACAATTTGTTGTCAAGTAAGAAAATTATTTTTTAAAAATTAATTTAAAAATAATTCCCCCCCCCCCCCCTTCCCAACAGATGTATTCACATAACTAGTTATTCAGGCAATAAAGGATTTGTGGAAGACCATAATTGGAAACAAATATTTTCTGATTCAACATTTTTATATCATTTGGCTTATTTAATTTGTTGTTTGTTAGGACTTTTAATCCATCCGTTTATTTATTCTTTATTGGTAATACTATATTTTTTAATTAAATATTCTTTTTCTTAAAGTTATTTGACGTTATTGCTTGTGAAGAAACACTTCAAAACGTTATTAGATCAGTTACTCGTAATTGGCAATCTATATTTTTAACTGGTCTTTTAGCATTAATTTTAGTTTATCATTTCTCTATTATTGGGTATTTATTCTTTCAAAGAGGTATAGAGAATTAAAAAAAAATTTTAAAAGAAATATTTTCTTTTAAAAAGATTTTCGATTAGAAGTACATAAATTAACGGATTCTGAAGAAGAAATGGAAAATAAATGTTTAAATGAAAATAATTATTTTTATAAAAATTATTTAAAAGAAGAGGAAAATAAACAAAAATGTGAAGAAAAAAATAATTTAATTGAAGAAGATGATGAATTAGAATTAAAAGTACCTTCTTGTGAGACACTTAGAATGTGTATTTTAACAACACTTAATTGGGGTAATTTTAAACAAAACTTTAAAATTTAAATTTCGAAAAAGAAAAATTAAAACGGTATTTAAAGCATTCCCTTAATTTATAACGAGTTCGGACAAGGGCAGGAACTTGACTGGGGGGTTTTCAGGCCTAACTTAGTATTTTTGATGAAGCCATGCTTTTTAGGAGTCTAGCTCTGAAACCTTGACCTATTAAAAACTTCCGGGTCGTCGCGATTATCTAATCACAATGGAAAGGGAAAATAAGTAAAAGTTGATGGAAAAAGGGAAAAATGGAAAAAGGGTAGGAAATTCGAAAATTCCTAATTCTAATAATTACATAGAATTTTAACTAAAATTGAATTATATCCATTCATTTAACACCAATTTCTATAATCTTTAGGACTTAGGAACGGAGGTGGAATTGGTGATGTTTTGCGGAGTGTTAGTCCTCATGTAAATGTTTTTTTAATTTAAAAATATTCTTTCTTTATTTAAAAAGGAGCCTTATTTCTTTTGGAGAATTTTGTATGATATGACTTTTTATATTGGTAAATAAATAGAAAGAATTGTTTAAAATAAAATTATTTTTTCTAAAGTTTTAATTATTATTGTTCTTAATTTGATTTTTGGAGTAATTATTGATACTTTTGGTGATTTGAGAACAGAAAAAAATGAAAAAGAATTTACTTTGGTTAGTTAAAAAATAAAAATTATTAAGAAAAAAAATTATTTTTAAAGAGAAATACTTGTTTTATTTGTGGATTAGAAAGAGGAAAATTTGATAATAAATCAGTTCAAGTAACATTTGATGAACATAATGAAAGGGAACATAATCTTTGGCATTATATTTATTTTATTGTTTGGCTACAAATTAAAGATGAAACAGAATTTACTGGACCAGAAAGTTTTGTATCTAAATGTGTTAAAGTTAATTTAAAAAATAATTTTTATTTCTAATTTTTATTTAAAAAAGAATCATAATATGGATTGGTTTCCAAGAATGCAAGCAATTTCCTTACAAAAAGAAAATGAAAATAATTTGGAAGAAATTGAAAATAATAATATACAAAAACAACAATTATTACAATTAGAATTAAATAATTTGAGAGAACAATTACACCAAAATCAATCTTTACTTAGAGAATTTGGACAAAGAATGCAAGAATTACATCAATTATTAATTATTGATCAACAACAAAATTAAAAATAAAATTAAATAATGCCAAAGACTGCCATTTTAAAAAAATATATTAATTTAAATATAATTTTATGACAAAAGTTTAACAAAACTTTAATAACACCAAAAAACAATATTCCTTATTTCCATTCTTTTGCCATTATTACATATTTCATTTTAAATCTTGCCTTTACCAAAAGTTCAATTTTTTGTAGTCTTCCTCAGGATTTACTAAATTAATTTCTTTTGTCATTTCATTACTTTGTAATTATTTTTAAAATGCTATAAATTTAATTTTGTAAAAAATAATAATTTTATTTATTTTTAAATATATTTTACTAAATAAATGTACATATGTATATTTTATGTAAAAATCTAAAATAATCTATTTATGATAACATTAATTCTCCTTAACATTTTGTTTTTTAGCATTAATTTTTGTCGCAGCTTTTTGTACAGTTTTGTATTCTTCTAGTACTCGCTTAGCTGGGTGTTCCTTTGTACAGCTTCTCAAATGGACGGGTAATCGGTCAGGTCCAAATTTTCTACCACAATTCTCACAAGGAATGAGTTGTGCTAGGGATGCATCGTAAGCAGCTTGGTTGGTGGCTTCGAAGTCGATGGCACCCCCTGAAATAAATTATTTTTTAAAATTATTCTCAAACCTTTGTCTCGCACAATCTCTGGAGGTTTGGGTTCAGGTCGACGCTGAGATTTGGGCAATTTTTCATTTTGTATATGCCACTTTTTAAGACATTGTGGTTGATGTATGCCAATACTAGCCGAACCAAATTGCCTCCCACAAATATAGCAATAAACAGTTGGGGCCGCAGTGCGCGCTCGCGGGGGGCCTGGCGTTAAATGTTCCTGTGAGGGAATAATTAATATCTTTCAAATAATTTTAGTTATGAAAAGCTTACATATCCTAGCATTTTTAAGAAATATCAGTAGATTAATTAGTCAATAACAAATTTGTCAAAATAGCGAATAGGCATTGTCTTATAAATTAAAGCAATTTTAAAATAGAACAGAAAATTACCTTTTATTAAAATGGAAAATAAAAATTCGACAAAATTATGAATAATGTAAAGTTGAAATTTTATTGAAAAAGTATTTGTATAAAAAAGTAAATTTGTGGCAAATTTTTACGCCTCACATAGTTTTACGCCGGGTGTATGGCCAAATTTAGATTATTTTTTGATATTTTTGTAGTTAAAATTTTAAGTTTTAAAATTGTAAAATATTTATATAAAATTATTCAATAAAATTTTAAAATTTTGACTTGAAATTAATTAGTTGGTTGGCTCTAAATAGCCTTGGGAATTGAATAGCACTTTTTTATTTTAAAAGTATGGAAATTCCTGTCAATAAACTGACGACGAGAGAACCTAATAAAAGAGAGCGAACACGGGAAAAGTGCAAAAAAAGGATAAATGACGAACGTGTAACCAACTTAAAATATAAATATTAGTCCTCTCCTTGGCAACCAAAAAATAGTAAAACTTAAAGAAAATGTTCTATTATATTGAATTTTCAAATGAACATCTTTAATGAAGGGAATTAGCATGTTTTTATTAAAATAAACAAATAAAACCAAATAAAAAATCGAAAAATAATCAGAATTTAATATAAAAAAATATCAAAAAATGTATGTAATACACCTTCCATTTAATTTATAATTAATTATCAGTAACTACAACTACCTCTTCTTCCACAGCACCAGAGATTATTGATTGTTGTTGTAATTGTTGTCCAGAACTTTCTATTACCTCATCATCATAATATTGTTGCTGATGTTGGAAACCTCTTCCATAACCAGTCTATAAGAACAAAATTGAAAAATAAATGAAAATAAATGTTGTTTAATTAAAAAATAAAAAACACCCCATACTTCGTTTCGATCAAAAAGCTGATAATTATTCATCATTCTCCCATTAGCAGTTTGCATTTGAGAATACTGTCTTTGGGCAATTTGTCGAGAACCATAACCGATCCGAGGATATGCAAAACGAGTATATGGTTGTTGATATATTTGTTGAACACGTGGCGGGTTTATCTTTAAATTCAGAATTTAGGGGTCTAAATATTTAACGGGAAAGTTAATTCGTCTGAAATTTTCAGAATTAAAAAAGGATCAGTTTTTTCGGCAAAATAAATTTGTAAAATTCGGTTAACAACCCTACCGGTACTTCATAATGTAAGACACCGCCAAGACGCTGTTGAGGACGACGTATCTGCTGATGGTGACGAATTGGAAGTTGTGTTGAAATTACTGGTTGTCTCGACGCAATTACTGGATGTTGCCAATAACGAGGAGAATAACGCTATAGAATTTAATTTTGTATTTCAGAATTTATTTTTAAATTTATTACCGTATTAACCGGTCTAGGAATAACTGTACATCTAGCAATTGGCTGCTGTTGTTGAATCTGAACCAAATTAGAGGCTGATTGGGGTTGGACTTGTTTTGACATTGGCGACAAGAAACTGCCCAACGGACCACCATCACCTGTTGGTGCAACTCCACTTAGATTTGCACGAGTGGCACGAACAATTATTGGATCAGCTGTGGCAGTCGGCGGTGATTGAAATTTGGAAATTGAATTCGAAGAACTAAATTTAAATTATAAAAACTAATAAAAATATAAAAAACCAACTCATTAAATGTGTCCTTGGAGACAGTTTCAGTTGGCTGGCTCATATCAGTACTTGTTAATGTTCCTGTTTATTAAAATTTATTTTAAAATGCATTAAAGAAAATTTTTCATAAAATTAAAATTTATTTAAAAAGACCTTCAACGATTTGATCAACATAATCACGTAATGCAGGCGGTAAACAAGCTTTAATATGTGGAACATGTTCTGCAGGAACTTCATCTCGCTCTATTCCATACGCCAAACCAAGACGTTTTAACACTTCAATATCGTCATGAATTTCAAAAGGTCGATCAAAATTAAACCAATACTCAGACCTAATTACAAAATATTTTTAAATTTATTTAAAAAAATACTTGTCTGGGGCAATTGCACATTCAACCATTGTTTTACGTTCAGTACTAACAATAATATAAGGTAAATAAAGAATTGCTGAATTTGGTGGACGTCCATTAATACGTTCCCTTTCTCGATTTCGTTGTACCAAAGATTTATAAGCAACCAACTAACAAAAATTTTAAATTAAAAAAAGGATTTTATAAAATAAAATACTTGAACAATTAATTCCTGTAATTGCTCAGTTTTCTGTCGAATTCGCTCTTTGCGTTGTGCCAATTCTTCTTCGAGACGTCGACATTCGGCTAAGGAAGATGTTGGTAATCCAACCCAACGAATTTCTTTTTTCTCTTTTTCAATTATATTCATTGCCATTAAAACATTTAATGCATCATAAACACGACGGCGAATATTGCGAACATCATATTGATATTTTTCCTTAAAAATAATTGAATTTATCTTGATAAAATTGAAAGAACCGGGTCTTGTGGCATTACAGAATTATCAAAATATTCTGTAACTAATTCATCAGCTACTTCATTGTAGTTAGTTTGACCTTTGTTTTTAACTTTTTCACAAACTTTGTGTGCAAAATGACGCAAGCCTCTAGTTTTGTCTGTTGAACGTTGCCGTAGATAGAAATGTGGCGTTAACTGGATAAGAATAAAAACAAATTTTCATTTTTCTTTGAACTTTAAAAAAAATAAAAAGGAAACCGTTTGCGCAACAGGTGTATGATCAACATTAACATAATCTTCTGAAGCACCACCCTCTCCAACATCATCGTCATAATGCCGAGGACGTTTCAAGCTAATACCAACATGTTGTTGTTGTTGTAATCGTTGATGCTGATAAGGATAATTTGGAGGGGGAGTTGAGTAAATATTTGAAGAATAAGGCCGCTGTGCTGAAGAAAAAAAACGCAATTGCGCTGAGTGTCCTCGAGTCTGGTCCATTAATCTAAAATTATAACATTTAAAACAGAGCGGAATAATCTGTAAAGAAACAGAAAAAAACAATTAATTGACTTGAATTATGTCGAAAAGTCAGCAAGACTCTTTTGTCTTTACATTTATTTTCAGTCTCAGCACAAACCTAAACCTTTAGGTTTGCTTGACAATAGAGTCTCGGCGACTTAGCATCGAAACGCCTTTTTCTATGCCTTAACTTCTTTTATTTCGATCATTTCCAAAAATTTTCTTTATCAATTAGAATCTATATTTGTTTTTATTCTTTTTATTAACTTTATGAAAGAATCCGATCATTTCTTAGAAAGTTACACCCGCCTAAGTATGTTAAATCACGATTATTCGCAGTTAACGGCTCCTAACTTTTTTGAAAGACGGTAAAACTAGACAATTTCTATGAAAAAATAACCAGCACATCCAGAGCTTTTAATTAAAGCAAAAATTATTTGGATTGATTTAAAAACAAAAAAGTTATATCCCAAAAACTTTCGTTTTGATGCCATATTTTAAGACTCTTTCGTTACCTGGTTACTTTCAGTCTAAACCTTTTGAAGCCTACACCTTTAGGTTTTTAAACATTTGAGTCTCACCACTCCTCAAATTTTTTTTAATTTTAGCTTTCCTAATCGTTTGTTCTTCTTAATTAGTGTATAAAGATGAACACGAACTGATATTCTGATATAGAGTGCGGCAAGGAACGGGATCCCGTCAGGAAATTTCTGGTTTTCATTGGACAAGTTGGATCTTGAGATTTATGGGATTATCTTGCGGGATCCCGGACTTTTGATTACGCCGCACTCTATTAATTAAAATTTTATGCTTTATAAACGTGGAATTATGGAATTTAATAACGGGAATTCATCATTAGCAAGTACTTCTTCGTCTCTTCAAATTCAAAATGAAATCGGATGTGGAGACGTAAAGTTTGGTGAAAATTCTGAAATTACAAATCGTTGTTATTCTTCATCAGAAAATGTTGCAAGCAGTAGTTTTGGTGATAATTATGGAAATATTTCTACCAATTCTGATCAAGAAGATTCTTTATTACAAACAACAAAATTATTTTTGGGGGGAGAATGGATTGAAATACCTAATGCACTTATTAATGATGTATGTATTTAATTATTTTATTTTAATTTTATTATTATTTTTTATTTTTAGGAGTTTACTTTTCGTTCTGCTATTAATAAAGAGTCATTTCAATCACTTTCACAGGCGGCTAAAAATCATTTAAATGTTTTTTTAAATTTATTTTAAACAAATTAATTTACAATTAGCGTTATTTGCCTGATGGCGCTTGTTTAGATGAAGTGTTATCATGTACATTCTCAACTGACAAAAATTTCTTTTTTGGGAATCCAATGGAGAAATTCTTTAAAAAAATTAGTGGTAATTTTTCTGAATTATTTTTGTTCTTTAGTTCTCTTTTAATTTTTAGATGGTTATTTTAGTTCTTTTGATCAAGTCCAATTAAGAGATCACAAACGGGTTTGTAATTTATTTGGTTTTAAAGTTTCTTTTGTTTCATTTTTAGGTTCTTTATGACCATTATATTCGCCATTATCATATGAATTTACTCAAAAATTTGCTAGTTAGTCGGCATGTCTGTTTCTTTTTTTTATTTTTGACTACTGAAAACTTAATTTCAGGCACTTCTCGAAGCTACCTCCAAACAGAAAGCAAGTCTTGTCGAACATTCCCGAGATTCTCTTACTTCAGTTTCTTCCTCAATTAAACATTTACTTGGAGAATTAAAACCACAATCTTCTAATACTAAATTAAAAACAAATAAACTTAATTATTCTAGACGCCGATTAGCAAAACATTCAAATGTCAGACGACGTGCAAAAATACGAGCGAGATTGTAAATAAATTTTTAATAAAAAAATGAAATGCTTTAACTAGCTATTTTTCCTTCTGTTTTTACCTGTTCAGTTAAATGCATACTAGATTATCCGGAAAATAATTTTAGTTTTTTTTTGAAATTTTGTAAACTTTCCTGTTTTAATTATAGTTGACTTTTATATTATTAATCTATTAATTTTATACTAAATATTTTTATTTTATAGAATGATTGATGATTGTCGTGTTAAATCAGGTCAAAATCCCGGTCTGTCTTCTGACGAATCTGCCCAAGGTTTTTCTTCTCTGTTTTATTTTGAAAATATATTTTTAGAAGAATGTTCTATTCAACCACTTCCTCAAAATTCTCGAAGTACAATGTTTACAGAAAAATTTCCTGTTGATTTGGATTTATACCAGCCAATAAAATTGCGCGATGTTGCTGATCTTTATCGAGAATATCGCTATTTGCGTGAAGTTGAACCCGTAACTGCCATTTTTCTTATCAATTTTTCTTTTATTTTCAGGATTGCCCAAGTCTTGATATTAGTGACATAACTCTGCAAGTTTTTATATTTTAATATTTTTATTGTGGGATTTGAGAGAAATTAAGTTGTTTTTTAAGTAGCGATTTAAAAATTATTTGATTAATAGGCATCTCTGTCACATTTTTCTGATCCTGATTATCCTATTGTCGGAAATGGTTCGGTCAATCTAAAAATATTGATCATCTTTGTGTTTTAAACTTAAATTTTATTTATTCTATAAATTTTGCTTTTCAATTGAAAGGACTATTCAATTAGAACAAATATATTTATTTTTTTAGTGAAGAAGTTTATGAACGAACTGGTATTTCATTTCAAACAGAACGAAACTTCTTTAAATTAGCCGAACAAAACTTTGCACAATTTTCTAAACAAAAATATCCTCAAAAGCAACAAACACAAGAACAACAACAGCATTTTTGTAATGGTGGAAGTATTACTACTCAAAATGAAGTTAAACGTGAAGTAGCTTCTCCTTAAATTCAGAATTAAACTGCGGTTTAAAATTTTATCGACAAATGTTTTAAACGATGGTTATCTCACCTACCCAAGATATTATAATTTAAATGTATGTTTTTGATTTTGACCGTTTTAGATCAGGGATGGTCGAAATAAAAATTTTTCTATTCTGAATCGAAACTAAATGGAAAAATTTGCATGAAATAGTTAAATGAAACGAAATTTTGCCCATCTCTGTTTTATATATTTTTCAATAACAATCTAATTTTATATAATTCTCTTGGATAAGATAGTTTTTAATATTATTTTTGTCTATTTCTTATTTTTTCAAATAAGTAAATATCTGGGATACATTTAAGTAATAAACAGGAAATACCAATTAAGCTTCATTCCTTTAATACATATATGTATTAAATAATTTCCATAAAAACAATTCTGGCTTCGTAGGATTTGTGCAAATTTTTTGTAAAGTAAATATCTCTTAGCAACTATAAACTAACCAAAGCTTTTATTATTAAAAACATGCAAAATTGCATGATAGAAGAATTGACCGGAAGTGAATGAAGGGGGAAATTTAAATGGACTTTGAGACTTAGAAAGCATATAATAGTAAATAATGTAGTTTTTACGTCTCAAGAAGGCTTTCCTTTGCCAAGTAAGAAAAAACTTACTTAAAAGTCTAAATAATGATGTCAAAATTAAAAACAACAAATGAGCATAATAGTAGTAGTTGTATAAATTATAGAATGGTCATTTTGTTGAAAAATACACAACGAAAAAAAGCTCTATTATTTACGTAAATATACTCTATATGAGTGCATGCATGCGTGAGTGATTGAAAGGAAATAGAAGAATAAATAAACTAAAAAGGGATATTTTTTAACAAAAAAGAGAGATTGTTTTTGCACATCAGACAACAATTTCCTCCTCCTATCCTTTTTCTAGAATTTCCTCTTACTTCAGCTGTTTCTTTTTAAGCTTTCAAGCCTTTTTTCAGCCGTTGTTGCCGGCTGTTGGTTGCACTTTTATTTTTGCAGAAAAGGCTCATTCATTTTATTATTTACGTCATTCCTCATATAACCTTAAAATGATGGCATCGAAGAAGGAGGGATGGGGGAATTTTTAGTACTTATTTTTGCCTTTTCATTCGCATTTTTATATCCCAAATTTTTTTATCTATTCTTAAAAAAAGGGAAATAAAGTTTTTTTAATTAAACATTAGTTTTTCAATGTAAATCTTTATCTTTTGACTCTAAAAACGTGTTATTTAATAAAAAATATTTTTGGAAACATGGTACTCCTAATTTTTTGGAATTTTTTTTTGTTGAGATTTTTGGACACCTAACCTAGAAGATAGCCAAACTTTTATATTATTATAATAAATTTGTCAAAATAAAATGTCTTTTTTTTCAATTTATTGCCAAATAATATTCTTTTTTCTTCATCTATGATTTTTTCCTTTTAAAACAAAAATTCTCTTAAAAAAGCTTTTTGGCTTATTCACTTTTATTTTTTTACCATTTTTGGCAGAGAATTTTCTCAAGTGCTTTTCTTTTCGTTTTCTTCCATTTTCTCTAAGGAATTGGCTATATATTTACTTTGCTACTTTTGCAAAACCATCAGTCCAGTTAGCCTAAAAATGGATAAAGAAGGCCACAAATGTCCGGTAAAATTCCGTGCCAGTCAATTTCATTCAGTAAAAATGCCCTAAAGTATTTTCTTCAACTAAATATACATAAATATATGCATGTATGTATAAATATATCCACTACTTTTGGCAAAATTGGAGTGCTTGTCCTACATAGTAATTCCTTATAAAAAATATTTTTAAATAAAATTCTTTCGGTCCAAGGTTGGCGAAACCTGGGAAATCCCCGGTATCCGGAACCAAAATGTTTTAAGTAGTTAAGATTGAATAATTTTCAGGGAGGCAACACCATGTATTGGATAATAAGTCAGTTTCTTCAATTTTTAGCGCCGCAGGCGAGTTTTGAGAATTTTTAAGGTTACTTTTAAACTCTAACTAAAAAGTTTAATTTTGTAAATAATTCACATATTTTATGTAAATTATTCATTTTCTGAAGTTTATTATTTATATGTATTTATTCTCCGGCATCGGAGGTAGAGCCTTTTTCTAAAAATTTAATTGAAAATTTATAAATGGACGATATTTTTTACTCTAATAATTGACGTTGTTTTATTCGGACGATGTTTTGTCCCGATGCGCATTTTCTCTCATAGTATTTTCTCGTTTTTACTTAGAAAATGACCGACCCAATTTTCTATGAAAAATAAATATACCTATACTACATTATAATAATGCAGCTGCCCATGGTCCATTCATCAATACCATTATTTCTCAGTATTTGCTTGGTTAGCTTAACTAAAACTCTCCCTTTATTCAAACAATTCGATTCATCCATTTTTTATTTATTTCTCGCGCTCTTTTAACAAGTACCTAATCTTTTTCATTAAAATTCTACCACTATATCCTGCTGTTTAAATAAATAAATTTACCTATATTTAATCTTTTCAAAATAAATTTACAAAAAATAATTTTCCTGAATTTTTTCAAAAAAAAATTTTTTTCATTATAATTTAATTATGATTAAAATAAACATTTTTAATAATAATTATTTTTACGTTGAAAACTTTATATTAAAAATATTCACATAATTTCCGATTTCCCCATTATGTATATCCTTTATTCATTCATTAGTGTCTTGTCTGCATAACATTTTCCAATTATTTTTTTCTTCTGGATCAAATTTACAAAACCATTTTCGGTAAATTCTTTTCACCAAATCAAAATATTATTAAAAATTCATTCAAATATTGTATCTTTGTCACCCATTTATAAATGTGAATTATGTCCTTATTTCCCTAAATTTCTTACTTTCTTATTCTGCCACCTCTTAAAATTCTAAAAATGTCATTTAAAAGATAATAGACGGCGGTCATGGATCTCGAAATACAGAAGTATCGCAAAAACTCTCATACAAAACGTAAAACAAAAAATAATAATATGCAGTGAAAACATAAAAAGGTAAAATTGAATTTCGTATACCCCCTCCATTTTCCAGCCTCAAAATATTTAAAAATGGTCAGTCTGTTATCAGATTATAGAACTCGTTAAGCTGTGTCAAATGACACCATAATCAACCCCCGGTCCTAACTTTGGGCCGAGATACAGACAAAAACCCTGCGCAAAGAGAAGGGTTTTGCACAAAAGTCTCGCCGACACAAAGGATTACTTTATGTCATAACTTTGTCAAATCTTTTTCAATTAAGTTGATTTTGATGTCATTTAAATCAGCTCGACAAGCTCTTTCGAATGAGCTATCATTTGGTTAATTTGATTTTTAGCCCAAAAAATGAGCTTGGTCCACCCTTTTATTTTTCAATTTTCGTGAGTCTGTATCTCGGCCCAAAGTTAAGACCGGGGGTTGAATTTGGTGTCATTCGACACAGCTCGACGAGTTCTATAATCTGATAACAGACTGACCATTTTAAAACATTTTGAGGCTGGAAAAAGGAGGGGGTATACGAAATTCAATTTTACCCATAAAAAATTGAATTTTGACCATTATGCGCCACGGCATTTAAGGAGTAAGGTTGGAAATAAACATAATCGAACCCGAAGATAACGAATTCACTTCGTAATTATACTAAATAAAAAAAGTAATAATTAAATAATAAAGTAATTTAGTATAAATACTATAATTATTTATTTTTCTTAAAAGTGTAGGGACAAATTGTTGCTTCTTCTCTATTTACAAATTCTTAATTTTTCTTCCTTTTTTCTAGCACTTTTTTACCCCGATTGTCGGCACTTAATAAAAGAAAGTCAATACTATTGGAAGTAATAAAAAATACTTTTGTTGAAAAGATTTGGTGACAAAAAAATATTTTTTTATTAATGTTTGCCCTGTTCGTTCGTCCTTCTATTTAGTATTCCCCCCCCCCCCCGTCCCCCATCTTTCCTCGGCGCCGATCGATTTTATTCTCAGTTATTTGTTCACAGAAGAGAATTATTCTCTCAATCGTCTATATTATTATTATATACTGTCAGGAAAAGAACTACTTTTCCCTTAAAATATTTTTTTCTTTCTTAAAAGTTTTACAATTATTTAGTAGCGGTTAAATAGCTTTTCTTCCACTTTAACGATGAAGTCTCTGTCAACACCTCGAGACCTGTTTTTTTAAATCTTTATGTCGATTTGTTGTAGCAGTACTTGTCTAATGATTTGTCGACGAACAAAAAATGCAAGGAAAAACATTTTATTTTGGAAGCAATTAAATATTTATTTTTAAAAGGTTATAATTTTTTACAAGATTAAAAAAATGAAAACTTCTCGTTGGAAAATTAATGTATTTTTCCAAATACAGCTCCGGAGCCGGTGATTTTCGGAGCCATGTTTGGTCCGGGATCTGGGTGGAAAATCAATGGATTTGCGTGGATTAAAGGATATCGAGTGATATCAGGGGAGTATATGTATATTATAGTATTTTATTTAAAAAATTTTTCTTATTTTTAACTAAATTTTAGTTAACCTTTTAAATCTTATATTTTACCTTTCATTACGTGAACATATGGAAGAAAAAAACTAAAATTTATTTATGTGACTAATAAAGCAGCAAAACAATATTTGGCCACTAAAAATCAGTTCGCCCCCATCTACTATACATACATTTATGTCTTTTTTTGTTTAAATCTTAACCTTTTTTTACATTTATCATTTTACTAGAACACACAAAAAACGTTCTCCATCCACTAACCTTTAAGAAAATTGTCTCAATTTTGATTCTCAATTAAATTAAATTGAAAACTTTTATTTTTTAATTTTTCAAGAAAACTTTAACTTAGGTAAATTTTAATTATTTTTATTTAATATATTTTTATTTTTACAAATTTAAAACCAAAAATTTAAGTAAATTTATGTAGATGATTTTAATTAAATTTAAAAAGTTTATTTAAAAACAACATTTAATAATAAAAATGGATTAAAAAATTAAATAAAAATATTATTTAAAAAGAAATATTTTTTAACAACAAATTCCAAAATTTATTTTTAAGCAACAATAAAAAGAATAGAATTAAACTTTTTATACGTTCAAGTATGTATTTAATAATTATTTAAACTAATTTAATTTTAAAAATTGAGAAGAAATTATTCAAATTTATTGGTAGTAGCTAATATATTTTTTAATATTTAAGTTAATCTTTATATTTACTTAGTTCTTAAATTACTAATTAAATTTAAGCTAAGCATAAATTAAAAATTAATAATTTAATCCTTAATTAAATAATATGTCTGTTCTTTGTCATTTATTTATTTTTAAAAAGTTAAAAAAAGAGAAGCCTATAATTCCTTTTTTAATTATCAGGCTGTGTGCCGATCAAGGCTGTGTGCCAAAATTTCTGTGTGGCGCGCCAAACGCCAATTTTTCAAAATTTTAAAACACGCCAAACATAAAACGCCAAAAATCAGCCAAAATGGAAATTTTTTAAAGCCAAATAAAGATCGAAAATCACGATTGACCTCACCTATTCGATTGTAACTTTTTAAAGATGATCTGATCAAATCAACCCTCGTAGATAAAATAATTCACACCTTTAGAGCTTTCGTTTAATATTATTCTAATTAAATCGATCAAAAATCAAAAAAGTTATGGCCCAAAATATGCCCCAAATGCTGAATCGGCGATACTGAATCGTCCCCCACCCTCTTTCACGGAGGATTACTAGAGTGCCAGCCAGCTTTTATCGGCTTTTCCTTATTTTTTTTCTATTTATTCGCCCAATGTTTTGATAATGAAATAGTAGCGGGAATTTTAGGCCCCTATAAGTTAATATTTTTTGATGAGTCACTTACATATAAGAATAATTTACAAATAAACATTTAAAGTGTTAAATATTTTCATAAAATAATTTAATAGAAAATTATCTAAAATTTTTGTTAACTATTAAATGAATGACCAAAATTTGGTAGAACATTGCAATTGCCTACGACAACAATCTAATCACCAACGAGGACAGAAACGCGACGGCACACCTAGCTCAGATCCATCACTTATTCGTCGGCATACAACGCCTGATATGGCGGCTTCGGCCGCATATGGAATGGGTAAGAATGTTTTTTTTTAATTTGAAAAATTGAACTTTTCTTTTTTAATCCAAATTTATTTTTGCCTTTACATTTAATTTCGCTTTTATTTCTTAAGTTTCAGTGTTGTGCGGCACTGATGAGCTTGAGCATCGCTATAGAGGCCGTATTGAGAAGTTTGTTTTTTATTTCTTGAGTTAATTTATATTTAGAGTTAAATTTGGTGTTCCTGTTAATGAGGCTTTTTCTCCTGACATTCCTGCAACTCTTTTGGTATTTTCTTAAGAAATCATTTTTTAAATTATTTTAAAATGAAGGTGCTTCTGTTGAAAGTAAATAAGGAAGGACCTCTCAAAAAAGATATTTGGCGTGCACCGGGTAACCAAGCACAAGTGCGAAAGCTTTCGAATATCATGGTTTGTTTTTATATTTATTTAGTTATTCTCTTCTGTTTTATCTCCAGCTAATACAAATATTACTTTTTAATTTTTCTTTTATTTTAGCAACATGGGCGACTTGTTAATATTTCGAACATTAGCGTTTACACCGCTGCCTCTGTCATTAAAGTTTTTTTACTTTTTTATTACTCTTTGTGATGTTCTGTTTTCAGCGTTTTCTGGCTAAACTTCCTGGTGGAATTTTGGGAGCTGATAACGAGAAACGACTTTTCGAATCAGTTCAAAAGGAAAATTTTAGCGATGATTCTAAACGTGAACTTTTTTGCAGGTGAATTATTTTAATTTTATTTTGTAAACTATTTATTTTTAGAATTGTTTCGAATTTGCCCATTCCTTCGCAGCATTTGATTGTTCTTCTTTTTGGGACTTTCAGAGTCATCACTGATTCTGCCGAAACTTTTGGGACCCGGATGACTCCTGAAGCAATTGGAATTTCTGTAGCACCTTCTCTATTTCATACGTGTATACACGATGGACAAAGAGTTACTAACATAGACTTTATTTTAATTAAAATAATTTTTAGGCAAAATTAGATGATATTCTTCGTTTCAAAATTGCTTCTCAAGTAATTTCGGAAATAATTAGAGGATTTGGTTACACGAATCTATTTCCTCGTGAATGTTACGAATTCTACGCTCGCATAACTGGGCGCACATTGCGTGTTGATGAACAATGGCATTTTTCGTTCCAGTTGCCATCAAGTATGTTTTAAAATTATTGTCTTTAGTTCAGTATACCTGAGGTAAGGTTCGAGATACAAAACACATACCATTCGATTCGTCTCAGCAAGATATTTTCTTGAGATCGCTATTTTTCTGGTTGTGAGATGCCTGTAGACTGTGGTATATGTATGTCTACGAAAATCGAAAAACCTTAGGGGCCCAAACATATTTTTTGGTAATATCTCATTTGAAAGGGCCCGTCGAGTGAATTGAATTACAACAAAGTCAGTTTAATCCGATGATTCGGAACAAAATTAAGATAAATTGAATAAGGTTTTTCGATTTTCCTGGGCATATATCTCGGTCTGCAGACCTCTCCGGAAAAAAGCGGTATCTTTCAATTCATGTCAGCTCGTCGAGACGATCGAATGGTGTTGTTTTGTATCAAAACTTGACCTCCGGTATACTATTTTATGATTGTTACATTGCTAGTTATTGCTATTCGAACCGGGTTTAGTCATTTTTCCACTTCGGATGTTCAAAAATTTTCGCTCCTTATATTAAATTTCGACCTAACATAAGTATAACTAATAAATACTTATCTTTCAATAACCAATTTGGATAGCAGTTAATTACCTTTGTAATAACGAGGAACAAACAAAACAAATAGGCTAGGAAACTTATTTAAAATAATATTAGTACTAAGTTTTGTTTCGGTTATGTTTTCCAATTCGCTTTTTTCTTTCCTTTTTTCATTTTTAAGTTTTTGTTTTTGGTTGGTTTGTCTTTTTGTTTTGTTTGACTTTTCCGCTTTATTTATTTGTTATGCTTTTGATTTTTTTAAATTGTTGTGTGTGCTTTTACAGATGGTATTGGCTGTTTCAATCCAATTGCAGTAAATCGTCGAAATAGCCATCGATCTCAACGTAAATCCTCTTCATCTGCATCTTCTATTGCTTCAGTTCTCTCACAACTCCAATCGACACCTCCTGTTCAGATAAACGACAACTTTGATTTAAATGCGAAGACGCCAGAGAATTATCTTCCAGCTTCTCCAAAAAATTATCTTCCACCTTCTCCAAAGAATTATCTTCCACCTTCTCCAGGCTTCAATCCAATTTCAATAAGTCGACGACCGCCTCCACCAACTTCTGCTCTTCAGCGTCGTATTGACGCCTACTGTGCGGCAGCGAATCTTAATTCAAAAGAACAAAACTTAATCCAAAAGAGGAAATCATAAATTCATCTTTGAAAGTTAAGTTAACATAATTACCTCATTCAAATAGCTCTTGTGCCTTTTTGCTTTATCTCATTGAACGTTAATTGGTAAATCGACCTGCTGCCTTCCATATTAAAAATACTTAAAACATGCCTGTATTTAAAAGATTTTCTGATAATTATGGTGTTTCGTTTTAGTAACCTCTTTGGCCCTTTTTATTGAAACAAAAATTAAATTTTTCTGACCTATAATTTTTAAAAACTGCCAAAGTATTTGGAAACGCCATAAGTTTTCGCCCTGTCTTTTAATGATAATATTCATATGCATATAACAATACACAATCAGCCACTTACATTAGCGGACAAAAAAGGGTAGGGACAAGAGTAAGTGAAATGAAAATTACTATTCTCCCAGTTAAAAATTAATGTTGGGAACAATTTTTGTTCGATTAAATACTCACTTTAATTCTCTATTTAATAGCTTAAGATTTGCCGGATTAATATTTTTAATATCCAGCCCATATTGAAATAATGTAGGTATGCTAATTTTTGCACGACAAGAAGATATGGGTACACCATTTTCATTTCTTACTCTTGTAACTGAGATGTCCTCTACTGTATGCTATCATGTTTTTGCGCGTAGATCTCTTTTTTGGTTTTCCATTAACTCTAAACATTTATTCAAATAAATACGTGCTTTATCTTTTTTCTGGTGATTTTGCTTTACTTGCATTGCATAATGCATTTAAATATATTTTATTTGCTTTTATATTTTCTTTGGTTTTTTAACTCCTGTGTTTGTGGTTGTTTCACTTATCTAATTTTTGATTGAGTTATTTACTTAGATTTTATTTTAAAAGGCTCAATAAATTGTTTCGGAACTTGTATATTATTAAATAGAAATTTTTGATGTACCTCAAAATCCCTAATTTAAGACCATATTTTAAGTTTTATATACTAAATTTGACTTTAAACAAAGATGGCAACAGTGTTCGACAAATGCGGATACGACAATTCCGGCAAAAAATTAATAATTATTAAAATAAGATCCTTTTTTAGTCCCGGCTGTCAGTTTCCGACTTTCTGACGATTTACGAATAATTTCTGAACTGATGCGACACTGAAAACTTTAAAACTTAAATTCTTTTAAATTTTATATCCGCAATTGTCGTATCGCACGGGCAACACCAATTCAATAAAAGAATTCAGGAACACTTAGTCAACCGTCCATCCGATTTGAGCAATCAAAGAGCCCTACTCATCGCCCAGATAAAACATCAGAAGAGGAAGAAATCCATGAGACATACGAGGAGTTCTGCGAGGACGAGGATATTTATGGCGAATCATTGCCTGGGTTAGCTGGTGGCCGTCCGTATGCAAGGCGTCGAGATGTTTCCAAATCTCTGGATGAGCAGAGGGCCAAAGCTGAAGGATGGAGGGAAATTTTAATGCGTAAAGGGCGACAAGAGCGTTTAAGCACTTCTATGGGCGATGTATGTAGTTTAGTATATTTAAAAGAAAGCTGGGGAAACATTTTGGAATCCGGGGGATTTAAAGGGATATCGGTATAATGTGGTATTTGAATCGATTTCCAAGCACTGCATATGACTAAATATGAGAATTAATATCAGAATTAAAATTTTTGTAGGTGATTGTTCACAGTGAGGAGGAAGGAGATCCTACTGAATGTGGAAAACCCGGTGACAATCGTGATTATTTGGAAAGTACACGTTCACTCACCTACCTTGAATGGGTTCATGAGCGACAAACTAGACGAATGCAAACTCGTTCTGAGTGGTTTCTATCACCTACTGCACCATCATGTACTAATGGTGGAGCATCAAGAGTTGAAGGCGGACGAATGTGCTACTCTCGTATATCACAACGTTTTTCAGCTTCGCCCATTCATCTGCGTTTATCTGCAAAGAAAGTAACACCATCTCGAGAAGAATATACGAGGCAGTATTGAAAAATTTGATAATTTTAGTTAAGATTATATTTTAGTTCTGGTGATGAAGAAATGTGTTGTTGCTCGTCTACAAGTGGAACATGTGGAGGAGCTGGAGCGGGCTATAGTGAGGTTGGCCGCGGACGTTCAGGTTGTGCTGCTATCAGTAGTACATCTACTGACACATCAATGAAATGTTCGCCACGACGGCCTGACTCTTGTTGCACAACTAGTGGTTGTTCGGCGGGTGATGCCCAAATGAAGTCGCAAACTGGCACAGAAGAGGAGGAAGCTGGAACATCGGATGATGATGCTTTTCTAGCTTGTAGCAATATTGAATACCAACACCCTTTACATTCAAATCTCTTGACTGTTGGTTAAAATATTTGAATTCAAAATAAACAAATTTTGTCTAGCAACATCCTCATTCGCCAACAGCAAAAATTCTAGTCGGCCGACAGCCATTTCAGCTTCTTCAAGAACGACAATATTCTACTAGTACCACAGATGGTTCAGCAAGTGCGCAAGTAACACCTTCAGCTGTTGAACTTTGTGCTAGTGGGAAAAGTGTTGGAAGTGGACGACAGCGTTTTTTTGGAAGTGGAGAACATGAGGGTGGATTGCAGGTCCCTATTATAGTTTTCAAATGTTTTTATTAATTATTAATAGGCTTTACCAGAATTGTCCGAGACAACTACGTCTTCGCCGCTACCTCGACGTTTTTCAGCTCCATATGTGGATATTTCACCTACAGATGAACAAAATCTGGCAGAGGTACACATTTGTAAAATAACAATAAAAAGTAACTTTCAGAAGATAGTACCAGAAAATACAGCAACACGGACGACTGCTGCTAGCAGTGTTTTGACACGTCCAAAACATCAACAAAAGGGTGCTAAATTAATCCAAACAATGAGCAGTGGTAGCAGCGGGAGTGGTAGTGGAGGCAGTGGAGCTAGTGCCCAGACTGTGATTGGTGTTGTTGGGGGTACTTAATGATTTTTATTTTTAGTTAAAATTTAGAAAAATTAAACTCTCTTTAGTGAGCATAGAACAGACTGAAATATTACAGCAGCAACAAGCAAGAATAGTAGGTACTGGTGTGGTCCGACGGCGTAGTTGGAGAACTCATTATACACGCCCGAAAAACAAATCTCTCGATAGTGAGATTGTTGTTGGAGTTGACATTAGAGAAGTGAGGGAGGGAATTTTTATATTTAAAATAATTTAATTTTATCTTAAAGGAAGCCACTCCATCTTCTCATTCAATTCATTTACGCAGTTCCCCTCTTATTTTTGGTCGTAGACACAGCTCTAATGGAGATGCACACAAGGAAAGAGGCATAACAGAAGACCCACAAACATCATCGACGCCACAAACATCATCAGAAAGAGGAACGCTCATTAGGCGAAAATCTTCAAATAATAATACAACGAAGTCAAAGCCGCCTGTTCAAACACGTAAAAGTACTCAAATATAATTTTGAATTACTTTTCTTCGAATGATCTCTTTTGTCCTCAATCGTTTTCTTTTAAATTTCATTAATTGACATTCTTAATTTATAAAATTGTCTTTCATCTAAGGGATTGGACCACGACGGTCTTCAATTACGGACTAAATTTTCAATTTGAGATCGAGGTTAGACAGGTCAGGGTCCAAACCTGCTTTCATCAATTTACTCTGAGAGAGTGAAACATTCATTAAGTCACTTGGCTTATTTTGTTTTTTTTTGTGATTTTATTAGTCTAAAACTGTCAAAAATTGTAAGAGATACATACTCTGTTGAATTAATGTTTTTAATTCTGCAGTTTAAAAAATAGGTTATCGCCTCGCAAATATTTTCCAAGTCTTTCATATTCATTTTTTTCAATTTTATATAACGCCTAATTCTTGATTCCAAAAACTGCCTGCTTGACAATACTTCAATGCTTTTTTTTCAATTAATTTCGATTATATTTTTAATAAAATAATGTAAATTGCTTCACTTATTTGTGTGGTTGTGTATTAAATATTTTACTCTTATGGATAAATGTTTTCACTATAATTAAACTTTGTTCTTTTTGAGTATAAATTTGAATGAATTTTACTCTTATCTCAGGGCTCCGATTCGTACTTTTTTAAAAGTATTGTACTTTTTTATCGACCTTCGTACTTCCGAAATTGAATTTGTACTTTTTTGAAAGTATGTACTTTTTTATCAACATTTTTGAAAAAACGAAGAAATCTGGCTTAAGGACCTCCAAAATTCTCAAAATTTTCGCCTGCGGCGCAAAAAATGGAAGAAATCTGGCTTAAGGACCTCCAAAATTCTTAAAATTTTCGCCTGCGGCGCTGAAAAAGAAGAAATCTGGCTTCTTAGGCTCCAAATTTCAAAAAATTTTCGCCTGCGGCGCTTCTCAATGGCAAACATTCAATGGACGAAGGAAAGAAACTCGCTTGAGGTTAAGACTGTCAGAGCTTTGCTTCATGTGACAGCAAATTTTGACATGTCATGCAATGAAATGCACAAAATGCTCAGTTGAAACAAGAAATTATTAGAAAAGATTAATTTAGGAGAGAAATATAAAAGATTGATCACGAATAAATATTTTCAAATTTAATTTTGAGTGTACTTTTTATTTGCAAATTTTCTCCCTATGTACTTTTTTTACAAGATTTTGATACTTTTGAGTGGCATTTTGTCGATCGGAGCCCTGTCTTATCTTTAGTAAATTATTAATTTAAAGACAAAAATATGTCTGGAAATTAAGCTTCTCACTATCTGTTTTCTTATCATAATTTTGTCTTTAATTAAAGACATGCTAGTTAATACTTACATATTCTTTTACAATTTAATTAGTCACACTTTATGATTCAGCTGTTGATAATAAAAATAATTTATTTTCAAGAGGACCATGAACCTTGAAAATAATTTTTTAAAATTAAATAGATAATTAATTAGTATAATTTAGTATATAAAATAAAGTTTAATAATATTCTCACACTTTCTATGGTTTGAAATGCCACTAATTATTACTTTGTTGCGCTTGTCGGTATCCTGGTATTTTTGGGCGGTCTCATTTGTGTTCAGACTTTGGAATTTCCTTTACAAACGTCGAATTGTGGATAAAGCAGCAAATGAAGTTTTGCTTATTTCTGCTGGAGAGGCAGCTGCAATGATTAGAAGGGGAGAGGTAATTAATTGTCTCTTATTTAATTTATATGTCCACTTAGAAGTTTAAAGTCAAAAGTTTGCTTGGAAATATGAATTAAACAATTCCTAACTGTTTAGATTAGAGTTTGATTGGGCATACATAAAAGATTTATTGAACGAATAAACTTTGATTGGACTATAAACGGGATAAAAGCCAATTTATCTTTAATTTTGAAAATTTAAAATAATTTTAGATCGGGTCTCTTCAATTAGTCGAAGCTTATATTGAGAGAATTCAGCATGTTGATGGAATGTTGAATGCAGTTGTAGAAAATAATTTCACGAAAGCCAGGGAAATCGCTCAGCATGTGGACAACTATTTAAGTCTTATTAACAGAAATTCTGAAGAATTGGCTAAGGTTATAGACTAATTTAATTTAAAAATATTTTGAGTTTTATTTTATAGTTAGCAAAAACAAAACCTTTATTTGGTGTGCCGTTCACTGTAAAGGATAATACATTTTGCAAAGATTTTGTTTGTACGGCAGGTGTTCCTGCAAGAAAACAAAATGAACCTTGTGATGAGGATGCTGAAGCTGTTAAACGGTTTTAATTTAAATTTATTTATTCTAAATTTTAATTTCAATAAATGTAGAGTTAAAGATGCTGGTGCAATTTTACTAGCAATAACAAATGTTCCTGAACTTGCTCTTTGGTGGGAGAGCAGCAACAAACTTTATGGAAGAACTAATAATCCTTATGATGTTCGGAGAACTCCTGGTGGTAGTAGTGGAGGTGAAGGAGCACTTATTGCAGCAGCTGGGTCAGTTATTGGATTGGGGAATGATGTTGGCGGATCTTTACGCGTTCCAGCTGTTTTTTGTGGAATTTTTGGACTGAAGCCTGGACCTGGTTTTTAAAATTTTTTATTTTTAATTGATTTATTTTAAAGGAATTGTTCCCTCTTCCGGGATTATTCCTCATGTTAGAGGTGGGTATGTTACTCAAATGGCATCTGCTGGACCCATGGTTAATTTAATTATTAAAACTAATTCAAAAATATTTTTTAGGCCCGTTATGCTTCTGATTTGGCATTAATGCTTCAAGTATTTTGACGTTTCGAAATTTGTATTTTTTAATCTTTAGGTTCTTGCTGGTGAGGATGTTGCTCAAAATCGGCTTCATTTACAACAACCAGTTAATTTCAAGCACGTCAAAATTTTTTATATGGAGGAAATTAAATCTTTATTTTGTGAAAATTTGTCAAAGGAAATGCGTCATGTTGTTAGGAAGGTTTTAAAATTTATTTTATTTTAAATCTAACAATAAATATTTTGAAGACGAAATTTTTTAAATTTATTTAAATTTAGACAGCTAAATATTTTGAAAAAAAGTATGACATTAGCACACACCGTCTCGATTTATTGTTAGCTCATCATGCTCATGAAATGTTTTTAACTTCATTAGATGAAGATGATTACGAAAAGATAACAATGGCTATGTCTAATTCTAAGGTCTAAAAATTATTAATTTATTTCTATAATTTATTTTTAGTATGATGTTAATTGTGTTTTTGAATTAATTAAATTCCCATTGGGTTTATCTGATCACACATTGCCGGCTATATTTACAGGAATGAGAAGCAAACTTCCAAAAAAGAATGAAGCAAGAAGAAAATTTGTTAGTTTATTTTTTTAATTTCTTTTATTTAATTTTTAATCGCGAAAATTTTTATCCAATTACTTTTAGATTAACAGTAAACGTGACCAGTTACGCCGTGAAATTGTTGATTTGCTGGGTAGGGATGGAATTTTAATTTTTCCTGCATGGCCTACCACAGCACCATTTCATCATCAACCTTTGCTTACTCCGATGAATATATGTTAGTAATAATTTAAATTAAAAGATTTTTATGCTCCCTTTTCCAGTATATACAGCATTATGGAATACGTTAGCTTTGCCTGTTCTTGCTTGTCCTATGGGAATTAATTCTGAAGGTTTACCTGTTGGTGTTCAAATTGTCTGTGCACCAGATTCTGAAAGGTTACTTTTGGCAGCAGCTCAAGATTTGGAGGAAGGTTTTGGCGGATGGACACCTCCTGAACCGCCTGGAGGGTGGAGACAATTTGTAAGAAGAATTGTCAGTCGTTGATTTTTTAAAGGAATATTACTGCCTAACATTTATATTTTTTTAAATTTTCAAGAAAGGCAAAACTTTTAATTTATTTTTCTGATTGAGATTTTGTAAATTTAAATGCCTTTCTTGAAAAACACTTATTTGCCTCAATTTTCCTATCATATATTTCATTTCTTATTTATTTCGTTTACTAAAGATTTTTTTGATTGAGACCTTTCAAAATTAATTTTTTTACTAATTAATTAAAACCTGAACATTAATGTTTATTCAAAATTTCTCAATTTTTGTGTTATTTCACTAAAATCTTTATTGAATGTAAATTAAAAATTACTGCCATAAATTCCCATTAATTACTTTTTATTTTCCAATATACTCATTTTGATTTAATAAATTTACATTTTTTTAACATTCACTTACATATTTTTCAATAAAATATTCACATTTCGATTGATTTAATAATTTTTTACCTAAATATAATCTTTTAATATTAATTGTAACATTATACATACTATCAATACCTCTTATTTTATTTAATAATTACTACAATACATATTAAATTAATTTTCTTTTTTTATTTATTTTTTAATTAAATATAAATAATTCTTTTAAGAAAATGATTTTTAATCGACTTTATTTTCAAAAATCTTTAAATTTATTTTTGAATACCAAATCATTAGCTGTCAAAAATTTTGTTTATTTGTCGACTGGCCATGAACATTTTCTTAGTTTTGTGCCAGAATTAAGAGTTGGAATTGAAAATGATGGGAAAACGAAAATTAATTTTGAAAAACTTAATGAGAAGGTTATTTTAAAATATTTAATTTATTCCCCCCTCTTGCTTTTATATTTTTGACTTTTCATATAAACCAGATATTCTCTTATGGTTTACTTTATTAAGAAGGATTTACATACTAGGTTGTTTCATAAAAAATGTCGCTTTTTGTTTATCAAGTGATAACACAAGAATATTTTTTTAAATCTATCTTTTTTTGGTGTTTACTTGAAGAGCAGAATTAGATCTTTATTTTAACACCTAATTTGACAATTTTCCAAAATCCCAAAAAAAGTTATGATTTAAGAAATGTCGCAGGTTAAAGGGAATATTCGCAGCCTGTTGAAAGTACAATCAATTATCAAATAATTTTTAATATTTTAGGTTCTTCTTGTCTACTTCTCTGCTGGATGGTGTGCAACTTGTAAAGGGTTTACTCCTTTATTGAAGGTAAATATAGAAAAATATTTAAAATTAATTTTATATTTTAAGAAATTATACAATCAGTCGAAAGATGACTTGGCTATTTTGTGGATATCTAGAGGTTTAAGCAGTGTTTTCTTAAAAAATAATAAAATTATAGATAAAACTGCCTCTGAACAAATGGAATATTATACAACCAATTTGGATCCAACTTGGATGTATGTTCCTTTGGGTAAATCAACTAGGTTTTTTTAAACTTTATTTAAAATTATTTTAATATTTTTAGAGATTTTTTAAAATTATATAAATTAGCTGGTCTTCCAAGTGTCAAATTAGTTGATAATAATGGAAAGTTTATAGAGGATGTGAAAATGCAAATTGAGGTATTTTTGGTATTTAAATATTTTAACAAATTATTTTTAAAAGAAAAATTCTGATAATCCAAAAGAATTAATTCAATTATTTAAGTCAAAAACAAAAAATTAAATTATTGATGATTTAAAATAAAATAATTATTTTTGTGTCCCAGATTTGTTAATTGTTTTGATTATATATATTTTTAGATATTCAAGTATATATAAAATAAATAAATATTTTTAGGTATTTTTTTGTTTCAAATTAACTAGATATATCTAGAGAAAATGAGCTATCATTTGTACAAGTTTTTCAATTTAAAAATATTATCTAGTTACTAAAATAACATTTAAATACTTGTTTTTATTTTAAATTTATTCAAAAAATTTTATTTAGGAATATCCTTTAAATTTTTTTAATAAATAAATAATTAGTAAATTTAAATTTATTTTAATTATAATCTCAACAATGACAACAACCTGTTCAACAATTACAGTTCAAGCTCCAATGAATATTGCTTTAATTAAATATTGGGGAAAGAAAAATAAAGTTTTTTTTCAAATAAAAATATTTTAAAGTATTTTTTAAAAGGATTTAATTATTCCTTTAAATGATTCTATATCTATAACAATTAACAATCTATGTGCTATTACAAAGATTACTGTTGATTCTAATTTAAAAAATGATTTGGTTATAATTAATGGAAAAACAGAAAATAATTGTCGTTTTGAAAGAGTTTTTAATGTAAATTTAAAAAATAAATAATATTTTTTTTTAATTAATTTTTTAGGAAGTTAGAAATATTATTGATAGAAGAAAGAGAAATGTGAATGGTGAATTGTTAAATGAAAATAAATATTTTAAAGTTTAAATTATATTTTATTTATTTTTAAATTTAATTTAAATTTAGATAGAATCCAAAACTAATTTTCCAATCGCGGCTGGATTAGCTTCTTCGGTTATTGACTTTAAATTATTTTTAAAGTTTTTTTAATTTAGGCTGCTGGTTTTGCTGCAATTTCTTTTGGACTAGGCTCTTTATTTAAATTTAAAGAATTGAAGGAAATTGTTAGAATTGCTAGAATTGGTTATTTAAATTAATTAATTTAAAATTAAATATTTTTTGTGAAGGTTCTGGTTCTGCTTGTAGAAGTATTCTTGATGGATTTGTTCATTGGAAAGCGGGGAATAGTGATGAAGATGATTCTGAATGTATTTGTGAGGTATTTTTAATTAAAAGAAATTCTCTTTTAATTTTTAAAAAGCAAATAACACCAATTTCACATTGGAAAGAACTTCGAGTACTTGTAATAACTACAAGTGAAGAACGTAAAAAAATTGGAAGTACAGAAGCAATGCAACGTTCAGTTTTAACTTCAAAACTTTTACAGAAAAGAATTGAGGAATGTGTTCCGAAAAGGATTGAAAAGTTTTTTTAAAAAATAAATTTAAATTAATTCTAATAATTTTAAAGTTTAAAAGAAGCTATTTTAAACAAAAACTTTCCTCAATTTGCTGAAATAACAATGGCTGAAAGTAATCAATTACATGCTATTTGTCTTGATACTTATCCTCCAATTATTGTTTGTTTTTTTGAATTTTTCTTTAAATTTTATTTTCTTTAAAAAAGTATTTAAATTCAACATCTTTTGCATTAATGGAATTTGTTCACGATTTTAATACTTTTTATTCTTCTCCATTAATTGCTTATACATTCGATGCTGGCCCTAATTGTTTTTTATTTTTTGAAGAAAAAACATTTCCATTATTTTATAATTCTTTTAAAAAATGTTTTAATTATAGTAAAGATTTAATTAAAATTAATTTTGATGAAAATGAAAATAAAGAAATTAAAAAATTAATTAGTGAAGGTTTTTTAAAAGAGAAATTACTAAATAAAATTTATTTAATTTTTAAAGAAAATAATGGAGAAATATTAAAAGGAAAAGAAGAAATTCAATTTCCTTGGTTAGAAGCAAAACAAATTAATATTCAACAATTATTACTTAGCAAACTTGGAGATGGGCCAAAAATTTTAGAATAAATTTTTTGTTGAATTTAAATATTAAATATTTTTTTATTAATTTGTTAATTCTCATTAATTTAAGTAGTAAATAATTGTTAATTTTTTTAAATTTATTTTTCTTCAATAGGAAAACATTTTGTTAGATTATGTATACATACATACAAATTTATAAATTAAAAAAAATAATTTTTTTAAAAATCTTTTTTATTTTTACTTCTTTTTCTCCTTCATTTGTACTATAGGCCAACGAATATATTGGGGAGGTTGATTATCTCTTTCTCCATTTAAATATTGGGAATTTTTATAAAAATAAGGAGGAAAATCATTATTATTAGAATTAATTCCATTATTATAATTTTGTTGTGAATTTCCTTTAGAATTTCCTCCAAAGTCTATTGTGCCCCCATGATATGGTTGGGGAGGATATGATGGATGTCCTCCTGTTCCAAATTGTTGTAAATTGGCGGCATTATTTGGTGAATTGATAGGGGAAGGAGGAATACAATCAAAAATTGATTTACCGTTATTTATTTCACTAAAATATTTTTTTTAATTATTCTTTTTTTATTGTCTTTTTAAAGAATGGATGGTTTGTTTTGACTAAAATTAAAGTATGTACAAAAATTTTAATTTAAAATTATTTACTATAATTTTTGCGATTTATGGGGAAGACATTTGCGAGAAAATTTCGAAAAAAGTACAATTTTATTTTGAAAATATAAAATGAGAATAAAATTTCTTTTCAAAAATTTAAAATATTTTAATACTTTTCTTTAAAATACAAACTCTTTAAATAAATAAAAAAATTATTTTAATTAATTTCCTTACCGATATGGTTGATAATAATTGCCAAGATTTGTTCCATAACCATTTGAACCAAAATAATAGGGAGGGTAAAAAAAAGAAGAAGAGGGAGAAGGAGGGGAAGAACGTCCAAATAATGAATTTTGAGGTAATCCTTGTTGGGATAATTTATTTTGATAATAAAATGGATATTGTTGTTGTTGTTGGTTAATAAATCCTAATAAATATATATGTAAATATAATTCTAATTAAGGAGCCGGACTGGGTAAGTGTACTCGAAAAATATTAATCTCGATAACGAGATTGTCTCTAATTTTAATTAATTAATTTCCCTGTTAACTAACCAGATGAGGGATATATTTTATTTTGATTATTAGTATATTGTTGAGAATATATATAATTAATTAATTCAAATAAAATTATTAAGAATAACATTTTTTAATAAATAAATATTTAAATAATTATTTTATAAATTTTTAGAAAAATAAATTATTTGGATAAACTAAATATATTTTTAATAAATATTTTAACATTTTTATACTCTAAAAGAATTATTTGCGCAAGATTAAAAAATAACTAAATTCAATGACACAAAACAAGCGATGACCTTCTTTTAATTTTTCAGAGATTTTTCCTTTGAAATTTTTATTTTTTAACAAAAATATTTTTAAATCCTTTAAATGCCCTATATATTTAGAATAAAAAATGGTGAATGTTTAGTCTCTTTTGATTATAATAAAGACTTTTTACAAAACGGATTAAGGCCAGACTATAGTAAATATATTACATGTATGAATATTCTCTAAAATACTTCAAAATTTTACAATAAATAATAAATGCTTAAGCTAAAATATTAAAGGGCTTCCGGCTCTGTAGCCCGGAAACCTGACATTTGAAAATAATCTAGGTTTTCGGGGTTTATCCCGAAAAATTCGGACGGGGTCTTATCTGAAAATGTTAAAATTTAAAGATTTACCTTTTAAAGTACATATATGTACATAATTATAAGCTAAATACAAAATTATTTATTTTATAAAATTTCACCAAAAATAATTTCTATTCTTTATTTAATTTACAAAATTAAATTTAAATAATTATTCTTGCTAATTTTATACATATAAGTATTTTTAAAATTAAATTCAAAGAAATTTTTCTTTCGGAAAATTTTCTTTTGTCTTTTTATTTATTCACATCTACACACATTTTTTTCTTTTCTCTGCCAAATCGAATAAAATAAATATATTTTTTAAACTAGAAACAAGCAAAATATTTTTAAATCTTTTTTTATTTAGAAAACAGTTGCTACTACATAATTTCTTTTTTTATTAATTTCTAAAATCGATTTGAACAACTAAAAAGTGATTTGTCTTTTCCTCTTTTTTAAATATTTTCTCTTTAAAATATAAATTAATTTTTAAATTTTTAATAAAAAAATATTCCTTTTTTTGTCATTATTTTCTTTTAAAAATTTAATTTCTCTCCCACAATTCTCCAATTTCTTTTTTAGATTTTTTAAAGCTTTTTCAGAAAACCAATTTTTTTCTTTTTTCTTTTTAAATTCTTCTCTTGATTGTTGTTTTTAGTAGTCCAAATAATAAAAGAATTTAAATAAAAAGGGCAAGAAAAAAAAAGAAATTTGTAATCTTAAAAGCAAATTTTATTTTTTAAAAATTTCTAGAGAAAATTGTCAACTGTTTAAAAGAGATAAGAATTTTAAAATTGTTTTGACTTTTTTTAATAGTGAAGAATTGAATTAAATAGAAAAAAATTGTTTTTTAAAAAATAAATTATTTATTTGTTAACCTTGTTTCCCCTCTTTTTCAGTCTTTTAAAAAATAATAAAAAAAATTTTTAAATTTATATTATTCCTTTTTCCAAATTTATTCAAAATTTACTCCTTTTTTTAAAGGAAATTTAAAAAATAATTTTTTAAATTTAAATTTAAATATTTATTTTAAAAACTTGACGTAAACCACACAAGATTTCTCAAATGTCATATAAGAATATTAAAAAAAAGATGAATATATAAATGAAACAATTGTTCACATTTCATGAAAAAAAATTTTTTTTTCAAACTTTAATTTTAACTTTTTATATAGCTTTTTTTAGATAATAATTTTTAAATAAATATGTAATCTCTTTTTTATAGACATCACATCCCACGTTACTTCTCTTCATAGTATCGGTCCCGATGGGTGTCATTATAGAGTTAATTTTGTATATATATTTAATTATTAATATTTAAATATTTTACTACAAAAAATAAATCTTTTACGTTTAAGAAAAATTTTGTGTTTGTATTTTAAAATGATATTTGTTAAACGATATATATATTTGTTAATATATTTGTTAATATATTAAAATGATATTTGTTAATATATTATTAAACGTTATGTATGTATTTGAATTAAACTTTTAATTATTTAGAATCAAATAAAAAAACATTTTTGCACTTAAATATTTAGCTTGTTTTTCTTCTTTTTTTTAAAAACAATTATTTCTTTCTTAAATATATTTATTTTTTATTCAAAAAAACTTCCTGTGCTTTTCTTTTTCCTTCTTTCCTACATTTTTGAGGCTGCCAATTATGTCTGCGTCACGTAAAAAATATTTTATAGGGAGACAGAAAGGCAAGAAAAAAACATGGAAAGGAAACAGAAATAAGTAAAGAAAAATCTTTTTATTTTTTAAGAAAAAGAGAAAAAACATTCCAAAATTGGGGGGTGTTTATTAGATATAAAGTGCCTTCAATTAGTCTGGTAAATAATTAAAAATAAAATTGAAACTTTTGTTTTTATTTTTGAAAAAGTTATTCTTTCACTCCAATAAATTATTTGAAAAAATAGAAGTTGCAGAAAACTTGCTTCCCTTAAATTGAGTTTTCAGACTTTTGCCGGAGTAACAAAAAATATTTATTTTTTTATATTTCTCTTAATTCTTTCACTTCCATTTTCCTTATTTTTTGTAAGTTTTTTTGTAAAAAAAAATAGACTACTATAAATATTTTAATCTAAATTCAAATCCCTTGCGTGTTTCAAATAATTTATCTACATATATCTAAATTTCATTTAAAATATTCTCTTTCTTTCGTTTTTTCCTTTTTTTCTTTTCGCGCGCTTAATTAGATTTTTGTTCGTCTTTAGAATAAAAAAAAGATTTTTAAAAGCCTCTAGCATTTTTTGCCTTTTTTATATTTTTATAAATAGTAAAAATTGGAAAAATAAGTGGTTTTGGCAAAAATATATAAATTTATCAGTAAAAGATTAAAAACCAAAAATATTTTTGAGGTTTTAAAAATTTATTTTTTGTTTTCTAATTTTAAAAATTTAAATTATTTTTTAGAAGAACTTAAATGTTTTTATTAAATTGCTTTGTTTGGGGAATAAATATTTATTTAATTAATTAAATATTTATATTTATTTATTCTCTTACTAACATACATAATATTTAATTATTTTAACAAAAAAAAAGTTTTTTTTATTTCGATTAAAATTTAAAAATAAAAACATTTATTTTCTTTTATTCTCCAAGTTTTCTTCCGGTACATCTTTTCTCTTTTTTTTATTTTTAAATTTATTTCCCCCTTCCCCCTTTTTTTCACTTTCTTCCATGCTTATTCACTCCATAATATATTAACTTTATATATATATTCCACTTTCATTTTTTCAAACTTCCAATGATGTAGCGGATTTTTCTTTTCTATTATCATGCTTTTTATAAGAAAAAATTGTTTTTAAAATAAATAAATAAATTATTTTTATATTTAAAGTTAGATATTATATTTAGTCAATTTTATATAATATTTATGTCTTTTTCTTCAATTTAAGCAATTTTAAATTATTTTTCTTTTATTATTTAATTAATTTTCTCCAATATTTTTTTCTCACGCCCTTTATTTAATTAAATTTTGAAAAACATTTTTTTAAATTAATATTTATTAAATTTTTTTCAGAAATTAATTAATTAAAATAATGATTGACTACAGTGAAGTTTCTAACTATTCTTTGGCTAGTAGATCACGTACTCCACATAAAAAGGTAAATTTAAATTTATTTTTAATTTTGATTATTTTTCTACCGAAAAGGGGACATTTTAGAGACTCCCCCCATTTTCTCTTTCTTTTAATTTTTTCGAACAAAAAAATTTTTTCTCTAAATTATTCAAAAATGGAATAAAACTTTAATAAATGACTAAATTTATTTTTAAATTAAAAT